GCCACACGGCGGGGGGAGGAAAAGGGTTTTTGGGGGTTTTTTTTTTTTCTTCACCAATTTTTTTTATTATTAGTGTGTTCCCCCGGGGGCGACAACAGAAGGAGGATGCCCCATCCCGCCCACTTTTTTGGGGTTTTCCCCGGGGGGCGATAGGGTTTTTGGTGTTTTTGTGGTCCCCGGGGGGTCGGTTTCTTTGCCCTGGGTTTTTTTTTTTTGGGGGTTAGGATATGAACGGGACCGGGGGGGACGCCAGACTCCCCCTATGGGGGCTCTGTTCCACCAAACCACCGGCCCGTGGAGCGGGCAAAGACCAAAAAATGGAAGGGGTTGTAGAGCTTTTTTTGGCCTTTGGGGGGGAATTCATTTTGGCAAGGTTCGAACTTTTTTGGGGTAAGGTCAGGGATCTTTGCACGGAGGGAGGTAGTCAGATGCACGAGCTTTGACTTGGCCGTAAACCGCACAACACGTAGGTATTTCAGCCGGTAATGGTTTGTTTGGATCTGGTGAAGAAGTGCCCGGTCTTCTCGCTGGTCCAGCTAGGCCTCGTTGTCTGGCATTTGGTAGCATGATCAAGGGACAGATCAGGTTCATGGGATGAGAGAATCGAGGGGATCTTTTCGTAAATAGTCGCTACGTCACATCATTCAGTGCAGCAAATCAAGCGGTCATCAGTCCGTAGGCATCATGCGTCTCAGTCGAGTCATCAGTTGCAGGTCGGCATCCACCGCCAGTAGTCAAATCGTCAATTCGTACCGGTCTAAGGCGTCATAGTCGGCTATTCTGCCACTCATTGCAGTCGTCAGCAGCGGTGAGCGCGTGCGAGCTCTGGAACCAGTGGTTTACGGGCAGCGGTATGCATGTCGAGTGGTCCTGCATGGGATCAGGAGGCGGTGCAGAAAGGTGTGGCAGGCGTAGGAGATTAGAGATCCGGTTCGGGATCCAGAAAAGAGTCAGAAGATAGTGGGAGGAGATCAGAATGTTCCACGCCAGATTGGTGTTGGTGATACGGAGAATGATGTTCTAGGTCATCACCTCGAATTGTATGTTCTTGATGCACGTTCATCAAGCGTTCATCACCAAGTTCGCAATCAAGATCTAGGTCTGCTGCTTAGTCTGCCACTGGGAGTTCTGTTCCAGCCAGGCGAGGTCATGAATATGACCTTGGTGATCTTGACAAGGTTCTTTTCGTCCGTCAGATCAGTGCCCAAAGCACTAGGTGCTTCACGAAGCGTATCGTAAAGGCTTTTCGGTTTATTTGTTCAGCTTCTCCCGGTCCTCTTGGGCCGGGCTCATAACCTGTGAAGGTTAAAGGAGGCTATACGTAGCGGTCATATAACGTGATGCACTGTGAGGAGCAGGAGGCTGAATAGGGTCTAGTGTGGGCGAAAGAGTGTTGTGTACTTAGGAAGAAATAGATACATCGCGACCCTTCTGGGGATCCGTATTAATACTAGTGTCAGGCCCCGCTTTTGTGCCTTCTGACCAATTACAGGCCAGTACGGCCAAGTGGGGCGGAAGGGCCACAGTGTGGCGGATTCCAATGCTTGACAGAAACCAATTACTCCGTATTCAATGCTTGTTCTAAATGGTCTACTTCTTCCCCGGATTCACCGTCGGCTTCATCCCCCGCGTGCTGCCCCAGACGCTGTCGCTCACACGTGGCGGGATCTTGCGGCCGCGCAGCCGCTGGTCGATCAGCCACAGGCCGACCACAAACTCTTCCTTGGCCAGCCGGCCGTCTCCGTTGCGATCCACCAGATCCCACACCTCGGCCAGCTCGTCGGCCGGCAGCCGGCTGCGTTGCCACAGGTCGCGCACCACCACGTTGGGCACGTCGTCCGGATGCTGGTCCTGGTCTTGCAGCGGGCTGCTGCTACTGGCATCAAACCCTTGTAGTCCCCGGTTGCTCGCCCACAGCGCCTCGTATCGTCGTCGCTGCCGCTCCGTGATCTGCTCGCGCCATCGTCGCCGCGATCCCTCATGGTGCTTGTGCTTGTGCTTGCCGCCGCCTACCAGCGGCACCGGTGGCCGGTGGAGGTGGTGGTGGTGGTGCAGCGGCAGCAGTCGTCCGCGTCGGTCGCGCTCTTGCCGGCTGTCCTCCGTGTCCGAGTGCGACCGCTCCGGCCGCAGCGTCTGCGGCATGGCTGACGTGGCTGCTGTCGTGCTTGTGGAGCCGCCGGTGCGGGTTGCTGTGAGCCGGATGTCGCGCGAGAACGACCCTCGCGGTGGTGGTGGCCGCGGTGGCGGTGGCCGCGGCGAAGTCGACGTCGTGCGTGTGGACGGCGTGACCGGATGGCGGGCCGTGGCCACCGATCCGGCCACAATGGCACTGGCCAGGTTGTCGAGGGCCGACGACGACGTCGAGAAGGACGACGATGACGACGGACTGCTGGCTGGCAGCCGCGACGACTGGAGCTGCACGCCGTCTCGTTGCTGTATGGCGGCCGAGATCACTGCCGTCGATGGTCGCGCCGGCTGTCGTGGCGGCAGTGGTGGCGGCGTAGACTTGTTGTGCGTGTTGTGCGTGTTGGTGTTGCCGTCGTCGCTGGCCTCCAACCTGTGGATCAGCGTCGAGGTCGACGGGATGGCTGTAGTGGGAGTCGTAATGTCGGGAGCCGAGAGCGTCAAACTGATGGTCGATTGGCTGGCAGATTGGCTGGAGGACTTGACTCGCGAGACGTTGTAGCGGTCCAACGATTCTGCCCGAGGACATGGCAGTGGTTTTCGTTTCACCCGATCTATCCTCTCCCTTTTTGCCTTCTCTGCTGCTGCTGTTGCTGCCTGTCCTGCCGTCTTCTCGCCCGTCTTCTCGGCTCGCTCGGCCGTTGCTGCTGCCGCCGTCCTGCGCCTCTCCGCGTCGCCAGCTGCTCCCGACGCCAGCAGTGCTGCGGCCGAGCTGCCGGCAGGACTGCCCAGGGCCGCCCGGGTCTGACCTATGTCGCCTAGATTCGTTCCGGTCGTGACTGATCGGCTGGCCGCCAGCTTGGCCGCCAGAAACGATGCTGACCGGTCATGCCGTTCCGGTGACAGCGACAGCGAAGGCCCGTCCTGCTCCCGCCCGGTGCTGCCGGACCGGCTGCGGCTGCTCCGGCTGTGGCTGTCGTGTCGCTGCTGTCGTGCTGGTGGTGGTGCCGGCCGCGGCGGCAGGTCTGGCGGCGTCGCTGCCGCTCGTCGCACCCCGTGGCTAAAGGCCAGCGCCGCGCCCTGCAGCGCTGCGGCCGCTGCCGCCGCGTGCTGTGCGTCTGGCGTCGCCGTCGTGTAGATGGTCACTGGCAACTGGAAACTGTTGGCTCTTCTCGTGATGCACTCGTGACTCACTCGGTGGTCTCACAACGTCTCACGGATTCTTCCAATCCCTCTCGCCGCGTCGCGTCGAGGCCGCCGGCCCTCCGCAGCCCGTCTAGGCAGACAGATGCCAAATCAGGCGTTCCGATGCAGATCACAGACGCAGATCGAGTCGAGCATCAAAGACAATGACAACCGACTGGATTATGGACTTGGTTGGCTGAGCAGGTCCAAGGAGGAAGGAGCGGCCAGTAGAATGCAACTGGCAGCTGCAGCTGTGTAATAAGGCTGAGCAACGGGCGTCTAGGGGCTGAGTGGGGCTACTAGTCTCCGCAGTTCTTGAGATTACTGTACGGAGTACGTATCTTATATTATATTACATACAACACGTACACTCTCCGTAATATCTCAATTAGCTTAGTCAGCTCAATACGACTCCTACAATATATGCAAATCCAGTCCGCCAGATACAACGCCATAAAAGCAACCGTGCTTCCTGCACGCAGAGTCCTGGCCCTGGTTTGCCCTCAGTCGAGTCTCCGTCTCCTCTTAAAGTGCAAGAATACATACAAGAACTGAAATCGTCTGCTCATCTCCGCCTCAACGGTCCCTAAAAAGCATCCTCGTCTGTCCATCCGCTTGCGTCTGCATCCACCGGCATATGGCCTGCATATGTCGATGCCGTCAACGGAGGAATGCCCCGGACGCGCTTGGCCATGCTGCCGCCACCACTTGCATCGCCTCCGCTGCTGGCAGCACCGGCTCCACTGCTCCCAGCCATCGACGGCATCGTCTGCCGGCTGTCCAGCTCGTAATCGTCCGACAGCCGCTTGCCACGAGCCGCCCGCATGCGCGCGTAGTATTCCTCCGACACGTCCGGTTCTGGCTCCGAGTTGTCGTCGTCGTACGTCTCCCAGTTCTCTGATCCCGACACTGTTGCCGACGTGTTGGTCGACGTGTTGGAGATCTGCCGAACCGACCCACCAGCCGAATACGACGTGGCTGTCGACGTCGACGCCGATGCCATCGCCAGTCGCTCACGTGACGCCCGGTACGCTGCCGCTGCTTGCTGGTGCTGCTGTGCAAAAAAGCCCTGTCGGCTGCTGTGCTCCGACTGCTGCGACTGCGACCGGCTGCTGCCGTCGTCGTTGTAGCTCTCGCGATCGTCGTATACGTCCTCTGGATCGACGTGTCGCACGTTGATCGTCGACGCCGACAGTTTGGCTCGCTGGAAGGCCGCCTGTGTCGGTGTCATCGGTATTGGCGTCGACATCGGCATCGGCATCGGCATCGGATCCGTCTTAACTGCCGTCAGATCCCGCATCTTCGGCGGAGGTGCCCTCATCAGCACCGGTGCCGGCCGCAACATCCCACCACCGACGCTTCCCATCATACTGCTTCCCAATGTCCCTGCTCGCGGCCGCTCCGGCGAGTTCATCCCGTGCTTCAGCGTCCCCAAAGGCGCTCGTGTCGCTGCTGCTCCCGGGATCCGTGTCGGGCTGGTCATCTTGTTCGTCGCTGCTGCTGCTGCCGCAATCGACACTGGTGCCCGCTTGAGTGTTCCGCCTGTTCCTGTCGATGGTGCTGCCACCGGCGTCTTGGTTCCGGCTCGTGATTGCGGCCGCTGTGGTCCTGTCCGGCTGTTTGTGCTGCTGCTGGCACCTGGAGGTGCTCGTCTTATGGAACCCGTTCGCGAGAATGGTATTGTTGATGTGGAAGTTGCTGCTGCTGTCGTTGTTGTTGCAGCCGCTCCTCCTCCTCCTCCACCCTCCTCCACCACATCGAGATACCGTTCGCCGTGCACCAGGAACGGTCGTCCGTACTCGTCCTCCCACGTCTCCAGTGCCCGACACAGCTCGGCCGTCACCTTGGGCAGCTCCTTGGCAATCCGCTTGCGCATCTTCTCCTCGCGCAGCAGCTTGCCCGGATCACGCTTCTCGCCCTTTTGCCCACGCATCATCAGCCGCGACGCGTCCTGGCTCGACGCCGCCAGCTCGTCCCGCTCCCGCATCAGCGCCTGATGTCGGTCCACCATCGCCAGCGTCGGTGCCCGCTCTTCACGCAGCGCCTCCAGCCGCCCAATCTCCCGCTCGTGTGCCTCCAGCAACGCGTCGCTGTACGCGGCCGAGAACGCCGGCGTGAACGCCAGCATCTCGTCCTCCGACAGGTACAGCACGTCCCACAGCTCCTGCAGCCGGACGCGCGCGTCCTCCACAAACGCCGGCAAGTGCTGTCGCTTCTGCTCGTTCAGCCGTGCCAGCTCATCCTCGTACTCGTTGACCTGTCGCATCCCACATCCCCGGTTCGCCCGCACGAACCCCTTCTGCTCCTCTTCTTCCACCCCCAGCTTGCTCCAGAGCTCCTCCACCGCAGCCCGTAGCTCCCGCAGCCGCCTCTCCCGCGCCCTCTTCTCGTCTGCCAGCCGATCGCGCCGCGCCCGCAGCCGTGCCAGGTCCTCCTCGTGCAGCCCCAGCTGCTCTGGCGAGTCGCGGTAGTGCTTCACGATCGCCCCGTCCGTCTGCGCCTGCGGCGTCCCTAGCTCCGCCCACAGCTGCACGATGTTCTCCGCCAGCCCCTTCACCGTCGCCACCCGCCGCGTGTACTCCTCGTAGACCCGCGTGAATTCCGCGTCCAGCTGGTCCACGTATGCGGGCGACAGGTCGAAGCTGAGCGATATTGACTGGTTCAGTCCCGTCGGTGGTAGTGGGATCCGCACAAACGTGCTCTCTAGATGCGATGAATATGATTGGAGCGCATCCGCAAGTTCTGCTCAGTCAGCCTTGTCCTCACTTGCACACGCACTCTCTCGTTTTCTTCCCCCGAAACGTACTCTTCACCTGCTCGAAACGCTCCCGGTGCATCTTGCCCATCTGCTGGTGCTTCTCCTTCAGCGCCTGCAGACAGCGCGAGAGCGGGTACGACACCTTGAGGTCCTCCTCGTCCTCATAGTCGCGGCGTGACCGCGAGTCCCCCAGCGACACCTCCATCTGCCGGATGCCGTTGATCATCCGCTGCGCCTCCTCCACCATGGTCTTCTTCTCCGTCGTCACCAGCCGCACCTGGTTGTGCAGCGCCTCTGAGAGCGCATTAAACAGCTGCATCAGTTAGCAGGCGGGCAAACGGCCGCGTAATTGTTTCGCCAACGCACCTCCTCTTCGCGTGTCTCTCGCTCGTGGTTCGACACTCCGATCTCATCAAAGAGTCCGTGGAGCTGGCCTATGATCGCATTGACCTGCTGCGAGAGATAGCTGGCGTCCATCGCCGCGATCTGGTTGGTCGACAATACGGTATCTATCATTAAGGCTGGAAGCAGCGCTCCCTGCTAGAACATAGTATCCCAAGCCGCACCAGAAGCTGGGAGAGGATCGAAGAAAGCGTGATTGACAGCGAGAGGGTGAAAAGATCGTTGTTCCTTCCGAAGTTCGCTGGAGCCGGGGCAGATTGTGGTGGGAGCGGATCGTCGATTTAAAGAGCAATGGTGCAGGCACGGCGGGCCTCTGGGTAATGCAACTCTGTGCTGCCGAAGTCTTGAAAGTCCCTGATTTGTTTGGCGCTCTTTGTCCCGTGGCGTATCCAGGGGCAACCTTGCTGACTCAGCGCCTGCGGGACCGGCCATTGGCTGGAAGCAAGCCCCTCTGTTTACAATGTACTTTGTTCGACAGCCAGTCGCGTCGTACTCTCCTGCAATTTGCGCCCGAAACGGTATAGCAGCGTTGCATTTCCATTTATTGTGGCGCGTACGACGTAATGCATTCTCTCGCTCTGTTCTGTAAGATACACTTCGTTTCCCACAGATTTGGGTTGCCGCAATAATATCGTGCAACTCCAGGTTAATTTTACTTTTTTTTTGGTACGGAGTACGGAGTATACATACACTCTTCATTACAATCGTCAACAGGGTAAGCCTCAAATAGCCTTTTTCGTATCTGAAAGCCAGGGACCGCTCTTTTCCCCTAACCGGCCGCCTGCATCACCATCAGTCGCACTAATTCACCCCCTGCTAACCGACAGCCCCCAGTTGTCAGCCCTGGTGGTATGTTGGAGGACTCCGATCAGTCATGCGCCATTCAAAGCGCCAGCTTTCTACTTCGCAGCCCCTGTCTCTGCTTTTATCATCTGACCCGAGCTTGGTTAGCTGTTGGCTGACGTGTTGATCGAGGCCGCTTGCAACAATGAGCTTCTTTCCGAGATGGCATCATCAACCTCATCATCTTCACTATCCGCCTCGGCTCCGTATTCGAATGGATTATCCGTCTCGGCACGTGATATATGTGGCATTTGCTTCGGCCTTGGCGTTGACAACTGCGATGTGGACGACGAACTAGAGTCTCGTTTCGACGGAACGTTTCCAGCCTCAGGAAGCTCAAACATGTTCCGCATTTTTTTGAACAGATTAGTCGATGCCAGCGACGTCGGCCGGCTGCGTGACAATACCGATGGCAGCCGTTCACTTGTACGGGGCTGCTGTAGATGTTCGTCTGCTATGCTGGCTGCCTCGATGGCGAAGCCTCTCCCGTCCACCGCCACGACGTGGCCGTAGTCCAGCTTTGCCAGTGGCTGGCCCCGGCTACTAGGAAGAGGCTCGTCGTGAGGCGCAGACTCTGGTGTGCTGGACCAACTGCCTGTAGTCTCGCCGTGCACAGATCCCGGCGTGGCCTCGACGCCAGAGCCTTGCCAGGATTTGTTGGTAACGTCACGAGGCGCAAAGACGGCCGTGTCCTCAGCATCACTGTCGCTATAGGCAGGGGTTTCCCACTCTGCTCGGCCGGGTAGCTGCCGGGGGGGTGTAATCGGCACCGTTTGCAGTTCGTCGGAACGGTCTGGCTGTGGCGTAGTCGGGTCTCCATGTTTGGGATCAGATTGCTCGACCCTTGGGGGTACCACTTGGTGCATATGCTCATCATATGGCGCAATCTCACCAGGGGCAGGCCCTTGTTGTCCTTCCTCTTCATCTCCAGTCTCTTTGAACGAGGGGCTCCCTGGCTCTTCGTCGTGGGACGCCGCAATAATGGATGTCGGTGTCTGGGGAAACTTATCAAGTTCGGAGCTTAGACTGTGCTCGCTGACTGGCGACACTTCATCGTCATCCTCCGATAGGACATCTTGGCCGAGCTTGGCCGTAGCATCTCGAACAGGACTTCTCTGCGCCATTTCGCTTCCAAAGCTCTCTGTCGGTGCACCGCTTGCTTCATGCAGGACCGGTGGCAGGTAGATGCTCTGTTGGACAGTAGAGGCGTAGTAGCTGGCACCATAATCGACATAGTCAGGGGGCAATGCTGTCTGCATAGCCTGACCGTAGGCAGAAGAATGGCCCGGATGATCCTCGACCATGGCATCCGGGACGTACGAAATATGGACGCCGTGCTCTTCCGAGATAACTTCGGGCACTATCGTGAAGTCGTGGGTCTTGTGACTGTCTTCGTTCTTGTGCAGATCGTCATGGTGTGCTGGTTCCCTCTCGGCGTCTGTTTCTGAGCCCTTTTCGAATGATTCGGCATCGACAAAGCTTGTATCACTTTTAGCTTCGTGCGCAGCCTCCTCTGATGCTCCAGTCACCACGATCTCGGGAACTGGCTGTTTTTCTACCACAGCCGTGGCCGCGTGATCGTCGGAGAGAGGCTGTGCCACATTATCGTTGACATGGTCTATAATGGCAAAAATGGGTGATACTTCGCTGTCTAACTGCTCGGCTGGAATCTGGGCGTTGTAGATGGGTGTGTCATCCTCCACAGCGATGTGTCCAGCTTCATTTTTCTGCACTTCGTGATTATTGCCGTCAACTTGGGCAACGTGATGGTCTAGACCAACAGGTAGCTCCTGGGAAGCTAGTACAGCTGCAGTGGTGATGGCACCCTGCTCCTCGTTCTCGCTGAACTCCACCATCGTGTTCTTGCTGACAATTGGTTGTACGTTCGGAGATGGCAGTTGGGCAGCCGGCTGCATATCATTTTCACCGACAGTCGTTGTTGCGTCTTTAGAGGGTGTCATCTCATCAGGAGACAAGACTGGAATTACTTCGTCATTACTCTTGCCAAATTTGCTGTTGCTTGGATCCCCTTCTAGTTTAGGCACGATGCCTTCAGTCGAAGCTTCCGTATCCTCTTTGTCATCAATGCCTCTGTCTCTTGGTTCATCAGCAACGATTGTCGATACGGCCCCCCGGCCTCGACGCTTGCGCCTTTTCGGTATTTCTGGGAGAGGTACACGAAGTTGCTCGTCGATCCGGCGGTTGAGCTCCTAAGGACAGCAAACTGTGGTTAGATGGAAAAGCTCTTGATGACTTGGTCGATGGCGAACACGTACCTTTCGTTTCTCTTCGAGAACGGTCAATTTCACCTTCCCCTCTTCTATGGCCTGCTTCGCTGCCTCCTCAACGGTGGCTATCATAGCATAGGTCGATTCCTCCATCTCAATCTCCTCGCGCTCCAATTTGACCTGTCTGTCCTTGTCCTGTTGTGCGAGCTGGGCCCTCAGTTCGTCATCCTCGTGTAGCCTTTTGGCCTCACGCTCCTCATCTTCTAATCGACGCTGCTCTGCAATCCCAGCGAGCTGTGCCTGCCGCTTTTGGGCCGAGCTGCGTGACTCGTGCTCAAAGGCGCTGTGCAGAGCAGTCAGGGCTGTCTCCTGGCGCCGTTCAAGCTCGTCGAGCTTTGATTCATGATCCTTGACAGACAGTGATGAGATAATCTCGTGTATGTTCGATAACGTCTCGTGCATCTGCGAGACCAGCTCCGAGACGTCGACCATCTTGATGATTAAAGGGCAAAAGGCGCCTTATTGTAGATTTGCCAGGTAAACAATTAGGAGGAACAGAACGGGTTTGTTGACGAAATGGAAATACTGGAAGAACATAAAGCTAGAAGCTATCGACAAAGAGGAAACAAAAGAGCATATCAACGGTGAGAAGATAACACGTTTTTCCCAACTGTCAGCTACGAAGGGCAGAAGCGAGGTACATCGGGGACATCTTGAGGCATCGTCACGTATCTGTTCCCAGGTCTGCAGACCCCTTGACACAAGCTAAAGCTTTATTGGGCTCGAGGGTAGCTTGCTTGGGAAGCTCCCTACAGGTCGGATGTCACTTAAAATTAGGGCATTGTGTCATGATTCCCGCTGCCGAGATCGGCCGTGGCTGAGATGCAGAATAAGCGTCTCGAGAGCCAATGGCGAGATCGAGTTATGTGACCAGTCTGTAAATTCTGCAGAATCTGCAGAATCTGCGGCTCGTCTTTTGCGTAGCTGGAGATCCTCGCAGGGGGATGTGGCGCATCACAGCGTAAAACGTGCGTTTGAAAAATGTAGGGGGTTTTAGGTTACGAGTTCGTTTCAGGCGACTGTTCCATATTTGCACCAAAAGTATTATCGTATCCTTCTAGGAAAGCACACGCATGCATTCAAAGTCTGCTACTCAGATATGTACAAACATACATGATCTCGACGAGAGGATGGGGGAATCAATCGCCACCAGTGGAAATAAGAAAGAAAAGGCTGCAAAAATAAACAAGATTATCGCGTAGAAAACCACCCCTCTGAAGTAGCAAAGTCGCCTGTCCGCCTTTCCCAGGGGTTCCTTCCCACAGCAGTTATATCCTGTTCGGTGCAGGCCTGTCTGCATTGGTTGTCCGGCGGTTGTACTGCTCGCGATAGTTGATGCGCTCGTAGGTACCGAAGCCAATAAAAGCCACACCGATGACGAGCCAGATGCTAGTGATGATCAGGCCGACCGGGAACAAGATGAGCTGGACGCCAGGGAGAACAAAGGCGACGGTGCCGTTGTGCAGTTCCTCGATGATAGCGCTGACGGCAACTGCGGCAATGGCCGACTTGGACAGGACGACCTGGTCGCTGAAGATGCCGGCGACGAACGAGGCCTCATTGGACGAGACGTTGGTTGAGACAGTGCTGCCGGTGCTGTTGATGCCGGTAAGCGTGACAATGGGCATGACGAGCGCTTCGAGAGCGGCCCTAAAAATGTGTTAGAAACCCGCTGCAGGTACTGGATCTCGAGATGCAACATACATGGTCAGGTTCCCGGTCAGGGCTTCCTTCTTGATCTGGCCCACAAACATGTACGTCTGCAGCAGCTTGAGGTCTGAGTTGGTGGTGGCCATGGTCATGTTGGCAGCGGCCTGCCGTGCAGAGATGTTCGAGGAGGTGGTGCCAGTCGAGACGGGCGAGACCGAGGCGCCGGTGTAGCTAAGGCCAACCATGATCTTGTCGGGAGCGATGCCGGCAAACTCGTCTCGCGCAGCAGACAGCTGGTAGAGCCGCAGGTCGGCCTCAAAGGTACCGGTGGCATTGTTCAGGACGAGAAGGTTGTAGCAGGTGCAGGCACCCGACGGATTGGACGACTGGGCCAGCTTGCTGAGGGCCGAGACGCAAGCCGCCTCGACAGTGGCGTCCCAGGCAGTCATGTCGATGGTGCCGTCGGCATTGAGGATGACGTCGCTGGCCACCGACGAATTTGCCGTCTCACGCTTGGCAAAGCCGAGCGACGGGTTGTCGATCGATCCGAGGCTGTCCCCCATCATCGCGGCCATGCGCTGCTCGAGCTGGTCGGTGTCTCGTTCGGCCATCATGCCGCCGGAGGAGGCCATGCCGTCGATGCCGGCATGTGCGTGCATGCCGAACAGGGCGGCGGCGAGAGCAGATTGCCAGAACATGATGCAAGTCGGAGACGTGTATTAGTCAGTCAGGAATAGAAGGCCTGTCAAGTCCGTCCGGCGGGAAAAGGCAGGTATGCGGGAAAGAAATGGACGTTGGACGGCTCTCTGCACGAGCCGGTCGGTTCGAGACGTGCTTCCGGATGGAAAGCACGTAGATTGTCAGCGTGAGGGAAGAAGCGAATAAATGGCGATGGAAGGAGCAAAAGTGAGTGAATGAGAGTGCAATACGGGGCCAGCCTGAGTGTGGGTTTTGGGGTTTTCTGGTCGCCGTCGAATGGGCCGATCGATCTCGTCTTGGTCGCAAGAAACGGAAGGTCGAGAGAGTCGAGAGAAGCGAGAAAGGGAGGAGGAAAGAAAGTACGGAACGAAAATAGGGAGGGTGGACCAATGTGATGCTGGAGGACATACGTCGTAGTAGAGGCCCAATGGGGGAGGGGGGATCAGAAACGAAACCGACATCATGCACCAGCTAGGTGCTCTGTAGGTTCGGGGCCCACCATTTCGCGGTGCCCGTGAGATGGTGGAGGTGGTCATGGCAGCGCAGAGCCGCGGGATGCAAGACGAAGTGGTGGTTTGCATTGGTTGAAGGTTTCGTCCAATTGGGCCTAAAAGGCCGAGACCAGAATGAGACAGGGTGGCCGCCCGTGGCCAGGAGAGATAGGAGGCCAAAGCAGGTGCTAGCTCGTCGGCATTGCACGCATCGTGGACTGGCGATGGACGATGTGACGAGACAAGTCTGAGCTTGCGAAACGTTGAAGGATAGGGGTGGCCTGTCTGGCAGGTGTAGCAGAGAGCGATGTGCCACTGGCGCTCACGATTGGATGGCCAGCAGGGGATGCACCAGGGGCTCCTGTGCCTTGGCAGCCCGTTTGGGGTTGACCGTAGACCCATAGTGGGTCCGAACAGGCTAGGGCCAAGAGGCAAGAAAAGCTGGCAAATGAGAAACTTTTGTCTTCATTGCCCAGAAAGGCGAGTTTGCATGCGCAAAGTGCCGATGACGGCATGACTTTCAACGATCACAAACCACGATGACCGTTGCACCCGGACCTGGGCCAGGGACAGGAGAGGTACACCGGTGCAGACGACGACTGTCAAACCATCGACACAACGGCTGAACGGTCGGAGCTGAGACAAATTTTACCTGAAACAGGACAGGCCCATGCAGAGTGCGAGTCTATGAATAGGCACCTGTGGCTTGCAAGCGGCGGTAGCCACGCGATCGGTGCATGACAACAGGCGCTTGCACTCGTCACCCATGTGATACAGACAGTTCCCAAAGACATGGATGCTCAGATCTAAAAAGGACAAAACCAACGGAACGGGAACAGAAACCAAAAACAAAGCAAAACAAAACAACAGAACACAATTCCAAAGTATCACTGCCTCCCTGAGGCCATTCTCGCTGAAGTACTCCTCACTAGCGATCATACCGCCAGCCGGATGCGGCTCTTGATCCAGAGCGCGGCTTGGATGAACACCAGGTAGAGGCCGACCACGCCCCAGAAGCCCAGGATGATGCCCAACCCGGCGGCCAGCCGAGCATCGACGAGGCCCGTGTTCAGGCCGTGGACGCAAAGCTGCCAGGGCGACACGAAATGGCCATGCTTCCCGCGCATGGCATAGTGCGAGCTGGTGGCGGGTCTGGTGCCAACGGTGGCGCCCAGCAGCGGTGTCGAGTGGCTGATGACGGCGGCAGCGGCGTGCTGTTCGTGCTGCTCGATGGCGTCTGACATGCGCCAGGCGACGGTATTGTTGATCTTGTCCCAGGTGGCGTCGCAGGCCTGGCGGCGGGCGTTAGCGGCGAGCTCGGCGCGCAGGTCCGGACGAGAGGCCAGCAGCAAAACACGATCGACAAAGTCGTCGAGATCGACGGGCGAGACGAGAAAGCCAGAGACGCCGTGGACGACAGTGTCGCTGGGGCCGCCCTCGTCGCGGGCGATGACAGGCACGCCGCTGGCCATGGCTTCGAGCACGACGAGGCCAAAGGTCTCGGTGACGGAGCAGTGCAGGAAGAGATCAGCCGAGGCGTAGGACTCGGCCAGCGCGTCACCGGTCTGGAAGCCGGCAAAGACGACCCTGCCAGCGCGCACGAGGTCGGCAAAGAGGTCCTTGATATCGGCCTCGACGGCAGCGTTGCGGTTGCCACCGACGACGAGCAGGGTGAAGGCGAGGCCGCGGCGGTGCAGCTCGGCGGCGACGGTGGCCAAAAAGGCAAAGCCCTTCTCGGCGGCCAGACGGGCGACGCAGACGAGGACGAGCTCGCCGTGGGGCGCTAGAACGCGACGCAGGGCGGCGCTGCGGCGAGAAGGCCGGAAGAGGTCGGTGTTGACGCCGCGGCGCAGCAGCTGCATCTTGGCCGGGCCGATGCCGTTGCGTTCGAGGTAGCGGCGCACGAAGCGGCTCGGATAGAAGACCGTCTTGACGGACGGGTGGCGGAAGAGGAAGCCCTCGACCTGGGCAAAGGTCCAGACGGCGAGCGTGTTAAGCGGCGGCGGAAAGAGGATGGCGCAGTAGCCAGCGAGGTCGGTCTGGAAGTTGGCTAGCACGGGGGTCTGGCTGGCTGCCGGCTGTTGGCGCAGCTGAAGCAGCACCTGGAAGCCGAGCGAGGCCGGACTGGCGAGGTAGATCAGATCGGGCGGACGGTCGCCAAAGGCGCGGGCGCAGAGGACCGACAGGCGGACCGGATAGACGATGGAGAGTTCCGGGTTGAAGGGCAGGGGATAGCCGTGGATGCGGATCTCGGCCGTGTCGAGGACCTGGACTGCCGGCACAAACGTGTCGACCTGCGTGTGGTTGTGGGGGGCCACCACAGCCACGTTGGTGCCATGGGCTCGCAGGTGGTCGACCAGCATGAGCGTCGTGCGCGAGACCCCGTTGACGGGCCCAAACGACTCGGTGCACAGCAGGACTCGCTTGCCGCGCAGCCGGTCAGGAAAGACAGAGATGTCGTGGGCAGGGAGGCAGCCCGCGGCCGGTTCTGCCATTTTGTCGTGGAAGATGTTGCTGGAGCAGAGAGCAGAGGACTGGCCAAAAGGTGCCAGCTTGCTCTGTCTGCCATCATCAGCGTTGTAGACTGGTGACTGATGCTGCCATCGCTATCCTGGCAAATCAGACTTGACAGATGCCCTGCGTGGTTTGACAGCTGGCCAATCAGAGGTCCGGGCTACGACACACTGGTCCAAGGCTGAGACGGCCCATCGAATCGGCTGCGCTCTCTGAGCCCCGTGCCAGCCGTTGCCGTCTGTAGGCTGCTCATGACCAAAAGCGGTCGTCACGGGACGACACACGTGAACGAGCAGGAGGCAGCCAGTGCGGTCTTTGCTCCTTCCGAAGACGGGCGCCCATCTATTCCTACATAGTCTTACCGCCTTATGGACAGCCTGCCAGCCAAGACAATAGTAGCCGTCAACCTGGCCACTAGCAGGTGCTAGGCCACGCTAGCCGGCCCTGATTGGGAGGACAAGCCCACGTACTGCAAGGGACACGTTAAAGAACTGGGGCGACATACGCGTCCCATTCCAGGTTTCCTTGGCGGCGCCCAAGGCCGGAGCATAGGGCACTGCTGCGTAAGAATCCACAGCCAGCACACTGTACTCCGTAACATTGATAGCATCTTACGAGTGCCAAACGGATAATTCTCCGCGCCTTGCTCCAAGCCTTGTCTTGCTGGGGCTGTTGGGCTTCCCCGGATCCAGTTCCTGCTTTTTCCTGTTTGTCTCCCTTGTTCCCGGTTGCCTTCACTCCTGACTTGAACAGGCGAGTTTTCCCTAAGCACGTCTGACACTGATCCACAGTCTTCTCGCATGACGCTTGTCCTCGTTGATCCGTCCGGCTGAAAAGGACGGCCCTCCCCTCTGCCAACTTCTTACGCCTTGTTCACAACCTCAACACACTGTCATCTCTCCTCTTCGCCTCCAGCTGCGCCAACATGGCTGCACTGACACAAGTCTCCGTCATTGAGTCGGAAGAAGCCCTGCTGGACGCTTCAACCGCCCCGACCACGCCGGAGGGAAGCATGTCGTTCAGTCCGGTCTTGCGGCCGTTCCGTGCTGCCGACACCGTCGAAGATGACACCACCACTACCATTGGCCCCGGCTCGCGTCTGGCTGGCAACAGTGGCCGCCTTCTGCCCACCACTCTGCCGAGTCCCCAGATTCCAAGTGTCCGGACGATCTGCTGTGTCGGTGCCGGTTATGTTGGTAAGAAACGTCTCTTGTACCGTCTCCATCCTGGTCTTCCGCCGTGCTGATTCGGTTTCGTTCTCGTCTGCTCCAGGTGGACCCACGGCCGCTGTTCTTGCCTTTCAGAACCCCCAGATCCGCGTTGCCGTCGTCGACAGAGACCCTGTCCGCATCCGACGATGGAACTCGCGTCATCCACCCATCTACGAGCCAGGCCTCGGCGACATTGTCCGCATTGCCCGTGACGGATCTCGCGCGTGCTCCTTTGTCAACGTGCCCCTGCCTGGCGCTGACCCGTCCACAGACACGGCCCCGATCAGTGTGCCGCCTCGTGAATCGAATCTGTTCTTCTCGACCGAGGTGTCGCGCTGGATCGGCGAGGCCGACGTTGTCCTCATCGCCGTGAACACGCCGACCAAGTCGCGCGGTGCCGGTGCTGGCAGTGCCACGGACATGACAGCCTTTGAGGCTGTCACCGGCGAGGTGGCCAAGCATGCCCGTCCGGGCGCCATCATCGTCGAGAAGTCGACGGTGCCGTGCCGCACCGCCCAGCTGGTGCACGAGACCATGGCGGTCCACCGTCCCGGCGTGCATTTCGAGATCCTGTCCAACCCCGAGTTCCTGGCTGCGGGCACGGCCGTCAACGACCTGCTGTATCCCGACCGCGTGCTGATCGGCTCGCTGCCGACGGCGTCGGGCATGCGCGCAGCCGAGGCTCTGGCTGCGGTGTATGCGGCTTGGGTGCCGCGCAGCCGCATCCCGGCGACCAACGTGTGGTCGTCGGAGCTGGCCAAGCTGGTGGCCAACTCGATGCTGGCCCAGCGCATCAGCAGCATCAACAGCATTGCGGCCATCTGCGAGCGGACCGGTGCCGACGTCGACGAGGTGGCGGCGTCGGTGGGCCAGGACCCGCGCATCGGCAACAAGTTTCTCAAGGCCGGCATCGGTTTTGGCGGCAGCTGCTTCAAGAAGGACATCCTCAACCTGGTGTACCTGTCCGAGTCGCTCGGGCTGGACGAGGTGGCCGAATACTGGCGCCAGGTGGTGACGATGAACGACTATGCCCGCGACCGGTTTACGCATCGGGTCGTCAAGTGCCTCAACAACACGCTGACCGGCAAGAAGGCCACCGTGCTGGGCTACGCCTTCAAGAAGAATACGAGCGACACGCGCGAGTCGCCGGCGCTGGAGATCATCAAGACCCTGCTCGAGGAGGGCCCGCGCGAGATTGCCGTCTTCGACCCGTGCTGCAACCCGGTGGTGATCCGGGACGAGATCAACTGCCTTCTGGGCGGCGACCGCGTGTTGCTTAGCGAGGGCGGCTCGCTCCAGGTCTACACGGACGCCTACCAGGCCTGTGCCGACAGCAACTGCATCCTGATCACGACCGACTTTGACGAGTTTGGGGGCAAGCCGTTGCCGGTGGCAGCAAGTGGCACTGCTGCTGCGTCTGCTGCTTCTGCTGCTTCTGCTGCTTCTGCTGCTTCTGCTGCTTCTGCTGCTTCTGCTTCTCCGGCACCACCCAAGAAGGGCACTCTGGTCGATCCGCGGCCGTTTGACCGGTCCGAGCCGAGCGAGAACGAGCTGCTGGCACTGCACAAGTTCCTGGTCGGCAGCACGGCCGATGTCGACCACGATCCGCTGCAGCGCTTCCGACCGGAGCTGCTATGTGATCCGTCCTGCCCTGACTGCGCTCTCGAGCGGGACGGCTACAAGCTCAACGAGGAGTACAGGCCCCGGGCGAAGCTGGATTGGATCAAGATCTCGACGCACATGCAGAAGCCGCGCTGGGTCTTTGACGGCCGCGGCGTGCTGGACGTCAAGCGCATGGCCAAGCTGGGGCTCCGGGTCGAGAGTGTCGGACGTCAGGGCCGATCGTAGTGTTCTGTCCTGGCTGGACGCTTAGCATGGACTCGGCTGTACTTCCATCTCATTACGTTTCTATACTTGAATCTAAATTGGCAAAGTGGAGACATAAGGAGCAATGCTTCACGGATCGCGAACATAGACTTTCTGGTGAGTCGGGATCTGGTCTACGGGATCGGGTTCTGCACAGTGCAAAAGCAAGTCCTCTCGCACAAGGCTGAGCACGTTTCTGCCCGAAAGTCGTACGAGCCACAGTGTGACGGGACAGAGTCTGCCTGAAAAAAGCAGAAAGGAAATGTAAAAATAGAAGGAGCCTGGGCAGCTGACTCATCATCGAATGACCCGTGGGGGAAAGCCACCCCGCAAGATTTCCTCCGGCCAATTAAGGATGCCTCGTCAACTTTGTCGCGACTGAGAAAGGTTTCACCTCGAGCGTACGGTTAGGATCTCAGCCGGCACTGGACTCGCTCGAACTTTTGTCATTCGCCCTGATTGTTGTCCGATCTTCCAACGCTCAGCAGACCAACGGTTGTTTCGTCCTCGTCAGCACCTCTTCGGCTGCATTGGCTCTCTCTTTCTGTCTTGCATCCGACAGCCATGGCCGAGCTCAGCACCGAGCAGCCGCGTCCGGTGCGGCGCAAGTTTGCGATGCCGCCCGTCAAGCTGGCCTGTCTCTCGTGGTATGGATCCCGCGACCGTGTTTTCGCTCTGCGTATGCGCCTCTGACACTGCCGTTTTTTCCTTGCAGCCGGGCCTCTAGGACCCGATGTGATGGCGGCCAGCCGTGTGCGTCGGTATGTGATCGAGACTCATGTCCGAACGGGGGTGCAGCCGCTGACTGTCTGCAGTGCATCTCGAAGCAGAACGCCTGCGTCTACCGTCCGAGCAGACGTGGCGGGCCTCGCATCCGCAAGAAGGTGGCGTCTGTCTCGCCGCCCGGACAGGTTCATGATGTGCAGCTGAGCGAGGCCACCCTGAACTTGCCGCTCCTCCCGCCGACACGCACGTCTCTCCGGCCACCGTGCTGCTTCTCTTCGTGGGCCCTGACTGTGCTAACATGCCCTCCGCAGCGCTCGAGATTCACAACTTTGTCGATCCTGGCGCGGCACTCGGCCAGCTGCCCGAATTGCCTCCCGACAGCGACTTCATCTTTGACAACCTCTTTCTGAACCCGTTTCCCGACCCGGCCTTTGACGAGACGCCGATGCCGCAGCAGACCTTTACGCCTGTGCCGGAAGTGTCGGGTCCGCTTGTGCGGACGTACCGCAATAACCACAGCCTGTGAGTCATGCAATTTATTCCTTTTCTGTTTTTCCTTTTTTACCCTCTTTCCAGGAAAACAAAAGCTTACACACACAGTCTGCAGGCATACTACTGCTGGGTGCACACGTTTGTGCCGATCTTGCCGGCGCCCGAGATATCTCCGCCGCTGGACGAGCCGGTGCCGATCTCGCAAAACCACCCGGACGGCTTCAGCAGCGGGCTGGACTTTAGTTCTCCGGTGGCCTTGGCACTGTCGGCCGTGCTGGCCCTGGTGCCCTGCGCAGAGGACACGGACCCCAGCTCCTCAGAAGCGGTGCCGTTCCGGCGCAATTGCGCGCAGTTCTTTGCACAGGCAGCCATCGAGAGCATCGAGGCCGAGTCGGAGATCCCGGGCTCGTCGACGGCACCGGAGAAGACGCTGGAGTCGGAACCGCCGACGGTGGACCGGCTACCGTTCCATCCACGTGTGCCGGTGGAGCTGGAGAGCATCATTGCGCTGAACTTGCTGAGCGTCTACGAATATGCGCAGCGCGGAAACCTGAAGAAGATGCGCAGCCGGGCCGGACAGGCGTTGATGGAGGCTATGATGACGTTTAACCTGCACAACCAGACGGACGACGACGACTACTACGCTGAGGCCAAGCGGAGAGTGTGGTGGATGACGGTAGGTGGTGCTGCTTGCCTCTGCTTGCCTCCCGTCCTTCCGGCCGCTGACAGAAACAGTATATGTGTGCGACGCAGACGGCCATTGTGAGCTGCACAGTAAGTGGTGACTAATCCATTCACGTGATCTGGTCTGCGGCTGACAGTGGCAGCCTCCTCCGTTGGAGCTTTTTGGGGTCTCGTTCACGACCAAATACCCGACGCTGGAAGTCGACCCCGAGGCGTGGCCGACGCTGATCGAGACGCAGCAGTCGATGCTGTCGGCGACGCAGTTCATCGTGGACCTGAGCGAGGCGGTGTCGACACGAGCAGACATGGAACCGATCTACAGGAAGTTGGTGGAGCTGGAGAACGGCATGGGTCCGCTGGCCGACCGATGCGACGCCTGGGCGGTCAGCGGACCTTTGGCGCCGATCGTGGACGCGTCGGAGACCTGTCTGGTGCGGTCGCTGCGGTCGATGGCCCGCACCAAGGTGAACAGCGCGCGGATCAAAGTGCACCGGTACTGTGCCTTTGGCGACTACCCCGTCTTCAGTGGCAAGATGTGCGACCTGCAGTCGACGGCCGACATGGCAGATGGACCGGATCTGATCCTCCGGGCGCCGTGCATGTGCGGGCTCTCGAGCCACAGCGGCACGTCCAAGACGGGCAGTCCGGACAGCCACCACCAGCAGCAGCAGCACACGCCGTCATCGGGCGGCACACCGGAGACGATCGACAGCATGGGCAGTTCCAGCTGCACGCGTCACGGCTACGATGCCCGCAAGAATGCGCCGTACACGAGCCACTTCTCGGCCAAGATCTGCCTGCGGTCGGCGCTCAACATTGCCAACGACTACGACAACATGCCGTACCCGAACCCGTCGGGCCAGTTTGGGCAGGACCTGTGCTTCCTGTCGCCGACGTCGCCGATTGTGGCCCCGCGCATGCTGCCGTCGTATGTCTGCTGCGCGATGCAGGGCGCCTACGTGTTCCTGTCCATCTACCGCAAGACCAGCACGATCGTGCCGGGCACGGCCAGCAGCGGCTACCTGGTCAGCATGCTGCTGCAGCTGCAGCAAGGCTTGATGTCGATCCTGGCGGCCATTGAGAACTACGCGACCGCCTTTGAGGCAATCCGGGCGATGCGAGGTGAGCGAGCGGGAAGAGAGATTGGTCCGATCCAGACACAAGACTGACGCTGACATGTCCTCTGCAGACCAGGTTCGAAAGTCGGCCGAGTCTCTGATCATGCTGAAGCCATGAGTGGGGATGGCAAGCAGACGGGAGAACAGGGGCGTTGGGGGCGTTTTGCGGCGGGAGGAGACGAGGGCGAATAGAAAAAGAGAAAGACAGCTGCAGCTCGATAGGTCCAGAACATGCAAGCCTGTCAACAACGGCGAGTTGGCCGGGCAGCCCAATCAAGGGTAGCCCCGGAAAATACAGCCAATAGAGCTTATGTAGTAGCAAGCCTGTCCGAAAGAGGCAACGCCAACACGGCCGTCATGAGCTGTCGGGGTAGTGATTCGCCCGGCGCCATTGTGCGTGTCTGAATGGCCGGCGTGGGATGATCGGGCATTTCGAGGTCGATCGGAGCGAAAAGGGGGGCCAAGTCGAGTGGGAATCCTCCGACTGGCAGCGTTTTGCATGATCGACTTTGCCACCTATTCTACTGCACTACTTGCTAACAACACTACACACGCAACACACGATAACCTTGCATTTGCATCGAAGATCGGCTCTCTTTTGTTCTTTTGTTCTTTTCGTTCTTTTCGTTCTTTTCGCGAGCAACACAAAACATAAAAGCACAAAAACATAACACATAAACACACAAAATACAAAAACAGCAAACATGTCTCTCCTCACCGGCCCGTCCGCACTGCTGACGACGACATCGTCGCGTCCCGAGGCCTCTGTGGCAGTCGTGGCTGCAGCTGTGACGGCCATTGCAACGCTTGCCATCCACCGGCCAGGTGCTGCCGTGCTGCGCCGCACCATGCTGCAGCCGTGGCTGCTGGTCGGTGGCCTGGGCGGCTGTCTGGCTCAGGCGGCCTGGCTGGTCTGGGCATCCGATACGGCCCGCCGGCTGCGTCGCAAGGTGCTGTTCGAGTTTGCCGCCACCGTGTTGGGGCCAGGCGGAAACGGCCTGATCCTGCTGATCCTCTGGCCGGGCTGGCTGGTGCTGGCCATGGGATTCTTTGCCGCGACGCTGTGTGCCGGCTGGTGGACGCGGTAGCATTGTCGGTGGCATCCCGATGTCGTCATGCAACGTCATCGAATCGGCGTCCACACCATCGCTCACTTGCTCGCAAAGAAATAGGCGTTTCCACCCTGGTCGCGACGGACCTGCTGGGTGTAGTCCTGCTCCGGGTCAAAGTCCTGCCATACGTTGGCAGGATAGATGTGCTTGTTGCGCTCGTACCAGCGGCGGTCGACTACCTTGGTCAGGCTAGGGTCGTCGGACGCCCCCTCGAGCATGCTGTGGTCCTCCTCGACGTCGCCGGTGGGAGGGGTAGACGTGGCAGGCACGGCAGCCTCTGGGGCCTCGGCGCTGTAGTCGAAGACGCGGACGCCGCCGGGGCCGATGGTCTTGTTGATGATGAAGAAGTAAAAGTCATAGTGCTGGGTGGTCAGCAGGGTAATGGACGAAGTAGATGAGACATGAGATATGACATGACTAGAACGAACACAGAAGGAAAGAGAAAAACAAGAGCAGAAACAAAAACAGAAACAGCGGCAGAACCAAAGCCAAAACACAACGAACACTCACATGAGGCAATATCAGATTCCCGCGCACCAGCATCAGGTCGTCGACCCCGATGCGAGCCCAGTGCAGCCGTGCTTTGCTAGACTTCTTCTCGCCGACGCCCAGCCGCGCGCCCACCTTACGGCTGCGGTCCAGGAAGAGCCAGACAAAGTCGCCCTTCTTGACCCGCACCACGCCGCCGGGAATGTCGGCACCCTCGTAAAAGACAAACGGAATGGCTACCTCGGTCGCCTTGACGGCGGTCTGCAGCAGCAGAAACTCCTTGCGCAGCGCCTCGCGCTCAGCCGCCTGTCGCCGCAGCGCCTGCTTGGTGAAGGACTTGGGCAGGGGGAGTGCTGGTGTTGGTGTTGTCTGTGTTGTCTTTGTCGTCAAAGCTGTTGTTTCTGTCGATTCTGTCTTCGTCTTCGTCTTCGTCAAAGAATCGCCCTCCTCTCCTTCTTCGTCCCCCTCCTCGTCCCCCAGAAACGATAGCTTCGTCACGCCACCGCTCCTGCCCTTCTTCCCGTCCCGCTTCGTTCTGGACTTCTTCGTCTTGGGCCTGTCTCCATCGCCGTCGCTTCCTGCTGCTGAGGCTCCTGATGTCGCTCCGTTGCCGTCGCCACTGCCGCTACCACCGCCTGCACTGCCGCTCGCTGCCCCTGCTCCTGCCGTCACACCCTCGCCCCCCGATGACGCGCCCCCGCGTGCCGCTTCGCGTGCTTCGCGCTCCTGCTGCTCAATCACCTCGGCCCGCCGCTTGCGGAAGTCTGACAGCGCCACCAGACCGACTGTGTTCGTCGACAGCCGGTCGCTCGTCGTCTGGTTCGGCGCCGTAAACCGCGACCCTGAAAGACCAGACATGTTCGCTCTTCCTGGTGGCGCGCGCTGGAATGGCCTTGGATCAACCTGGACGGTGAAGTCGTGCTGAGCCGGAGGTGGGAAAAACAAGAGAAAAAGAAGGAGAGCCAGAAGAAGAAGAGCTAAAAAGAAAGAGCTGTACGTTTAATTCAGTTGAGGCAAGCGCGATGGCCCACCGTGATTATATTTATATTACACTGTGTATACACTGTGTTCACGTCTGCTATCCGACAAGATGCTCTACATCAAAGCCTCCTTTTGTTCTCTTCCTATTCGCGGCTAAGTGAACCCGAACTCCAGAAAATAGAGACACTGCTACCATCCTTGCCGCCGAGAAAAGCTCCTCACTGCTTCCCAGACACATCCTCCATGCGGTCGTCGTCCCCTGTCGGATCCGTCTCCTTGAGCTTCCTCCTCAGAAAGCCGCAGAAGCTCTGGAACAGGACGTCGCTGTGTCCCTCGATCCAGCGGCAGCGCACGACCGTCTCGGCCACGCCGACCTGCACCGAGAGAACGAAGCCAAAGGCACACTCCCCCGGCGCAGGCACATTGTCCACATGGTCATCTGTCTGTCCGTTGCCCTTTGCTTCGGCTTCCTGCTCTGCTCGCTGCTTCCGGCGACGCCATGCCCGCGCCCAGACATTCTCGCGCGCCCGACCGACACCGCGCAGAAGCTGGCGGTCCCATGTCCAGGCGGACAGTTCGAGCTCGTGCATCTGGGCGTCCAGGGCGTTGGCGAGCCGGGCGATGGCGGCCGGCCGTGACGAAGACGAAGACGACGAAGCCCCCACGCTCCAGACGTCGGCCTCTGGGCTGGGGGGCAGCAGGTGGCGAAACGCATCGATGCCGCCGCCGTGATCGGCCCCCCGTGCTGCCTCGGCCGACGGCCGCATGCCACCAAAGCTCCAGCCGATAGCCCAGCGACGGGTCTTGCTTTTGCTGCTTTTGCTGCTTTTGCTGCTCTTGCTGCTGCTTCCCGGCACAAAGGCCGTAACGGCGTAGTTGTCGATGCCACGAGCCCGCAGCTGCTCGACTACGGCCACCAGGCTCGACAGCTTGCCCAGCATCGCCGTGTACCAGCAGCCGGTGACGTCGCGGCCGGCGGCGTGTCTCTCGACCGATTCGGCCAGCAGCCGGCCCACAAACGCGACTTCGCCACCCGGCGTGACCATCTCGTTGGCTGCACCCGTACAGACGGCATGCGGTGGCCGTTCTTTGGCTCGGGCAGACGCCGTCATCTCGGCAGCGGACTCGTAGAACGGCGGGTTCGTCATCGTGAACGACAGCGGCCGTGACCCCGTCTCGTCGGGGATCAGCCGGTCGTCCGGCGTGCGCACCGGCAGCACCCGGATCCGGTCCTCCAGTTGGTTGCGTCTCACGTTCGCTCGCGCACAGCCAAGGCTGTCCTCGTCAATGTCCGTCGCCACAAAGCACCAATCCGGCCGCTGCACGCAGCCCAGCAACGGATAGATGCAGCTGGCCCCGGTGCCAATGTCCAGCCCGATTAACGGCTCAGTAGCACGTCCACTACTGCTGCTGTCCAGAAGCATCTTGAGCCACAATATGTAAGTATGGCGACTGGGCACCGGTGGACACAGTCGGTCGTCGGGAAGGTCGACGGCGAGGCCAAAGTCGCGCCGCAGCAGCGCCGTCGTCAGCTGCTTCACCGCCTGCGCATCCTGAAAGTCAATCTGGCCGTGATTGTCGAGTCTGTCTCTGCACGTCAGTGGGTGACGAAGAAAGAGTACCAAAACAGGGCGGACCTACACTGCGGCCAGCGCTGCATCAGAACGACCCAGCTCACGGAAATCGATGCGGTCCTTGTAGAGATTGCGATAGTAAGCCTCGCCCTTGTCGGAGCCGCCGTGCGGCCAATCATACAAGATCATGGCGTTGCGTCCTAGGTTTTAGCAGTTGACCTTCAATTCGCGTCTGCCACGGCTGACTGAAGTTAGGTAAGCAAAATGCACGTGGTTGACCAATCACAATTCACCATGCACAGCTCCATTCCCAAGATGCTCCAAAATGTTATGCAAGAAAGACAGGCCATCTCAATTCTCCCCCAACAGGTCCAGTCGGCCCTGCTCGCGCAGAACATCGTGCACAGCCCCCAGGACCGTTCCGTGAACGTCTGCCGCCGCCGCCACAAAGCCAAAGTTGGCCGTCATGATCCGGCCAGCCAGCAAGTCCAGTGGCTTTCCGTCCACATCTGTGATTGTTCCGCCGACCTCCTCGAACAGCAACATTGCACCCGCGTGGTCCCAGATCTTGGCGTGCCGCCCGCGCTTGTAGTACACCCACACCGTCATGTTGGCCAGCCCCATCGCCAGCGACGCCCACCGTGGCACCCAGCCGACAAGATCACCGCCTGGAAACGGCACGCCCAGCTTGGCTGCCACTGCTCGGTGCACTTCGTCCAGCGCGGAGCTCTGCAGAAAGAAGCTCGTCACAGGACGCAGTGCCCGCAGCTCTGCTGCGCCTTTAGCGGCTGCATGGAGCTCCAGCTTCCTCGGCACCACCTTTGCCGGCCTGTTACTCCCGCCACCCTCTAGCAGAGGCTGCACAAACGTGCCGTGCGATCGGACCGCAAAGAGCAGACATCCACGGCCCGTCGGATCGACAGAGCTGTTGTCGATCGGCCTGTCCGTGTCCTTCCGCTCAATGTCCGCGTCGGGTGAGAGCAGCGGGCAGCCAACAACAGCAACTGTCTGCTTTCCGTCCACCAGCAGTGCCACGTTGATTGCGTACTGTTCCCGCCGCAGAAACGTCTTCGTCCCGTCAATCGGATCAAACACCCACACTCGACCTGGTCCTGGTGCCGTCTGACATCGGTCGATCATGTCGCACATATCCTCCTTCGATGCCGGTATCGTACAGAAGCCGTCTTCGTCCTGGTCGCCCGCAGATTGCACCAGCCCCCAGACTCGCTCACAGAGTGCCGCGTTCTCTCGCAGCGCCGAGGCCGCCTCCTCGCCCACAAACCCGTCCTCCGGAAATGCATGGTGCAGCGAGGCCGTCAGCAGCGCCTGGATCGCAAAGTCGCCTACCGTCACAGGCCCCAGGTTGTCGTCCTTTTCGATCGCGCCCTTGTCTTGGTCCGGAAGCACCTCTTGGCTGATGCGGGCCGCCTGCTTCACCACTCCGATCGCCACCTCGAGCTCTTTCCGATACTCGCTGTCCATTGCGTCCGTGCAGCTTGGTCAAAATTGCAGCCCGGCAAATGTCGCATTAGCTGCTTCCCAGATATGACACAAAAACCTCCAATCCCCATGCGCTAAATCTGCGGTGGGGAATCTTATGCTGCATAAAATATACTACTCCGTACTCGTACACTCAAACGGCTATATTACTCAGCCACCTCTGCCGTGCTCATCAGCTTCCCGTCGCACTTGTTCGTTACAGCTCCAGACTTGCGGCCAAGGCGGTGGAAACCCGTAGCTATTGTACAGCGGATCCTGAAAAAAGAACACGTTTCCCAAAATCGGCTTCAGCGGCGGCATAGCTGCAGATGATATCGCAAAGGCCTCTGCTTCCGCTTCGCCTTGCAACTTGCCACCCGTCGGATTAGCTGTCGGAAGGCTGGCTGGCCCTCGACCTGGCGGCTTCGCGAGCTGTGCCCAGAGCTTCTCGGCAACCTTATCGGTCTCCGTCCAAGCCGGCTGCTGCTGCTGCTGCTGCTCACTTTCGACCGTCGCTGTCCCAGGCAACGCACCCATTGACTTAGCCCGCCTTCTAGTCGCTTTCTTTTCTTGCTCGGGATCTGAAGGTCGACCTCGCCGACCCGTTTTTCGAAGGGCTTCTGTTTCCTGCGCCTCAAGGAGCTTCTTAGACTGCCTTCGTCGAGGGTTGGCCTTCACAGCAGAGAGAATCGAGTAGTCTTCCACTTTTAGCTTCACCACTTTCGAGCTTGTAGTCCGGGTGCTTGTCGTCTTGGCTGGCGGGGCGGTGTGGACTTCGGCGCTGACTGCATCAGGAGACGCCTTGCTTGCCGCAACTGGCAAAGGTCCGCTTCGCTGGGGCGCTTCTTGGCCTTCTTCCGCCTGCAGCTGTCCTACACGTCCCACTTTGCCCATGCTATTGCCTGCTTGGCTTTCCAGTATGATTTGCAGCTCGCCCCCCATCAGTCCAACTGGAGCAGAGTGTCGCGGCTTTCTCCGGCCAGACCCTGCACGAGCCTTCTTCACCTTCGGTAGGTCTCCATCTGGCCGGCCCGAGATACGTGCAAACTCGTTCATGATCTTCCAAACCACAAAGGCCCCGTTCGCAGTGTCGTCCCCGACGGACAGCGGCCGCTCTGCATCCGGATTGGGCAGCCGGTCAGCCGTATTCGCATCATCTGATTCATCCTTGTTGGCTGCCCTCTTCTCCGTCTTTGCCAGCATCTTTCCCGATTCGTCTTCCTTCCCATTTGGCTCCATAACCGCCTTCTCGTCGTCGGTCTCCTTCGGTGTTTTATCCTGTTCCTGTGGCTGGCTTTCGTCTTTGCTGCGGCGATTGCTAGAGCTCTTGCGTTTCTTTTTCGCGTCCTCTGCAGCGGACCCCGGCGGTAGCCAAAGTGCCGGTTTCCTCTCTTTCAGGTCGTGTACCCATGCGTCACAGTCCCACTGTATCCAGTAGTCGATCACGTCGGACCAGACGCTCTCAGAGGGCTTCGTTAGGTTCACAAACACAACCTTGCCTGCCCTGCTGTGGACTGCTTTGGAGAACTCGCGTATGAGAACCTTGAGCCCGTGTACCTTCAGGCTTGTGCCCAGGATGAGCATAATATCAGGAGCTAGAGAAATATCATGCTGGACGATTGGCGAAATTAGGTGCGCATTCGGGTGCTCTTCGCCGTAGAGAACAATGTCTGGGCGCAGCTTTCCTACAGCCAGAGCGCGCTTTCCACGCCCTTCACGCGCAGCTGTGGCACCTTCGCATCGCGGGCAGCTAGGCTGCCGTCCCGACAACGTCTCATTCTCTCGGCCATTTTCGTCCCATGGAGTGGTGTGGCCACATCGAAAGCATCGAAGCATACGAAGCGATCCGTGAAGAAATACGCACTCGACGCCACGATTACGGGGGTCTTGGTTTGCGGTGGCCTTTCCAGGCGCCTGTAGGGTATCGCCTTGGCCCTGGACCTGGATCTGAACCGGAGCCTGAGCCTGACTCTGCCCCTGTGTTTGGCTTCCGGCTTCATGCTCCTGGGGGGTAGAGGTGCCAGTACCAGTAGAGGCCCGGGACGCTGTCCGTGTCGAAAACCGGCCCTTCTTGCCTGGTCCCAACACCAAGCTTGTCGTCAAGCCCACCTTTTCTTCGATCTCATCGATGTTTTGTGTGTAACACCGGACAAGCTTTCCGGTGTCGCGTAGATTCGAGATGAACTGGTGACTAGGGGTTGGTATGACGCTCTTGACCTTCTGCCGGAGAGTCGTGGCAAATGTATAAAAGACTGATGTTTTCAAAGGATCGGCCCAGATAGACGCATCGAACAGTTCGCGCCCCTTCATGTTTGGCAAACCGCTGCGACTAGAATACGATGACTGTGTAGAGAGGGAGGGATGTGACGGACTGGTGGCCTCGTCCGTTTCCGAGTCAGAGTCGGAAGAAGTGGACACCCCGGAGCCAAAAGTTTCATCCTCTGGGTCGAAAAGGATAGGTGGCGGTGACGATAGCGGTGATGAGGTCGGGAGGTGTGACGATACATCTTCGAACTTGCAAGCCGGTTCTCCTATGCACTCTATTGACTCTCTCACAATAGACTCGTTTGGAAGAGGGCACGCCGGCGTGCTTAGAGTATCTGCAGGTCGGTGAGTTCGATTCGGTAGTCGTACCACGATCGACTGGTCGCCATCAGATGTGTCGGGCGCACAATATATTGTCCCAACGTCCGAGTACTGAGAAGCAGGTACTGCTACGTGAATTGTCGAACCAGCTTCCACCACGGTGTCGGAAAGACTTGTTTCTTTCTTATTGGAGCCACGACGGCTGGTACCATGGGGCAGCTCTTCTTGTGTACCCTCGTCCTTTACCCGGAGTTTTCGCCGTTTGGTAGGTGGCTCCTGGCTGGCGGGTATATCACTTTCCGACTCAACTTCTGTGGAGTCGGCACATGCAGCCGCTTCAAATTTGGCTTGGATGAGAGAATAGAGGCCATTTTTAGATCGGAAATCCTGTATGCGTTTGTCAGCTTGCGAGCAGGTATACAGGACAGCCAGGCCTGGAGGTACTCACGGGGATACCAGAGTTGGTACTGATGCCAGCACCGGTCACCACAAGGACCTTCTTTGCCTTCCCCAAGCAGTCGGCTATATCCTGCAGCAACTGCTCGGACTCCGGCAAAACATGCGACGTCGGCATGCTGGCCGCACGCGAAATATATCGGTCCGGAGACAGGTATATCTTGTCGCCGTCCGTATCTCTTAGGGAGTTGTATGTAGCAGCTTCTTGGAGCTCGAAATATGGCGGTCAGGTCCGGCTGTTCGAGATAGGGCTTCAAGATGCAGTACTCCTAGCAGGACGAGCATCTGGCTTCGGTCTTGCTCAGTTCATTCAAGCATTGCGAGTTCGAGGTACGCTGTCTATTGCTGAAAAGTCACCGAAACGCCAAAAAATATACCACATAAAGATGCCATTCAAGAAGAGCGGTAGGAACAAGTTGTGTGGAGGCCAAGACTACCGACGCGCCTGAGCTCCAGCAGGGTGTGCAGCTAGCAGCAGGATCGACTCCCACAATTGACGGCACGGTTTGCAACAAGTCCGGGTATGGTTTCGACTTGTCCTAGCCGTCATTCCGGTCCTAAAAGAGTGGCTGGAAAGAGCAAAAGCACTCAGAAACGCGTCGGGCAAGATGTTCGCGGCAGTGGTCTGCCAATCCCCAAACAGTGGCCCGATGGCACAGTGTGGCCGTCGGTAATACCGCGTCGCGGGCAGGCGTTCTGTCTTGTCGACAAAAGGTCGTCAAGTCGCGAAAATCCAGACAAGGCAAATGCAAAATGCAAAGAGAAAAGCGAAAATCGAAGCCCCCAGGACAGTTAAGAGAAGTCGTGAAGTCCTTCTACGTCGGGTTTGTGTACGGCCCAAGTCGCGCTTTCCCTTCAAAGATGGGAGCATACGAGGCCATGGTGCGGTCCCACCTGCCGTTTTGGCCAATGAGAGAGCGGTCCACGGCCGAGCAACTCGCTCGTTTATCGAGGAAACATCAGCCTGCCCACGAGAATGCTCACTTCTTTCTCCCAGTCACTTGTTTCTTGCTTAATATGCATATTTATCTGTCTTTCTTTCTTCTATTCACGACAACAGCTCGACGCTATTTATGTACAGCTCGCTTAGCACCAATGGCTGCCCTTGTAAGGCAACTGTGGTCTTCCCTGCAGTCTTCATATAAGAAGGAGACCTACCGATGGTTCTATTTCTTAATCGCTGCTCATTTGCTTCGTCGGATTTTGGTATGCCAGGCTACACTGGAAATCGTAGGCGTGAACGCTTTCGCTGAAGAACAACTGAAATCCGACCAATCAGGTGTTAAGAATACATTGCACGAAATCGACAAGCCTTATTATATCTCTCCACACTCTCATCTTCCCCTTACTTTTATTCTAGTTAGGACTGTCAATCAAGTTGTACGTGCGGAGTAATGTTAGAGTTAACTTTTCTGTTCACCGGTATTCCACTCTTCGGGAAGATACCTAATGGCGATTGTCGGGGCAAGTTGAGACGAACACCCCCTTTTCTACATTTTCGTGGACCGGCCTAAATACTTCGTATTCAAGATGTACGACGTATCGCTTAAAGCTTCGGGATGCGCAAAGTGTCCGCTTTGCTCGACATATATCTGCATGGGTCCTGCTCGTTTCTGTTTCTTAGTTTCCAATTGCACATCGTACACGCACATTCGTTTCGCTTCGTTTACTCCGTACACAGTATATTTTTGTGAGGACCGGTTCCCACCTCTTTTTTCCAAGTCAACTCATCATGCTCGCACGTCATTCTCTCGTTCTTCTTGCGTCGGCGACGACAGCCGTGCTCGCGAAAACTTGCGCATTGCAGTTCGACGGCCGTGTGCCATCGACATTCAATCTCACCACTTTCGACACTGCGAATGGTGTATTTAATCCGAACAATGTCTTTGGCAAAAGTACGTTGTCCCCGCGCGGAAAGAGAGGAGAGAGGTAGACCGTCGCTCACAGCCGCCGTCTCGGCCGAACAGATTTGACGCTCAGCCAGCTCCTTCGGCTGCCGGCTCAGAAGGGCTCTATAGTAGGTAGTCTCCAGCTGATCTGCCACCCTCCGCTGTCCGGTCTGACCTGTCCCAGTTCGACGAGAATACTGTCCCTTTCGAGGTCACCATCAGGTACAGTCCGATCCTGTAGCCCTGGTAGCCTGCTGTCATTGTTGACTCTTCTCTTCTTTCCTCGGCAACAGTGACGAGTCCATTTTTGCCCCCAGCGCCAGCAACGTCCAAACAGGCTTTCGCCGCGCCGAGATGCTCCCGGCAAGCAACTCGGGCACCGATCCGTCGACAACGGGCATCAAGACACTGCATTTCAGTCTCATGAAGGACTCGGAGCGGCCACTCAACCTGTCTCACGAATACCAGCTCGTCTTTTTGGAGAGCAGCGACTTCAGCACGAACCAGCTGGTGCTGAAAACCGGCACTCTCATCGGCCAAGAGACAGCCAACCCTGACACTTTACAGCTGCTAGGCAACGTCAACGTAAATCCGCCTCAGGTGCTCTTTAGCACTCCATTTCTGCCGGACGTGTTTCACAACTTCGCTGTGACGATGGACTTCAATAATCTGTAAGCCTTCTGAAAATCTCCTAACAGTTCCCCAGAACGAGCACCTTTCTGACATCCACAGTACCACACAAGTATTCTTCTCCACCGGCAACTCGTCCCTCAAGGCCGTCACCCAGGCCCTCTCCAACGACATCAGCGGCCAAGGCGAGTTCCACTTTGGCATGCTCAAGAAACCCATCGACGGCGGCAGTGATATCGTGCACAATGGAACCCAGGAGTCTGACATTGATGAGGGAATCATTTATGGTGGAATCTTCGAAGAGGACAGCTCCACGGGCTGCGTGAGCCTGTCGCCGTAGAAGACGAGGCGTGCATATTCATAGGAGTAGCAGAGGACAAACAAGCGGAAAGAGTTAAGCATACTAGCTAAGCTTCTCTACATAATTGGTACAATAAGGGGCTGAGCCTTCCAATCTACCTTGTTCAAGCACTATGCATTGACCAGAGCGTCCATCAGCAACGACAAGTCGTGAGGTACGCCGAGTCCGGTTACCGCATCCCAGCCAGGCGCAGCAGGCCAGCCGGACACGCTTTCTATCCGATTGAAAGGGCATCCGAAGCTGATGCCGTCGACTATGTCTTGATACACGGTCTGTAAGCCGTGAGAGTAGAGTTTTCCATTCAGCCAGCCTAGTGGCGGCCGGCCAGCCCGCAGCCGTACATCGTTGACCATGGCAATCATAGACGCGACCACAGGTGTGCTCGCGCTGGTGCCCGAAATGGGGATCGTAAAGTCTTCCCATACAATGGGGAAATCAGACCCTACTGCGGCAATGTCTGGAATGGCACGACCACTGGCATTGTACAGGCCCTCTTTGTCGCTGATGCTGTTGCTGCCTTGTAGTACCGTAGAGATGTACTTGCTGGCCATTCCGTTTTGCCAGCGTGGGCGTGGAAAGTAGTTGCTGAAGCCACCAGCGCTGAAGCCCGACGCCTGAGTCGGCGGATTATTGTTAGTGGAACCCACGGCGGTGACCCAAGGACACGATGCCGGAAAGGTTGGCAACAGCGTGCGCTCGCCGGACCCGTCGTTGCGCAAGCAGAACTCTTGTCCGATGCCGCGACTGCCCCCATCTCCGGAGGCTACGAGAACTGTTGTCCCTCGTGAGGCCAGCTGCAGAAATAGGCGGCAAACCCAAGTTGCATATGGCCGCGGCACAGATTGCTCGTCGTCGCTGTATGAGACGGAGAGGACGTGCGGCACGAGGTGGTCTGGAAGACCCACCAAATAGGTCAAAAGGCTCATGTACGGCTCGTTGTCAGTGGCTTCTGGCGGTAAGAGCTGCCCTTTCGGCCCAACTTTTCTTGCTATCCCCCCGGTGCTGTAGTAGGTGATCTGGGCCGGGAACGCCAGTGCCATGGCGTACTGCACGTCCAGCGAGGCTTCAGTGCCGGCGAGACTTAGCCCGCTCTGTGGGTTTTTGCCCCCGTTGATGAGCTCGACGTTAAAACTGTACTCCGGAGCAGAGCTTGCGATTTCAGGCGCAAACAAGCGCAGAAACGCTTTGACGTCGTTATATCGGATGTACTGCCCAAGAAAGCCGGCAATTCCCAGACGCACCGGGGAGGGCGTCTGATGTGACGAGATATTCAGGGGCCAGTTGTATAGCTTCCTGATGCAGGTAGGGCTGCTGAGGCCAGAATCACAAGTCTCGTTGGTGAAGCTATTTGCAGAGTATTTAAATCCTCGAATCTGAGCCTGGTCTGTCGAGAGGGGGGTCGGCCGGGGAGGCATGAAGTGGGCCAAGGGGAACACAAAGTCAATGTAATCGGCGAGAGATGCTGGAACGGTGTATCTGGGAGCCCGCAGAACGGGAGACGCGTTTCCGTGGGAGTAGAGCGCCACATCTGCCTCGAACAGACGTCTTGCACTGGCGACCGTCGTGTTGAGTCGTATCCAGGGCCCATCGATCTGTGCATCATGAATCTGGTTATCTGCGAGCCAGTCCATCACGGCATGTACAGCACTGTCGGGTGGTGTCTGATATGCGAGCAGCTGCGACTGCGAGAGAAAGCTAGCAGGTGCTGTGCTTTGCGACCGGGTCGGCTGACCGAGCATAAAGGCCTCCAAGTCGTCCAGACCTGGCTGGGCCAATGCAATGGAGAGGCTGAGAGACTCATTGCCGTTGGCCTTTGATTTAAGATGCCATCCAAACGGGACTTGAGGTGTGTCTTCGACAACGACAGACGGCTGTGCAAGGGTGAGGGGCAGAAGCGCTGCGGCCACAAGTGCAGAATAATAGGGGATACTATACATATTGAGGACTGGGATGTCGGACGGATGTCAGGATGCAGAGAAGATGAATCGCATTCGAGGAGAATCAAGTGCTACATATAAAGAAGCCATGGTTGAACGGGAGCCTGATTGCGTGCATCGTCTTCGAGGAAGGGACGACTCCCAGAAGGAAGGAACGAGGAGAAGTCGAGCCATTGGATAGCGAGACAAAATCTATCTAATGCATTGATGAGCCTCAAAGTCGACAGACATTGCAGCCTGGCCTGCAGCGATGAAGCAGGACATCAGCGATCCATCCATCCGGCAAAAGCTTCGTGATGCTTCTTCGACTTACAGTGCGTGCCCCGCAACCTGCAGGGGACTCGGTTCTGCCCCGATCCACCGCCTTCTCACAATGACGGCACCATCGACCCGTCGCCCTTCGCCCTTTTGGGCCAGGCGAACTAGAGCTGTTCGCGTCGAGCTCGGCATGCGCTGTTCCCCGTTCTCCTCCGAGGATACCGTCTGAAGCAGTGGGCGCTAGGCCAGACGCGGGATGGCGTGCGGTGCCGTCTTTTCGTTTTCTCCAATTTTGTAGGATTTCTTTTAAATGGAGAGGACCCACTTTGCAGTACGAAACAGCTTGCAAATACTCCGTAATATAGCGCAAAACTTCCGTCTTGCCGTGCACACAACCAGAATAATATCTTCTCTCTTCCACCTCCTCCTCCTCTTTTCGCCCTATTCTCAATCCATCGTCGGCTGCCCAGTCCATCCTCGCTCGCACACAGCAACGTTCTTCACCATGTTCTCCGTGTCCCGCATCCAGCGCCGGGCCTTTTCGGCCACTGCCCGAGACGTAAGGAAACCGTCCGAACGGATCGCCGTCGGCCCAGCGGCGATCTGCGTGGTGCTCTGTTGCTAACTATCGCGCCAGCTGTCCAAGGTCACCGTCCTCGGTGCTGCCGGTGGCATTGGCCAGCCGCTGTCTCTGCTGCTGAAGCTCAACCCGCGCGTGACGGAGCTTGCTCTGTACGACATCCGCGGTGCTCCCGGTACGTTTCCTTCTCTGTGGAAGGCGTCTCGGCGTCATGGCAGCCGGCTGACCGGACAGGTGTCGCTGCGGACATTGCACACGTCAACACCAAGTCGACGGCCAAGGGCTTTGCGCCGACCGACGAGGCCGGCCTGGCTTCGGCCCTCAAGGACGCCGAGGTGGTGCTCATCCCGGCCGGCGTGCCTCGGAAGCCGGGCATGTCGCGGGACGACCTGTTCAACACCAACGCCAGCATCGTGCGCGACCTGGCCAAGGCTGTGGCCGAGTCGGCCCCCAAGGCCAAGGTGCTCGTCATCTCGAACCCAGTCAACAGCACGGTGCCCATCGTGGCTGAGGTGTTCAAGGCCCGCGGCGTCTACGACCCGAAGCGCCTCTTTGGCGTGACCACGCTCGACGTCGTCCGTGCCAGCCGCTTCGTCAGCGAGATCGCCAGCTCCGACCCCAAGGATGAGAAGATCGTCGTCGTCGGCGGCCACAGCGGCCACACCATCGTGCCGCTCTTCAGCCAGAGCAGCCACCCGGAGCTGTCCGACAACGCCGACCTCGTCCACCGCGTCCAGTTCGGCGGCGATGAGGTCGTCAAGGCCAAGGATGGTGCCGGCTCTGCCACCCTGTCCATGGCCTTTGCCGGCGCCCGCTTCGCCGACTCCGTCCTGCGCGCCGCCCAGGGCGAGAAGGGCGTCGTCGAGCCCACCTTTGTCGACAGCCCGCTCTACAAGGACCAGGGCATCGAATTCTTCTCTTCCCAGGTCGAGCTTGGCCCCGACGGTGTCTCCAAGATCCTGCCTCTCGGCAAGGTCGACGCCAACGAGGAGAAGCTTCTGGCCGTCGCCTTTGAGGACCTCAAGAAGAACATTGCCAAGGGCGTCACCTTTGCTGCCTCCAGCCCCGGCAACTAAGCGAGACTCTGTGCAGTGGCAAGGCAGCTAGCTATACACGGGGTGTAACGAACAGTAAAAAATAAATACATAATGAAAGAACACTACTAATCACGTGACTGGTGGACCCGATCGTTTTGACTGGCTGCATTGACTGCTATGGCTGAGCTCTACGGAGTATCCTGTCGTTCTCTACCCGGGACCCTCTATCCATTCCAATTACCTAACCCCAGCCTCAGCTCCAGTCTCGCTTGCTCTATCGCCCTTGACGTGCCGCCTGTAGCCGCTGCCGGCGCTCCAGCAGCTGCTGCTCAAAGACAGCCACCTTGTCTAGCCGCTGCTTGTCCTCCTCTTCGGCCTTTCTCAGCTGCTCGGCCTTCTTGCGCACGCGCTCGCGCTCCAGCTGGTCCGGCCGGCGCTCGGCAATGTCACGCGCCCGCAGGTCCGAGAAGAGGAACTTGAGGATCACCTCGATCACATAGCAGGCCGCATAGTCGATGGCCATGACCGCGGTCATGGTGGTCTTGAACTCGCTCGAGAAGGGCACCAGCTTCATCATCTCGTTCAGCTCTGGGACGAACTCGGTGCTGCAGGCAAACGCGATCCCTGTCACGCCCACGATGCCGTAGTACATGCCCTTGTTCTCCGACAGCGACTCGCGGAACGGCCGGCCCTGGTAGTTGACCGCAAACGTCGAGATCTGCTGAATCAGCTGCAGCAGGTACACGGCGCTGTTGAGCAGCGAGGGCGTGAAGTCGGCCTCAAGATCGATATCGTCACCGCGACTGGACTGTTAGCGGGTGGAGGAATGACTAAAAAAGACAGTGGAACTCACGGTGCTATCTTGTCGCAGAACCGCGCAATGTAGATGAGCGTCGTCACGTGAACGGCAAACTGCCCGAGAATCGACCCGATAATGTAAAAGTTGAAAATGTTCGGCTGCGGCCGTTCCTTGGACAGACCCTCGACCGAGCGGGCGCGCGAGATGGACAGGAAGCACACGCTCATGAGCATGCCGCTGATGGTGTACTGGCCGTCGCCAAACTTGATGCCCTCCAGGTAGAGGACGCTGAGACTGTAGGCCGAGATCAGGCAGTTGAGCGCCAGGATCTTGTACATCTGGATCGTGGCCACGAGCGTGCAGCGACCCTGGCGGATGATGTTGGGGATGGCGATCACGTTGCGCAGCTTGCTCGTAAACGGCGCCGCCACCGACGCGTCGCCCAGCTTCAGCGTCGGCGGCTCGTCCTCGTTCATCTCGCTGTCCATCATGCTCGCCGTCAGCTGGTCCGCCAGCCCGGCTGCCTTCTGCTGCATCTGGTTTCGTGGCGCGTTGTGACCCTGGTTGAGCAGCTGCTGCGCGGCCGGCGACGTGATCGTCTCCACATCGCCGCCGCTGGGCACAAACGCTTTGGTGTACTCTTCGGGCGTCATGTTCTTGCGCGCGGCCTCTCGCTCGACCGCCTTGGCCAGGTGTGGGTTGCTCGGCCCTGCCGGGTACAGATGTGCAATCACCACCGGCACCGGCGGCGCCGCCTGGTTCCAGCGCTTCATCAGGTCCACCTGCTTCTGGTACAGTTCCTTCATCTTGGTGTTGCGCGCGTGCTCGGCAATGCGCGTGAGGTCGTCGGGCGTGCCGTTGAGCAGTGCCACGCCAATGTGCGCCTGCTTGAGCGCGCCCACGTCGTTGGTCCCGTCGCCTGCCATCAGCGTGTAGTAGCCCATGTCCTTGAGTCCGAGGAGGATGTCTTCCTTCTGCTTGGGCGACACTCGCGCATACACCCACGTGTACCGCAGGACGTCGAGCCAGGCCGGTTGGTCCTTGAGCTGCGACAGCGCGTAGCCCGTCACGCAGAGGTCTTTGGTCCGGAGAATGTCTGGGTCCAGCCGCTTGGTCGGGTCCACCGAGATGCGCACCTTGTCGTCGACGCTGTGCCAGACCAGGTCCTTGCCGCCGTCGCTGTGGTCGGGAACGTCCAGAATCAGCACCTCACGGTCGACGATCTCGACCTCGCGCGCCACGTGCACGGCCGTCAGCGGGTTGTCGCCCGTGATCATCACCACCCGGTGGCTGCTCTCATTGAGCATCTGCACCGCCTCCTTGGCGTCGTCCTTGAGCGGGCAGTGCAGCACCAGGAAACCGGCAAAGGTCAGCCCGGCCTCGACATCCTCGCGCTTCAGGTCGTTGATCTTGCCGGCACCGAGCTCGTGGTCGACCGTCAGCTGCTTGAATGCGAGTGCGAGCACGCGCGAGCCCATGCGTGTAAAGTACTTGTATGTCTCCTCGTAGTCGTTCGGGACCGAGACGAGCCGCTTCATGATCGTCTCCGGCGCGCCCTTGACGGCCACAAACGTGCCCTGGATGCGCTGGCCCGTCTTGGCGTCGCGGCCGGCCACCGTGGCGACGGAGCTCTGTCTCTTTAGGGCCGACGAGAACTGGAAGCGCCGCTTAATCTGAACCGTGCCCACGGTGCTTCCGTTCGTGCGGGCACCTGCCGTGGCTGCCTTGTTCGAGAGGATGTCGTTGCGGCCGAGCGTCCAGCCGAGAGCTGAAAGCGTGGCTTTTTCCATTGGATCGCCGACCACTTCGCCTTCGTCGAGCTTGACGAGCGCATGGGCCGTGGCAAGAACCAGGACAGTCTCGAGACTGGCTTCGTGGACGGGCGTAATGTGGCTGTGTGCGCCGTCGGCCTCGCGCTCAGACGAGACGTCGGCGCCTGAGCGGCTGAGATCCAGACCGGCGATGCCCTCGACAACCAGATCTTCGCCCGTCAACGTGCCGGTCTTATCGAAACAGGCCACATCGATGCGGCCGGCAAACGGGATCCGGAAGGGCTCAGTGCAGAAGATGGCAAACTTGGCCAGCGCAGCCAGACTTGTGTTCACAGCCAGGCTCAGCTCCATCGGCAGCTCGGGCGGCACGACGCTCGTGATGATGAGCACACAGTCGAGCAGCAGCTTCGAGCGCTTGCGGTCCTTCCGTACGCCCTCGTCCCAGACGTACCAGGACGCGGCAATGGCGAAGACGAGCAGAAACAGGATGAACAGGAGGGCCTCGGCATTGTTAGCCGACACACGCTCGGTCGAGTAGATCATGGTGCGCACGAGGCTACCCTGCGACGTCTCGAAGCCGGTCTTGATCACAATGGCCATGGCCCCGTCGTCGGGCGGCTTGGGCACACCCGAGGCCGGCTTGGCCTTGGCGTCCTCGGAATTGCCGTGCGTGATCTGCAGGACCTTGGTACCGCCCCAAAGGAAAGCGTTCTTGTCGAGGCCCTCGGGGTCGAGAGGGGCGTCGGCCGGACGGAGCTGAACAGAGTCCTTGAGAAGCGGGGTGCTCTCGCCCGAGAGCATGGCCTCGTTGACGATGGCGGTGCCCTCGACAAGCAGCATGTCACAGGCCACGCCACTATCCTCCTTGGTGCGTGAGACCGAGACCAGGTCGCCAGGCAAGAGCCGGTCGCTGGACACCTCGGTCCATTTGCTCAGACGGTAGGCCCAGACGTCGTAGGGCTTAATGCCCATGCTGCGGAACTCGCTCAGGGTGCGCTGGCGCTGCCAGACGACAGTGCTCTCGAACATGACGAGCATGACGAGGGTGAAGAGCGAATAGTACCAGTACTCGTCGAGCATCCACAGACCGACACAGAAGACCTGGAAGACGAAGAACGGGGCGACGGCGTGCTCGCGGAATAGCTCGGAGAAGGTGGGCACCGGAATGTCAAACGTGTTGGTGCCGTAGTGCTGCTCGATGCGGGTGAGTTCGGCGTCCGAGTCGATACCCCGGGACGTTTGGAACTTGCCCAGCAGCGGCTTGGGGTCGACATCGACCTCGTACGCGAGCGTGGCAAAAGACTTGGTCTCGGGACTGTAGAGAAAGCGACGCTTCTGGAAGAGGAACGACAGGACCGGCTTGCCAGCCACCTGATGGCGCTCGAGCTTGCAGATTTCCGGGGCACCAGCGTTTGCGACGGGGATCACCTTGATCAGCCGGGCACTTTCGACCGAGCTGGCCCTGGTGGCCGTGAAGATGGCCTTGACATTGACGCTCCAATTGGTACTCAGCCAGATCAGGCTCTGCACCGTGATGATGGACCCGACCCAGACAAAAGTCCATTCGGGCGCGCCAATGTACCGTTCGTAGTGCTCGGGCGGAGAAGGTAGTAGAAGAAGAAGACGGGCCAGATGATGACAAAAGGGGCCAGACGTAGGCATGGTAGTGGACGGTGAGGGGATTCAAGAGCTCGGCGCCCTTGATCTGGGCGTTGTCGACCAGAGGCGAAGGGGCCATCGTGACAGATAGGCACGCACACAGGCGTCCGATGGAGAGAAGAGAGGACGGGGGGAAAGGAGGGGGGGTGGATGGAAAAGAGGACCTTTATTGCAGGCTCATCAAGAAGGAAGGACGAGGAAGCGGGACAAGAAAAAAATAGAAAGGAGGCGGGGGGGGATTGACCCCGAGCTTGATGGACTGATTGTCGTTGGAGTGGACACGATGTTGAGATAATTCGATCTGTACACTTCTGTGGTGCGAGTGGATTTTGGTCGCCTGCGCGTCAGCTTCCTCTTTGGGCCATAGATGCCACGCTAGCAGTGCCAGCTGTTGCCACACGGCAGGGGCTTTTGGGCGGACAGCGCTGCTCCGACGAGTCATACGGGATGAGTAATCTTGAAGCCTATAACCACCAATATCTTATCGTACATTCAGCTATGGACATACTGTAATAGCAACTTCAAACGACTGTCCGGCGACGACAACCTGCACACGCCGGCCATGTCAAGAACACAGCTCGCGCGGCTGATCGACCTTCCCGACGATGCCCTGCAGCAGGTGCTCGACTACTCGCTGACGCTGTCCAAGGCCGATGCCGTCGACCATTTCAAGAACCTGCTTGGCGACTCACCCGCAGCTGTTGCCTTTATTGCCGACTTCAACGGCCGCCGACATGACCCGGCAGGCCCGTCAGCAGCAGCGACAGCAGCCAAGGATGTCTCTCCAGCCGCGACTGCGTCCCGCAGCAGCGAGATCAACGCCGTACCGAAGCCCCGCCGCGGGCCCAAGAAGAAGAAGGCCCCCCTGCACACGCCACCACCGCGACAGGTGGCCCAGCTGGCGCCGCATCCCGGCTCGGCCTACAGTAAAAAGGATGTGGAGGACGACTACATGGTGAGCCGGTCCGGAGCTGTGCAGGCCGGTGCAAGCACGACACCGCCTCAACAGCAACAGCAGCAGCAGCGGAAACCGCCGTCGGCAGCGGGGTCCATGATCCAGGATGCGCTGCAGCCCAAGGCCAAGGGCAGCAAGGCAGTCACGACAAGCAGCCGGACAAACAGCAAAACGCAGCCGGCAGCCAGGATCACGATCACGGGCGGCACGGCGATGCAGGGGGCATCGACGGCGCTGGCGGATTTTGACGCGGCGATCCGGGCGCTGGAGATCAGCACGAACCCGACGCTGGCCAGCGGTGGCAGCGACGGCGTGCAGGACGTGGCGACGCGACGGTGCCACTGCGTGGCGACGCGACACCCGCTGCAGACGGCGGCGCCCAACTGCCTGCACTGTGGCAAGGTGATCTGCCTCAAGGAGGGGCTGGGGCCGTGTACGTTCTGCGGACAGCCGCTGCTGGCAGCCGACGAGGTGCAGGCGATGATCCGGGAGCTGCGCGAGCAGCGCGGACGCGAGAAGATGGCGGCCGACAAGGCAGCACACCGACGGCCAGACGTGGCCGGTGCTGCGAAGCCGTATGCGCGGCCGACGATGATTGCCGGCTCGGTCAAGTGGGGTGGTGACGATGCCGAATTTGTCAGCTTGGCCGAGGCCCAGACCCAGGCGCGAGCCCACCGTGACCGCCTGCTGGCCTTCCAGGCCGAGAACGCCCAGCGGACGACGGTGCGCGACGAGGCCGCCGACTTTGACGTCGGCGAGGCCATGGCGCTGGCTGCGGCCGGCGGCAGCGGTGCCGGTGCCGCTGCCCAGAACCTGTGGGCCACGCCCGAAGAACGTGCCCGTGCCCTGCGACGTCAGCAGAAGCTGTTGCGCGAGATGGAGTGGAACGCCCGGCCCGAGTACGAGAAGCGTCGCCAAGTCCTCAGCATCGACCTCGCCGGCCGCAAGGTTTTCAAGAAGACCGTCGCCGCCGAACGGCCGCCCTCATCGCTGAGCGAAGACGGCACCGACAGCGACGGCGATGATGGCCTGGGTCTCGGAGGCTTTGATGCTGGCACTGGTGCTGATGCTTCTGGCGATGGCGCTGGCGCGGGTGGCACCTTTAGCAAGAACCCGCTGCTCGGTCGGCTGATCAGACCGGTGTATAAACCCCACAAGCAGAAGAAGGAAAAGGCCAAAGGCAAGGGCAAAGGCAGGGCCGACGAAGAAGCGGACGACGACGACGATGAGTCTGCGGCGCCTCTGCCCGGCCGGAAGGACGACCCCGAGGCAGCGTCACGGTGGCAGCGAGTCCAGGACGATCTGAACGATAACGAGGCCGTCATCCTCGACGGCGGCATCTATGGCACCGGAGGAACCGACGAGCCTGGACGGGGATGAGTGTTGGACGTGCTTACTAATCGATCGAAACGCTACGAGTCCTGTTCGCTGCTGCTGCCCTCGGTCACAACTTCCTCATCTGTACGTAGTTATCCAGGAGAGGACGGGCTATTTGCAAGCGCTGGAACTACAGAGTATAGAACCTTATACCCTTCCTCTCTACCGCTGCATGCTGTACGCATCCAACTCTCCAGCAGGATTGCCTAGACTATTGCGGCTAGTTCCGCAACCTCAACCGCCTCGTCGGTGCCAACGTCACCAACAACCCTCCCTCTAGCAAACTTTGAGCGATCCACATATGTGAATTAGCCGCTTGGTGGCTTCGTGCTTGCGGAGCGGATTTCAGTTCCGTATGCAATCTCCCTCGGACTAGTTGCTACCTGGTTTGGGTAAACAATGCGCTGGGCAAGTTTATTCAGGATCGGCAGATGCAAGCCTGCGCGTTTTGGGCCTTTTCTGATTTTCCTTTCCTATCGAGCAAACAACACAACACGCTTTTGACGGCTAGACTTGAACTCTACGCGTATGAGAGGCGGTGGCAATACCGGTGGCGCCCTTGAGTCTCGAGCGACAGTGATACTGATGCTAGCGAGCTCTGCACGAACATTCGACTTGGCAAGGCTGACCCGGAGGGATTTCCCTACCAGACGTCGCACATTTGCTTTCCTCCCTGCTTTCGTTGAACCACAATTTCATCACGCGGTTGCCTCATATTGGCCCTTTTCCTTTTTTCATTGTGATGGACAAATAGGTCTGTCCGCATCCCGCTATATGCATGCTAGTCATGATGTCTGCAGCTGTTTGAGACTACTCGGAGATCCATGTGTGGGCCAGGTAGCGTTTTTGGATGGGTTGTTGTGGGCACAAGTTTCAAAGAACTAGCCGAAGGAGGAAATACTATTGCATTGTCCATGCTGCTCGTAGTTGCGTCTAATGGCCAACCCGGCCAAGCGAAAATGAGAAAAGTACCCTCCCTGAGCCCGACGAACGGCCCGCACAGAGATCCGGGGAGCCAAGTAAAAACATGCGAGTCACGAGCATCCCAGAGCGCTACGCATAACCGTACGCATGCTAGCGGTGGCGGAGATGCACCGGCTGCGGTCTGGCCACCAGGTTAACGGCGATGAGCGTGATTTGATGTGCAGAGCAAATGCTATGCTGAGCAAAAATGGCTAGCCGCTCGCCAGCACAAAGGTCGTGTTATGGGCTGTGGTGGGGGAGCTGGCAAGGTGAACGACAAAAGAACGTCTAGACCGTGCTGAGCGTTCCCAAATGCGTGTTTGGCTGAAAATTGCGTGCTGTGCAGCCCGGGAAATCGTATGAGCCTGTTCGACATCGGCTCCGCTGGCGCGCTCACGTGTGCCAGCAGCTGCCTGCATCGCCCCACGTCTGCACAGAGAAAAGAGTGTCCTGGCGGTATGCCTAGCCAGACGCAGCGATGGGATGCAAATGGAGATGGAGCGGGCCAAAAGGCCATACAGGACACACAGCATTTCCGAGAAAAGGAGAGAGGACCATGCGAGAAAGGACATGGGCTGTCTGCATCTCGGCCACCAGCGCTAACGGTGGCCACGAGGAGAGAATGTGGAAAAATAAAAAAAAGGGGGGGGCCTGCCGGGAACTCTGCAGTTGGCCGGAAGGGGGCGGCCGTCTGGGCAAAACAAAAGAACAAAAGTCAGCAGTGACGAGCGGGGTGTGTTCGGACTGTCTGTATCCAGGGAGGACGGCGGCGAGGAATGGGACGGGCGAAGTTAAGTGAAACGGCTGAGGCAGGTTGAAGCATGAGGAATGAAGCATGAGGGATGAAGCAGGACAGAGACCAGAAGCAACAGCGGCCAGGGAAGGCGCACGCCGTCCACTCACAGCCGGCGGAAAGAGCGACGGACGGCGACGTGAGCCTGGACCGTGGCGTCTGCCCAGAGCCTAGACCGCCCGCTAATGCAACAAGCTGCCGACGGAGTTAATGGGGCGCGTGGCAAGCAGGGATGTCTCCAGTGGTCGTTCGATATGAATGTGTACGAGTACAGGCGTAGTACTAGAACCAGTCCGTCGGATCTGCCTGCGGCATCTAGACGCCCGCCCACCAGCTCTGTCAGGCTGGCAAGCCTTGCATCATGTCCTCCCAGCCGAGGAGAGGGCTATCTGGCCGCCGGGAGTTGCTGATGGCCGGTGATCCAGACACGAGGGAATCGAGACAAGTTCAAGAGCACTTCTCCATGCGTGCCTCTGCCAACGAGACCCTCTTCTATCTCCTGGAGAGTTGAAATAGACGTCATCCCCACTGTACGTGTTGACAAGCCTCTGTTCCTGGCTTTCCTCTCTTTGTCTGACTTTTGTCTTCTGTTCGTCTGTTTGTTTATAAAATACCCGTTCTTCCCTCTCGACACATGGCCTCGTTTCGAACCCTGCTGCCTGCGGCTGGCGCACACCGTCCGGAAGACTCTCCGGACGACGGGCCGCCTTCCATGCATCCCCATCGGCCGCTCCTCAAGCGCATCCGCAGCGTGCCACAGGCCTGCCAGATGTGCCGGCAGATGAAGGCCAAGGTGCGTATCTGTGCGGTCCGGCTCTCCCGGTCGCCAAGCTCTCCCCGCTGACATCCGGCAGTGCGATGGTGGCAGGCCTCGCTGCGGCAACTGCATCGACCGTGACCGGCCGTGTGGCTACGAGGGCGAGGCCGGCCAGTCGCGCCAGGCGGCCATGCGGTCGAGGCTTGCGGCCTACGAGAACGTCTTTGCATCGTTGCGCCAGGCCTCACAGGCCGACTCCGAGCGGCTGTTGTGCCGTCTGCGCGTCCTGGACGATCCCGTTGCGATGCTGCGCGAGACCGGCGGCTCGACCACGGTGCCGTCTTCGGCCTCATCTCCCAGGGTTGCTACGGCTTCGACTCTCGCAGCGGCTGCCGTACTGTCATCTCCTATAGCTGCCTCGGCCACCGGCTCTGTCTCCGACTCGGGCGACGAGCTGAGCGCCAGTCCTCCCAAGAAACCCGCCCAGATGTCCCCCTCCGGCCTTCACAGCACCATCCTCGTCGAGCTCGCCATGCCTGGGGCTGCCGTCACGGCCAAGGCGCTCTCCGAGTTCTACAAACACGGCGGAAAGCTGCAGCACGTCTTCGCCGAAGACGAGGCCGGCCGGCTCTACGCCATGCTCTTCGGCTCCCCTGCACCGGTGTCGACCTCGGACAATAACCGGAGCATCGCCACAGCCTGCGTTGCCTCGATCGTTGCTGTCGGCATGCAAACCTCGCCCGACCTGTTCACCCCCGATCAGGCCCGGACAGCCTACAATCTGGCCAAGCACTACTTTGAGCTCGTCATGGAAGCGGCCCCGTTCACCGCTATCAAACTCGCCACCATGCTGGCCATCTTCAACCTCATGGCGCAGAACACGGTAGCACTCATGTGGATAGGCGTCGGCTTGAAGCTGTGCCGCACACATGGCCTTTTCCATAAGACGCCTATCGATCCGATAATAGCATTGGACGAGTGGGTGAAGCTGCGAAGGTCCTGGCGAATACTTGTTTGCCTGTCGTGGTAAGAACGCCTGAACCGCTCACACCTGCTGTTTTCGTCCTCGCTAATAGGATGACTAAGCTGGCTATCCTTCACCATAGGTTCGATATCCGGACAGGAGGTTGAGTTTGAGAGAGTCAATGTGCGTGCCGGCTCGATGAGCCCCTTTGTATATGCGGTGCGGTGTATTGCTGACCGGATGACAGCCGTCGGCGATGGAGTTCGAGGCAGTGCCGAGTATCGAAGAAGGTAAGACCACAAGACCACTCTTCCGACTACACGACCGGACACGATCTGACCAGTTCATCTACAGCCATCGAGGCGGAGTCTGCCAAGATTGCCGTGCTCACCGTCGAGATCTTGCGGGTGCACTTTGCGTTCAAGGAGATCACCGTGCTGTCGTTCGAGTCGGTCCTGCGAGACCTGCAGAGCTGGCACAACAAGCTGCCCTTCCAACTGTACCTGGCGAACCTGAACGACAGTCTCTTGTCGCCCGAGACGCAGCGCGAGGCCTCGCGTCTCCACCTGATGCACCTGGGCGCCATCGTTCTGGTGTACCGCCGCATGGCGTCGCAGTTCAGCTGCATAGAAAACACCCAGGCGAGCCGCCAGATCCTCGTCCAGGGCCTCGACGGCATACCTGACAGCCTTCTGCGGCAGGGCATCGCAGCAGCACGCACGACGGCCCGCATCCTGTCCCATCTCGTCGACAGTCAGCGCATTCCGAGACGGTGTTGGGTTGTCATGTGCGTGTCCGCTTCTTTTTCTTCTGTCTTCTGGCACCACACTGCTGACACCGGCCACGCCTCCACAGAATCCAGGCATACACGTGCTGTATCGTGATTCTCCACGTTGTCGCGCAGCGGCAGCTGCATCGATGCCACCCCGACACGTGGGAGGGCGATCTGCAGCTGGCCCGCGTGTGCCTCCAGGTGCTCAACTACAGCGGTGCCGTGGACGACGTGGCGAAGGAGTTCCACGGGAAGCTGCATCCCGTCTTCGTGGATCTGTCCAGGGACCAGTGGTCGCGCGGCTACGGCATGGCCGGCAGTGAGACAGGCTCGGCCGAGCGCGGCCATGTCGGCTTCGAGAGCGTGTCGTTGCTCCTGACTGCTCCTCTCACTACAGACCCCGGGCACCTCGGTACATCCCTCGACTTGATGGCCATGTTGGGCCGACCATTCCGCAGCCTCTGGGCCATGAACGCACTGTCAGATGACGGCCGGCCGGCCAGAAGACCGAACCTAGAACTCCCGCAGCTTTCGGGTATGGACTGGTCGAGGGAGCTGCGGTGAGGTGTGGTGGCTTGCGGTTGTTTTTGTTTTTGTCTTTGGATTTTCTCTTCATTTTCTCATTTTCTCATTCAAATATCCGTTCTTCCTTTCTTTCTTCTTCCCAGCATATAATTCCCAGCTTGCTGCTTTCTCCATACATAAAACGCGATCATGAGCACGCCGTTAGAAACGAGCACAATACAACTAGAATCCAGCGTTTGGCCATGAGAACATCAGAGGCGCAGCTATGGCAACCTAAAATGCGGGGCCACCCTTATGGCCTGCCCCTCACTAAAAACTAGGGCGGCTCTCCTATTAGCGGTTGCCTTGAAACACAGAACACAGCCTCAGCCGTCGTTGCTCTCAGGCCAACTCCATCCGGCCCGTTGTCCCAGGTGTTTGAGCGCGACGACAGCCTGCATCCCCGACCTGCTCCAACCAGAAATCGCCTGCAGACTGTTGTGTTTGTGCTTGGTCGGCAATTCGCACTATCCGTCTACGCGAAAAAGACCAAAGAGAGAAGACAGAAAAGGGAGCAGAGAAAAAAGAAAAAAGAAAAAGAAAAGGAGCAATCATCCAGAGTGCCTGTCTCGCCATGTCTGGACGCGAGGAGGTGCACGAGGCAAGCCGGCCACCCCGACGTTCTCGCCCGTGTGTGTCGGTCGATCCCGTGCTAACCGGCGTCTGCAGGGCGCGTCTGTGCAGGAGCAGCTGGTCGAGGCCTGCCGGCGCAACAACACCGACCTGCTGTCGGAGGTCTTGGAGGGCCGGTCGGAAGACGAGATCGCCCGGCTGCTGAACGAGACCACAACGGTGATGGGGAATCACCTGTACCACGAGGCAGCGGCGGCAGGAAACTGTAAGGCTGATCCGGGGATCTGTCCGTTGCGTCTGTCCCTAACCTTCTCACGCTCCCAGACGAGATCATCGACATGCTCCTCGACCAGCCCGGCTTCGAGTGCGATCCTCTGTCCCGCCGCGAAAAGGACACGCCCCTGCACACGGTCGTGCGCTGGTCCAACAAGGAGCCGCCGGCCCAGCAGCCGTTCGCCCAGGCGCTCGTCGAGATGATGCTCGAGGCTGGGTCTAACCCGCGGCTGAAGAACGGCGCCGGCCTGACGGCCACCCAGCTGGTCGACCCGCGCTACCCGGGCCTGCGGCAGGTCATCCAGCGCCACGAGTACGCGCAGCTCAACGCCGGCGACTTTGTTGAGGCCGACGCGCCCAAAGCCAAGAAGAACAAAACCTCGGCACCTTCGGCACCTTCGGCACCTTCGGCAGCCAAGAACGACGACGACGACGCCGACTTTAGCGGCAGCGACGAGGGCGAGCGCGCCGAGTGGGAACGCAATCACAAGGCCCAGCGAGCCCGGACCTGAGGGACGGGTGGGCGGATGGGCGGATGGGCGAGAGAGAGAGAGAGAGAGCACTTGGGCAGAGTACTGAATGTGGATATAAATTTCCTGGCGCCAAAAACACCGTAATAAATCCGAAACCTGCAACATAAAAGGGCCCAAAGCGAAGCCGCAGGATTTGTCTACTGTATAGAAACCTGCCTATCCATTGTTCCTCCTGTTCTTGTCTTCCCGTCCTTTGCCAAATGTCTCCTGTCTCGTCTCCGTCTCGTCTCCTGACTCTCTGTCCATCCAGCCATACTTGCCTCAAACGGTCGCCTCCTTGCCGTTGAAGCGAGCGGTTATATCGTCCAGCACGCCGGCAGCAGCCGCAAAGAAACCCAGGTACGACTTGCTGGGCGCCAGGACGCGGCTGAGATACTCAGGATGGAACTGCACGCCCACAAAGAAGGGGTGGCTGCGCAGCTCGATGACCTCGATGCGCTCGCCCTTCTCGTCCTTGCCGACAAAGACGAGGTCCTTGGGCGCTTCCAGCCGCTCAAACATGTCGGGCGAGACCTCATAGCGGTGGCGATGGCGCTCCTCAATCTCGGCCGCGTCGCCGTAGAGCGCCCGGAAGCGAGACCAGCCGGCCGTGTCGGGCTGGAAGACACAGCGCCGCTTGCCCAGACGCATGGTCCCGCCCAGCTTCGTCCGGTCGACCTCAGGCATGTACACGATCACCGGGCTCTCGCAGCCCGGGTGCAGCTCCTCGCTGCCGGCTCCAGCAATACCGCACACGTTGCGCGCATACTCCACAATGGCCAGCTGCATGCCCAGGCACACGCCCAGGAAAGGCACGTTCTTGGTGCGCGCCCATGTCGTCGCCTTGATCATGCCCTCGGTGCCGCGCACGCCAAAGCCGCCTGGTACCAGGATGCCGTCCGCCGTGCACACCGCGTGCCACGCCTTGTGGAACTCGGCCGGCGATGCCTCCAGTGCTGCGTCCTCCAGATTCGACGCGTCCACCCACACCAGGTTGAGCTTCTTCTTGCAGTACATCGCCGCGTGCTCCAGCGACTTGCCCACGCTGATGTATGCGTCCTCCAGCGTCGTGTACTTGCCCACCAGCACAATCGTCACCGTGTCCACGCTGCTGTCCTGTCCGCGCGTCAGTTCCACCCACCGCTGCCACATCTTCTCGCCGCGCACCACCAGCTCCGGCGCCCGTGGCACGGCCTCCAGCTCCAGCAGCCCGCTGATGCTCTCGCGGAACTTTTGGTTGCGCAGCAGCAGCGGCACGTGGTACGTCGTCGACACGTTGTGCACCGTCAGCACCTGCTTCGTCTCCACCTGGCACATGTTGGCAATCTTCTGAATCACCGAGTCCTCCAGCGGACGCTCACAGCGGCACGCAATCTGCCGTCTGGTCAGCCGCGAGCCTCACCACAAACAACACAGCACTGCACAGCATGAAACTCACAATATCCGGGTTCAAACCCGCACTGCGCACGTCCCCAACCGCTCTCTGCGTCGGCTTCGTCTTTTGCTCGCCATGAGGCCCTGGCCTGGTCCTGTTAGTGGCTGCACAACCTACCCGATCAAGGAACGCAACAACACCACACTCACGGGATCACAGGCACGTAGGACACGTGGATCTGCAGAAAGTTGCCTTTGCCCGCTCGTCGCTGAAACTGGCTCATGGCGTGGATGAACGGCGCGCTCTCGATGTCGCCCACCGTGCCGCCCAGCTCAATCACGCACACGTCCGGCTGCGCGCCCGACTCGTCCACCGGCACCTTGGCCACACGCTCAATCCAGTCTTGAATTGCGTTTGTCAAGTGGGGCACCACCTGCACCGTTTTGCCCAGGTAGTCGCCGCGACGCTCACGCTCGATCACCTGCTGGTAGATCTTGCCCGTCGTCAGGTTGTGGTCGCGCGTCAGCGTCGTCAGCAGGTACCGCTCGTAGTGCCCAATGTCCAGGTCCATCTCGCCGCCGTCATCCGTCACGTACACCTCGCCGTGTTCCGTCGGCGCCATCGTGCCCGCATCAATGTTCATGTACGGGTCGATCTTGATGCTCGTCACCGTCAGGCCCATCGACTTGAGCAGCAGGCCCGTGCTGGACGCAATGATGCCCTTGCCCACACCCGAGATCACTCCTGCACGCGGGGGAGAGCCAGAGAGTCAGAGAGGCCCTTCATGTCTGTGAGGGAACTCGATTTTTCTTCTGATTTTTCTTACCTCCCGAAACCAGCACGTATTTCATCTTGCCGGTAGCTTGATTTCTGCAATGTCTAAAAGAGCTCCGTGAAATGATTTTGCTGGCCTGCACCTCTCACACGCTTCTGTTGTATCTGACGGGGTGCAACAAGAGCGTGGAGAGGGGGGGGGAGAAAAAAGAGGAAAGGAAAGGCTCGAAAAAATCCATACCGGAAAAAGTACTATAAAAAAAATTTAGACGCGCCCTGGAGGGACTGCACGCTAACCCCGATAGGTTGGAATGCACCTGCCTTGACATGTTAAGAGTCATTACATCTCTATCACACGTGCTAGCGTCTTTGTAGATCTGGCGGGGTTAGAACAAAGGCACTGAGCGTTGATAACCACTTGAGATGCTTCTATATCATGCATATAAAACGGTGCCCCAGGCGATAGACATTACAACACAATGCACGCCAAATCGCCTCCTCAAAATGGGAGACACTCGCTTCGATCTCCCCTCCCCGATATCTTCCCGTTGTCCTTTTTGGTCGTATTAAGGGCGCGAGCAAGCAGATGTGTGTTCTCCTCAGCTTCTTTTTCAACTTCTCTTGTTCGATTCTGTCGCTCGTCCCTAAACATATATTATATATCACGTTTCTCACTGCCCGGCGTCTGGGCGAAGAAATCCTCGGAACAGGTATCAAAGAAAATTAAAGAAAAAGACGAGGAACAGAACAAGACACAGGTAACGCATAACGCATAACGCGGTACAATCACCGGAAGCGAGAACGGCAACGACCCATGACCTCCCCTTGGCACACCAGCTCGGCACTGAATTCGGAGCCGTCCAGCGTCAGATAAATGTCGAAATACACCCGATAGAACGTTCCTTGTGGCGTGTCCATACGCTCAAAGTCCTTCTCGAGATTCTTCCGCGACAGGTCGGACGTGAGCGTGACGACTTCCTTGATTCCTGCAGCGACGGTCAGCGAGAACTGGGATGAAACTGTAGTGGAACTGCTTTGAAACGTACTGGGATCCTTTGTGTACTCGGGACACACATCCTCGTCACAGGCATACAGAATGTCCTCGTACATGAGCGTAGCACCTGGCGCGACCTGGCGGAAAAACGAAACCTTGACCGGCTCGCCAATCTTGACCTTCTGCCCCTTCTGGACAAATATTTGCCGCGTAAACTTGCAGCGGTCCTTGCCGTCGAGCGACGGCACGCGGTAGGCCTCTGGGTGGTAGCCCTCCTTGAAGGGCTGCAGCGTGGCCATGAGATAGTGGCGACGGGCCACACGCTGGGTAACAACCCGCTCGGTGATACCAGCCGTTACGGCACCCTTGACAATGGCAGCAACGGAGTCCATGGGCCGGACGACCTTGGACTGGAACTGTGGTGGCACGTGCAGCTTGATCTGCTGGAACAGAAACTCCGAGGCTCCGAAACCACCGACGACCAGAATGTTCTGGAGTGTCCGGTTCTGGGCCTGGATGGCGATGATCTGGTTGCGGACAAGCTCGAGAATGCGATTAACAACGGGCTCAAAGCATTGCAGAATCTCTTCGTTGGTAAAGGTCATGTAGCCCTCCTCGATGCCGGCCTCGGGGAACTCGGCCTCGATGCCGACATCGACAGCCCATTTCTGGCCGTTGTTGCGGAAGTCCGCTTTAATGCGGTTCTCGAAGTCCATGATGCACTTGGCGTAGACACGGCCGGCCATCTTGGACCCATCGGGCAGCTTCATCTTGCGGATCTTGGTGCGCAAAATGTTGCTGAAGTTCCGGTTCAGCGCTGTGGAGCCGCACGAGTCGCCGGAACCAGCCGTGCACTCGGCGACAGTAAAGGGGTTTTCCTCTTCCACCTCGTAGGCGATCAGATCGACGGTGCCACCACCGCAATCGACGATCAGTACAGCGTCGTGAACCTTGAGGTTCAGCAGGCCCGTCTTGGAACAGAAGAGGGCAGCAGCCTCGGGTTCGCTGACCAGGGTCAGACGGTTGTCGTTCTCGTCACGCAGGAAGCCGGCCTGGATCGCAGCAGCACGGGTGGCAGCCTTGCCGGCGTCGTTCCAGATGGCAGGAACGGTGAGGTATTAGCGAATGTTGCGCTCCTCACGGTTGAACACCTCGCCGAGCGTCTTTTGCAAGGCAGAACGCATGGCCTGACGCAGCTTGAAGAGGTAGTCGGCGGCGACGTCGATCTCCGACTTTCCAGGAGGCAAGGGCGGCAGGTTGATGGGGTCGATGTACGTATTTCCAGACAGCATCAGCTGCAGCTTGAACCATTCCACCTTCTGCACGCCAGCCTTGGGATAGCCAGTCGGGGCGAGGGCATCGGCAATATCGGGGCCCCAGCCAACAACTTTCTGATACTGGTCATAGTAGAGCACCGTGGGGATCTTCTGTTTCGTGTATGAACCAGCACCGGGCCATTCTGTGATGATGTCTTCTTTTGCCTCGTTATTCGTGGCGAACGCAAATGCAACACCAGAAAAGGTGGTTCCCTGTCGCCTGTCAGCGGGTGGCGACGCATGGAAAAAAAGAAAGAAGCAAAATTAGAGGCGTAGCAACGTACAAAATCGATACCAACGATCAGCTGTGCTTTACTCCGGCTGCTTCCCTCAACCTCGGCCGCAGGACGTCCGTAGATGCCCTGTATAGGCTGCTGGGCCTGCTGAGGTGCGCCGTAGCCAGCAGGGGCGCCGGTGTATCCAGGCGGTCCACCCATGGATTGTGGAGTACCGCCCGGAAGCTGCATCGGCGGTGGGTAGCCGGAGACGGGAGCGCCAGTGTTGATGGGAGGCGGGCCACCGACCATCTGGCTTGGTGGCGCACGAGGAGCGCCTGGACTTGCACGACCGAGAGGGTTCTGGACACCGGGTTGGGGATATCCAGAATTGTAGCTGGGCGGACGAACGCCCGGTATGTTATGATTCATGGTGGATGGCGGCTGTTGTTGTTGTTGCTGTTGTAACTGGGGAGGAGGCGACGTTTGGTTGGGCACCTGGATGCCTAGAGGCGCGGCACCAAAGGATTGAGGGGGAGGAGAGCTTGACGAGATAGGAATCTGGGTCGGAGATGGAAAAGGAGGAAGAGGCGCCTGTGCTCCTTGAGGTTGAGGAGTGTGCGAAGGGGGCGGCGCCTGAGTCTGAGCGTGTTGAGGTTGCTGCTGTTGTGTTTGCGGCTGAAAAGGAGGGGGAGTGGGATGGGGTGAGAACTGTCGTGAAATCTGGGGAGGCGGTGGGTTGGAAGCGTAGGTAGCCTGTTGTGGTGGAAAGTTGCCTGGTATACTGGTGGTGGACTTGCGCTTTCCAAAACCAAGGGCTTTGAATCTCGAGTTCAACGAACTCATATGGAAGACCCGGAGGGGGGGAAGAGGGGAGAAGTGTGAAAGACAGAAGAAAGAGGGGGGGACGAGGAGAAAAAGGGAAAAAGAAAAGAAACAGGCGGAACGAGCCAAGAGGCCAAGACGGTGCCGGGAGGAGGAGGAGGGGGAAGGGGGGGGGGGGGGGCGTGGTTGTGGATATCGAAAGACGTTCTTAAGAGAGCAAATGTTCGGAACGGACAGAAGAAAGGGAATGGAACAATGGATAGGGAGTATTTATTAGGGGGGGGGGGGGGAGGTAGAAACGGTGAAGAAGGGAGGTAGTGTTATTTTCCCTCCTTGTTGGTGAGAAATTAGGACGGCAGGAGCGGCTGGCGCCTCAGACTCCTTTTTTCGACGAGTTTAGTGTGCAAAGCTGGCCAGATACGAGACGAGTAATACGAGCAGTGCATTAACGGACGAGAAGGGAGAGGATTGGAAGGATTTAGGAAGACTGCAAGGACCGCGAGGACTGGCGAGGACTATTCGTAGGACTGGGACTAGCTATGGTGCTCGTAGGAACAGGAGGAGTGCGCGTTGCCGACAAGGGTGGTGTGAGATGAGGGGTTTTAGCGGGGTCGACTGGGAGCGTAAGCTGGACTGCTGTGCTGGCTGATCGTGGCTGGCTGCCTTTCGTTGGGTGCAGGCAAGGCTGAGTGCTGGAGAGGCCCTATAAGATTGGTGCTGCGGCCACGCAATTCCAGAGATTGTGGTGATTCCTATGTCAAAACGGAGGGCTCTGTAATAATCAGGCCGACGGCGGAACGGCAAAACGGCGAAACGGCTTTTAGCCCTACAAGGACTCATCGTCCACTTCCGTACTCCGTACTCCGTACTGGGCTGTTCATATCGTGTTGGGCAAGCTGGCGCACCGTTTCGACACACGCTAGGGGGCTCAGCCGCTCCTTGGACGGGAGAGGGGGAAACGTTACGACGCTTTGCCAGCTTAGCGGTAAGATATACTGGATTGTGTAGGACTTTTGGTGGTGGGCCGTAGGACTTTTTGACTGCATCCTTCTGACGGTCGGACGGTCGGTTCTCATTGGTCGGCTGCACGCTCGTCGGCTCTGACGGCTGCCTGCAACGCTGTGCCTCTGGAAAGCTGCGCACACTGGTGACAGTAGTCGCACATGCGAGCCGAGTATCGTGAGGCCGGAATACTCGGGCTGCCGGTCTGGAATGACTGGGCCAACGCTGCTCAGCCACGCCGTCTTCCTCCCAAGCCACATTCCCCCTCTCTTTCTAGGAGATCAGAATTTAGCGCCTGTCAGATATTCATCTAAAACCTGCTCAGCCTCGATCTGCCACACTGCACAGCCGACCTGCTCGTTCATACGAGTACTCGTAGTCGATGGATCTGGGACCGGACCAGACCGGTTGCGGCTATCCAGGGGAAATATGCCATTTCCGGCCGCCACATTCAGCCCTGTTTTGGATCTGCATAATATTGGATGACATACCCTTTGCTTCGATGAGGCTACATAGTACGAGGACGAGTAAGGTACGCGCTCGTACGGCGTAGTCTGTATGCATGGCGAATAGCTCCGCCTGCCGCCACGGAGGCTTTCCGTCACAGTAGAACGATACTCGGCGCCGGACTTTGCTAGCCTCTCTGGCTGTTTATGCCGCCCCGGAATGCTGCAGCTGGACGAAAGCGTCGATACATGCTCGGACTCGTAGTGCCGTGTACGGCCTCACATCCCGCTCCTGGAGCCGGGAGCCCAATCGGGCGACTGGCGCTCGCTCGAGAAATCGTCAAAGCGTCGACTTCCGTGTACGTATTTTCCTGCAGCTTCTGGCCCCTCACAAGGGCACTCCATACTTCGCAGGAAGGCGGAAATTGGCGATGCGAAGCAAAAGCAAGGTAAAACTAGCACAAGATAAATACACATGCTACGACGTACGGAGAACTCGTACTTCTTCGTCATCGCTCGACCGGGGTCCCAACTGGGGTCTCCAGCTTGAAGGGCGATTTGCTCGCCCAAAGCGATCACGGGGACCCAAAGCCGGGGCCTTTTCCTCTCTCCACCGCTCATAGCTCCCCTATTACTCCGACATCACTCCGCCATTTTAACCTGACGAGCCTCGGCTTGCGTCGTCTTTCGTCTTTCGTCTTTCGTCTCATGTCCTCTTGCTCTCCCAGATCACACAACTTGCCGTTTCCAGTCGTCATCGCGGCTGCTCGTCATCCCTTCGGCTCTTCGCGCGACCGATCCGGGCTCGGGGTTGTCTTACCGCCTTTCAACATTCCGGCTTCCTGCAAGCAGCACCAGCACCAGCAGCACCAGCAGCACCAGCAGCACCAGCAGCACCAGCAGCACCAGCACCAGCACCAAAACCAAGAAACCAGGATTCTGCCTTCCCCTCTGCTCCCCTCTACTCCTCTCTGCTCCCCCTTTCCGTCCCCGGTTTCGCTCCCGGCTCTGCGCATATCTCGTCTCTTTCTGTGTTGTGCTAGCATTTTCCCCCGGTCGCACGGCTCTTTCGGCAGACGCTCCGTCGGCTCGGCCTCTCTTCGCTCTTTCTACGGGTACAAATACGCTCTACGGAGTAATTATCGTCACCGGCCCACCTCGCGACCGCGCTGATTTGCCAATTGGGGGTGCCTGTCTACCTATGCGCGAATACGGCTCACCACGCCATTGCTCCGCTGCTGTCTCACGATAGAGAGGCAAGCCCAACCGCCATCACACGCCACGGCGCACCTGCCTCTTCTGCGCGTCCTGCGGGGCACCACTGTAAAAACCAGCGGTAGCGCCTGCGAATCAGCACTGAAGGCTAACAAACGACGAGCACACAGAGTCCATAGTACAGCAGCCACAGGGTTTCGCCGCAGCTCTACTCTCCCACCGGAGAGCGAGACAACGCAAGCAGGTCTCAGACGAGAAGCAATCCTGTCGCCGCAAACAGAAAGGGGCACCTCGTGGCGCCCCGCAATTCCCCCAAACCACGCTTTGAAAACAGCAGCGCGGTATGATATGCAGAAATCGCGCAGCAGTCGCCGAAGCCAGTCGGCCCGGAAGCTGCCCACTGTCGTCACCATCGTATTGTTTGGGCTTGTGCTGGTGAGTTTGGAACCAAGCTAGTTGCGCGCGCCTGTCACTTAATCATCGCACCGCCTGCCTATACGGACCCTGGTCCCGTCGTGGCTTCATTCTCATTCGTTCCTGCCCGGTCTTGTGTCCCGTGGGGGGGGTCTGAACCCCGCAATATTCTTCCCCGTCGGCCTCTTGGCTCTTTCCATTATCTCACTCATGCTGTTCTGTCCGGCCATCATCATAAAGGCCGTTCTTTTCGGCCTTTCCTCCCTGCTCCCCTTCTTCCTCTTCATTCGCGACTCACCTGTCCTCTGACCTATAAAACCCCGACAGATTCTTCGGCCGCAGCTTTGGAACGCCAAGCTCTCCCATTCCCCGTTTCCCCATCCAGCTTTTTCACCCCCCGCCGAAGACTTAGCCCCAGTTTGCGATAACCGTCCTTTTCCCACGGATTCCCCAGTTTCTGTCCCACTTGCGATGGCCCTTGCGCAAGAGACAAAGAGCATTGTTGCTCGGTTTGAGTATTCCGACGATGCTATCAACGCTGGCGTCAAGGAATTTATCGTCCAGATGAGTATGTATTGTTCATTTTCGTTCCGCCTTCTTGCACCTCCACTTCTACTTTTTTTCTTTGACCCCTGCTAATCTACCCAGCCGAGGGTCTGGAAGCACATGGCAGCTCATTGAGTCAAATTCCAACCTACGTCACCGCAGTACCCAATGGAACAGAAAAGGGCCTGTACCTCGCGGTCGATCTGGGCGGCACCAACCTTCGGGTCTGCTCCGTCCGGCTGAATGGAGACAATTCGTTCAACCTCACGTACAGCAAGGCAGCCATCCCAAAGTCTTTGATGGTCGCCAAGACGGCCAAGGAGCTCTTTGCCTTCATCGCCCAGCGCATTGACGAGTTTCTCAAGGAGAACCACTCCGACCACTACGAGAGCCACGTCCGCCGCCGGCAGACAATGAGCACACCCGAGGGCTACCGGGACGAGAACATCTTCCGTCTAGGCTTCACCTTCAGCTTTCCCGTCCGCCAGGTGGGCATTAACAAGGGCTTCCTGATCCGCTGGACGAAGGGCTTCGACATTCCCGATGCCGTCGGCAAGGACGTGTGCGCCTTGCTCCAGACCGAAATTGACGCGCTGCGCCTGCCCGTCAAGGTGGCTGCCCTGGTCAATGACACCGTCGGCACGCTGATGGCTCGTTCGTACACTTCGCCAGGCAAGGCTGGCACCTTGCTGGGGGCCATTTTTGGCACCGGCACCAATGGCGCGTACGTGGAGAAGGTCGACAATATTAAGAAGACGCTCGAGGGAGAGTACGACACGTCTACGGGCGAGATGGTGATCAACACCGAGTGGGGCTCATTCGATAACCAGCTGCACGTACTTCCCAGCACGCCGTACGACATTCAGCTCGACAAGGAGAGCGTCAACCCGGGCATCCAGATGTTTGAGAAGCGGGTTTCAGGCATGTTTTTGGGCGAGATCGTGCGCCTGACGCTGGTGTCGATGCTGCAAAATAAAAACGTGGCGTTGTTTCGCGACGAGAACTCGAGCCAGAACGACTGGAAGTCGACCACAAGCCTCGGGCCAGAGTCAGGCATATTTCAGAAGTGGGGCCTCGACAGCGCTATCATGTCTGTGGCCGCGCTCGACAACACGTCCGATCTCGGGACGCTGCGACAGGAGCTGGAGAGCCAGCTTGAGATCTACTCCCCCTCGCTGGAGGACGCACAGGCTTTCAAGGCCATTGCCAACGCGGTAGGGCGGAGAGCGGCTCGGTTGTCGGCGGTGCCGCTTGCGGGCGTCATATTGCAGTCGGGCAACCTCACGGACCCAGCGCGGGCGGGCGAGCCGATTGACATTGGCGTGGACGGCAGCCTGGTCGAGCACTACCCAGAGTTCCGGGACATGATCCTGGAGGCGCTGGAGGCGGTTGAGGGCATCGGTAAGGAGGGCGCACAGCGCATCCGCATTGGCATCGCCAAGGACGGCTCCGGCGTCGGAGCCGCGTTGATTGCTCTGGTCGCGGCCGGCATGGAGCAGAGCCAGACGACAGACGTGCTGCAACAAATGCGCAAGGATGCGGCGACCAACGGCAACAGTCACCACCTGGTGGCGGTGATGGAGGCCGATCAAGAATGAGGGTCAGCCCCTGAAGGCTGGCGGCTGATTTTGTATTGATTTACTTCGTACGGATGTTTATGTTTGGCATGAGCTACGGTGTATTATGGCAAAACGGGGGGTTTTATGATTGTTTGCGAGGCCGTTTTGCCTCACGGATTTTATAGCACCCATTTCGAGGCAAAGCCTCTCTAGAAAATAAACAATGTCTTTGTGTGTTTGTGGTATTGAGATCTGTCTTGAAAATGGCGATCCCGTTATTGTAACGTATAATCTCTTAATATTCATGGCTGTCATGGTCGCCAAGTGTCCTGCTACTGGCCAAACATGGCGGCAGGATAGGCGCGGTCTCGCTTCTTCCGCGCGGCGGAGCTGCTGCGTGAGCTGGACGTCGGGCGACCGACGGGGGGCTGGTCGTCTTCTCCCACGCTGGAAGAGGGAAGGTTCAGACGGGAGGTTTTGCGCGAGACGGTGCGCGACGAGGCAGCCGAAGCAGAAGCAGACGGGACGGCCATCATGTCGGCCGGCAAGTCGTTCCACTCCATGTTCGGGCGGGTGTTCTGGAAGGAGAGAGAAGAGGTAGGGGCTGGTCTTGGAAGAGCAGTTGTTGCTGATGTCGACAGGTCAGCAGGCAGCGGCAGGTCTCGGCGCATGATCCAAGCGGTGCTGGGACGTAGGGCAAAATAGTAGTTCTCGATGGGAGCGGAGCCGTGGCGGGCGAAGCCGCGAGCCTCGTACCAGCGCAGCACGTCAGCGCTCTCAGTCCAGGTGTGGGCGTAGAGGGCGCGAACGGGCGGCAGCCGGCCGGTAGCGTTGAGGGCGGTGGCGGTGGCAGCGAGGCTATCGAGGGCAGCAGCAGCGAGGCCTCGGCCGCGATGAGGGGAGAGGAGGGCGAGTGACTGGACGTAGATGACGAGGGAGTCGGGGTTGGGCTGGTCTTGGTTTTCGTCTAGATCAAATGGCCACGGCTCCAATCGGCAGACGATGCCGCCAACGACCTTTTCACCGTCAAGGATGACGCGGTTGAAAAGCGAGGCCACACGCGTGCAGTCGGCCACCGGTCGGTAGAAGGTGTCGGGATAGCGGACAGACAGCAGGATGGCATTGACGCTGACGAGGTCGGGGATGTGGCTGTCGCGGGGCGCAACGATGCGGACGGAAGCGGACGACGAGGAGACCGAAGTTGGGAGCGGAAACACGAGCTCGTCGCCGGAAACGGTGGCGCCAGACGTTGTCAGAATCTCGGTGAAGAGCTCGGCCGTGATGGGCGGCAAGTCGAGCTTGGGGTCGACGCTGCCGCCCGACCGCGCGGTCATGCCGGCCGGAGGCAGCGGACGAAGCAGACCATTGCCGGTCGGCGGAGGGACAAACTTGGCCTGCGGTGGTGGAGGTGGTGGTGGGGGAAGAGACGCTGCAGCGATGGGGCGTGTCGAGGTCGATGACGGCAGGGCGGAAGAGGCGGAAGAGGCGGAAGAGGCGGAAGAGGTGGAGGATTGAAAGAAGGAAAGAATGGAGCGTTGGGCGGCTGGCATGATGGATTGAGGGATGCGAGATGAGAGGAGAGAGAGGAGAGTCAAAGAGGAGAAAAGCCAATTTAAAGAAAAATTGAAGAGAAGGCGTGAGAAGCGTTGAGTTGGTCGAGAAGAGTCGAGAGAAAGGAGAAAGAGAAGCTAGAGAAGACGAAACGATAGTTGAGGTGGCAAGCTGATTAGCCAAGAGAGGGAAAGAGCAGAGAAAGAGGAGCCAGAAGAGAACAGAGAGAAGCAGGCAAGAGCTCGTAAAGAAAGTACAACACGACAGCAAGAGCCCCGAGGACGCGAACAGAGGTGCTGCAAAGTGCGACCAGAAAGGCGCGTCCTGAACACGTCGGAATGCAGGAGCCGCTCAAACCCAACAGGCGCTAAGGTGCGCCTGATCAGGCCGGCAGCCAACCAGCAACGTCCCAATGCGGCATCTACTTTCACAGTGCGAGCATCCGGCCACCGTGTTGGTCATCGCTGCCACCCTTTGCGTATCTTACGTCGTTCAATAGAATGGGAACAGTGACAGAATATGCAATGTTCCGTGTAATATGTATGTTCATAGTCTCGTCCGGTATGGAGACAGTGCTGAGGTAGGTAACGAAGAAGAAAAAAGGGGGAAAGGGAGAAAGGGAAAAAGGGAAAGGGAAAGAAAGGGAAGAGGGAAGAGAAAAGAGAGAAAAAGAGAGGGAGAAGAAGAAAACGAGGAAGCAAGCACGCAAGCACGCAAAAAAAGGACCATGACCATCTCCATTCCCAGTTGACGCCTCTTCTCCGACTAGTCCGTCCTCGCCAATCTACCGTCCAGACCGCCTTAGGATGCAGGAAACGCAACACACGTGGGAACCCACAGGACAGGAAGAAAACAAACAGACGCCGACATACGACTGCTACGTCCGCGGCGACGACATTGTCCCGGACGACTCCGACTCGACGTCCAACTCGTGTACCTTCCCGCTCTTTGATGCCGGCGGCGACGGCGGCGGCTTGTTGACCAGCTTGACCTTCTTGACGCCCGGCACCGGAATCGGCACCTTGGTCGTCTTCTTGGGCGGCGTAGACGACACCGACCCTGTCGCCATAGAGATCTGCTTTTTCTTTTTCATACCGCCGTGGCTGTTGTGGCTGCTGCCGTTGCTGCCGGCTGTCGCTGCCGTCACCGCCTTGAAGTTTATGCTGCTGCGGGCGTCGTCGTCGTCGTCGTCGTCGTCGTCATCGTCATCGTCGTCGTAGTCGTCGCCGCCGTGGTCGTGCTCGTTGTTGTTGTTGATGTTGTTGTTGTTGTCGTCGTCGTCATCCATCCCATAGTCGTCGTCGCCGCCCATCTTGCGCTCAAAACTGAGAGCTGAGCTCGGCTTCAGCTTCTTCTTCTTCGTCGGCCCGCCACTTCCCGCTCTCTTTATATTGAGCTTTTTTAGCATCGCCGTCGAGAGGCCCTGGCTGGACTGGCTGGATGGTGTCGTCGCCCCGTTCGTCGCCCCTCCACTGCCACCACCGCTGCCGCCTGCCGACGACTTGAGCTTCTTCTTGGGCTTACTGCTGTGGCTACCGTGGCCATGGCCGTTCGCACTCCCGTTCCTGTGCCCGCCCGCGTCCGAGTCGTCGTCACCCTCGTCAAAGTCGTCCGCGTCCCGTTTCCGCGGGCTTGTCGCCTGCGAGCTTGGCAGCGGCGTCCCCTTCTGGCTGTTGGGTGGCGTGTGGTCGTGCAGCGCCCCGCCCCCCGCACTGCCGCTGATCTTCGCCGCTGCCGCCCGGCTGGCATTGCGGCCGCTGTTGCCGATGCACGACCCCATGTGGTTGTTCAGCCGCGACACCAGGATGCACCGCTTGCACTTGCTGCACGTCGCCGATGGGAATGACAGCACGTTGGGCGGCCGCTGCTCGCTCGATACCCCGCCCGCTCCGTTGGGCGTCTCGATGCCTGTGGTCGCCGCGTGGATCGCCGCCGACACCTTCTTGTCAAAGTCCTTCTTCTTCTTGCCGCGCCCCGGCCCCGGCGCCACCCACATCTGTCCGTATATGTCGCAACCCGGCTTGTCAATGTACGGATGCTTCTTGCAGTACGTCACCGCCGGGTCCGGTTTCCGTGCGCCCTTGCCATCTACCGGGTAGAGCAGCCGCGGCAGGTGACAGCGCGGGCAGAGAATGTCGTGTGTCGTCTTGAGCGGATTGATCCGGAGGCTGACCTGTCCGTTTTCGTACTGGGCCGAGTCCGTCTCGTAGTGACCGCCTGCCCGGGACTCGCCCGTGGCGCCTGCCAGGTCCTGTGCCGCCTCAGCCGCCATCGTCTCCACCCGGATGGCCGCCGTGGCTGCCCGGGCCTGCTTCTCGTCCCGGTGCGTCTTCATCAGGAGGTCGTGCACGACGTTGTACAGCAGGTCGTCGAGAACCGCGCTGGCCTATTCTTGTTAGGGTGAACGGGGGGGCAGCCCCGGAGGAGATAGACGCACCAACTTATCCATGCTGTTGGCATCGCCGGGAGCATAGATCACCCCGGCCTTGCCCGTGCTCTTTTGAGACATGGCGACCTCGAAAACAGCCTGTGTGCTGTCCAACTGTCCCGCCCAGCCGTTATCGGGCAGCGGCCACTGCGAGGCAGACGGGGGGCTCTATGGAGCAAAGTATACCACCATGCGCGAGACGATGGGCCGAACGTGGGGTGGAGGCACCGTCAGGGGCTGACAGCTGGTGCTTTGTAATAGCTGCAAGCTTGTGCTATATAGGCTCCCGGCCGAGAAAGGACATGGAGCGAAGCTCAAAAACGAGCGAAAATTAGAATTAGGGCAAAGAAAAAACACAGAGCATTAGGCGAACACCATCGGTACAGCTGCTGGTCGTTCGCCGGGCCGAGAGGGTGGACGTTGGCTGTTCTTGCCGGTCTCCTGTTCGTCGATGCGCCTTCGCTGCCAATCTGCTGAAGCTGTCAGTGTCTGGCAACATGGCCCATCGGTCAGAACAGCGAGCTGCTGCCTACCTGCTCGGTATCCGGGGCAGACAGCCAGGTCGTCAGAGAGCTCAGGGTAGGGCGAGGGCGTTCGGCACGCAAGGCTCCAAATGGCAGGCGAGATACAATGCAATCGGACGACTCTCACTTTTTTGGTTCTGGGGGTGCGTTCCTGTGCCGAATGGAGCACTCGCTGGAGGAAAGGAGTTGGCAGACAGGGCGGCTGTTCGGTGGTTGCGCTAGCCGTGTAATTTTTTTAGGTTCGTCGTAGGGCAGTTCCGGTGCTGTATGTCGTACACTTGCACTGCCAATTAGCGCCTGCCCCCCCTGGGCAGTTTCCGAAATACGTCGTATCGAAAAAGGGAGGGTGGCAAAATAGTGAAACAAAATGATTACATAGCACGGTACTTTAGAGATAGTGTCACGTGAATCGAGCCAGACAGGGCTCTGTATTATTTGAGACAAATGAAATACGAACAGCTTTCTAGCCTGTAAGACTCCTGTTGAGAGGCACTGCCAGAGGTTGGCCTACGTTTTATGCGGACATGTCATTAAGAGCCGCCTACGCAAGATCTGGTGACAGGATTTAGCTAAAGATTTAGCCTCCAGTACTACTGTATGTAGCTATGTTTGCGAGTAGATGATAGCTCACCGCTTTTCTCGGCACAGAATTACCCAATGCATCTCTTCCTTGTTGTTCACTAAGATTTAGCCTATGTCGAAAGGCAACCACTAACCATTCTGAGAAGCTTTCATGTATCCCATCTTGTTAGATTTGCTCCTGCTTGCTGCAAAGCGGCCATCCCATGCCAGTAGGCTGTACCTCACCGAGCACTGCTAGTAGGAACTCGTATACGGAGTAAGCAATAAACAAAGCAATAGCCCCGGGAAACGAAACATGCCCTGTAAAAAAGAAACGAAAGATACAAGCGGACATGACGCTCTCACGTAATCGAGGCTAGTAGATCTCTTGACGCTAAAACACCAGCAAATGAAAATCCTTGAAAGCAGACAAATGGGGTAATTTACGGGTCTTTTATGTCACGTGAATATCATAATTAAAATGAAATTCGCCAGGCCTTGATAGCGCATTGACAATGGTGGAGATCTCGTAGCCAAAGTGGCCATTGCAGCCCCATGCGACAGGAGCGGCTGCCAATGGACAATGCGGAGTCGTCTGCGCGGCCAGCAGTGTAGATGGGTTTGTGTCTGAGCGACCGGTCTGGACGGGATGCTCTGTGCGGCCCCAGCTTCTCACGCGCCGCCGTTGTCCGAGTGCTCGTCCAGCACACGCGCCCGGACCAGCCGCAGCGGCTCCGACGGCCGGTCATCCTTGCCGGTCTGGACCTGTCCCATGCGACGAAGCACCGAGAGACCAGACCGCACGCGACCAAAGATGGTGTGCTTGCCGTCGAGCCACGGCGTCGGGGCCAGTGTCAAGAAAAACTGGCTGCCGTTGGTGTTGGGGCCGGCGTTGGCCATGCTGAGGATGCCGGCGCCGGTGTGCTTGAGCGGCGATGAGGTGGCGGCCAGCTCGTCGGCAAAGGTCTTGCCGTAGATGGACTCGCCGCCACGTCCGGTGCCGGTCGGGTCGCCGCCCTGGACCATAAAGTCGGGAATGACGCGGTGGAAGATGGTGCCGTCGTAGTAGCCGCGTTGGGCCAGCGTGGCAAAGTTGCGACAGGTGCGTGGGGCGTGGTCTGTGTAGAGCTCGACCGTGACAGTGCCCTGGTCGGAGAGGCGGATGTGTCAGCAGAGACAGAGTCGCGGGAGGGCAGACTCAACGAGACGACATAGATCTTACCATGCTGGTGTCGAGCGCAACGGCAGTAGCCATAGTGCAGGCGGACAAAGTGACGGCCGGTTAACAAATGGACAGTATCGACAAATGCGAGATCAATGGGAAATCAAGGAGCAGTGCGGGTGGTACGGAGTACGGAGTACTGGCGTGCCTCCAATGCGTTTTGTGTGTCGAAAAAGTACGGCGCAATAGCTAAGCAAAATTTTGCCGCCATTATGAATGTCACCACAGCCCGATTTCAGAGCTCACCGCCCGCTACATAAATCCACCCACAGCACCTAGAAGTTCATCCACACTCTCAGCACAAGGCATAGCCTACGTTGTACGCGCATTCTTGCTCATGTTTCACGTCACATTTACATGTTCGCATAACGTCACGTCGGAGAGCTACCAAGCCTGATTTGGAGGCGTTACTCCTCACACTTTTATTATATACCATTTGACTTCTATCGAATAGCTGGCATTTTCTTATCCTTATCAAATCCCATACACCTTCCCAAAACTGCACAGGCAGCTATGTCTTCCTCCATTCCTGAGCTGGTCCTCAACGGCTCTCAGACCAACACTTCTCTGGTGAATGGCACGATCGATACTTCTGTGCCTTACGCCGTCTTGGCCAACACCTCGAGCATTGCCCTTCCAGACTCAACCGTCTGGTCCTTTCTTGGCCTGGCCTATGATCAACGCCACTACCTTCTCGTCCAGGGCCGACTGTTTGCCCTGACGCTTACCATCATCTACATCAGCGCACACAGTGCGCTGCACAGGCCAAACTCGGCTGCACCTCGCAGAGATGAGGCCGAGGACGATGCCAGCAGTGACAAGACGAAACGCGGCATACGACGGCGGCGTCGACGGCGTTCGACGACGAGTGATTCCAAGGAGGGAATCCAGGTCCATGAAGCCATACTGATCCCGTTTGTGGCTGGCGCCGCCCTCGTCGGCATGTACTACCTGTTGCAATACCTGGACGACCCGAAGCTGCTAAGCCGCATCTTACGGACGTACTCCTCCGTCGTCGGCGTGGCCAGTCTGGGCAAGCTTCTCGGCGACGGCCTGCACAGCATGACGTCCCTGGTCTTTCCCAACGTGTGGGCTCGCTGGGATCCCACTGGTCAGCAGGAGGTCTTTCGCATCGATCCGACTCGGCGATGCCAGCTTCGCCAGCAGGTCCGCCAGCAGGAGCCGGCGCCCGGGGGCGAGTCTCCCGATGGCTGGACTGTCGACACGATTCGGATCTCGCCCTTCCCAGACCGGTTGGCCTGGCTGGCTCGCACGCCCGCGGCAACTGCACAAGCTTGGACGCTGCGACGCCTCATGCGCGAGCAGTGGACCGTCCGCGTGGCTATGGCTGGCTTCGGCAATGCCGAGCTGGACGTCACGCTCAGCACGCTTGTCGGCATCTACGTGTCTGCCGGCCTGGTGGCCGCCTACTGCTTCACCTCGGCGGCCTCGTCGCATACTCTGAACAATCTGCTTGGCCTGGGCTTCTGCTACGGCAGTCTCATGCTGGTGTCGTGCACCTCGTTCGGCATCGGCTCTATTGTGCTTGTGGGCCTGTTCGTCTACGATATCGTCATGGTATTCTATACGTAAGTAATACCCCCGCTCCGGCCTGCCTGCTGCTCTTCTGGCATTCCGATTTCTGACGCAGACGACCTCATAGGCCGTTTATGGTTACTGTAGCCATGAATGTCGACGCTCCTATCAAGCTTGTTGCCAGCTCGGGCACCCGCTCGAGCATTTTGGGACTTGGGGACATTGTCGTTCCCGGCATCTTCGTCTGCATGTGTCTACGCTACGACCTCCACCGATTCTATGCGCGGCAGATCCAGAGGGTTCCCACCACGCTTGTGACGGAGACGGTGGCCGAGGACGGTGCCGCGGTGTCTACAGCCACGGCCACCAAGGACCGCGAAGTGAAGGCGTCCTTCATCGAGCCAAAGGGTCGTTGGGGCGACAGGCTGTGGACGATGGGCTTGTGGGGCACGCTGTCATCGTCGTTACCGCTGACGCCTGGTCTGCGTGCGGCTGCGTTTCCCAAGCCGCTCTTTCACACAGCCATGGTGGCCTACTTTGTGGGTCTGTTGGTGGCGGTTAGCATCATGCTGTACACGCGACGGGGACAGCCGGCGTTGCTGTATCTGGTGCCAGCCGTTCTCCTGGCGACGTGGGGACGGGCTCTTGCGACCGGCGAGCTCAAGCAGATGTGGGCGTACACCGAAGACGAATCAGCAGACGTGAAGGAAGTTGTGGTAGAGTTAGGGCCGGATGGGAAGCCGACGAAGAAGGCTGAAGAGGAAGTGAGTGTAGCGGGCGACAAAAAAGATAAGACAGTGGGAGAAAAGAAGGACGACGACGACGACAACGACGACGATGACGACGAGGGCGAGGATGTGCTGTTGTTTTCGCTGCAGACGCCGATCGAGGCGACGTCTGCAGATCTGGAAGTGATATGAGAGCGGAAGGGTGTTGCCAGCAGTTCAAAATTCTATGCTGAAATACGCTTACTACGTCGTGCAAATCACGTGAATTAACACACAACTTGCAGCTGTCCGTCTCCTCACTAGCACTGCCGCAGCTCATCTAAAAATAACGGCCGAAATAAGCCAAAATAGCGTCAGTCTGTTCGCCGGACTACCTCAACCCATCCCCAATAATCGCCGGCTCGACGCAGGAACGGCTGCTACCAAGTACTATGCCTGCAGGCTTGTCGGTAGGATAGTCACCTTTATCTGAGCGGCAGCTTTCTATCAGCCATGGACGTTCTTTCAGCATCTCCCGACCAGCCTGTGCTGGTGCAATGGCTGCTGGACACACGCAGCTTGTGGCCCGAGGCCACGCAGACGCAGCAGCTCAAGACAGTGGTACGTAGTCTTCCGGAGTTTGTCCGGGGAGGGATACCGGAGACTTACGCAGCCAGGCATCGCGGGCACTTGGGGTCCTCCTGACGGACGCAGACCGGACATCGGTGCTGCGATACTTCCACGTGCGCGACGCCAAGATGGCGCTGGCATCGCTGCTGCTCAAACACCTGATCGTGGCGCGCTGTGCGGGTGTGTGCTGGGAGCGCACGCGGCTGACGCGGAATGCACACTCGAAGCCGGTCTACCGGGTGCCCGAGGGGGGCACGCAGCCAGTGGCCTTTAACGTCAGCCACCAGGCCGGACTGGTGATGCTGGCGGCAGTCTACGGCGGCGAGAAGCGGCACGGCGTCGACGTGGGCGGCTTCTTTGACGTGGGCGTCGACGTCGTGTCGCCGGGTGAACGACGTGGCCGCGACCACCAAACAATCGATGCCGAGGGCTGGGGATCGTTTGTGGACATGCACGCAGACGTGTTTGCGACCGGCGAGGCCGAGTGCCTCAAGCACGAAGTGCTGAGCGTAGTGTCGTCGTCGTCGTTGTCGTCGTCATTGATGCTCAGCCCGAACATGGATCTGGTCGACCTCAAGCTGCGCTGCTTCTACACGCTCTGGTGTCTGCGCGAGGCGTACGTCAAGATGACGGGCGAGGCACTGCTGGCGCCGTGGCTGGGCGAGCTCGAGTTCCGTCGGTTCCGGCCACCGCCACCGGTGCAGTCGCCACCGTCGGACACGACGGACTTGCGGCAGGACGCAGCGGCAGCCGTGACGACGCATGACATCCGGCTTCGCGGGCACGCCGTCAACGACGTCAACATGTGTCTGCAGGCCCTCGGCGACGACTTCATGGCGTGCACGGCCATCCGGACACCAGCAGAGCCGGCGGCAGCAATGGGGCTCGTCATCGGGCCGTTTGAGGTGCTCGACCTGCAGGACATGCTCGACTTTGCCGAGCGGTTTCGCGAAGGAAAGATGTAGACAAAGTGGCGGACGTGGAAATCATGGAAATCGCAGACTCGCAGAATCGCAGAATCGCGGGATCGCGGGATCGGGGGAACGTGGAAACGCCGATCGTGGGACCGTGCAGATACAAGATACACACTACGCAAAGGCCAGAGTTCTGCCACTGGCTGCGACGACGTGCCTGCATAGCACCACATGCTCAGCTGAGCCTCACTGCGGGATTATACGAGTATGTCGTGCGTTCTCCGGCAGCAGCCAGTTCGGGCGACCGACTACTCCGTATTACAGGCAGCAGCGATGCACGGCCGGTACGACTTCCCAGGCCGGCCAAGCCACTACGGCCTTCTAAGCTGCCTGTTGTGGCGGAAATACGAGTACCCCGCTAATCTGCTTTGTCGCAAACGCCACAGGCGATCACAGCTAAAACAGGAGGTCCAACCAAGGTCTCGCTCGTAGGCAGTTGGCAAAAGGTCGTTGCTTGGAATGGCGAAACTGCCCTTTTAGTGCGACGTCATTCCAGATCGGGCTCCTTCTTTTCCTGATTTCCTGATTTCCTGATTTTCTGCTTCCTGCTTTGCCTCCTGTCTTCCGGCTTCTGGCATCGGTCTTCCTGCTCTCCCACTCCCATTCTGACTTTAGGCTTCGTCGGTTTCCCCTACGTTCCCCTTGCCAAGGTTGCATTGCTGCCAATGGTTCATCTGTCGAATTAAACGGGAAAGCGGTCAGATCGACCGAGTTTTGACCAGCTCGACATACTGCCCTTATCTGCTCCTTTTGACACTTTGCTATTATCCCCCCGTATATCCGACAATCTGCTTTGGTCGACCATCCATCGCACTTCATTTCTTCGTTCATCCATCAGCTCCCAATCATCCATCGCGGCCCCACAGCAGCCGACTCGCTTTGCTTTCAGCTGGCCACAATGTCTGACGCCGGTGAAAGGTGAGTGGCCAGCCATTGTTGTCCCTGGCTGGTGCACATGCAGCAGCTAATCAAGTGTCACTCCTGCAGCCACCACAAACGATCCAAGAGCACGGCCCTGTCCATTCTCCGACGCAAAGACCGCAGCTTTACGGCCCTCGACGAAGAAGCCTCCGAAGATGGATCGACACCGGGCGTGATGCTGTCGACCTCGGCCACCTCACAGACGGCAGGTCCATCAATGGCTTACCAGCAGCAGCCACTGCAGCAGCCGATGCCGACGGCCCGGGGCCATCTCTCGCGCAAGTCGACGTCGTACATCACGTCATCATCGAAGCTACAGGGCACCACGGCCACTATATTGTCGTCGTCGGCTTTGTCGTCGTCGCCAGTCGCCGCGTCTCCTTTCTCGGCAGCAGCTGCTGGGGGCAACGGTAGCAGCAACGCGCACGAAAGGGCCCACCTCAACACACTGGAGCAGTCGGTGCGCAAGTTCCGTATGGTGGAGGCGCTGCGCAACGGCGACACGGCGTCGATCTCCAAGGCGATCCGCGAGACGAGCGGCGACAGCAATACAAACCCGCGGGCGAGCGTGTCGTCGGTGACGGTCGGGCTCGACGACACGACGATCCTGCACTTGGCGATCCAGTGCGCCGAGTTTCCGGTGGTGGAGTACGTGTTGTCGGACGGGGCGTCAGCGATAGACATCAACGCCCGGGACAAGGACGGCAACACGGCGTTGCACCTGGCAGCAGCACAGGGCCGGACGCATGTGGTGCGGCTACTGCTGGCGCAGAACGGCATCAACGATGCGGTGATCAACAACATGGGCCGCGTGCCGCTGGACCTGGCACGCAACCCGGAGATCTTCCAGCTGTTGCAGCTGTCGCGGTCGCTGTTCGCTGAGAGCAAGGTGCAGGAGGTGCAGGACCTGATTGCACGCAACGAGTACAAACGGCTGGCCGAGGTGCTGGAGGAGCCACGGCTCAAGACGGTGCTGGACATTAACAGCACCGAGTTTGCCATGAACCCGATGACCATGCAGGCAGGCGGCACGCTGCTGCACGACGCGGCACGTGCCAAGAACTCGCAGCTGATCCAGGTGCTGCTGCTGCACGGGGCGGACCCATTCCGGCGCGACCGCAAGGGGCGGCTGCCGCAGGACGTAACCAAGGACGACGTGACGCGGGCGATGTTGAAAAAGTCGCCGGCGGCCGTGGCAGCCCAGCGCGGCATCCAGGAGAAGGCGGTGCTGGGTGCAGCGGCACAGGGCGGCGGTCTGGGCTACGGCAGCGGGTCGAGTGCAGCGCTGGGCGTGAATAATGGCGGCAGCGGTGGCAGCCCGTCATCCAGCGGTGGTGGTGGCGCGGCGAGCGGTGTCGGCAGTCTCGGAGGCGGAATCGGCAGTGGCGGTGGGAGCGGGCACTCGGCGAGCGGCAGCACGGCCTCGGGAATGGGCATTGGAGGCATCGGAGCGGGCATGGGAGCGGGTCTGGGCAGCAGTGGCAGCGGCAGCGGCAGCGGCAGCGGGATGGGCAACAGCGGTGCAGTGATCGCGGCGATGATGATGGATCCGCTGGCAGGACGCGAGGCGCGGGAGATGAAGGGATACCTCAAGAAGTGGACCAACTACCGCAAGGGATACCAGCTGCGGTGGTTCGTGCTGGAGGACGGGGTGCTCAGCTACTACAAGCACCAGGACGACGCAGGGTCGGCGTGCCGGGGCGCGATCAACATGCGGATTGCGCGGCTGCACATGAGCGTGGACGAGAAGACCAAGTTTGAGATCATAGGCAAGTCGTCGGTCAAGTACACGCTGAAGGCGAATCACGAGGTGGAGGCAAAGCGCTGGTTCTGGGCGCTCAACAACTCGATCCAGTGGACCAAGGACCAGGCCAAGGAAGAGGAGAAGCGACGGGCGCTCAGCGCGGAGCGGCTGCGGCAGGCCAAGGCGGAACACTCGCACTCGCAGTCACTGCAGGCGGGCACGGGCAACGGCGGTGGCGAGGCGCTGAGCGAGAGCGCGAGCGTGGGGGAGAGCGCGATGGGCGGTGGGATCAGTGCGCGGCCGAGCAGCGTGCAGCTGACGCGGATCACGTCGACGGCAGGACGGTCGACAGCGACGGGCCGACTGCCTGCGACAGGTGGCGGCGCAGGAGCGAGCACGGTGGGCAGCGTGGACGACGAAGCAGGCGGTGGGATGGGGATGGCCGGAACCGAGATGGACGGCGAGTCTCGCGGACCGGGACATCGGGGGGACAACGACGAAGACGAAGACGAAGATGCGGACGGGTCAACGGGCCAAGACCGAGAGGTGCCGACGGCAACACGGGACGCATTCACGATCACGGCACAGTCAGCACGGCTGCAGCTGGAGACGATGGCACAGGTGACGCAAGCGCTGGTGGCAGAAGCCGGACGCAACACGACGCTGACGCTGGCGGACGGACGGATGACGGCAGCGCTGTCAGCATACGACGCGGCGATCCGGTCGCTGACGGGGCTGGTGGGCGACCTGATGCGAATCTCACGGGACCGGGACGCGTTCTGGCAGTACCGGTTGGACCGCGAGGTGGAGATGCGGCGGATGTGGGAAGAGAGCATGGCGCAGGTGGCGCGAGAGCAAGAGGCGCTGGAGGCGCGGGTGGGCGAGGCGGAGGAGAAGAAGCGGACGGCGCGACGTATCCTCAAAGAGGTGATTGGGAGCGGGATGTTGGGGGGGGTGGCAGAGGAGGGTGAAGCGGAGCGAGAGGGCGAGGGCGAGGGCGAGAGCGAGAGCTCGAAAACGGGTGATGAGAAGGACGGAGGAGTGGAGAAGGACGCAGAGGTGCCAACAGAATCGACGGCACAGACACAGACACAGACGGCGACCAGCAGCACAGCAGCGATCAGCCAGTCACAGCGGCGGGCGGTGCTCAAGCAGCAGGTGGCAGCAGCAGGCCTGTCGGACTCGGAATCGGAGGACGAGGAATTCTTTGACGCGGTGGACGCAGGCGAAGTGGAGGTGGAGACGAAGCTGCCATCGGAGACGGTGGTCGAGACGGGCGGCAAAGAGACGCAGACGGGTTCGGACAGCAAGACAGAACAGACGGACGGGACTTTACAGTCGACAGCGGCATCGATTGTGGTGTCGTCGGGAACAGACATCAGCCAGTCCTTTAAGGGGTACGAGAACGGGATCCGGACGCGGCTGAAGATCGATGCGGACAACCGGCCGAAGCTGTCGCTCTGGAGCATTCTCAAGTCGATGGTGGGCAAGGACATGACCAAGATGACACTGCCGGTGACATTCAACGAGCCGACATCGCTGCTATACCGCTGCGGTGAGGACATGGAGTACGCCGACCTCCTGGACTTGGCGGCCGAGCGAACAGATTCGCTGGAGCGGCTGATGTACGTGGCGGCGTTTGCGGCCAGCGAGTACGCGTCGACGATCGGACGGGTGGCCAAGCCGTTCAACCCGCTCCTGGGCGAGACGTTTGAGTACGTGCGGCCGGACAAGAACTACCGGTTCTTCATCGAGCAGGTTAGCCATCACCCGCCAGTGGGTGCAGCCTGGGCTGAGTCGCCGCGGTGGACATACTACGGCGAGTCGGCAGTGCGATCCAAGTTCTACGGCAAGTCGTTTGACATCAACCCGCTGGGGACGTGGTTTCTGCGGCTGCGGCCGACCCACGGCGGACGCGAAGACTTTTACACGTGGAAGAAGGTGACGTCGTCGGTGGTGGGCATCATCACGGGCAATCCGACAGTCGACAACTACGGGCCGATGGAAATCCGAAACTGGACGACGGGCGAGGTGGCCCACGTGGAATTTAAGCCGCGCGGCTGGACGGCAGCCTCGGCCTTTGTGGTGTCGGGCAAGGTGGTGGATGCGAGCGGTCGCGTGCGCATGTCGCTGGGCGGTCGATGGAATTCGCGGCTGTACGCACGACTGACGCCGGGCTACCAGACGACGGTGGGCGAGAATCCGTCAGCGGCGGCCAGCGGCAGCAGTGGCACCAACGGCACCAGCATTGTGTCAGCGCCGGCCGGCAAGGTGTACGACGGCAGCATTGCGGACCAGAGCAAGGCGTACCTGATCTGGCAGGCCAACGAACGGCCGACCGGCATTCCGTTCAACCTGACGCCGTTTGTGCTGACGTTCAACCACGTGGACGAGCAGCTGCGGCCGTATCTGGCACCGACAGACTCGCGGCTGCGGCCGGACCAGCGCGCCATGGAGGAGGGCCGCTACGACTTTGCGGCCACGGAGAAGAACCGGCTCGAGGAGGGCCAGCGGGCGCGGCGCCAGAAGCGTGAAGCTCGCGGCGAGGAGTTTGTGCCGGTCTACTTTGAGAAGGCCACGTGCGAGATCACGGGCGAGGCGTACTGGAAGTTCAACGGCCAGTACTGGGAGGACCGTGAGCGGGCCGGCCAGGGCGATATCAGTGTGTGGGACAAGATGGAGCCGATATTTGCGTGAGGGGATGTGAAGTGGTGATGTGGTGACGTGGGTATTGAGTTGGGTGTGGCTGTTGAGTGGCTGGTGTGGCTGTTGAGTGGCTGGTGTGGCTATTGAGTGGCTGATGTGGCTGTTGAGTGGCTGAGTGTGGCTGATGCTGTGTCACTGGCCGTGTGGTGTTGAGATGTACGGATGGTTGTTCCAAAGGACTGCTCAAGTATAAATAGCATGCTTCCTTATTACGTACAATATACGTCTTGCGAATCCTTCTACCTGCTGCTGCCCATCTATATTTTTGCCTTTGTCTTCTTGCCGGGTTCCTTTGTGCGAACGATACCCTGTGAATGTTAGCATCCTCTGACTGCTGTCCTGTTCTCAGCTGCACGCACCTCTTGGACGCAGGTGGCCAGCAGCATGCCGTCCTTGCTGAAGATGCGCTGCGTGACGACGCCGCGGCCGCTGTTGGCCCAGGGGCTATCCATTTCGACGAGCATCCAGTCGTCGGCGCAGACGCGATCGGGTTCGTGGAAGTAGACGGTGTGGTCGAGGCTGACGACCATGCCGAGACGAGGGCGTCCGCGGTAGGCCTCGAGGGGGACGCCGCCGCTCTCAGCCTCGACGTGTTGGCGGATGAGCTGGCGGAGCGAAGGGCTGCTGCGAACGAGCTGGTTGTAGGTGGTGGTGTCGTCGTCGTCGTCGTCCTTCTCGTCTCCGACGTCGTCCTCGCCGAGCACGCTCTCGACCGAAAAGGGCAGGCGCCAGAGGCGATGGAGGCGGCAGATGGTGCCGATAAAGTAGCGATCGCTGAGGTAGGCGAGGGCGCAGAGATGGGCTGCGCGGCCGCCAGCCGCCGAGATGCGTCCGCGCACGCGCACCCATTGCTGTGTCTTCTTGCGGTGCGGCAGCGCGTCGACGTCGCCGACGATGTGCATGGGGCCGGCCACAACCGGCTGCTCGACCGGAGCGATGCCGAGCGCCCGCAAGAGCCGCGGCTCGATTCCGCCGTCGTCATCCCAGTCGGCAGGCGGCTGGAGTGGCCGTGACGTCGGCATGGCGACTGCATGGTGGAGAGGAGCGGTCGTGGACATGCTCGTGCTCGTGTCCTTGGGTGGCATCCGCGCAAACGATACCGTCAGCGTAAAGATGCAGCGTCCCCGCTGGCGAGCCTGCACCGTGCGCGTGGCAAAGGACCGGCCGTCACGCACGCGCTCCACGTGCAGCAGGATCGGAATGGCAGCGTTGCCGGCCAGCAAGAAGTAGCAGTGGCAGCTGTGCGGCGCAAAGTCCGGCTCGACCGTCCGCTGGCCCGCCGCCAGACACATCGACACCACCGATCCGCCGTAGATGCCGCGCGCCCCCGGCGGGTGCCATGGCGGCCGCGCGTTCGTATAGACGTCCTGGTGAGGTCAGCAGGTAGGTTCGCCGTCTGCAGGCCGCCCTCGACCCTCGACAGAAAACGTACAGGCCCTAGAACCGACATCTCCGTCACCTCCAGGTTGTTCTCCATCATCGACCGCGCCGGGTCCACCGGAGGCGGCCGCATCATCGTGGGATGCGTCATGTCGATAGCTTGCAAGAGTGGCCAGAAAGGTAGTACACAGAACTAAAGGAAAGGGGGAGACGTGACTGAAGTGTTGTCGTCAAGTCGGTGTCGCGTGCACCGCCATTTCGTCCCCAGAACTAAGACGTGGATCAAATAGACCTCGGCATCTTCACCTCGTTCTTGCCGACGTCAACGAATACCGCGACAAGTCTCCCAGGCTTTTCAGCCAATTAGGTCCATGACAATGGTTCTTCGTGCGTGTTCGGCAATGACTCTATAGCGTTGCCGTACAGCTCCTTTCCCTCGGCTTAGACTCTTGCCAATTGTACTCTCCTCCCACAAGTCCCCGGAAATGGCAATGTCTCAGCCCCAAATGCTCCTTCCCATCGCCAGCTCCTTATCGTCCAGAAAAGCGGGTCCGTAAATACAGGTCACAAAAGTGGGGTCTTCTCCCCCGGCTCATCTGGAGCTACTCCGTACGAGGTACAATGCAAGCCAAGCTGAAAGCTTCCAGCAGCCACCACTGACTCTGTGCCGACACGTCCGCCCATCTTTCTCTGCTAGTCGAGATATGCTTCCCCGGGCAGCGCGCTCGGCCGTGTCTGCCACGGCCACGGCGCCTCTGGTGCGCCTGCCTCTTCGGCTCGGCTCAGCCTCATCCTGGAGCCACCAGAAACCATCGACAGCTTCACCTCTGCCAAGCCGGCCGAGCCGCTCTTTTTTCTCGCCAGAAAACCAGTTCGGCAGCCGACAGTACTCGACCGCGTCTTCGCCTCCGCCCCCGTCTCGCAGGCGGCCCTGGATCCGCCCGTCCACGGTCGTCTTCCTGCTGCTCGGCGCCGGCTTTGGCCTGCCTTTGTACGGCTTCGTCGCCCAGCTGGTGCCAACACTGCCAGACCGCGGCTCGGCTGCCGAGGACAAAGCCCGGGTCGTGCTCGAGACCCGTGCTGCTCGGCTACCTTTGGTCGTGCAGCTGACAACCGATCCGGCCTGGATCGAGTGGACCGTCGGCAGCCGATGGGCCAAAGATCACCAGCCATCATCGACCGACCTCGAGACCGATCTCGCATCCGATTCACCGCGCGAACGCCTCACCCGCGATGCTCTCGGTGGCGTTCAGGGCATGACCGGCTACCACCGCGTCTTCCTCCACGAGCAGACCGGCGAGCTAGTCAGCGTCGTCTACCTCGGCAACGCCCTCTCCGGCTTCCCGACTCGAGCCCACGGTGGTGCCCTAGCCACGCTGCTCGATGAGGCCCTCGGCCGCTGTGCTATTCACACTCTGCCCGCTCGCACCGGCGTCACCGCCCGACTCGAGCTGCAGTACCGCCGCCCCGTCGCCGTCCCCGATTTCTACGTCGTCCGCTGTCGCCCAGAGCTGCCGCCAGCATCGTCCCCCAAAGCCAGCCAGGACCTCCGGAAGCTGTGGTGCTCGGCCACGCTCGAAACAATCGCCGGCCAGACATGTGTCGAGGCTCGTGGGCTCTTTGTCGTTCCCAGGGGCTACAAGCTGGGGCGCGTGGAAGACCGCTTCTAGATTAGATGCCATAGACACGATCCCTTTGCAAATAGACGGCAACACTACGGTTTGTAAATAACTCATTCTTTCTAAAGCTACCTTTGACCAGATGGTCTGATACAAATAGCAACGGCAACAGGCAGCCGCAAGACGCCTGGCTAGTGGAAAGTCAACACGACACAAAACGAATAAACTAAGTAAAGCCAGTTGGCCAATAAAGCAAAACCACAATTTACTGCCATGTGGCTGTTTCCTTTTCTTCTCCCTGCGCACGACCATCCTATTGTACGCACCTTGCAATCCGGGGAGCCGGGGCTTGCTCGGGTGAAGTCTCCAAAGCGTCTTGGGATCCGGGCGTTCCCTGTGTTTCCTGTGTTTCCTGTGCTTCCTGTACTTCCCGTGATTCCTGTGATTCCTGTAGCTTTTGCCAGAGTTGCGCATTCACTTGTTCCGGTAAACGTTCTGACAGTTGGAGTCTCGCAAGTTCCTGGTTAAGCCCGTAAGCTTCACCAGTCGGCCAATGGCCGTTTGCTTGTTCGCCGACAGGCTGTGTAGATCCATTATATTGATGTGCGGCACCAATCGGATGGTTCGGTATGGCCTGTTGATACATATCCGGAGGGATCATGTTCGGATGGACCCAGGTAGGATACATAGCGGTATTTTGATTTTGATAGTTCGCCATGTTATAAGCCACCGGGTAATGATAAATCGGCATATTCTGATACACCACCGAGCTCTGATAATTCTGATAGACGGCTGGATTCTGATGCATCGGCATGTTTTGAGCGATCGACATGTTTCTTTGTGGGTAACGTTGTTCCCTGTGATAAACGTGCGACTTCCTGTTGGGGCTATTTCGGTTTGAATAAGTTTCCGGTTCCTGTCGGTCCTGTCGTTCCTGTCGTTCCTGTCGTCCCTGTCGTTCCTGTCGTTCCGGGCGTTCCTGTCGTTCCGGGCGTTCCTGGCGTGTCTGAGATGCCTGGTTTGTTTTTCCGGCAGCCCCACGGGACCGTCTGCCAGAGCCTGGGCCGGTCTTCTTTTCTGTTTGGACTTTGGGGTTTTTGGGAACTGTGTAGGCCACAGCAACAACAGGGTCCAAGACCAAAGAACTTCCTGCCAAGTTTGCTGAAGTCACAGCGCTTGGCGGCGCCGCCGATGGCTGGAACAGGTGTCTGAGCTCTTTCAGCCTGGCCACCTCCGGCAGCCAGGCACGCACGTACAGTCCTTTCGGATCATAATCGAAGGCCTGTTTGACAGGATTGAGATCCCGCTCTATGCCACGAGGGTCATTGCCCACTCCGGCCGCATACTGCCAGTTGCCCCAGTTGGAATACACATCGTAGTCCATCAGCATCATTTCGTACCACTCCGCACCACAGCGCCAGTCGATTTGCATCCTCTTGGCGAAGAAGTTCGACACGACCATCCGTGCCCGGTTCGAAGTGAATCCTGTGTACATGAGCTCTCGCTGTGACGCGTCGATCAGCGACAAGCCCGTCGTGCCAAGCTGCCACCGGCGCAGGTAATTTGCGGTTTGTTCAGGACTTTGTTCCTGGTCCCAGTCTGCCATGTCGGCCCGTGGTGAAAACCAGGTGAATTTTTGCATCGTTGGTTTTTCTGGGAGTTCGGGCTCCTCTTCTTCCTCCTCGGAATCGGCAGACGTCTCTCGTTTGTAAACTATGTCACGGCCTAGCTTGCCGCGGAATCCTTCCTGGTGATCTATCACGTCCTTGAACCGGTGTCCGTTGAGCCGCATAAAGTCTCGCCAGAGCAGTTCTTTCCGCAGTGCATGACTTCCTTCGTTCTCGCCGCCGCCAAAGCCTTCGGCTGCGGCCATGGCGTCGTTTGACCCATCCTCGTACTGCACCAGTGCTTGGTGGACCAAACGTGCCGTCAGACAGCCTTGAGAGAGATACCCGGAGAGCCTGGAGCTGAACTGGCGGCCGAGCAGCCCGTCTTTTTTCTCGGCATAACCAGCAACGAGACCGGCATTTTCGGGCAAAAACAAGTCACGGAGGCGTTTGTTGGCCTCTGTTTCACCTCCTTCGAGTATGGTTGCCCAAGGGACCTTTTTGCATATTTTCACCTCGTACAGAAACCTGTTGTCGCAGTCACGCCTGAGCAGCGGAGCAATCAGGGCAGCCTCGATGCCATCCTTGTCGTCGGGGATGACAAATGGCAAGCTCTGAGTTGGGGCTGGGAGATATGTCGGTAGTGTTGATGCCCGTGGAACCGGAAGGGGCTCGGCGGGCCGTTGACGTAGTGGTTCACACTTTTTCTGATACTGAGTGTATGTGTCTGGAAGCTCATCGAGTGAGGGGACAATGGCATGGTTACTGGGCTTGTCAGTATACACTCCAGAGATGGTAAATGGCACAGGAATGGAAGGGACATACTCGGCAATGAAGTGCTTCTCGTTTGGCCAGAGGTAGTAGTGTATACCAAGCTCCTCACACATGGTCCCGATCTCGTTCTCGTCTGCTTCTTCTTCGGAACCGTCCTCTTCGGCCATCCATACGGCAGAAACACGATGTCCCTCTGCAGTCAAACCGGCAATCATCCGCTCGACGACCTCGGGCAACATGCCAACTCGGATCGAGAGCCCGCTTCCCAAAGACTCCAGGGACTGCTTCACGTCTGCAAGGCATTCGGAAATGAACCTGGCACGGTGAGGTCCACACCTCCAGTAGCCGACAATCTTGCTCTTTGCTTCTGGATACGGACTAGTCGTATTTGACGATCTAGGAATGAAGCCAGAAACCTCTATCTGATTAGCCGCAAAGACATAGAGTGGAAGCATATGGGTAAAGTTGTATTTCGTAGGGTTTGTGGAAACTTCGTGGAGGATACGATTGTCTGCCACACGAAGATCTCGCCGGAGGATGTATATGAGAACGTTGCTGTCCGGCTTTTCAGTGCTGGGGTTGCTCTGTTCTTGGGCATTCTGTGTTGATTCCATGATAGTCCACGTAAATTCCAGAGGTAGATGTAGTAGATGGGGTAACTCCCTACTGAAGCAGCGAGGAAAGTGTTTGAAAAGAAATAAGAATCAAAGATCAGCTAGCTATGCGAAACAAGCAGCAATACGCAGAACTTTGATGCTGTCGAGTTAACCAAGTTTTCAAGTCAAAATCGGCCAGGGACTATGTTTGCGGATGATATGAGAGAGAAAGAAAAAAGAAAATGAGGGTGGGAAGAAGAGTTTATAAGATTTCTCCATAGAGAGAGCTGACGGTATTGACTCCCCCCTCTAGAGATCTCGATTATCGTGCGAGTTGGTTTGTAATGACTTCTGCGTATGTAATGACTTCTGTGACCAAAACAACATCAAGTAAAAAGCAACAGCGGCATAATCTCGCGTGGGTGGTACTAAGCAAAGCAAGGTTGCCCCGTATATTGAATTTCAAGATCTCGTGGCTCGTCACGGGAGAAGAGTTGTTGTCGACTCGAGGGTCCACTGACAAGGACCAGAAGTTGTCGCTATGTAAGAGTTGTAAGTCAAGCCAGTGCGGAAGACTTGCCACAGCGACTGTGCAAGACGTGCTCGTCTCTACCAAGCAAAAAATCGACAGGAAGAAAGAGGAGAGGAGAGGACGGGTGCAAAAGAAGAAGAGAGGAAGAGAATTAGAGGAGAAGAGAGGAAGGTAAGATGAAGTTGAAAGTCAGATCACTCTCTGGCCGAAAAGGAAAGGGACGTTGGAACAGCAAAAGAAGAGGGAACCATGAACATCCTAGACGTTCCATTGTACCTTCCTTACTAATCTAGATGCATGTCTGGTCAAACAGGCCAACAACCGCGGAGAACTGGCAGATTCAATGCCATACATGGTCATTCTTTCCTAAACAAGAGCCTAGCTGGGTATTCTCGATCTCCCTTCCAATTAGGTATCATTGATGTGACTGGACGGGATAAGTGCGTTGCAGCGCTCTGCCCTACATACTTGACCGTCAGCCGCCCGCGTGAGTGGGGATGTGAAATAGCATTGCACTGCGCAGCCAAGGTGAGGGCTTGTGAAAACAGCACCTCCGGGCTTGAGCCGGTGCTCGTTCCGCGAACCCCCCTGTCTTGCCTGCCGGTTCTGCAAGGATGAGTGGTAAAACCTCGTCATCGTCTTGCGACATGGAAAGAGAGGGTACGTTTAGACACGGTCGCAATGACCGATGCTGGCCAGACAGCTTGCAATATTCCGGTCGACTTAGCTCACCGATGGAACTGCTACATAGTATACTGCTCCATGGGAAGCTCAAACAAGTCTCAAGGGCGGGGGGGAGAGGAGGGGGGGGGGTGAAGATTTTCACAGCCCGCAGACGGTAAAACCGCAACCACGACCAGGGTCCACGAAGTATTGGATGCGGGCTGTACAGCGACCGCAGGGGCCAAACAACGCGTTCAGAGAATATACCGAGGACATGCAGTTTCCAGCGGGGAAGATAGAGCCTATACGAAGTACAGCAGCGTGCATTTTGCAGCTCCACCTCCTCAGGCTGTCTCAGCTCCATGTTTCCCTCTGCAGGGACATTTGTGGCCGGAGCCTTCCACCAGACCGGTATACTACAGCGCCCTCCCAAAAATATCGAAAAATCGCCCCGCCAACCAGATTTCCCGGCCAACGGTACAAAGGGGTACGTTGTCTTTAACAGCTAGTACCGCCTGCTATACTGCTTTTAATAGCTAAAAAAAGTATTCATATTATAGATTAAGTACTATTCTTCAATATTTAGTATACCAGCCATGCGCCTTATGTACAGCGGCCAAGCGCCGGGGCAGAGAGTCAATGAACAGATCAATCGCTTCCTGGCTAATCGACCACCAACAGTCTCGAATAGCAGCCTCGAAAGCAGCAGAATCCGCAATGTTTTTCTTTAATTCCCATATAGTAGGGTATTTTTTAATTAAAATACGCTTCATTTGGGCCCAAACATGCTTAATTGGATTTAAATCCGGACTGTGGGCAGGCTAAAAAGGAAGCAGCTTAATTTGATTCTCTGCTAGCCAATTCATTGACGATGCAGATATATGTACCTTCGCGTTATCTTGCTAAAAGTAACGAAACCATTGTAAAAAGGTAGAAGGCCCTCCTTTAATGCTTTTTAATAGCTCTACAAAGTATAGCCACCTTTTTTGCCCTTGCCAAAGTCTCTCTCTATTAAGATTAACTCTGTTCGGCCTCCCTTCCAAATCCCACCCTAAAACATTAATGAAATAGCAGGTCTTCCGTGCGATCGAAGGTTTACATAGTTCCGTAGCCATTTCTGCGCAGATGTTCGAAAAAGGAAAACAGCACCGTTATTTGCAACGTTTTGGCAGCTGCTTTCATTAGAAAAGAGAGTAGCAAATTAGCTAAGATTTATAGTATTAACAAAACATAACATATAGAAAGCAATTCTTTATTGTTTCTAATCTAGTCGCGTGTAAAATTAAGCCGATCCTTTACATTTGCTACAGTAAGAGGTATTCTTTCTAAAGCTTTCCATTTTCGTATATTTTGTTCACGAAAGGCGCGCCGTATAGTAGAAGCAGACGGCCGAGCAAGCACTCTTTTTGCTAGCTCGTTATATGTAATTTGGGGCTCTTGTTTCGTCTGTTGAATAAGGTATCGTGTGTTTGAACAGCTAAGAATCCTTGGCCTACCGCGGCCAGACCTATTAGCAAAGCTATGTGTAGCTGTAAAGCGATTAATCGTAGTGTAGATAGTAACAGGACTAACGCCAAATGCGCGTGCAACGGCTGACTGCGACGCACCGCCGGCTACAGCACCAAAGGCAACTGCGCGTGCTACCAGACTTAACTGGCCTTTAGCCGTCCTATCGGCCGTCAAAATGCTACCGATTTTTAATTAGATTAAGCATCTTTTCGTCGATTTATGGCCTTTTTAAGAATGGGTGTAGGTTTTTAATTAATGGAGGACGCGAAAATGCGCGATCACTTTTTCGATATTTTTGGAACCCCACTCACTGTACGTACAGCACCGCCTGAACCGACACCCCCAGTCCAGGCTGTGCTGGAGCCCCAGCTAGGGATCACCATCAGCTAGATCTCGTCAATCTGACTCGCGAAAAAAAATCCCCTAAACGGCAGATCCACTATTACACATCCTATTGTCCCCGTCTGCATCCGAAGGCTCTCATTTTTCCTATCGTTACATACGCGGGGCAGAAAGCCCACGGACAGGCCGTGGTTGCAAACTTAAAGCATCAATCCAGCTTGTAGGTTTCTAATGTTGCAACACGGAGGCCCTCCAGAACACAAAGACTCCACACCGCAATGTCTCTCGGTGAGACTACGACGTAGAAAGCCCATCGTACAGCGAATGCCAAACTCTACCTCAACTATCGGGCAGCGCCGCCTTCTAGCTGCTCGGTCTGTCAACTCTCACAGTCCAAGAGGCAAGAGCAAATCCCTGCAAATGGCGGCGAGCTTGAGCTCCCTCTTTCCCTCTCATTTTCTATGAAGCGAGTATTCCGCACACTCAGCTCGTCGATGCTTGCATACACCCCTACACCTTGTAGCAGTCTGTCACAGCCCTGCAAGGCCCTGTGCATCTCACAAGCTGTTGGTGGCAACTAATTTTAAAGCATTCGTATACGATTATACAGGCCCATCATGGGACTGCCAACCAATCTTACAGAGACCACGGCTACGTGACGGGTAAGTCATCACCAGTGGCAAACGTCATGTTGCCTGTATGTTCAGCTAAATCGCAAGCTATGCAAAACATAGGCGCCTACTAAGCTGAGAACCACAAACCCTAGGCTTTTGTTTTCCATAGCACGTTGTTATCGGCACAGTCTACAGACTGCCATACCAATATTCTCTGTCCTTGTCACTTCGTTCCAAGTGATAGCGCTCCTGCCAGTGCCTCACAGCTGAGAAAATACACAAATTGACTGACATAAAACGGTGCTACACCACTGTACCGTCTCTGAGCTCGCCCTCCTTGGCCGCCTTGACCGCCTTTGCTGACAAAGTGCTCCACGTCGAGTCCGGGGTCGATACCACATCTGCACCTTTTTCAGCCGAAGATGTTGCCCTGCCACTGCACGAGCGCACTGCCCACTTCGAGACAGCTCCATTGTTAGGCTTACTAGCCAGAGCTCGTGGCGTTGTGAGAGCAATGTTATAGAGTGCTTGCAGACCGCTTCGTCGGGTGTTGTTGATGGCTTGCCATCGCTCCAGCGCAGGTTGACCACACGCCCTTCGTTGATTCCTTCACGACCATTCTTGCACGCGTCGTAGAGCTTGCGCAAGTATCGGGTGTAGCGGAACCCATGTGAGATTGGCATGTTTGGGTGCATTAGATGCCACTCGCCTTGCCGTGCGCGTGTCAATCCTACGTTAAATCGGTACATTCCATCCATAAAATCGGTTGGATGCTCTCGCACATAGTCGATCCCGACAATGTCAGCCTCGTGTCCCTGGGCACTGTCCCATGTCCGAGCTTCCACCCTCTCCAGAATGCTGAATCCGGGATGAGCCGCTGCAAGTGTCTCGATCGCTTCTTTGTACTTCGCTACCGCAGCTTTGTAAGGGGTCAGAAGCAATATTGTACCAGGCTTGGCCGTATTTCCGGTACACCGGAAATGCTTGTCCAGCACCAGGTCCAGGACCCGCTGCATGGTCCATTCCAGGTGCTGCTGGTGGTACCAGCTTGTACCAACTTGGGATGCATGGCCGATTTGCAGCAGGTGTACAATCAGCCGTGGGACGACGCAGTTCATTCCCGAAAGATTGCGGAAGTAATTCCGGACGAACCCGGCACATGGGGGGAATCTGTCTGCGTGAGGAATGCCTGACACCATTTGGCCATCGTATATCAATTTAGACGGTAAGCGCTCCAGCCGTCCATACGCCCGGTGATTAATCAGCAACTGGTACTTAAGAACACCTGCAAGGTATGCTCGCTCCATCGCAGAAGTTTGCAGTTGCAGTGCCAATGGATTGGTCTGCCGGCTCTTTGCAGTTGGCTGGGTCTGTCGATGGTCGCCAATGAAAATCCAGCCCACGGTAGGGCAAAAGCTTCCAATTGCAATCAGTGTCGAAAGTTCCCGGGCATGGGCAGCCTCATCGAAGATGACAAGATCTGGAAAGAACATATCTTTGAAGGCCGTCGCCGCCACACAGGGTGTTGCAGCGATGAAATCGGCTTCTTGGAGCACTGTTTGGTACAGGAGAAAAATCTCCCGCCGAAGCGTTCCATTCTCCAGGACGTTGCCATCATTCGCTACCAACAGCTCTGTGAGCTTGCGAAAGTCAGATAGGTTTTCATCGTAATGATTCCACGCTGCCTCATCAAGTGTGACGATAATCTCCCGATGACGATTGGTTTTCTGACTCGGCTCTGTCGATTGAGCCATGTAGATGCGCAAGAAATTTTTCGAAAAGTCGACATCGGGTTCGTCAATATTGCTGAGACGGGCAATTTGGCCGGAGTCTCGGTTGCCATCACCCTGTGCACGATTCTGTGCCGGCCCGAAGCGAATGCTTCTCTTGAGCTCCGTACCAAATGTCCTCATCCTGATGGCTCGCTTCGCAAGCCCAGCACCCCGCATCATCTTAACATACTTGACTGTGGCATCGTCTAGGGGATCATTGATGTCTAGCAGGTACAGAACCTTGGCAGTTGTTCTGCTTTGGAGAAGTCCGATCACGGTCATCGCCCAGTCCGTCTTGCCCCCACCCGGTCCCCCGGGAAGCAGACCTAGCCCACAAGGCATATCGAAAAGAAGACCGTCGTATGCCTCTCTCTGATGCTCGTTCAAGCGCTGATATTTGTTCATGATAAACGTCGGGATGCCAGAGTTAAACTGGTCTGGGTTTTTCATATGTGGGAAATGCTCGAACAGGTTCACCGAGAAAGCCGGATTGCGGAAGTCTAGAAGATACTTAAACGCGGCAAATTGTTTGACTTGGATTGCTCGACGGTTCGGAAACCTCCCTTTTCCGAAACTCGACGGGGGCTTGCTCGGCTGGTGTTGATTCTGGTTATGGTAGATCTTGTTTTTCTTTGGCACCTGCCCGGGAGCAGCATTGCTGGTATTGGCTATAGACGGAATAGTGGCTGCTCGGGAAAGCCTGCCCAAACACCTCATCTCGGCATCAAATGTAGCACTGGGCTTTGAAAAGAAGAAGCCGACATGAATAGAATTGTTGTCGTTCAAGATCAGAGAATCTAGGGTCCGTTCCTGGTCTTTCTCATCTGAAACTAGGGCGTGAATCACGGACCGTGCGTCGTCATCCTTCTGTGATAGAGTGACGTTGAACACGAGAAGGCTCGCCCAGCTCTTCTTTGACTTGCTCATGAGTGCGAAATTGTTGCTCATGCGCCGTGCCAGCCACCACATGGTGCTACCTATACCGGTGTCTGGATCAACGACGTGGACATGACAGGTCTCTCCGACGCTGGGAAACTTGGCAGCCATGTCAAGAGGTGCCTTCACGAGCATGACCCACGTCTCATCGTCCCCTCCAGAGGGCACGGCAATGAGGGTCCAAGCCCTGAACGTGTTGTTTTCCTTGTTGAAGGAAGCCACTTCCTGTGCCTCATGGTTCTCTTCATACAGGGAGGCTGTCTTGTGTATGTCCTTGAACTGCTCAATAGAGTCAAAGCGGACTATTAGCTCAGGGCCATCTTGTACAGTATCCGGCACCGGAGGATAGTTGTAGTCGGGAGATTCTGCCGATCCCTGAGGTGAGCGTTAGCATTTGGAAGCTTCCAGGAAGGAAAGAGGCTTGGCCAGACTCGCATGAAAAACGCCACCAATGGTTTTAGTGTCGAGGAAAGTCTTCATGGCTGCAATCATTCTGTCTGCATTGTGAGGACTTTCGATGTCAGCTATGTATCGTGCCATTGTGAGATGGCGATTGCAGTCTTCCTAGCAGTGTTTCATAGGTGATCCGAAAGTTTTTTGCAACCAAGAGCAGGTGTGAAGAGTTCAACAACTTGTTACTGCAGGAAGAGCGAGGACAACAATATACAATGGGTATCGTAGATAGTGGCACGGCACAGAGAGAAATGTCGAGTGTTGTAAAGGTTGTTGACCAGCACACGACTTGTCCTCTTTAGCTAGGGATGGAAGATGAAAAGAAGGACAGAGGAGTGAGGACTAGAATTATTAGAGACAGAATATATACAGCACAGGGAGCATACTATTTCCGCAAGGGAATCGAGTGTCTCGTTGTTGATAGGCACGAGGAAGGTGCGTTTCTACCATTTGACTCATAACTCAACTTTCCTGTCCTGTTAGGGAAGGCACGCCGTTTTACTAAAAAATGGCCTCCAGAATGCAGCAAAATCGGACAAGCTGGTCTCATACATTCGGCCCTTTCCATCTTGCTGAAATCCAAGACAGGACTGCTGAGACGCTGTAGATGATGTAGTTGCAGCCGTCTATCATTGACGATACTAGACAGAGAAATAAGACAACAGATATCGTGTTCATATCTGACTAGAGATGCCAAAAATCGGACTACATTAGCATAGCTGCCTTAATACAGAAGGGACGGGAAGAAGCAGTCCACATCGATGCGTGAATCAAGAAGGAAGAAAGTAGAAAAATCAGATCCAACGCCCAGAGATGTACAATCTCCCCGCCCGCTTTTGTTGATTCAATACCGACACTCAATCCTCATCAAAGATCTGGTACGTGTTCTGCAAGATAGTGTCAATCACACGGACATGCCAGCGGCCCTTTTCGGCGTCGATGGCGCCGGCTCCCATCAGTGTTGGTCCAAACACGATGGCCAAATTCTGGGACGTCATGCGCGTGACGGACATGTTCTCGACAACACGGTTCAAGTGCAGCACCAAGGCCCGCAACGTGGCGTAGTTGGGGTCTGGCAGGTCATTGATAACCGCGTGCAGGGAATCCCGGCGGACGGTGTCATCGTCGTGTTCTTGGTGCTAGTTAGCAAAGTAATCAAAAGAGCCAAGAAAGGGATGGAGATCTCACGAGCTGCGAGAACGAATCGATCGTAGTGTTCTCTAGTCAGCAGAGGGTCCGGAAGGTCTCTGAAGAACTGCTTCAGCAGACCGGCCACACTATTGACGTCGTGGAAGAAGTTTTCAGGGTTGCGGAAGTCCAGCTTGGGAGAGGTAGTGTCTGGAGAGAGTTAGCAAGACATCTTCAACAACTGGTTGCCAATATGTGGGCTTTCATACCAGTATCAAACATGGACTTGAGCTTGTTCACGTGCGGCAGTGATCCCGAGAGCCGGTAGATGCCCTCCACAGTGAGGCCAAATAGATCAACGGCCTGGATGCACTGGTACACCACCATGGGCACGGCCAGGCCATCGCGATCGTACAGGGTCTCCAAAGAGACGCCAAAAACAGGCTTCGAAGGGGCGCCGCCGCCGATGGGCGCAGACAGATGCGGCAGCATTGGGCTGGACTGTTGCTGCAGCTGCAGCTGCTGTTGCAGCTGCTGTTGCGGCTGCGGCTGCGGCTGTTGTTGCACCAGTGGCTGCGGCAGCTGTGGAGCGTTGAGCATGGTGCTGGTAAGCGGCGGGGCTACCGCTGGGGGGGGAGCGCTGCCCTTTGTCTGGAAAGGCAGGGCGCCAAGCTGTGGTGGGCCGTCAATAGCAGGTGCCGAATAAGGGGGGACAGCCGGGCTGTTGTTGTTGTTGCTGTAGTAGCGCGAGCTTTGAGTTGCTGCGAGAGGTGCGGGAGTGAACGCTGACGGGCTCTCGGTGGAAGGACCACTGGTCGTGGGAGTACCAACGCTTGGCAACGAGTTGTGCGGTTGCGGCGGCGGCGACTGCGGCAGAAGCGGCGGCTGCGCAGTGGTGCCCTGGGACGACCGGCTGTTCTGGCCGAAGGCGCTGCTATAGCTGAAGCTGCGTTCATGCTGGTGACTGGAGCTGGGGGCAGGCCCGAGAGTTTGGGGACCTCGCGCAGCGGATGCACTGGTAGACCCATACGGCGTTGGGGTTGCTGTTACTGAAGACTGCAGGGTGTCGGTGTAGGAAGTCTGGGACAGCCCTGTGGGCTGAGACACGGACTGCGAGGAGGTGTGGGTTCTTGAAACGCTCGGCGAAGAGGCCGGAGGTTGGCTGGACGCGCCGCCAAGAACCTGATGGTGGTCAGCATGTATGCATGCATGCACAAGAGCGGAAGAAAACGGGCTGACTTACCGGATGACGCTCATACTTCGGGTCGCCGGTCTTGGGCGGTACCTTGCTGTGGAAAGTGGAGATGTAGTGGTTGAGATCTTTTTCGGTATCGACAGAGATGACCACTTCCCGCAGGCTGCGAACATCAGGCTTCTGTGCCGACTTGATAGGGCTGATGCTGAGGCCGTTGCTTAGCAGCAGCTTCTCGCTGAAGGAAGCTGCATAGGAGTTAGCCTTGTTTGTGCAAATGTACAAGATCCCCCCTCCAATAACTTCCAAACTGCTTACCATATTTCTGCACCTGAAGAACGACGCCACCATCGCACTCGCGGACAATATCCTGCAGGGCCTTTATGATCTCTGGGCGGCCAGTGGCCAGCAGCTCGGCGCGTTCCCGCGAGAGGGTGTCGACGCGGTTGTGATAGTCCTCGTCGGCACCGTGCAGCTTGCGCAGCAGATCCTCCTCGTGCTGGGCGGCCGACTTGTGGCCCTTGAAGCCGAAGCCGGCGCGGCGGCCTCCGACATCGCCGGTACGCACGCGGTCGTACTCCTCGGCCAGGGAGTCGTACTTGGCCTTGGACTTGCGCGTGCCGGCCTCGAGGTCGACGATCCGCTGCTCGGCTGCCAGGCCGGTCTGTTTCCAGCCCTTGCGGCTCTTCTCGGCCATGGCAGCCAGCTCCAGCAGGTCTTCGTGCATCTGGTGGAGCGAGACGGAGAACTGGTAGCCGTTGTCGGCCATGCGGGTGTGGATGTCCATCATCTCGGTAAAGGCGGTACCAAAGGTGTCCTGGCTGCGCGCCACGTTATCCTGGGTCGTGCGAGCCAGCTTGCGCATGCCGGACGAGTACTCTTCTTCGAGCTGGGCACGTTTCTTGAGGAAGAGCGAGAATTCCTGGCAGCCGAAGCCGGGTCAGAACAGACATCCGGGAACGGGGGCGGGTGAGGTGTGCGTGACACGTACCTTGGCTGTGGCGACACTCTGCTTCAGGCGGCCAAGCATCGTGACGATGCCAATTTCCGACTGCAGGACATCCTGCACTGGTTTTGGCAGCTCGGTCGACCCGGCTGTCTGCTTGGGGCTCGTGGGCGAGCCCAGCCCGGCTATGGGGTCGGACGCAGCAGTGGCGTCATTTTCGACGCCGCCGATTGCAGCGGTCATCGGTGCAGATAGACCGGTTGGTGAGCCCAGGTTGTAGGTCGCGTTTCCAGATGGGCCATCGGAAGGCGAGGCGATTGTAGGGTAATCCGTGGCGGCCGCCATGGCAGGCGGAGAGACGAGCGAACGATAGTTCCAGTAGAGGGGGAGATCGACAGAAGATGGCCGTGGACGGACGCAGTGACGGAAGGAAGGACGAGCTGCTGAGGATGGACTGAGAGGCCGAGACCGAGAATGCGCGGCCGATTCGTCAAGAGAATGACGATGGTGGGAGAAAAAGGAAGGAGAGAGACAGAATGGCCAGTCGGGGCGACAAGAGAGGGGTTGTTGCCGTCTGGTGGTGCAGAGCCGCGTTTGTGTATCGCTCGTGTTTCCTTGTGGCCGTGGGACAAAGCGTAAGCGTCGGCCGGTTGGGCGCGAACGCGAAGCGAAGAGAGAGGAGAGGCGAAATGCGATCGCGATGGTCGAGGCTGGAGAAGCGAATAGGAACAGGAGAGGCGGAAGGAGCTGCTGTCCGCTGCAATGCCTTTGCGGGAGACGAGTTTTCTGGCCGGACACGTCGCGCTGCAGATGCGGGTGGCCTTTCTTGGCAGGAGCGACTTGTTAGGAAAGGGCGATGAAACCGTAGCGGGATTATGCGCGTGTGGGGGGTGTCCTTCTCTGCAGCGCCTTCTGCTTCTGCCTGGCTTCCTGGCGTTGGCAGATTTAGGCGCCTAATGATTACGAGCCGTTTAATTGCGGGGGCATCGCACACATCTTGTTGTCGAGGCTTGGAAAAGGCTGTCTGCCCGGGTTGAGACAACTCTACGAGCACGCGTACCTGGACGTGGTGACGTCGCAATGGCCGAGGCCAGGGTGCCATCTGGCTCTGACGGCGATGGGACGATATCCACACGATCTTGCCAGTGGGCCTCTGTTGTGCCTCCAGAAACCATATCGTGGCATTGGAATCAGGGCGGACTGGCCCCCCTCTCCCTATTGTCCACATGTCGGCACTAACGTCCACCCCTCCCCCTGGGCGCGAGCGCGTTTACGAGTACATGGTAAGATTCAATGTATCCGCCGAATCTCCATCCTGTACTTTTGGCCGAGGCCTTTCGTCTTAGCTCGTCTGTCATTTAGCAGAGACAGCCACACATTCCAGCAGCAAGCCACGTTGAAAACTTCCGAGACGCATTCCTTATTCCTACGCATAAGCTCTACTTATTTCCTCGTATTCCGACGAGGCCAGCCAGCAACCAAAAGATGTCGCTAAACTAGCCTAGCCAACCGCGCAGCAAAGTCAGGTAATTGATCAGCCGGGTGTAGCGCAGCACAAACACCTCGCAGTTCTCAAAGTCGTGGGCATAGCATTCAAACACGGCCTTCTCCCGCACGTCCGGCCCTGCCTTGCTGACGACCTTGAAGTGGTCCTCGTCGCCCTCGAGCAAGGCCCGGGGACCAATGGCTAGGGCACGGCCGCGAACGGCCTCGTCAGCCATGAAGCGGGTGCCGGCATCGATGACGTCGGCAACGGTGGCCTTGCTGGCACCGGCTAGCAGCAGCTTGCCGGTCGCGGGCACGATGTTGGTCTCGACAAAGTACGGGCACAGCATGTTGACGCGGATGCCCTGGCGGTAGACGGTGCCGCGCAGAGCGCGAAACAGGCCGACCACGCCATGTTTGGCGGCCGTGTACTGAGCCTGGCCGGGCAGCCCCAAAATGCCGGCTATGGAGCTGATGAGGAGGAGGTGGCGGTCACACTTGGCCGCGCCGGCCTTTGTGTTCCGCGGCAGCCAATACAGCGCCAGATGCACCGAGTAGAGCACGCCTGTAAGGTTCACGCCGATCACGTGCAACCGAGGCGGCTTGGGATCGGCAATGACGTCGGACGGACTGCCTGGTGCCGGCTCTGGGCACTCGTGTCCGCGGTTTCCCGCCGGCGTCTCATTCTCGGAGATGCCAGCGTTGGGCACGGCGGCATCGATGCCTCCCGTGGCGCTACGCTCGACGGCGGTGCGGAAAAAGGCTACCTGGCTCTGCCAGTCGGTCACGTCACAGTGGTGGTAGTGGTGATACTTGCCGCCGGGTATGGTGGTGCGCAGCTCGGCCACGAGGGCCTCGCCCGCCGCGTCGTCAATGTCGCCAACGGCAATGTGGGCGCCGTGCTGAGCCCATTTGCGAGCAAAGGCTGCTCCGAAGCCTGAGGCGCCGCCGGTAATCAGAATGGTCTTGCCGGCGAGGCTGGCGAGGTCGTATGGGATGCTAGTGTCCACAGGCGGAGACTGGTGGACGATCTCGGAGATGTTGTTCACTTCGCCAAACGCCATTGTGGAAGAGTTGTCCTTGCGGTGCGTTGATCAGAGCCTTGATTTGGAAAGCGAAACAGAAGCTGAACCGTAACGATAGAGGCCTGATGCATTGCTCAAAAGCGGGGGAGCACACGTATATGACCACAAAGGCTTGTACGCAACCTCGGTACTTATGTGTGGCATGGTGGTGGCTGTTGTTGTGGTGAAGTGAAAATGACATAGTATGCATGTGCTCGTATGAAGGTTGCCTGTACAGATTGCTAGCTATGTAAAGATACGTAGATGCACACAGGCAGATGTCCGGCGATTGCATCACGTGACTGTTAGCTCGATGTGTTGGAGGAAGGAGCAAGCAGCCAGACATCAGCTATACCTGTTTCGTATAAAAGGCAGCACAAAAGGTAGCACGAGTACGAATATCTTGCAATACGGCTCAGATTATAGCCTCGGCGTCATCTCTTGCTAGAATGCTACCACAGAAACAGCACCTTGGCCTACAGCGGGGCGGTCTATATCCAATCAGCCTTGTGTCCAAAACAGCTCCGATCGCGGGCTAGAAGTGGTGGGGGTTGCGCCAGAGAGGCAAAAAGGGCACTCGCACTGTGGGTAAATACGCAAAAAGCCCCAAAAGCCAAGAAACCACGCCAATTGGATGAGTCAAAGCTTGCTCAGACCACCTCGTCCCAGCCATATATCTTCTCACAGTTCTGTCATCCGCTCGACATCCGCTCGTTTGACCTTCGCCACGCTCCAACATGACGGCTCCGTTTCCCACCAAGAAATGCGGTAAGACGGGCTCGGAGGGAGAGAACGGCAGAGCCGCAGACGCCTGGCCGGCCGCTTGCTGACAGGTCTTTTGTCCAGGTGTCCTCGGCGCCACCGGCTCCGTGGGCCAGCGCTTTATCCTGCTGCTGCAGGCACACCCGAGCTTTGTGCTGGTGGCCGTCGGTGCGTCCAGCCGATCGGCTGGGAAGAAGTACCGCGATGCCGTGCGGTGGAAGCAGGCGACGCCGATCAGCGACCGCGTGGGCGACCTGGTCGTGCGCGAGTGTCAGTCCAGCGAGTTTGCCGACTGCGACATTGTGTTTAGCGGTCTCGACGCGGACGTGGCGGGCGAGATCGGTAGGTCGCCATGAGATGGATCGGATGGATGTGATGACTTCCATCGTGCTGATATAATCATCACCCGCAAGAAACCGAGTTCTTTGGTGCCAACCTGGCGGTGTTCTCCAACGCCAAGAACCACCGCCGCGACCCGCTGGTGCCGCTGGTGGTGCCATCGGTCAACTTGGACCACCTGGCGCTGATCCCGCACCAGCGGCTGCACCACCCGACGGCGCTGGCGGCCAGCCGGCCGATCGACCGCGGCTTCCTGGTGTGCAACAGCAACTGCGCCGTGGTGGGCGTGGTGGTGCCGTTTGCGGCGCTGCAGGCGGCCTTTGGGCCGATCGAGGCGGCGTCGGTGGTGACCCTGCAGGCTGTCTCGGGGGCCGGCTATCCCGGTGTCAGCAGCATGGACATCCTCGACAACGTGGTGCCCTTCATCTCGGGCGAGGAGGACAAGCTCGAGACGGAGGCCCGCAAGATCCTCGGCACCATCAGCGCCGACGCTACTGCCCTGGCTGACCGTCCGGAGCTCAAGATCTCGGCTGCCTGTAACCGCGTGCCGGTGCTGGACGGCCACGTCGTCTGCGTATCGCTGCGCTTTGTCCGTCGTCCGCCACCGCCCGCCGACGAGGTGCGCCGCGTGCTGCGCGCCTACTCCAGCGAGGCCGATGCGCTCGGCTGCCCCAGCGCCCCGCGGCCACCCATCGTCGTCATGGATGCTCCCGACCGCCCGCAGCCGCGGCTGGACCGCGATTTGTCCGGCGGCTACGCCGTCTCTGTCGGTCGCGTGCGCGAGGATGAGACCGGCCTCTTCGACATCAAATATGTCGGTCTGAGCCACAACAGTACGTTCCCCTCCATTTCTTGCGCTTGCCTGTCTGTAGACCACACCTCTGACCATGACCAGCTGTCATCGGCGCTGCTGGTGCCTCTATCCTCAATGCCGAGGCCGCTGTCCTCAAAGGCTATGTTTAAGCGGGGAGAATAGAACAAAAGGCCGTGGATAGGACACCCAAGAAACAATAGACAAAATCATCGGCCGAGGCGTTGTCGAAAATGATATCTCGTCGAAGCAGAGCGCGGACATTACCATGCAACCCAAGACCTGCTTGTTTCCGGCTCCGTGCCCTTGTATACGAGTACGAGCAGCGTGCCTGCCATTGGCCAGCCAAGGCCTATCACTGCTCGCACGATGCATGACGCTAGTGCAGATGCGTCCTCGAATGGCAGGCAAATGCGGCCTTGCCGAGCGGACACTGAGTGCTCGTTTTTCGGGCAGACGAGAGAGTGCAGAACAGGACCTGCATGTCTCGGCCGCGCTCGTCGTTTGGCGGTGAGCGTCGAGCCCGATCCTGTACGGAGTATGTACATACACCCTCCTTATCAGACGCGATCACGATGCCATGTCAGACGAGGAAGGTGTATGATTACTAATACTATTCGTGTATGCCCTGTGAATGTCCAAGTCCAAAGCTCCTGCCCAATTAGGAGCCATCAATGCGAGGTATACAGGCGATCTCTTACGCTGTACTCATCGACTCATCGACTCACGTACTCGTCGTGTCTACCCGCCCTGCTGCATCCGCTGCATCCTTGCCTCGGCGGCGCGTGCGCGGCGCTCGCGCTCAAGTCGCTGGCGCTGTTCGGGCGTAAGTCCGCGGGTCTCGGCGTCGCGGATCTCCTGTGCCGACTTAGCCACAGCGGCGGTGACGACGAGGGGCTTCTTCTTGGTGCTTGCAGCAGCAGCGGCGGCAGACTCGGCGGCCAGCCGAGCCTCTTCGGCGCGGCGGCGCTCGGCCTCGCGACGGACGTCGTCCTGCTTTTCGCGGGCGTCGCGCTGATCGGCTTCGGCGCGGGTCATGGGACCAGGCACGTGACTTTCCTCCCAGATATTTGCCGGCAAGTCGGAGGCGGTGCCGGCGAGCTCGCTGCGGGCGACGCGAAAGGCGTCACGCGTGGCACGGTCGCCGGCCAGCTCAAAAGGCGTGCGGCTGTCGCCATTGCGCACAGCTGGATCGGCGCCGGCGCGCACCAGCAGAGCCGTCACCAAGGCCGGTGCGTTCTGGGCGGCCGCTAGGTGCAGCAGCGTCGGCGCGTGGTGGTTCTGCGCCGCGTCGGCCGGCACAAAGCGCAGCGTCGCCGCCGACAGCTGGTTCGCCTGCAGATACGCCAGCAGCGCCGGCACCTTGGACCGTCGCGCCAGGGCCTGCAGCTGAGCCGTGTGCAGCAGCGCCGTCTCCTCCTCTTCGGACCGGAGTGGTCCTCTGTGCTTGTCCTTGCTCTTGGCCTGGGTTTTGGTCGTCTTGTCCGTCTTGTCCACGCTCACCGGCACTGGCTGCATCTCCCGCACCTTGAGCCGGGTCAGCTCGATAAAGGCCCGCATCATCTCGTTCTGTGTCGGCCGCCGCGTATTAAAAGGAAAGCTGCGCAGCCGCGGGTCGCGAGCCTGCAGCACCTGGCCGTCGTACGGTCCAAATAGCGTGCGCCGGTTGGTCGTGCCGGTGGCCCGCACAAATAGCAGCTCGGCCGTGTCCAGCAGCGCCTTCCATTCCACCAGCAGCGCCCGCACGTCGTCCACCAGCGCCTGCTCGTTGTAGCGTCGCAGCGACGAGCCCGCCGAGTGCGCCGTCCCCTTGGCGTTGTCGTTGGCCGACTGCGACCCACCCTGCTTGCGCCGCGTCGTGTACCGGTGGAAGGTCTTGTGGGCTAATACCGTGGCCTCACGGTTCATCGGCACCGACCCTGCCCGCACTTTTCGCGGCGCCAGCGCCACCACCATCGCTGCAAAGTGTCCGCCCCCGATCATGCAGAGGAACACGTGGCGGCCCGTGTATGGTGCTGCCGTCGCTGTCGCTGTCGCTGTCGCCGTCGCTGTTACCTTGCCGCCCGACCCTGCTGCCCCGCTGATCGGCGCCAGCTGTCGTGTACGCACTGCTGCCAGTAGCGCCTCTTCTGCTGGCCGTGCTGCCAGCTCGTCGGCCGTCAGCAGCGCTCGGTACACCCCAAAGCACGTGTGCTCCGGAAGCAGCGGCGACCGGAACCACACCAGCGGCTGCGCCGAAGACGTCGCCACAGACGCTGCATTTCGCTCGTCTCGGCTGCTCATATCGTCCCCTTTGTCTCTGCCGTTGGCGCTTGCCAGGGTTCGCTGCTTCTCGGCAAGCACGGCCTGTTTCTTGAGCAGAGCTGCCAACACGTTTCCCTCTGACTCTATGCTGCTCTTCGCTTTGCCGTCCCGGCTGCTGCCGTCGTCCGTCTCCGAATCTGACTCGGACCAGTCCGATCCCGACAGGCTTTCATCGAGGTTGCCGACCAGCCGCTCAAATTCAGCCTCCGTGACTGGTGCCGCTCCCCGTATCTTCTGCTTCAGATTGTAGTGGTGCAGGTCCGACTTGACGTGGCCTCGCTGATCCACAGCCGTCGAGAAAGATAGCCCACAGAGCGTGCACGCTGGACCGCCGACAGTCGAGCCGAGCTCTGACGCTTCCGATCCTTCGGTTGACGGGGCTGTTGTCAGCGCCTGTGTCTCTGACGCAGCGACGTTTGTCACGTCTGTGTAGGAAAGCGTGTCCAGGATCTCAGCTGGCAGACTGTACAGATACAGCGGCCGCCGTAGGATATCGTTCTTCTTCTCCATCAATCTGGTGGGGGGAGGGGGCTTCCCTCAGCCGTCGACAAAGAAAACCAATCGTCTCTCTTCCGATTCGCCTTGACAATCGACTGTAAGTGTTTTCCCGTCAGCAAGACTGCTCTGCAATAGCTGTTCTCGCCGTCTGTGGCATGGATTTGTCACTGGGTTTATATCACACAGCGTTTTCCGGAGGGGCTGAAGGCTAATCCTTATCGATAAGAACCTATGTCCTGCGCCTCAATCCTCGGCACAGCCTCACTGTTTTTCTTCGCGGTGACTCAGCCGGCCCTTGCAGGTGACAGTGCCGGCAGCCGTCCGCTCCATCACGGCTCCCGTCTCCTCCGCTTATTCACTGTGGCGCATATGATGTGAAAATTTGCAGTATGCACAGGAATCGCCATTCTTAGCGCTGCATGGGCTCATCAGACCCAAATGTGCCGTCCCCACTCTATCCAGGGAGGACTTCTTTTCCTGCCTGAGGGCCTTTCGTGGTGTGCGATCTATTTGTATTAGGCCAATCTGCAAATCAAGGCGAAGCTGCATGCAATTGGCTGCACTGTCGAGACACTAAAATTCGCGGAAGTGGGCCGGAATCTCGTACACTCGAACAAGCACAAGCCCGGCTTTCTCAAAGGCGACGCGTGCAGCCACACTGCTGTGGAGCGCTCCTTTCTAGGGGGACGTTAGCCGTCCGAATAGTCCCAGTTTTGCGTGCTGGAATTTTCCTGTCTTGTCCGGAGAAAGAAGATGGGCCATCCTTCCACTATTCTCCGTACGCTATCCCGTACCCAGGGATGCGGGATGGATTGTGTGGCCCAGTGTCGACCAGCGGCCGTTTTTCGAGGCCCGTCCTCAGATAGCGCCGGATGAGACAGTTGTCAGCACATCACCGATCTTCGGCTTGACTGAGTGCCGAGTACTGGGCAGGTGCACCTGGCCTGTTCTGACAAGTGCATGCGCTGGGAAGAGGCCGAGACCAGAAGGGAAAAGCCGAGTTTGCATATGTGGTGAATGGGCACAGGGAGAGCAGAAGCTAGTGCTATACCCCCCTTTTCCAGTAATGCGCGGGTTTTTCGTCTTCTGTCTATTATTTTTTGCCTTTTGTTTCCCGTCGGTAAGCCCCGTCTCTTATTCATTTCCAGCTCAAGTCGCATCAGAACTCGTAAGCATCTGGTGGCAGATAAGCGACAGGCCTGGCTCATCACTCTTCCTTTGCCCTGACGGCGCCGGCCGCCTCTCGGCCCCAAGACATACAATGCAGCACTCATACAGGTCGTGCTCCGTCCTCGTCGCCCCCAAGGCCAAAAGCGGGCCAGAGGGTTTCGCCGCTGCACGAGGGCCCTGAAGCGGACAGCTACCGGAACAGACGGTTCTAGACAATCGCGCTTGGGGCACAGGCTCCACCTGTGCTGCAGGGCCTGCCTTTGCACATGCCAATTAGCGTAAAACGTTAATTGGGGCGGGCTGCCCAAGCCGCTGCTTGAGATAGTGAGAGACACTTTCGCCTATTCTACCCTCTGCCCTCTGTCCTCTGCACGTCCGAGTCGCCCTGTTTCCTGCACCTGCCGGCTGGCTTACGGTTCACTACCCACGCCCGCCGCCTTCTGCCGTCTGCACGCTTTCGCCTCTGTCACACCCACCCTCTCCCTTTCTTTCCGGCGCGAGACGGCCTTCCTCACCACCACTACCACCACCCATCGTCATGCACGTATGCCCTGTCCCCCATTCTACCGTGTATTAAGGCTTCGCGATTCTGATATCCTTGCCATCGCCGACTGGCCGCTCGACTTCCAGAATCCACTCCCAATAAAACCCCACTTCCAGTAAAACCCACCTCCAGAACCAGAGCCCGCTTTCTTCTTCCTCTCCACCAATCTCAGAACCGGAACTCGTCTCGCCTCACCACTTCTTCCCGCTGCTCATCCACTGCTTCGTCCACTCAGAGCTTTGCTCTTCAGCGTACCCCCCCCCGCCTATCGTGCTGGCCCTGTCCGTCAACCCACGAGCTCCCCATACGGAGTAAGATACCTCTTCCCTAGGGCGTCTCTCGTCGTGCGGTCAGCACTCCTGGACCACCTGCTGATCACGGCGCCCTGTGCTTCCCCCTGCCTACCACGCCTTCCACAGTGTGCAGCCCTAACCTGAGCACCAAAAGACACGCCTGCCTCTGCAAGCACTGTTAGCACTTACGATCTCTGCAGCGTGTATGCATTCACCCCACCCCCCTCTCGTTACTGATGGGCAGGGTCTCGTCTCATCCCTATCTGGTCTTGCACTAAAATGGAAAAGCGATAAAAGAGATAAATAGAATCCGGCTCCCACACAGAACCGCATCCCACTACTCAGTAGACTGCTGGTTCCACAATCCTCATTTACCCACTTCTTTTCGTCCCCTTGTTGGGTGCACTTGCCTTCCACGTCCGCGCACGCATCGCCCCCTTCCTCCCCTCCCCCCCAATTCCAATTCGCGCCTACTCGCTCGTTTTCAAAAACTTCCAAAAACCTTTGCCAATATCATCTTCTCTCCAACCATTTCCAAATCCCCTCCTATTCCCCTGCTATCCATTCCCCTTCTTACCGCCATTCGCTTCTGCACAAATATCCCAATTTAACAGCCTCCCTGTCCCAATCTCGGCCGTTCCTGAGCCGATACCTTGGGCAGCCTGGATCGCCGCCACTGTCTCCACAGCATTTCGCGACGCCAAATTTCACTCAGAAAAATATCGATCAATCAGCGCAGCAAGCAGCAACAATCAATTTCAACCGCATCCCCTTTGCCTCCGCGCAAGCCGCCTTTGGGGTAACCTCTTCGTCCAGACGCCTGCAAGCACGCACGCGCGCTTTTTACCACAGTCTTTCGCCTTTCGCTGCTTCGCAAGAAATTATCCTCGAGCCAGCTCGTCATCCGACATAGAGCCCTTTTCCCGCCTATTACCGCCACCTCAAATCACGCCCACTCACTTTTATTCCATCGTCTTGTCACAGCATCGATAGCTACTCAGACACCGTATCTCTTACCTCCTTCTGTTCGCCTCCGTGCATCGTCGCTCCTCTTCGCGAGGAATGTTTGAGAGCTCCACGTCTGCCTCGTCGTCCTTTGCGCCGTTTCCACGAGGCATTCACCCTTTTCAACCTATTTTTGTAATACCCGCCATCTCTGCGCCAAACAATGCGATGGTCTCGTCGGCATTTACCTCCATGCAACAGCCGATTCGTCCTCCAGCCACGTCCTCTGCGCCTTACCATCACACTCCGATAGAGCCTTCCGCCATGCATGGGTTCGATCGCGACTTGGCCAAGGCCGTGGGCACGCCCTATGCTCCCGCCTCCAACACATCTCCCTTCACTTCCATCCTCATCCGCCACCTGCCGCCGGGCACAACGGAAGAGACTCTTCGCCTCATGACCGTCTTCTCTAAGGACGTGACATCTGTTCAGCTTGTGCCGGCTGAGCTTACTGAGGACCCCGGATTCCGCTCTGCCATCCTTTCTTTCGGCTCAGCGGAAGGTGCTCTTGAGGCAAAGAACATGCTTGACGGAAAGAAGAACGTCACTAACGATGCTACTCTGATTGTCGAGCTCGTCCACAACGGTGGCCGTCGTTTCACCGCCGACATGTCGACGACCGTGACCCCAGGCTCGTCTGTCGCCTCATCGCGCGGCTCGAATCGGTTCCCCTTCCAACCCTTCGATATGGGCAACGCTTACACCAACAGCGGCCTTTCTTCTGCTGCCGCTGCCGCCGTGACGCGTCCCCCGTCCGATTTGGCTAACTCGGAGCCTGTTACTGCCACGCAGCAGATGCAGAGCTTCTTCTCCACCCAGTCTCCTATTGGCACCCACCGGAAAGATGTCGCGCTTCATACCGGCAAGGATATGATCAATGACGACAGCGTGTCCGACGACGAGACCAGAGAGCTTCTGAAGGATCCCGTCGCATATGCCGAGAACGGAGGCGCTGCTGCTGCTGCCGCCGGCCCAAATATCTCAGCCATGGGCGCCAACGGCCTGTATTCTATTTCTTCGCAGCCACGCCGTCCGACCCTGCCGCAAATTCCATCATTCGCCGCGCACATGGCTGCCCTGTCGCTCAACACGAGCAATACGGGCCCTCCAGGCAACATGTCGGCCTACGGACAGGTGACCAGCCCCTATTCAACACATCCCAACTCGATATCGCCGTCTTCCTTGGGCGGACCTGGGCCTGGACCTGTTCCGCAGCAGCAGGGCGGCAGCAGCTTCCACCCCCCGTATCGTAACCACACCCACAACTACCCGGCTGCGAACCCGGCTGACCAGAATCCGCCCTGCAACACGCTCTATGTCGGCAACATCCCCATGGATACGTCCGAAGAGGAGCTCAAGGCCTTATTTTCGAAGCAGCGTGGCTACAAGCGTCTCAGCGTGCGCAGCAAGGGGAATGGTCCCATGTGCTTTGTCGAGTTTGAAGATATCTCATTCGCCACCAAGACTCTGTATGAGCTCTACGGTGCGGCACTCCGTGGCAGCACGAGGGGAGGAATTCGGCTGAGCTTCTCGAAGAATCCCCTGGGTGTTCGCTCCAACCAGCATCCGGCTCAGAGCGCCGCAAATGCCGTCTCGGCCAACATGAATAGCCCCATGGGCGGTGTTGGTGCCAATGGATTTGCGGCGGCAAGCGGTCCTCCTCCGGGGCTTGCTGCACCGCCAGGCCTTCCCCCCTCCCGCGCGCCGTACAGCAACGCGTCGACACCTCTCTCGAACGGCGTACCTGGTCCAACCGTTGGCGGCCCCTCTGTGTATGGCAACGGGTCTCCCCCCCCTGTCTACGGCGGTGCAGCTGGCTCGTCGGGCAACCCCTGGGCCGGCAATGCGGCGCTCTATTACAACCATCCGAATGGGAACGGCGCAAACGCAAACGGGTCAGCCAGCGTTGGTGGTGCAGCCTCCGGGTACCCGCCATTTATGATGGGCAAATAAAGTACCCAAGGTCCTGTTGAGGACCGTCTTTGCTTTTGATTTGTTTGTTTTACCCCTGGGGATTCTCACTCCAATCCAATACGCGCGGGTTTTCCTGTGGTCTGATGTTTATAAAACGTCTTAAAGGTCTTTGCCGGCAAGAATGATTCCCCGTGTTGCGCTTTGATTTATCTGATTTTTACTTTCAACTGCTGGGTGTGAGTCTTCAAGGACACAGGATGCATTCGGTTCTGGTTTCTTTTCTCTTTACCCTGGGTCTCATTTTCAGTGGGCGGGTCGGATTTCAATCTGCTTTCTACGTCAGGGTTCTTTTATTCCATTTATTCAGCATGGCGCGAAGGAGGACTGCATTGCCAGCCACACATGCATTTGGCCGGCTGTCTTGTTTTGTTTTCAAACCGCCTGGTTGGTGGCCGGGTGTAATATTGGCACAGTGGGCGCATCAAATTTCTGGATTATCTTTCATCTTCTTCTCCGTGACTGTCATACCACCGTCCAGCCGCTCCTCTTCCGTCCCTCGGCCTCGCCAGAGTGGAACGTGGCAGGCGGGCTGGCGGTAGAGAGGCTCGGGTCTGGAGGGACACGACCGATCACGCCCAGAATAAAAAAAAACGAAGAATCAGGGATCAAGAAGGGAAAGCACACATAAAAGACGCCCTGCTGCCAGCCAAGGGAAATGGATATGCGGCGATTCGGGGAGGTTATTAACCGAAACGGGAAGCAGCAAGAGGCGCTCTTTTTAGGACGGCCATGGGTTGGATACACTGGGACGACGGGGCCGCTTTGCACGAGCATGCATGAACAGTCGGGAAGAAAACCACAGTAGCGCGCGATGATATCCTATGGGCGGCAATGGGCAAGACGATGACGGGATGCGAAAGACGCCATGGATAGCGCTGGTCTGGTATACGGCACGAACGGGATTTGCTTTGGGTTTATGTGCACAGCGGGAGGGGCGTGGGAGTTTACTTCTTTTCGGGCCGCCTGTCTGTCTGGACCGCCTCTTTTCTCTCTTTTCCTTTCTTTCTGCATTGGGAGAGCCTGTGGGGATGGGACTAGACTGATGATCGGGACGCAACCTGCGGCGTCTTCACACAGACGCTTATCGTCTTGCGTTTCAACGTTTTGATTCCCCCAGGTAGCGGCTGGCACGAGCATGGACGACGCCTGTGCTCGCCGCCGGTTGATTATCTCGTTCTTGTGGACAGCGTCTGTGCTGCTGGGCCGTGGCATAGATATTGTAGCATTGTCTTTTTGCCAATACACGCGTAACCTGATGTGTGCGTATGTGCGTATTTATTGCTTGGTTGATTACGTAAGATATGACGCCTACGGCAGACTGAGGAACAGCTTCTCCATGGCGGTGTAGTTGGGGGTGCCGAGGCCGGTCAGTGGGTCCCAGCCGGAGACGGCGGTGAAGCCATCGGTGCCGCAGCCGGGATTGGAGCCGCTGATGATGTCGTTGAGCACCTGTGGGTTTGCGTAGAGGACGGGGTTGACGAAGCCGATGACGGTCTTGCCAGCAGCGAGGCGCTTCTCGTTGATCAGATTGAGGATGGAGGCAAAGGTGGGTGCAGAGGCGGATGTGCCAAAAGAGAGAGTGAAGTTGCCGTCGACGGCGGTGACGTAGTTTGCGCCATTGGCCGAGACGTCAGGATAGCCGCGAACAGCCCGAGAGTTGTTGTAGCGATCGGCGCCGTAAGCTGGCGCAAACGCGGTATAATATGTGTTGACGGCAGCCTTCTGATAGGAGGGCATGGCGAAGACGTTGGAGAAGCCGCCGCCGGAGTAGATGACCTTCTGGCAAGCAATCTCGGGACCGGGAACGGAAGAGCCGACCGGCAGCTGCGTGGCGCCGACCGATGTGACGTAAGGACAGGTGCCGGGAAAGGAGGGAGTGAAGAGGCCGTCGGTGCCGTCGTTGTAGACGCCGGTGGTGGCGTCGATGCACTGGCCGCTGTTTCCGGCCACGCCGTAGTCGCCGGACGAATAGAGCACAGAGACGCCGCGCAGGCCCAGCTTCATGTACTCGGCGCACTGGCGCTGCTCATAGGCAGCCGTCAGATCGGCCTCGTTGTAGGAGTAGCTGGTCGAGAGCACGTTTGTCGGCGTGGCCGTGCCACAGTTGACGCTGTTGTCGTACTGGCCGTCGATGCTGGAATCGGAGCTGCCGCCGCCCTCAAAGGTGCAGTAGCTGCCGTCGAGCGAGTCGAGCAGGTTGTTGAAGCTGGCGCCCTGCTGCAGGTCGCCGACCTGAAAGAGCGTGGCTGTCTGTGGGGCCACCAGCGTCATGGCGAATTCGAGGTCCAGCGCCGACTCGCCGTTGAAGCTGAAGCTCTCGTTGTCCGTCTGCAGAACGGCGTTGTCGATCAGCCGGACCACCGGCCGGGCAGCCGAGCCGCGTGTCAGCTGTGGCGCAAACTGCGAAAAGTACTGGTCCAGGTCGCTCTGCAAGATCGCCTGTGGCGTGTACTCAACAATGCCGATGCTGTTGTTAGCTGCCGCCAGCCTGCTGACCGGCGCCGCATATAGCGCTCGCAAACAGGCCGGCGTGATCATCGAGTCGCACTGGTCGAGGCTCATCAGCGCGTTGGTGATAACGGCTCCCTGCTTGGCCAGCGATGCGTCTGATGGCTGGCCCGGCAAGCTGTGCTCCCCCGAGCCCTCTCGCTTTCTCAGCTGCGTCTGCACGTCTTCCGGCAGCTGATGCGTCTTGCCCGACCGTCCACCCGGTCCTGATCTCCCAAAGTGCACCGTCGGCAGCACCAGGTCGATGTGCTCGCGCAAGTGCTCCGGCACGTGGTACTGGTCGCAGGCCACCTGTTCGTGGCCGTGCTTCGTGTGCCGGTACACGTGGTACTCCGTCGCCAGCAGTCGCTCCACCTCCTCCACCGTTGCGTTGAACATCACCCAGTTGCGTCCCCGTGACAGCTCCACGCGCCGGCTGCTCGCCTCGCCGATGCCGACTGTGTCTGCCAGCCAGTCTAGAACCGCGTCCACCGTTTCCGGCCGTGGCGCAAACATCTTCGCCACCTGCTCTGCCGTCCAGTGTCGTCCGTAGTTGGCCGACGTCGGGTGCGACACATCCAGCAAAAACTCCTCGCCGCGCTCCAGGTTCTGCTGTTTCAGCCCGATCCGTACCGGCAGTACCGCCGCCGGGTCTGCCTTGGCCGTCCGTGCCCACAGATTGCTCGCTCCTTCCGACCGCCGCTCGTGCAGCACGTGTCGTGATCGTCGTGCAGGCGTCTGCCGCTGCCGTTGCTGCATTGTGGGCGAGGCGTCGACGACTGCCGCCAGGGCAGCCAGCAGCCCAACCAGAGCAGAGGGTGTGGCAAAGCGCATCTTGGAAGAGGGGAAAAGAGAAAAGGAGAGAAAGAAAGAAAAGAAAGGATGGGCACCGGGCCTAGCCTTTGTACCGCTGAAAGAAATAAATGAGAGACGCCTTGATAGGAACAAATGGAAGACTAAAGTGAAGAAAGAACAAAAGCCAAAGACGGAAGAAAGAGCAGCAGCACAGGAGGTGGGAAGCCATGTCTGACTTGTCCCTCCTAACAAGCTCAACAAGCACGCTTGCCTCCATCCACCCCTTGAAGTTTGAGCACCAACTCTGCCGGCATCTCGCCCTCCGCCGGCCAAGTGCTGAGATGAGGGATGTGGATGCTTGTCATTGGCGCTCAGTAGCTGAGGACGTTATGAAACCGGTTTCAAAAAGACCTAGACTGTCGATGTGGATACAAAGAGCACAGACCGGAAAGAGGCACAGACAGTATCAACGAGGCACGAGATGAGGGCACAAGACAGAAACGGAACAGCATGCAGTTTGGGTATTTGTATCGCGTAAGCGTGTATCGTGTGTGAAATGGAAACTGAAATATCTGAAGTTGAGGCTGAGGCATGGCAATTCGCATGTTTCAGACCTGTGGACAATTGGCTTCTTTTTTTGCCATTTGCCGATGCGACACGTCAAACACTTGGCGGCGAAAGCCCCGTCTCTATGCTGGCAGGCTCTGATAGTCTTGGCTCGCTTGCTGAGTCGCCGTTCTGCCGTGCTGCTCTCAGATGGATAGACGAATTGCATCCTGAAGAGCAGAGTCCAGTTCGCAGCCTCCTCTCCATCCGAAAATAGCACCCCAGTTTCGGCAGAGCTAGTGCTGCGACGCAAAGTCATTGCGCATAATCGGACAGAGGGCAAGGGGTGGTGCAGCCTGCTTAACGACCCTAGATCCGTGCATCCGAAACAGACAGAGCCGCAGAGCCGCGGGAGTACGTGTCGCGCAGAGCCGGTATACTGCTATCTGATGCACGCATGCACACATGCAGCATGCATGCATGCACGGGTCCCGAGTACGCGCGTCAAGACCGTGCTGCTTCCAGGTCCGCGCACCGCTGCAGCGCCTGCTGGTAGAGCGCCTGCTGCTCGTTGATGATCTCCAGAAGCTCTGCGTTCTGTCGCCGGAGCTTTGAGTCACCCGCAGCGTCACCGGCTTCGCTAGAAGCAGCTTCGCTTGCCGGCTCTGGCTGTTCCTGCATCTGTTCCTGCACCTGTTCCTGCGATTCGGACTGCTGTAGCGCCATAATTGCCTTTTGCAGACTCTGCCCCGGGAAGCCCGGCTCGTGCAGAAGCGCGTCAAAATCCGTCGACGGCTCCTCGTCAAACTTGACCGCCACAGAATACGACCGGCCAGCCTGGGACGGCTTGACCACCGTCTGCGCAGAGATCAGTTTGCGGGGCACCACGCGTGCCGTCAGGGCTGCAGGCGCCACAAACACCACATTCGTAATGGCCGCGTTGAGGTTGGCCAGCTCAACCGGGAGAGCCGTGGAGCCGGCGCCATTGCTGCTGGCGCCATCGCCGAGGTTCCACTGCAATAGGCGACCGCGCGGGTGGCCCGACAGCAAAGTGGCTCCGTCGTAGCTCAAGGAGAGGCAGTTGGCCGGGCCGGCCTCTTCAGGCACAGCACCGAAGGACTTTGTGATGGACGCAGCCGTCGATGCAGCCTCGGCGCCGCGAGCGCCCAGCAGCGGCTTGTCGCCAAAGAGCTCGAGTGCAAAGATGTGGCCGGCCGTAGCGGCCGTAACAGCCGTATTGGCAGAGCTGGCAGCAGCAGCAGCGCTGCTAATGGTGCTGTCGTCGGTGGCAACGTACAACGCACGAGCAACGGGATCCAGGGCCAGACACGTGGGCACGGCCGCAAAGAGGAGCGTGCGCAGAGCCACGCCGGTCTGGTAGTTCCACAGCACAACCGTCTTGTCACGGCTGGCAGACGCACAGAGACTGGTGTCACGGCTGGCTGAAGACCCAACCACGAGCGCAGTCACGGCAGCCCGATGGCGGGCCAGCGTGTGCTCGGGCTCTGGGTCGTCGGAGCTGGACGTCCCGTTGGAAGACGCACCCCCAGCGCCACCTAGAGCTAGCAGCTGCGAGAGAGACCAGACGTGCACGTTGGAGTCATCCGAGCCAGAGAGCACGTGGTGGGACGTCGTCTGGAGGCAGGAGACGGCCTGGACGTGGCAGGGAGGAGTTGTGATGAGACGGCCAGAGAGAGTCTAGACGTATTAGATCGAGGGAAACGACAAGACCGAGCTAGGAGAAGATATCGAGCGAAGCGAGGCAAAAACAGAAGAAAGAAAAAAAACACACCTCCCAGAGGAGCAGTCGTCCTTCAGCAGTTCCAGCAATGAGAACGTCACCAGCGAGGGCCAGACACCGAATCTTCTCGGGCATCGGTACCGCCGCCTCCTGGCCTCCGCGCAGCCGTGAATACACGTGCAGATACGCGCGGTCTTGCTGGGCCGCAAAGATGTGTGCAGGACTGACGGCGAGACCGCCCACCGGTGTTGCGCTCTTCCGAAACGTTGTCCGCACGCCGTAACTCGGGCTGAGCGTCTGGTGGTAGACCGCCACGTCCTTGGCTATGGCCGTGTTGCTGGCCAGCGGTGGGCCGTTGACGGCCGTGAAAAAGTCTTCGGCGAGCATGACTGAGAGAGGGTGAAGATGAGGGCGAAAGTACGGGTGGAAAAAAAACAGCCTGGAATTGTACCGTCGTCGCTGCCGACAACTCGTTGCTTCCTTCCTCCACGTGGGATCTTTTGGGAGGGAACCCGTCGGTCGTGCTTTCCGTCTTGCGCTTTCCGTCCTTTGTCTTCTGCCTGCCCCTATTCCTTGATTGCAGCCTATTTGCCTGTCTTGGTCGACTTGCGTTTTTGCTTTCTTCTTTTCCAACCCTCGTTGCGGCTGCAGTCTGGATGTCGCAGTATCGCTTACTTTTTCCCGTAATCGTTATTTTTTTTCCAAGCTGCTATTTTTTTTTTTGTCCCTTGCATTCAGACTGATTGGTCCTGCCTGCACGCTAAGTGGAGCAGCCAACCCCAGGTCCCCTCGAGCTTGTCTAGGCGTGCCTTGCCTCGCTGCCCACCAAAGTCTCAGCGGTCCGCCGTCCCGTCGCCTGTGGTTGGCCAGCGCTGTCTTACCTAAGCCACCAATGCATGCCGCCTGTCTGCTCGCACTGGATCGAGCCATGGCGGCCTGTGCGCTGGCGGAGCGTGTTGTCGCGTCTACGGAGTACGGATTACGGAGTGCTGTTACGGTCCGGCCGAGATGATCAGGTTGCTTGCAGCCTCTCCGGAAGGACTGTGCTAGAAGGGCTGTTGTGGACAGACTGCTCTGGAAAATCGCTTTCCGCCATGGCCATAGCGTGTTGCTGTGGCGTTTCTCCGTGCTATGCACGAGTACTCCGTACTCCGTACTCTGTAATAATATCTGTACCCATTCGCCGTAATGCAGCACGCACGACGCAAGATTGCTCTCGCTTAGCATGCAGCTCGGTTTAATTGCCTGCACTTCTACTCCGTAGCGAGTAGGATTAAGGTCAGCAATGTGGTGGATTGCATTGCGTTCTGCCGGCAGGAGCGCCAGTTGAGTCGCCGCTTCCTCTACGAAAGCTCCGCCGAGGGGCTGACCATCCCTAGCGTCGATCACCTGCAGCCGTTCGCGCCTTCTCTGGGCATCGTCTGAGCTCCTGCCCTGTGCATGAGCTCTGTTCTGTTCTGCTCTGCTCTGCTCGTCTGCTCGTCTTTTCGTCTTCTTTGTCTGTTTTCGCCGTCTCTCCACTCCGTCTCACCAAACAGATTCTCCCTGCATCTACTTCTCTAGAACATCCCACCCCATTAAGCTCCGCCGCTGGTCAGGCCCTCGAATGCCACTACACGCAAGCACCCAATCCCAGGTCGTCCGCGGCTGAGAGCACTGGGCCACACCTCCTCTGGTCCCCTAATGCGGCGTTTTCGGTTTACGAAGTCCACTACCATATGCTCGTATCGCAGCATCCTTTCGGTATCTCGTCCCATCCAATCCCATTTTTTCTCTCTCTCCGTCTTCTCTCTCGCGACTCTTGCCCTCCCCTGTCTCATAGTCCTGTCTGTGGCTGTCTGACCCGCCGTCGACTCGCGGGATATCCCCTATAGTCCAACACTGGATGCAACATCCTCTCTGCCAAGTGGCTACTCCAATGCTTCCCTTCCTGCCCGCAATAAGCAAGATAGCAATAGATGCCCTGAACCTGCTGCCTCGTGACGTTTCTAGGGAGAAAGGGGAGAGACGGGGCGGAAGAAGACTATCAGCTGTCAAGAATCGTGGTAGACGCCAGGGTTAATGCTAACATCAAAGTGTATGTGATCGACACTGCCACCACCCTTTTCTGTGCATCTCACCCCACTGTCTAGGCCCTGATCCGACGTTCTGTGCAGCGTCTGCTGCTTTGCTGACCTGTGCTTCTATACCTACCGTCCGTTAGATAAACTTTGGCACTGCCTTAGTACTTTTGTCCGGAGTATTTGCAAAGCCCAGCTCTCTCACACCAATAATATCGACTTCCACTACGGAGTACATGGTAGTCATACGTCTATCCGCCATCCCCACACCCGGGCACGCTAAACGGACGCGTGCTGCGCACCTGGCCCTCCGATGTCCAGTTTCTACCCCGGCTCATGCATGCACTCGCCCTCTCATCCTCCCGATCAGTAGACTGCACATTGACAGCACGACCCTGCGAGAATGAGCGCAAGCCTCGGCAAAGAAGGCCTTCTACGATGTCTACGATGTCTCCAAGATAATTCAAGCCGTTCCGGGGTCGCCGGTACGGAGATGCCGGTACTTGTACGCTGCTGCAAGGCGTCTACCAACAGCAGTTCAACCTCCAACAATTACGTGCAGACTAATCACAGCCCGGTCTCTAAATAAGTCTGGCCAGCTCGCTCTATTCTGGAATGTAACTTTGCTTTTGCCTCGAGGCATTTCCTTCCTAGAAAGATGTCTTCGCCGGCCACAATGGCTCCCCTACATTGTTAAGCAATGTGGCATCATCCTTATTTCCTTCTGTCTCTCGATGGTGTCGGTCGTGCTAGTGGAAATGTCTCAGGTGTGTGGGAAGTTGCATGCCCCTGATTCGCGAGCCCTCGCGTTCTCGCTCGTCGGGGTTCCACTGCATTCTTGTCCTCTGCCTCATGTCTGTACACGGCATGCAGTTCCCGTCGTTCGTTTGGCCAAGGACGCCTTGAGCACTCATTCGCGCATGGTGCGTGCATTAGCGGCGGATCGAGGGAGAGCAACATTCCTCTTAGCCACACTACCTAACATAAGCGTGACAATCTATTATTTGTCTCTACTCTCAAAGCATTGTCTATTGGTGCCCATGAATCTTGTTTGTTTCAACTGTTGTCCTTCAGCTTTGCTACGCGCGGACCATTTGCTAGTCTTTTAGCCATGTAAGAGCGCACTTATACTGTCTTGCTCCCTTCTCTTCTTCGGTTCACTTCCATTCTCCCCTCCCCACCCTCTTGTTTTGAATTCCTCCTGGTCTTCCACGTTGCTTTCTTTGCCGGTGGCTTACCGTCAGGGCTGTTGCACAATCTCCTGCTACTCAATGGTTCGTGTTTGAGATCACAGGCCTCTCTCAATCTGGCCTGAGCACAACCGCACCCAACCTCGTATAACTTGGTGCGTGACCGAAACGAAAGGAGGTTACGCTCACCAGACACGTCTTTTCTTTGTTCCCGACGACACTCTTGTACAGCCTTGAGGGATCTCTATTTCTCTCTCTCCCGACTTTCTCGGTTAGCTATAAGGACACAGAATCTTGGAAAGCAAGCGGGGACGCAGGACACAACAGCTGCCAGTCAAAGACACGTCCACTGCATTTCCACAACAGACACAGTACACATAGTTCTATTACACGCATTATCCTTCCATCCTATTGATTTCTCATCAATTCCACGCCGGAAGGTGGGGGCAATCAAATGGATGCCTGCAATTTTCCCGAAATGCTGGCCCTCGACCTCGAGACAGCCGAGCCGATATTTGCTGCTAAGCGAATGACTGCTGGTGCTCCCAGACCTTCGACTGAAAAAGGCGCTTCCGATCTAGAAAAACAGAAGAAATCGAGCTTCGAGACACGCACGTCCCAATGGTCACACACCTTTGACTTCCCTCCACCGCAGTCACTCACCCGACCACGGACTGCCTCACACGCAGAGTCAAAGGCCACATCACTAAATGGATGCGGTATATTTCAGCCACGGCCTGTGTCTCCATTCTCTCGCGAGAATGCACTCTCCCGGATGTCGGTTGCTGGTATTGCCAGTCTAAATAGCAAGGCTGCACGTCCAGCCGCTGCTCTTGGCGAACCTGAGAACTGCCCGTCCTCGCATTTTTACCCGACAGTCATAAGCAACGGTGACAACGCCAGCGTTGACAGCTTTGATATTCCAAATATCAGTCTCATCTCGCCACGCTATGTAAGGTCTGAGCAGCAATACCAGCAAAAACAGTGCCAGCGCATGCAATCACAGGGCGAGCCAGCAGCACAAGACCTGTGCCTCCACAACAATTACTGCTGCAACGATAGAGCTGCTAGCCTTTGGAGTTGTGGTAGCATATTCGGAAACCAGGACGTCGACGAGAACGTAAAGGGTGGCAGCAGCGAAGGCGGCGACCGTGGTTACGTCGATGGTGACGACGACGCTTATAACGTGCTATCCGATACGTCCAGCGTGTCTTCGCGCGGCTTTGCCAATTCATCTGTACACGACTGTCGGCAATCGTTCGCCACAGCAGCCACATCGGTTGGCTCTGCCCGTCGGTTTTCTGCACAATCACATACACTCTCGGCTGTTGAACCGTCTTCTACCAAACCGCAATACCGCAGTGATTCCATCATGATGGCTAAACGACATGTAGACTTCAGGTTGGATGGCCGCTTCGATGACGTCGAGTACCGCCACGGAAATAGTTCTTTCTCGGATATGACAACCGACAATGTTGCGAAGGACGTATGCAGTCATGATAACGACGGTTCGCGTCCTCGGCATCCTCCGCAGTCTAGCTGGCTGGACATTGGAGAAGATGAAGAGAGCGATGATGAACCGCAACTAATGTCGGGCGCCCTGATGTCACAGGCAGATGAGCTAAACCTCATTCGAAGAGCAAGCAGCGGAGCTTCCCAAATCTCACGTCCAAGCTCTCCCTTCTCGCGACGGCCCAACTCGGCCATGGGCTGGTTTGGGAAGGGAAAGGAGAAAAGCAGCATGCTTCATGAATGGACTGAGAAGAAGCGCATGTCTCAGGCATCTGTTGCATCTGTTCCCTCTCTCCGTCGAAGATCATCACTAAGCTCCTATCGAAGGGCAGCACCGCCGTCAGATGGTCCAGCATTTCTGTTGCCTCTGCAGTATCAGCCTCCTGACAGGCAAATCCCTAGGCAGTCACGGCGGCAGTCCTACCAATGGAAAAGCCGGTTGTCAATGTCCAGCACTGTCTCTGCGTCTCCTTCTGATAGGGAGATGGAACGGATGCGCGCACTCATTAGTATGCAGAGCACCAGCAAACATACTGGCGAACAGTCGGAGCTTGCAGATCCTGTGGTGCTGGGTCGATATGATGGTGCCGCTGGCACCGAAGAGTATGGCAATGAGGACGAGGAGGAGCGCAATGACTCAGACTTGTTTGCAGACTTGGATGGCGACGACTTCGACCAAGAAGAAGACGAAATCATGACTGCAACGGTAGTTCCCTTATCCAAGCAGCTTCCAAGCTCAGTAGCGACCCGGCGAGGGTCTACACCTGATGCTACTACAACACTCGTTGGCCACGCTGTTCCATCGTCAGACACATACGATACACCTGCCTTTGACGCCGAGGAAACATCTCAAAATCTACAGTCATGGATACAACACGCATCTGAAACTCAGGAAGAGCTCGTGCCGCAATTGCTACGAGGCCGGGATGGCATCTTCCGGTTTGAAACCCGTCCGCGTGTTTACGGAAAGGATGAGGCGTACCAGTCCCATGATTCATACAGACACCAAGGGACCCAGCCTCAAGAACAACACGATGCGCAGACTACTCTCGAGTCATTGCTACAACAGAAGCAGCCGGCATTCCCCCTAGTCTTCCAACCGACCGCTCCCATGGTCGCTGTTCGGCTTCCCAAGGAGGTGGTAGACATGCTCAGAGTGTCAGTGTCCTGCTTCCCGGAGACGATGCTGAGCCTGTCCAGCTTCTGTATACAAACAATACGGTCGTACTCGCGCAAGGTGCGGCGTGTCGGCGAGCTTGATGGCGACACAGAAAATTGGCTGCTGCCATCACCGAATCTTTTCGGTAATCAACCACCGAGTCCTACGAGCGTGATGCCATGTGTGCCGACACCCATATCTCGCTCACCGACGACAGCTTGCATGCAGCTTGGTCTGACACATGACTGGCCGATGCCGAGTGGAAGCACATCTAAGGCTAGGAGCATCGCAGCGTCTTCCCAGAAGAGCGCACGGCGCTTCTGGATGCTTCCCAAGCGTCTGGTGACGTCTCGCTCGACACCCAACACTAGTTCGATTGAGTCTAAGCTTGGGGCTGCATCTGTCCAGCGTCGGCCACACAGCCGAGGCAACCGGGGAGTCGGGGATGTTGTTAAATCGGACCAGGACAAAGCCAACGGCGCGTGTTTCAGGCGCATTTTCCCAACGGGATCTGACCACATATGCAACGCACTCTATGCTCACATTCTTGCCTTCAACTACATCAGCCTGTTGTGTAGCCAGGAGTTTGCTCCCGAAAAAGCTGCTAACGCCAGCTATGCGCCATCTTGTGGTGGATCTGGGTCTATTGAGCCAATGCAGACGCAAAAGCGGCAAACGATCCGGGTATATGTAGGTGCCGATGTCAACATATCGGCTTCGTCACGTTTGTTGTCGCCAGAGCCACACTTGGTGACATCGCCTCCATCCTCGCCAGAGCCGACGTCTCGACGAGGAGAGATGGCAAATCTGGACGAGATGGGTGGCGACATGCCTTCATCACCACCAGATACGCCGCCACCGTCACGGGGAGGACATCTGGGTAATGACGCTCGGCTGGTCTCACGAAAGGCGGCAATTCTTCTAGGGATCCAAGAGCATCTAGAGCCGGAAATGACCAGGCGCAGCAGCGAGGCAGGGGGCAGTGTGACGAGTGTTAGCAGCGGAGTGGCCAGCTTAGGACGGCGGTACAACTCGCTGCGGCGTCGGCACAGAAAGATGATCGGTGGAGAAGGCGGCGACGCGGATAAGGCCAAGTCCCGGAGTTTGAAAAAGAAGTCACGTCCACGGCCTCTACCACCGACGGCACTGTTCGATCTGGGCAAGTCGACGCTATACGAGGATATGCAGCCGGGGCAGTCAAAGAAAGTAGCCGTCTGCCTTCCGCCAACGCCACCGCCATCAGCAGCTGCAACAGCGTCGGAGACGGCGATGTGTGATTTGCAGGCGGGTCTGTACCGGTGCATTCGGCAGCTGGTGTCAACGCTGAAGCTGACGACAGACCAAATGGGCGATTCCACTCTGCTGAGCACGGAGCTTCATGAAGTAGATCAGGTGTTTCTGCGGACGCTTTGTGAGCTGGTGCGGTCGCAGGAGGAGCAGGTTTGAATGATCTTTTTTATTGCTTAATTTCTCTTTTGCTTGTTTGCAGCATAACTATTATTTCAAAGGCTGGACTGAGGGAGAGTTATGGCTACCATACGAGAATGTTAATCAAGGAGGTTTATCAAAATTACGAATCAAAACGATATGAATCGACTGGTGCAGGTGGGAACCACCCAAAGAGCGTGAAACCTTTCCGTACTGCTAGATGACTTCACCATTCTATTTCGTAGAGGTCTGTATTATCTCACGATCCATTAGATTAAAAATGGAGTACAAAAAAAATCTCTCTCGCCGGGAATTGAACCCGGGTCCCGGGCGTGACAAGCCCGTATACTGACCACTATACTACAAGAGATTGGATGGTAACCCCATGAGGAGCTGTCAACCATTGGTTGGTGTGCTTTGGTTTGGTAACTAAGTACATATAGCTTAGGATTGCCGACGAGTGTGCAGCACGTGTCTGACTTGGAACAGCGACAGTGTTGTTGGTTGCAGAACAGTGCAAATCTCCGGCTTCCTGCGCTGTACTTTCTCTCTCTCATGACTTTCGTGCTTGAACCGCAGCCGGCCGACGGTAAGTCTACGGTCCCACCATGGGCGAGCTGTGCAGGCTGTCCGTCTGCTGGAACGCACGGCCAGATTACGTCTCAGGATGTTGTCTAAACTAGCCTCGTCTCGTCTTCATTCGGGATACGTTGAGCGTTTTGGGCTAGCAAGTGGTCGGAACTCCCCGTCTATGGCTTTCGGTGACTCACCTCAGGTCGGTGTCCTCGGCGGTTCCCCTTGAGACGCTGCTTGAGGCTGCATGGTATTCGTGCTCACGCCTGCGCGCTTTCTCGACCGCACAGGCTCGCACAGGTCGACTTGTATGCCGGTTATCTGCGTTAAGTGTGCGTCTTGTGAGACGAGCAAGTGAGCACTCCGCAGACTCGATATTTGTTAGTGTTGCATGTGGCGAGAGCTGCAGAGGGCCAGCAGCGCAGCCGAGTGGCATGCAAGCGACATGTGCGAGGGACAACGACCTGGGTAGCCGGGTATGCAATGGCAAGGCCAGTTTGAGAAGCCATTCGTTCTTAGTCCAGCACTTCCCAGCATCAATTTTCTCGTACAGAAACCGATCGATATGGAAGTTCAGTCAGAAGTTGCCATAAGTGGCCTTTGGGACGAGTCAAACTGGTCTTCGGTCGAAGAGGTCGCAATTCGGACAGCCTTCTCGACGATTACCGGCGACCAAAAGACGGCGTCTAATCCTAGGAGCAAGCAGCCAGCCGGTTTTCATTTTCCTCCTTTTTTTTGGTTCACGTCTGTCGCCGCTTGGCGGCACGGGTCACTAAGTGTGGCTCATCACGGGCAACCTGCTCGCCTCGGCTGCCGTCTGTCTGTTTTTGGGCGCGCTGTCAGACATGCTCGGCCACTGCTACGTCGCGCTGCTGGGCTGCGGCCTCGTCCTGCTGGTCGTGGCCGTCTCTTACCATCCGCCTTCACGGCAGGCGCAAGCCACAGGCGCCATATCCACACAAGCCACACTTACACAAGCCACACACACTTACATCTTCCCCCGTCTCTACCCTGCTGTCAATTTCGGGCACCGTCCTGCTCGTCGCTGGTCTGCTCTGGGGAGGCTACCCGTACAGCTGGGGCCAGGTCCACATGCTGGCACCCCTGCTGCTCAGTCTTGGGCTTCTGGCCGTTTTTGTTGCTTGGGAGGCCTGGGACATCGCACCCATAGCCCCCACGACCTCATCGCCACCGCTACCGTCCTCACCCTCGCCGGCGTGATTGCTAAAATGCGTGTTGATTTGTGTGATGCAGCGTTGAGTTGACTAAGCAGTCTAAATGACGAGAAAAAACATATGTTGTAATGGCCATCTTCTTCTCCAACCGAGAAATACAAAACCATAGTATATGCAGATGCACAAAATGAAATAGAGACATAATCAATGCCTCGTATTGACAATACACCCTTCCCACAGGGCGCACGCGCTGTCCTCCTATACAGCGCCATATGTGCCGACAGTGCCGCTGCGGATGGTCTCGTTGCTGACAGCCTTGTCCACGTGACGCTTTGGCGTGTAGAGGCGGAACTGCATGAAAATGATGCCGTCTTCCACCACTGTACCGAGCGAGCCCAGCAGCCACGGCAGCGCTTTGATGAGGTAATCGCGGTCCTGGGAATATGACACCAGGCTGGCGCCGTAGGTGAGGTTGCCCGTCAGCGACAGCAGGAAAAAAAGCAAGGCGAGGCCTGTTGATTAGTCAGCATTTCTCATAATTCAACAAAGCAGACAAGAGAACACAGCAACTCACCCTCGCACGACTTCTCCCGGTAGTTCTTGAAGATCTGGGGGATGCGGGCACACAAATAGCATACGGCGCTAAAGTAGCCCAGCACCATGCCAATCCGAGCGTAGACATTCTCGGGATCCGACGAGGACAGGCCGTCGTCCTCGGGGTCGGTGTCCCAGGCGCCCATGCGGTAGGAAGCAAAGTATCCGACCGTGCCGACAGCAAAGACAGCCACCAGGCTGAGGGCGTTGTGCACCCACGGGTTCGTGTCGGGCGTCTCGTCCTCGCCGGTGATGATGCAACGCAGCGGATCGAGGTTGGACTCGCTGCGTCTGGCCGAGTGGCGGCGATGCGAGCCGGGCAGCCCGATGCTGGAGCTACGACGACGCGAAAGCAGAGGGCCCTGCTCGTCCTCATCGTCGTCATTGTCGGCAGCATCAACGCCCAGATGCGCGCGGTGGCCGGCGTCGTCCTCGGCCTCGAGCTCCTCGTCGTCCTCGTCGCCGCCCTCATCGTCCGCGTCAGCACCGTCACCCACGGCCGTGGCCGAGCTGCGGCGACGACGGTGAACGTGTGCGTGTTGGCTCGCCCGACGCGCGTTCAGCGTGTTGTAGTAGACGCACTGGCCGATGAGCACCAGGTCGGCAAAGCAAAAGTATGTGGCCAGGGCCACAGCCGTTGGGGCCAGCCCCGTCCAGAGAGCGCCAAACAGGTTTGTGATGTCGCCCAGCAGCCAGACAAAGAGAAAGGCCATCGACAGGCCCTCGGCACTCTGGGCCTTGTAGTTCTGAATCAGCTGTGGCAGCAGCAGGCAAATCCACGCCGTCAGGCTCACGCTGCCAAAGATGCCCGACAGCGAGTCTCGAAGCGGCGGCAGCGTTGATGACAGCTCGCTCATCTGCATTGCTGCCCCAGCTGCGGCTGCGACTGACCGGAAAGCCACAGCGGCCGTGAACGATGGGCGCAGAGCCACCATGGCGGCGGCGTGATCAGGGTATCCCCTAAGAGTCGTGGTATCGCCCCAAAGCCCAACGCGCAAGAGATGCTCGCTTTTCCCTTTCCCAACAGTCCAGAGACCGATAGCTAAATAGGTAAGACACGGGCAGCAGAACGAAGAGGCGTTCGGCTGGTGGTATCGGAGCGTGGCCAGCGAAAAAGAGGGCGTCTGATACTTTGAAAAAGAGAGAACAGTCATCCGATGCAGAAGCTGTCAAGGGAGCAGAGATAAAGAGATAAGAGATAAGCGAGCAGGGGCGAGTAGAATTTTGCCCCATGCCACCAGCACCTTTTTAGTCAAGATAAGGCATCCAGGCCGTGCGCCGTGAGTTTGTGCACTGCCCTGCGTGCGGTGCTGCCGTCTGGTTGGCCGGGAGGCAGCTCGTTGCGAGACACCGCGACGCCGAATCGTCCGATGCATGCAAGGCTGGTGATGCTCCGACGGGCGCCGTGCATCAGCCGGTTGGCTATCAGATGGCTGCATCAGCAGGGCAGCCAACCAGACGGACCGCATGCATACAGTGATGCGTTGGCTATCCACACGTGGTGACTAGCGTTGCCGCTTACTCGGTCAGATGCAGGGTTCCTCCAGCAACAACGCTGATTGGCAGCCACGGCTGCGACGACCTTGGCGGTGACCTGCTGCTGTGATGATCGAAAGCAAAGGCAGGCACGAGAGTCGCTGCTGCCCAACACAGAACAAGCTGGGCCTGCACCTGCCCTTACCCTTTCTCGGCTTTTTACATAGCGTCCAGCTGTCTCTTTACACATACAAATCTCTCGCTTCACTCCATACTCCTGTTCAATTCTCTCCGCCTCCTACGATTACCACCATCGCTTACGGATACACAAATACGAGATGAAGCTCTCTACGGCACTCGTGGCCGCCGCCACCGTGCTTCCCAGCGTATCTGCTTGGGGAGGTGAGAAAGGCCGCCGGGCTCGAGTTTGTTCTTGTTCCTGATCGTACAGATAGCTGACACAAGTTTCCCCTTTCTTAGGATTCGGTCACATCACCATCGCGTACCTGGCCAGCGATTTTGTCCCCGCCGACACAGCGACCTACTTCCAGACGCTGCTGCACAACCAGACGGCCGACTACCTCGCCGGCGTGGCCACCTGGGCCGACAGCATCCGCTACACCAAATGGGGCCATTTCACGGGGCCCTTTCACTTTATCGACGCCAAGGACAGCCCGCCGGAGCGGTGCGACGTCGACATGGAGCGCGACTGCAAGGCGGCCGGCTGCATCGTCACCGCGCTGCAAAACTACACCGCCCGCCTGATCGACAGTGCTGCATCCAGCAGTCTGAGCCCGCTCGACCGCGAGCAGGCTGCCAAGTTTGTCGTCCACTTTGTCGGCGACATCCACCAGCCGCTGCACGCCGAGGACGTGGCACGCGGCGGCAACGGCATCCGCGTCACCTTTGACGGCGCCCACCTCAACCTGCACCACGTCTGGGATACGAGCATCGCCGAGAAGCTTGTCGGCGGTGTCCGTCGCCAGCCCTACGCCGCTGCCCGCCGCTGGGCCGACGTGCTCGCCGAGTCCATCCGTGGCGGCGCCTTCCACGACGAGAGCGAGCACTGGCTCAACGGCCTCGACCTGGCCGACCCGGCCGCCACGGCCCTGGCCTGGGCGCGCGAGAGCAACGGCTACGTGTGCAGCCACGGTATGTTCTGTCCTGTGTCTTTCCTCCAGGCATGGCCGCCACTGATTCTGTCTAGTCTTCCCGCAAGGCCCGACGGCCATCCGAAATCAGGAGCTCGGCTCCGACTACTACGAGAAAGCTGCTCCCGTCATCGAGATTCAGATCGCTCGGGCTGGCATCCGGCTGGCTGCCTACCTGGACCGAATCGCCGCGCAGATCAATCAGCAGGAGTCGGCCACGGGCGAGCTGTAGCGCGTGTCTCGGCTGTCTTTACTTGCATGAATGAGACGAACGTATTGACGCATCATCTTGCCTGTGATCTTTACAGGGCCTTGAAACCCAGAATGTTGATCGCCCAAGAATCGGCCGAGGCCCGGCGCAAGAATATGTCAGGTTGGGATGAAGGCTTCTTGGCCGAGACGGCCAGCTGCTGCGTTGATCTGTAAATCTCGTATTCCGCCGCTGGGAATAACAAGGTTACAGGTGGCATTAAAGTTGTAACAGTAGCGTCTCCACCCGGGTTTCAGGGGTCACAGGCCAAATCGCCTCTCCTATCGAAGTATATGTAATGAATGCTTCCCTTGCGCACAGATGCTGCCGCGATGATGGGAATGGAAGACGAGCGAGGACGGGACGTTTCACCATGCTGTCGGACAGCCGGGCCGCACGACATATATGCTTACAACGCTTGTTGAGGAGATCCGCGGCAGTGTTCACCACGCTGCTGTAGCCGCCGGTCAGAATCAATTGGCTGCGGTCTCCTCGCGATTGCCGCGCTACGATTGTGTATGGAGGACAGAGGACAGAGAGAGCATGCAAGCTGCATAATAGCAGGTGCCCACCGTCGCTTATTCGGTGCGAAACTCAAACGGCCTGAAGCTTACTCTTTAGGCTGCTAGCGCCGCCTGCCGCTGCGCTAGATTCCCCAACAGACGCCCGCAGGCCAATCAGATGCACTGGAGAGCCCTGTAATCTCCGCCTGGACCCTCCACGGCGAACGGCCACCTGAAACTGCTCTTCTGTAACATTTCGAGCCGCATCGACGTCCAAGACTTCGGCCCATGGGTCCGACCGGCACAGAGCCCTACGGAGTACGGCGGACTGCTCGTATGGTGTTTGTGTCCTCTCCTTCCATGGCCAGCACCCCTGCGGCGTTCGTGCTGCTCGAATCCAGGACCCCGGAATGCTCCCACCAGCTCATCCCCTTCCAAACCCCTAGTCAATACTCCGTACGGCGTACTCGTATTACGGCAGACCCATCTGCAGTCCCATCTGGAATTCCATGATGAGCCCTCGCTTGACGCCAAGCGAGCCAAGCTTTCTGCTGGTCTCCCCCCCTGACCCTTCCCCTTTCTCCTTTCCGTTCCCGTCCTGGTCGGTTTTCTGATGACGAATCGGCCTGTCCCCCGGTCTCTGGCATATAAAGACGACAAAGTCTTGGCCCTCTCCGGTCTTGTTTCCCTTCTTCTTTCCCACATTGAGAAAGTATTGTCTGCGTCACCTTCGTTTGTTTGTGCCTGTCTCTCTCTTCACTTCGCTTCTTTTTCTTCAACACCTGCTGGGCTGTGTTCCATTCGTTATTCCATCCCCCCTTTTTTGACAACCATTTTCATCTAGAGCCTTTTCAGTCGACCCTGTTAGCAGTCAGTATTCCAATTCGGCGAATCGCTCTCGTTGTCGACCATTTTCTTGCATTTTTCTCCGGTCTGTGACCAGAGTCTTTTATATAACGCTTTTCTTCTTCGGCTTCTTATTTCCTGTCTACAATCCCTCCGCCAAGATGATGTTCAAGTCCGTCCTCGTGGCTCTCAGCCTCAACGCCATGGCCAGCGCCTCAGTCATCAACCACAAGGGCATGCACCAGAAGCGGGCAGCCACCTCGTCCGGCAGCTCCGCGGCCAGCACCTGTCTAGACACCAATGCTCTGCAGACGGGCAGTTTCGTGACCGGCCAGGTCAACGATGTGCCTTCAGGCGGCCAGTCCAACTCCAACACGTAAGCATTGTGGCAAACGAGCCCGGACTGCTGCCCGGACCAAGCTGACAGACTCTGCAGGGACACGGCCAACTTTATCAACTTCTGCTCGGGCCAGACGCTGACGAACGGCCTGCAGGTCAAGGCGGGCTCCTGCAACGGCATCGGTAAGGCTCTACTGCTCTTCTTCGCCCTCGCGCTCTCTCTTCTGCCCAGCTCCTAACCGGCTGCAGTCATGGGCAAGATCCCGGCCACGACCAGCATGGTCTCGACGGTGATCACCAACCCCAAGCTCAACGACAACCTGGACGCGAACACGACCTTCAACGTCACGCTCAACGTGGCCAACATGCAGCTCGGCTCCTTCACCAACGCCACCAGCACGTACTACGCAGCGCCGCAGGATCTCAGCAGCAGCGGCGCCATCATCGGTCACGTGCACGTGACCGTCCAGGATGTCGGCAGCTCCTTTGACTTCACCACCCCGCTCGACGCCACCAAGTTTGTCTTCTTCAAGGGCATCAACGACGCCGGCAACGGCCAGGGCACCGTGACCACAGCTGTCACCGGCGGCCTGCCGGCCGGCAACTACCGCGTCTGCTCCATGACCAGCTCTTCCAACCACCAGCCGGTGTTGATGCCGGTGGCCCAGCGGGGTGCTCAGGACGACTGCCGCTACTTTACCGTCGGTGGCTCCTCGTCGTCTTCGTCATCGTCGTCTTCGTCGTCTTCGGGCAGCGCGTCTGGCAGTGGCAGCGGTGCTGCTGCAAGCTCAGCTGCCAGCTCAGCTGCCAGCAATGTCATCTCGACCGCCTCGACCCCGGCTGCTGTGACCACGGCTGCTTCTGCCACCACGGCCGCGTCGACCTCGTCCGGCACCTCGTCTGCCCTCGGCGGCATCGAGGCGCCAGCCGTCGTCGACTCGGGCGATGCCAACCGGCCGTTCTCGGTCAACGGCGACACGTTTGTCAACAAGTCGGCCGCCGTCCAGCGCGCGTGCTCGATCCAGAACAACCAGTGCGCCAATGCGGTCAACTCGGGCACGCTGAGCGGCGTCACCGTGTCGGACTGCAACGCTCAGGATGCTGCCTGCAGTGCTTAGTCATCTTTTCATAGCCGGAAAGCGGGTGTCATTGTATCTTACAATAGAAGGTGCGGGTTTTGATTTGCTGTACATGTTCGGTTCCACCGGGAGATCCCTTCGGGGGCCCGAAACCATGTGTTTCCAAAGAAAAAGAAGAAAATCATATACGTGTTTGGAGGAGAGCCTGTTGCAGAAATGTCAAGTGTGGGCTATGTTCGTATGTTTACGGCGAGTGAGATAGATACCCAACGGACACGGACACTACGAGGAGACATGGCCGAGAGTGACTTGTCGGACGTGGTGTAGAATGAATCCATTCATACATACTATATAGCACCTTCCTTTCGCCCCAATCCGTATTGCCCCTTGAGTCCGGGGGGGATCTCACATTCGGCCTGTCGTCTTGATCACTTCTGTGCTTCTGCACACACATCAGCTCCAATCAGCCTTCAGTGGTACATCTCCAGCGTCGTCGTGGGCTTCTCGTGCTTTGTGGCCGACGTCCACGAGGCTGTGTCCTTGGTCAGCGTCATCTCTGTCGTCGTCGTCGTCGTCGTCGTCGCGTTGGCAAACGGTCGCGACTGGCTCAGCGACGTCGCCTTGGTCCGCAGAGCACCGCCGGTCGCCGTGTCCTCGGAGCAGGATGCCGTCAGGGTGGCCCAGGTATGCGTCGCATTCCCGTGCGGCTGCTTCCCGCCGGTGATGGCACCCGAAGCTGCCAGCGCCGTCCAAGTCTGGATCGAGGCGGAGCTGTTGGTCCACGGGACCGTCAGCGACCACGGCTGCGTGACAAAGGTCGACGGGACCGGCACAGTGCTGGTGTTGGTGTTGCTGCCGGTGCTCGTCTTGGAGACCATCACTGTGGCCGTAGCTGTGACAAAGGCAGTGCGCGTGAGCGTCGTCGCCTCGTTGACGGTGCAGGTGTACTTGGGGGTGGTCGACGACGATGACGACGACGGCGACGGCGACACCCACAGCGTTGTCGTGATGGTCACAGCCTCCGACAGCCAGGTGGTGACGGTCGTGGCCGACGGCGACGTCGAGCTGCTCGCGCTCAGAGCGTCGGCCGACGAGGTGACGACCAGCGAAGAGCTGTAGGTCGACGCGGGCGCAGATTCATACGACTCGACCGACGGCAGCGACGACTCGGCCCCAGTTCCCGTGATGGCCTCTGCCGAGCTGGTGCCCGTCGTCGCGAAGCTGTAGGGGGCAATGGTGTAGGTCACCGTGTCGAGGTCGAGCGAGGCCTCGCGTCCGCTGCTGCTGCTCCCAGACAGAAACAAAACAGAGCGGCGGACAGGCGACGTCGAGGCCGGCAGGGCCAGGAGAACTGTCATGCAGACAATGGCCGTGGCGTGAAGCTTCATCTTGGCGTCGTGGAGTGAAGATGGGAAATGTCACGATATGGGAAGAAGGGCAATGCGTGCAAAAGAGGCGGAGGCGGAAGCTGCTTGTCTCTGGCTGTGGGAGGATGAGCTCTTGGACCAAAGCACTCTCTCGATCGGGACGGCAGCATCGTATATTTATACACATCAACAGACATCTGGGCTTCTTCTCGTCCTGGCCCTCCTCTCTCGCCTTTTCCTTCCCACGGGACGCGATACTGTGCACCTGCTCGCGTCCAGGGGCAGGTTTCAAATGTATTACGGGAGATGAGATGAAGCGGCTGGTTCCCGAAATGAAATCTCGGGAGAGCACGGCTATCTGGAGGGACAGCATTGCCTCCCGACCGGTCTCCGTTCACCACTGCCGAGTCCCGTGCTCACTTGAGCTCAGCGAGTGGCCAGAGAGCCTATCCTTCCCGCTGCTGAGACACGGGCATCGCTTTCTTCTGTGTCTGTGTACTACGATATCGTCTTGATTTTCTACGCGTTTGGCCCTGTCCGGCTGCGGAAGGATTAGGTCAAATAGTATTCACAGAGTATAGACCCCTGGCCTCAAGGCAACGGCTCGTGGTCTGCGGTCCAGAGCCGTTGATTGTCGTCATCGGGTCCTCTGAAATTGCAGGACACAGAGAGGCTGCTTGTGGAACGACTGCCAATGGGTGCACCTCGTTGGTCTGTTGGGTCACACGCCAGCAGGCATACGTCGGAGCGACGAATGGCTTGCTGTAGCCATTCTGCATCCTGCCAACACCATTGGCTGAAGGCCGGGAGTCGGGCCACAACAACGCCGAACGCTTTCCAACACAGCCTCTTAGCCTCCAGGATCAGTCATCACAGCAAAGTTTTCACGAAAACGCGAGCAAGCCATGGACGAAGGGGAAAAAGAGGGTGGCAAATCATGGGACTCCAGGTGGCCCTTACTGATCTGTAAACGAGACGTGACGGAACCGAGCAGCGGAAGCAATCAGCGCAATACACAACCGATGCAGCACACGGGCAGGAGGTCGCACGAGCAGGCATAGCTGTCAAGATGCGGTAGCTGTGCGTTCTGTGTGTGACGCCTGGTCCCGAGACACGGAGCAGCCAGACGAGATGAGCAGTCGATCTGTCGGTGAAGGAGGCGTCGGGCTGGCACTCAGTCATCGACGCCGTTTGACAGCGATACTGGTGCCACAGTGTACATCCGGTCGCCCGTCAGGCCTTGTTGGCGCGCCAGACTCGCTCAGCCCCCGCCTTCTCCTTCTTGTTCTCGTCCTCGTCCTCGTCCTCGTCCTCGCCCTCTCGCTTGCCCTTGCCCTCTGCGACTTCGGCCACAGCACGGAAGACTTCTTGCTTCCAGATCTCCACCCGCTCCTTGACTCGCTCCAGACACTCCTCGCCCGCCTGCCACGCTGCCTTCCGGTGCGGTGCTGACACGGCGATCAGCACGCTGTCCTCGCCAATCGGCACAGGGCCCAGCCGATGCACAATGGCCACGGACAGCAGTCCATGGCGTGTGCGAATGTCAGCAGCAATCTCGCGCATCGACCGCAGAGCCCGCGGCCGGTAGGCGGAATAGCACAGGGTGGCGACTGCGCGGCCCTGGAAGTTGTCTCGAGTCGAACCTGGCGTGGTCAGTTTTGCGTCTTTCTTTGGCGAGTCTTTCTCGTGCCTTTTGGCTGCCATGCCTGCTAAACTTACCTGAAAACAACACATTCGCTCCAGCTTTGGGGCTGCGGACACGGGCGAGAACGGCATTGACGTCCAGCGGACCCTCCGCCAGATCGACATAGCAGCCTTCAGGCTCTTGTTCGTGCCCGCTGTCAGCCATTTCAGACACCTGCGGCCCGGCCATCAATGGGGATGTGTAGATGTGGGTGAGCAAAGCGTGCTGAAGCGCTAGCGTTGGCGCTGTCCGATTTTGGCTCCATGTGTTGGCTAAGTCAGCATTGCGTCACTCACGGCTGTCAAAGCTAAGGCCGTCACGGCGCCGATATCGTGGATGTCTGCGTGCCTCATCCACGGAGGATTCGCTCCTGAACGGGATTCCCGACTGGAATTCTCGACAAGTCTGAAGAAAAGGGCCGTTCTGTATCTTTGTCTTCACGGCACGTACAATTGTTGGTTTTGGCCAATTGGCTAATTTTCTCGTACAGCCAACTAAGTGCCTTGCTCTTTCCTCAATTTCACCGAGACGGCCGTTGTCCATTGCTACGCCTTATTCAGAGCACCCAACGTGACAGTAGCTGTAAAGAATTGGCAAAGTCGGAGTTCGTGCGTAGGGGTAGAACAGAGGATGGGCAGCTTGGGTAGGCACAGCTAGTATATTGAGCTTTGCCAACCGTATTAACAAGAAACCCTCAATCTCGTCTCGAGAAAATAGCCATTACGTGATCACATGCAGTGTTTCCCACTTGCCAATACATTAAACTTTATTAATGATATTCAGTCAGATCCCCTTCTTTCCATGTCTGAATTTTCCTCCCTGCTATTTCTCTCTTCCTGGCTTACAAGCCAAAACCCCTTCGCTTTGCAAATCCCCTGCATCTGTCCGCGACCAGCGAAAAACGACAAAGCTTACAACTTGACATACAAACCCGTCATGGCTCCCTGTCACGACAGATTTCCTACCCGGACGCTGGTAATCGAAAATGTTCACGCTCTGTCATGGAATGGAACGGTACGTAAGAGTCCTACCTCACAGGCAAAAGAAAAACTCTATTCGTGCTTCTTCTAATACGATTCCGTCCAGATCTACCAGATTCTGAAAAACTTCGGAAAGGTTGATCCATCTACTATCAGCCAAATTGTATTTTGGCCGATGCGGAACAGGGATTCTCGTAGGTTTTGCAATTTACTAGCGACAGTGATCGCTTTTCCTTTCGTATCTATTTCGCGAATGTCATCGACTAACCTGACACATCTCTAGGCGAAATCAACGCCTTTGTCGTATTCAAGACCGTTGCCCTTGCTGTCGCCGTCCGGAATGCCATCGGAAACAAAAGCTACAAGATTCCATGTCCGCCAGTCTCGCCCACTTCTTATGGCCGGATTACAGACGAAGAAGGGAATCTGATCGATCCCCAAAATCCTAGCAACAAGAGACATTTCACAACCATTTACATCCATATGTGGGGAGGATACATCGGTCGTGCCAATACAAGAAAGCTTACCGGAAAGGAGTGGGTGTGCTTCATGGTATGTCTGCTTCCGTTCTGTAGCAAGGCTGGCGCTTGTTTTGCTGATAGGTATCCAGTGTGGACTGCCAAACTATCTTAAACGCTTGTTCTGCTATCGTTGCAATGCGGTCAACCCCAAGTCCACCCGCGGCTTCCACCCACGACGCGGGACTATAGTGCTTTCGCAACAAGGCCCGGTAGAGGCTGAACAGAAAAGCACAAGCTTTGCTGAGGAAGACACCGTCCAGACACAGCCTAGCAAAACAGCCCGAAGTAGAGACTACGCCGTACGGTCTAACAGGGTGAGGTTTGAAAATAGAGAGCGGGAATTCGATCCATTAAAGCTTGGCGAAATGCTCAAACTCAGGCGACTTATTAAAAAGCGCGGAAGCCGACTAAAAGAGGAGATTTATGGCAAAAAGTGACCAGTTGGATACCTAAATGGCGGCTACACATTGCATATTAATCTAAGTCTTTTATACATTTCAATCGCACCGCTTTCTATGTTGTCCCCGTCAGAAGTCGGCCGGCCAGCCTTCCCTCTGCAGTGCCCAGCGCACGGCTGCGCCAACATCGTCGACGATAACCCGCGGGCGGTGGCGAAGGTGCTCGGCAGAGGTTCCGTCTCGCGCGGCATTATATACGCCGGTGCCAACGAGCACCGAGCACCAGTCGGTGCCGTGGGCACTGCGAAACTGGTTGGCGCCGGCAATGTCGCTCTCGGGATTGTCGCCGACCATGTAGACCGTCTGAAGCGGCTGGGGGACGGCAGCAGCGTGAGAGGGCGTTTTGTCGTGCTGTATTTCGCGGAGCAGCGCATCGCGGTAGCGCAGCAGCACGCGCTCAGCATAGCGATACGTGGCCGGGTTCGGCTTTCCGAGCAGAGTGGCGCGATGCGGCACCATTTCCTGGCCGTGAGCCAGCTGGGCCCAGACGCCCGAGACGGCAGCTGCGAAGGCACCCTGGCCGAGGCGAGGCAGGTGATAGGTGGTGGCCCAGAGGAGGTCGCCGTTGGAGAAGAAGATGCGAGGGGGGGTGAAGGGGGACATGGACCGGGAAGGTGAGTGCGAATGCGAATGCGCGACAGCCTCGGGATCATAGGTGCCCAGGAAGCCCTGGCGCGACTGCAGCAGGTCAGTGAGCAGCTGGATGTCGAGGGCCCAGTCGCGGGGGTCGTTGAAGACGAAGGCGGCGGCGATGCGGAGGTGCTGGCGGTCATCGAGCTCGGAGGCCGTCGCTGCCGGCTGTTTGCCACCCTCGAGCAGTAGCGGCTTCGGCAGCGGTCGTGCCGTGTTGGCATAGACGGACGCCAGCAGCGGGTCGAACGGATAGAGAGTCGGATAGGCTGCCAGCAGGTCGGCCGGCGTGACCACGCTGCGGAAGCCGTAGCGCTCGGCAATGGTGCGTGCGCGCGCCGCATCCGAGCCAGTCACCAGGATGGTCTGGTCACGGAGGCCGGCGGGAGGAGAAGACGGAGAGACGGACGGGGTCGTGCGGCCCTGGTGGTCGTCTAGGCTCTGCACGTCCTCGATCAGCTCCTGGAAGGGCGTGTGCGACTGCACAAAGTTCTCCGTCGACAGCACCGGCAGCGTGTTCTTGTTCTTGGCCGCATCCTTGGCCTCGACCTGCAGCTCCAACCCTAGTCGGCGCTCCAGGTCGGCCACCCGGTCGGCCTCATATCGACCTCCACCGTTCGTTAGCAGGATGAAGGGGATGCCGTGGCCGTGCAGGTGGCGCAGCGCGGCTGCCGCGCCCGGAATCGGCTCGTTGACGTGCAGCAGCACGCCGTCAATGTCAAAAGCAAAGGCGAATAGCGGGATCGGGGCGGTCGTCGTCTGGACATGGGTCGTGCTGTAGTGCCGGCGACGGCAAGACACATCCGGCGGCGACCACGAACGCGCTCCGGATGTATTGTTGCAGACGCCAGGAGACGCCCGGACAGCACTAAATGTCACCGGCCCAGCTGCAGGCCGCTGCAGCTGCCGTGCGGCCCAGCCGGCCTTGGTCACGGAAGTGCGCATTGGAGGGGAAAGAGACAGACGACGAGAGAGCGGGAGAATGGGAAAAAGAGCAGTCCTTTTTTCACCTGCACCGTGTCCGTATCTGGTCCGTGATGCAGCTCTGAACGGCGAGGTGGAAGCGACCGACGTTGGCTGTTGGCCAGGACCGAACCGACAGCTGGAGATGCCCCTCAGTATCGAAGCGATGTCGCCACTGTGCCAGCTACACCGTATGTACTATTTAACTAGTTATGCACTGTGCTGCAATGTTGGGGGCTAAAATGAGCTGTGCGCCAAATGAGACACTTTCTCGGAATGACTTCTCTGCTCGTACGGAGTACACCGTATTGAGAATGCGCGGACGTGCTTCTCCTGAAACCTAACACGGCACAGATGCACGATGGCATGCGGTGCAGAGTCCGGGACACCGGTTCCATCTGTGCGCACGTCACGACAGCCTTGGGACTATCAAGGTGACGTTCTTTTTTATATAGTAACCATGTCGTGACTCGTGGCTGTCCATCGTCTGGCTCCACGACTTCTTGCAAGATTCTTGCGGCCACAAGCCGTTCGGAAGAGGCAGCCAGTCTGCAATGGCTTCACCCGGCCATCTACAGAGTACCTACCTACATAGTATCCGTACCACGGAAATGCACGAAGCTGGACCTGCATCTTGGATCACGCGTGTAAGATACAAGTACGAAGTATCTTACTGGACCCCACATAGAGCCGACGTGCCTGCCCTGCGTCGTATTGACGTGCTAGACCGAGCGGGCCTCTATCCTGATTGGACCGCCCAGCAGCGCTACCGTTTCAGCACTCGCCAAAAGATGGTTTAAAGAGAAAATGGCTAGGGGCCAGCAGCAAGGACCCGACACTAGCGTGTCCACGTCGTATCGCATCCCAGGGCCGTGTCGTTCTACATGGTACGGAGCATGTATCTAATTACGCTCGCTCGTATGAGCAGCCCCGACGTCGTACCCTAAGCTCGACGTGCTATTCTGTTTGAGGCCATTGGCTGTTTAAAACAGAAACGGTCGACCTTGTTCCCAAGGATTGCCCTCAGGGATTATCGCCATGGGTCGTCTTGACGGACTGAAATGACTTCCAGTCTTCCAGGGAACAAAATTCTGCCCGCCGAGTTGCATACTATGTATCTTATCTTACCGGAGCGCCGTGGTCTGTCGTCGCTTCCCCTTCATTTCGTTCCTCCCCCGGCTTTGGGGAACGACTGCGCTAAGGCGTAGCCTCTCTCCTGACCGCATTCATCACCGTTTGCCCTGTCCTACGCCCTCCTTTTTTCTTCTCTCTTCCCTCGCTTCTTTCTTCTTCCTTTTCTCCTCCGCCTTTTATTGCGTCCTGTCGCATCCGCCTTGCCCAGCCTCTCCCGACCGGCCGACTCGCTCTTTTCTTTTTTTTCCTTCCCAGCCTTGATGCAACAGCTGCTTCACACGCCACTCTTTACGCGTCCTTTTCCGACCTTTGTCTTGACGACAAACAGCAGCGCTACGCAATCCACAAAACCCCAAACTGTTATTATCAGCTTCCCCAGTCCCGCCCAGCCGTCGATCAGCTCGCCCTCAACTGCCCCGACCATCGCAGGAAAACCCACCGGGAAGCCACTTTGAGCACTGTCGACCAGCTGGCCTCTCTGCTCCTCTGTTCCTCTTTACGGCTTCGACATTTTCAAAAATAAAAACAAAAGGTTCGTATCACTGCCACCTGCTTCGTCCTCTACCCTCTACCGAGTATGAACTGCTGCTATTATTGCTTCGCCGCCTTCCTGCTTGGCATCCCCTTCCCCCCCCCCTTACCTGTCCCACCACCCTGAAACGTTTGCGCTGCTATTGTCGACTTCGCACCGACTGTCCCCCTCTCAAAAAAGAAAGAACAAGACAAAACACCCTGCCCTCTCACCACATCTGCTCCACTCGAATCTCGCATTGCACTCGGCCGCCGTAGTGTGGCCAGAGGCTTGCTCCGTTCAGGCTATTCTTCACATCTTGTCCTCGAAACTTTGCGCCTCTTTTCATTTCGTCATTTTTTTTTTCATTCAACTGCTTCATTCTATCTGCTTTGCGGCCGCTTCACGTCTCTAGGCAGACGATCCATAGAGTGGCCCAACCCGAAACGCAAAGGGTACGCAATCTTCTCTACTTTTCACAACCTGTGACTTGCTGCTTGTTTGTGCGCCCCTAGTTTCCTACTCCCTCCCCCTTTCCTTGCATCTTGCCAGTGCAACACCTTCACAACAGCGGGTCACTGGTTTGACTTCGTTCTTCCACTTAGGCTGTCTCGCCCGGTGGCTAGACGTGACTGTCGCTGCTCCTCTTTGTCGTGCGATTGCCCGTGCGGCACATCTTGGGAATCGCAGCTGTTACAGACCATAGACTTCTGTTATGCTAGCGGGACAGATCGGAGCATCACTGTAGTGGCGTATCTTGGGGGAACCGTCTCAAGACCCCCTCCCAGACTGTCTCGTGTTTCTTCGCTGCCCCCTCTTGTTTTACAGCTACCAGTGCTTCTTACTTACTTTTTCTGATAGCCGATCGATCGATTCGAATTGAGCCCAAATCAGCTTCGCACTTGCCTGCATCTCTGGACTCTGGAACGCCCCAGATGAACGTTCTCTTCTAATATTGACTTTGACATCTCTTCACATTCTCTCGATACAGCCCTAGATTGGCCCAGACAACAGCACGTTCACTATCTCTCCTCTTTTACTTCTTATTCTTTGTATATTTGCATCCTGCATTCGGTTCTATACAACATTTGGTACCAACGTGTCTCAAATACCCAGTCCGTCGATTTCGAAACCTCTACTTTCTCCTACGTTTTTATTACAGATACAGTCGCACAGCTTTCGACTTTACGTTACGCAGCCAGTCTTCGTCTCGCCGCAACTGCACTTGCGATAAAAGCAACACTCCGGCTGCGGTCCGACGAGTTGGTTTTGTACCACGTGCGCCACATAGCAGAAATTACTCGGAACCCGACGTCCACTTGCATATGCAGTCAAGTTAGATCAACCGGTCGATTTGCAGCGGAAGAAAAGAGGATTTTGGAGACTCCCCCAAAAGAAGAGGGTGCCGCTCTCTTGGCTGGGAAGAAATCCGCTTAACAACACTCGTGCTTCCCAGATTGGAGGCAACCTGCCCTCATGAGCTCTTCTCGATATGCAGACGATACGGAGCGACAAGCGCCGATATCAGGATCAATACGTCGTGCCCGAGAGCGAGCTGCGGCTGGGATGCCACGAGAGGACTTCACCTTTCCTACGAGAATGGGCCCGCCCCCACAACATCAGCAGTCGTCGATGCGGCAGCCGTCGCGGATACCACCGCCACGGTCAACAGGAGGTCCTCTGCAGATGAAGAACGGACAGATCGGTGTCGCCATATCTAACCCGACTCCCGCAGCACAATGGCCCCTGGCTGGTCCTCTTGCAGCGCCATCCAATCTATCTTCCAACGATGCCGAGCCATATCGCCCACCACCCGGGCGCTCACAACCACCGCAGCGTCCTCCACGACCGAGCAACGTGCCTTCGATTCTGGATGCTTCTAGGATTCAGGATCTGACCCCCTCCGTCTTTCCGTATGGTGCCGGCACCTCGTCCAACACCTACAACAATAACTCCTTTGCCGCCCCCCCTCCTATGGGGGACAGGCCAGGTCGGCGGCCCGACATGTATTTTGGCCAACAATCGATGGCATCCCCGACATCGCGGCCGTCTACCGTCTCGTCCGTCGGCTCCATTCCGGACTTCCCGATTCCCGTGACGCCCGTCGCCATACTAGCGCCCCCCCCAATACCAATTCAACCACGCCGCAGCGTCACCTTGGGCCCGCCTCCTTCAGCACGTCGGGGTGCGTCCTCGTTCTACTCGAGCGCGTCGTTTGTGTCGCCCATCCCCGAGGAAAGCCCGAGATCACGCTCGCACACCTCTTTGGCATCCAGTGCTGCAATGCCCGAGAGCTGGGGAACAGAATCATCACCATCGTTGAGCCCGAACTACACGGTGGAGTCCACCTATTACGAAGACATTATTCCCGAAGACGGCCAGGAGTCGTTCGTTTTCGGCAACGGATATTACGAGGACGAGCGTGGGAGCGGTGCCAGCTCACCGAACAGCGACGATGGAAAACGCCTTGTTCGTAGCGCAAGCTTGGGCAAGCGAGCCAAAGCCGCGTTAGTGACGACAGGGGGATCGCGCCTGAGTCAAAACAGCCAGTCACGAGCCTCAAACGCTGGGCCCTTCTTTGAAGACACCAGCTATTCCAACCCTTCGGCGTCGTCTTCGGCGTCAAACATCACTGCGCCGCCGCGTGCGGCTCCGGCCCGCTCAACATTAACGGCCTCCAGCATACTGGAAGCGTACGAAGCTGCAAGCGAGCTCAACCTGGCGCACCCTAACCGGCCACCGTCCTCTAATCCTTCTAATTACAACAATGATAGCAACAGCGAGTCGACTCGCGATTACAGCCGACGATCAGCCATCCGCCGCCCACCGCGAATCGATCTGGACGCTGTGCGAAAAGCCGAGGCTCGTGGAAGCTTGACCAGCTTGCCTGATCTGATCAAGCGAGCAACCCGACTGGCTGCCAGCTTGGATCGTGGCCACCGCCCAGCCAGCCGCATGAACGAATATAGTATGTCGCCAGGCATGTATGGGGCTATCGACAAGGAAATGGGCAGTACGTTCCCCTCTCCCACTCTTGGTTCTCCTAGTAATAGGCATGGATGTCCCGGATACTAACTCAAGCAGTTGAAAGAGACAAACATCAGTCTGGCCTGTCTGACATGCTGGCGGCCTTCCCGCCGCCAGCGCAGGCAGGTCGACGAAGCTTTCGCGATCAAATCGGGTCTTGGCCATTGCCTCTTATTGGCGGAAGACAAGGAAACCTGTCGCCATATAATGGAGACTCAGACCGCATGGATGGCCAGCAACAGCGCAAGGGACGGCGCTGCTGTGGCCTGCCGCGTTGGGGGGCTCTTCTTCTCCTATTCGTGGTCCTCGTGATTGTGGCAGCGGCAATCGTGATTCCGCTGGAATTCCTTGTTATCCACAAGAAGAGCACAAGCTCGGCAACGGCGAAGTGTGAGAAGCAGCTGATATGTCTGAACGGTGGCACCAACTTTGTCTCGGATGCAGGGTTTTGCTCTTGCATTTGCAAAAATGGGTTCTCAGGCGTCGACTGCAGTAATTCTGTACAAGACGGCTGTACGATAACGTCTCTGCCGACATCGACGAACAGCTCCGGGCTTACCAACATTACCATTGGCGATGCGCTACCGCGACTGATCGAACAAGCGCAGCTCAACTTCTCGATTCCGCTGTCGGGCACGCAGATCCTGGCAATGCTGAACGCCGGCAATCTGAGCTGTACGGCCGAGAACGCTCTGGTGACCTTTGACGGCGAGACCGTTCGGCAGTCAGATGGGTCCACAGAGGTTAGCGACGCGGTGGTGAACGCGGCGGTCAGCAAGAATGAGGACGTGGATGTTGCCAATGCAGTCCAGATTATGACGGTGACGGTCATGTCCGGGTCAAATGCAGCCATCACGATCAGTCCATCGACCGAGACGGTGGTTGTCGGTACCGACACGAGTGGTACGCTGATAACCCAAGAGGGCTTGACGATCAGCATCGCGGCATCCGACTTGTTAAAACCGACTTCGACGACAACGACAACGGTGACGGTCACCCCGACGTCGACGGCATCTGGCGGCAGCAAGAGCACAAGCAAAAGCACAAGCACAGCGAGCAAGACATCCACCAGGAGCAGCACAACCACGACGGCGTCATCGGCGTCGACTGCCACATTCACGGTGACGGAAGAGGTGCTAGACTTTGCGCGGGTGGCGGTACTCTACATTCTTCAGGAAGAGTCGCTGGCGAACGCAGAAACGGCACAGACGGCGCTGCAGAAGTTTTTCTCCAGCGCAAGTAATGGGGTGCGAAACAAGACGACCGGGGTGACGTTGGAAGAGGCTCGCAACCTGACGCTGAGCAACGGCAACTCGGTCAACTTGGAGACGTTCAAGGTGGCGGTGACAGCTGGGTTGGGCGGCACGGTAAAGCGGAGGAGTGGAGTAGAAAGCTGGTTTGGATGAGCGAAGCGCGAGATGATAGACCGGGTACAGGGCTCTGTCTGTGGCTACTTGGCTCTTGGCTCTTGGCTCTCGAATCTTGGCTCGGGAAAGCAGACCTCAGGCCTGAGGCTATAGTCACGGTGCAGACCAGGGGTTCTTGGGGTTCTTTCTCCTATTTATGATACGCCGCTGCTCTAGGCTAATCCTACATTCTCTTCTGATTTGACGTATATTTCTTGTTTTATTTTATTTTTCTTCTATTTGGGGGTGCCATGTATTATTAGCAGGCTGGTAAGATGGGTCAGCGTACGATGATAACAAGAGGCAATTGGAGACAGGTACGAAGTACAACCGAGGAATGTGACATGTGGCGGCTATGGGAGCAGGAGAAGAACGAATGGGAACGCGTATTTGCAAATAAGTTGTTGTTGATCCGTTCCAGAAGCGGTAGGTGGCGGAGAAGAGAGGTGCCTGAAACACGGTTGGGAACGGTGATCCAAGAAGCTGGAGCTTGAAGAGAGAAGACAGAAAGAAGGAATTGGAAGGTGCAGCTCCTTGCGAGAGCTATGCCAAGTGTTTATTTTATTTCCCGTGGAGGCCGCCCACCTATCTGCTCGTACTCGTAAACCAGAGCTCGCTTGTGCCGACGGCGTATTGAGATAGCTGATTAGCCGACCGTTCCGCATTCATAGCATCTCGCAGGACTCCCGTTGGCGAGTCTATATGCTGGGTGCTATAGGCTGCACTATGCATTTTTGAGACGACAGCCAATTGCACGTCACGTAAGAGGCCTAGTTTCTACGTGCTCCATTCATGTACTATGTACGGAGTAAGATACTCCGTATACACAGCATTGGGTCAAAGGCGACCAGAGCCGGCAGCTTTCGAGCCGGTGTGCCTGCATATTCTTTCTGACAAGGGGTCAGATGACACCCCCCTGCCTGGGGTCTGCGTTTTAGGCCGTTCCAGCGACATGGTGCCTGACGATGCCTGAAGGTGTCTTAGCAGCGATCCTCACCGTTGGGTGAAGAAGAAAAAAGAGGGCAGCCGCCCGAAAATAACGGTAGCTAGACGCCCCCACTGCAGGAACGGCCTGTTCCCCGGAAAAGAGCAGAAAACAAGAAAGAACAAGAGAGAGAAGCAAAGGCATGACCGAGGATACGAGCTCGTATTGTCAGCTATTCGCATGAAGCGTCTGCACACAGTGCGATGACGGGAAAGAACGAAACAATCCCCAACCTTTTGCACGTTATTAGCGGCTAGCGCACAATATTGGTCCTGGTCCAGGGTGAGACGTCACTTCCTAATTCTGTCCCCCTCCCCTGGACAAGCCTGGCGGCCGCCCCTTCCCCTCTCTCTTCTTTGCCCACTGTCTCGCGACCGAGAGTGCATCTCAAGCGACATCCCAGCAAATCCGCTCGCGGTCACAGACAGACATTCCCTCGCTTCCTCCCACACGCCCAACAGGCGCGTGCGCTTTGTCTTTTCTCTTTCATCCCCCCCTTCATTTGGCGTCTCCCCTCTCTCTTGCCTCTGCTTGGTGCATCTTCGACCCTTCCGGCACTCCTTCACACTTTTCCACTTTATAACTTCAGCTTGGTCAGGACGGTCTGGAAAAGGCTTCCTTGTCTTGTTCGGCCTATCGGGATTGCAGCTGTTGAAACTGTGCTTTTCTTCCGCTTTGCGCTCTCGCTGGCGGCGCTGAAACCGGCTGGCCAACTGACCCAACATTGGTCCTAGTCCTCTTCTCTGATCGCGTCCGAGCTTCTCTCAGCTACCAAATCGCTCACATTTCCTCTGACTCTTCTCAACCTGCCTCTCGACGCCTTCTCTCCGTCACGATAACCGCATCTTTGGCTATCTACCCCGGAGTTCAACTCTTCCGCGCCGCTGACGACCGGTCGTCATGCGCCTCTGAGCTCGCCGGCTTATTCAGGACAAATTCAGCCAAGCGATCCTGCGTTATGGAAGCTTGAATCGGCCTGCATCGTCCTCCATTGCAACCGATCTGCCGTTGTTATTCTTCTTCCAAAACCTGTCACGGCTTACCGCGAATTTTCACCGCCCGTTATTCGGACTATCCCTTGCTACGAGCAAATTAAACAGCATATCCGCCCCATATGTCTTACGACGGAGGCTATCCGGCGCCACAGCGCCCCTACAACGGACAGGCCGTGCCGCGACCACCTCCCCAGAGACAGGTTCCGCCAGGATCTGGGGCCAGTGGGCCCCAGCAGTACGAGCCATACCAAGAGAACTTTGGGCGCGGAGGCGGCGGTGGCAGCTATGAATATAGCGGTCCCTACGAAGACCAGGGCTATGGTTACGGCGGTCCTCAGCAAGGCGGCTATCCCGGCTCTGGTCGAGGGGGCCCGCCTTCTATGACCGGTGGCCGCGGTGGTCCGCCGCAAAGACAGATGCCCATGGACGGCAACGGTCGCGGCGCATATCCGCCTCGCGGCGGTGCAGCGGCTCCTGGTGGCCCCATGCGAGGTGGTGGCTATGCCAATGGGTCACCAGGCCGCCAAGCGGGACCGCCAGGTCGCCAGAACTCTCAAAGCTCGTTGGATTCTTTCAGTACGTATCGCCGTCTCAGGCTTCTATGTTCTCCCCTCTGTGCCTTGCTAACCAGGAACAGCAGGCCGTGGCCGTGGTGGGCCCCAGGCTCTCAATCCCATGGAGCCCGGCTTCGGCGGAAATCCGTTTCCACCGTTCCCTGGTCAGCAGAACAAGGTGGACCGATTTGGTGATCAGTCCTTCTTGGACGAGATGGCTGCCCTGGAATTGTCAGAGAGCCAATCCCGACAGCCGCCGACCGGTGGCAGGCCACCAAACGGCCAAGGGCCACCATCGATGCGAGGCCCAATGGGGCCGCCCGGTGGTGGTGGAGGTGGTGGCGGTGGCTACGGCCCTCCACGAGGATTGCAGAGAGCATTTACAGAGCAAAATAATTTTGGCGAACCCCTCCGCGGGCCCAGTCAGGGCTACGGCCCACCACGGGGAGACTATCCCGACGACAACTTTGGGCCTCCAGGCCGGACTATGACTATGTCCTCGATGGACGACTCGCGTTTCCAGGCACTTCCTCCACGTGGCGATGCTGGTCCATATGACCCCTCGGGCAGCAGCATGGGCGGAGGCATGGGAGGCAACATGGGAGGAAGCATGGGAGGCAGCATGAGGGGCGGCATGAGGGGTGGCATGAGAGGTGGCATGGGGGGCGGCATGGGTGCTGGCCGAGGAATGGGTCCGGGTATGGGTCCGGGTATGGGTCCGGGTATGGGCCAACCACCACGGCCATCGACATCTCAAGGGTCACGTCCGCCGCCTCAACGGATGTACCAAGGCGGCGGCGGCGACGGCTACGATAACGGTGCGCCAGGACCGGGGCAAGCTTACGGTCAGCCACCACAGCAGCAGCAGCAGCAGTCAGCGATGTCCTTTGACGAACTCTACGACACATATTACTACTACTGGCCCCGAAACAACGACGAATATGGAGCACCTGGAGGTGCCGAGGCGATGCACGACTTCGACCCAAACGTGCAGCACGACCAGCAAATGTTTCAGGGGAACGGTGGTGGCATGGGACCAGCCCAGGCCCAGCCACAGCAAGGAGCGACGCGATATCCGGAGCTCAGCAAGACCAAATCCCAACCCAATCTCCGCGAGCCGCAGGCCGCCGTGTTCGAAATGGCCGGCGACGTTCCGCCGATGCCGACGAACATGGGTGGCTTTCAGCAGGGGCCGCCGGGGCCACCGGGGCCACCAGGGTCGCATGCTCCGGGGACGGGTCTTCCCTCTGGTCCAGCACCGGCAAGACAAGGCAGCGGTGCGTCGGCACGGTCAAACCAGAACCCAGACATGCTTCCTTCGCACCCTACGCCGGTGCGGCCCGGGCTGATGCCTAACTCGGTGGCCAGCCACATTAGCAACATGGGCAGCAAGCCAGCACCGGTGCGTAATTACGCAGGAACCGTGGGGATGCAGCCGGGACCATCGCCGACGCCGGGCCCTGGGCCAGCCGGTGCAGCAGGACAAGCAGTGGCCCGGGGTCCAGGCCCAGCAGCAGAGGTGCCGGCAGCGGTGACGCCAGAGCTGCTCGAGCAGCTGCGGACCAAAGTGAAGGCATACCCGAGCGACCAGGACACAGCGCTTCTACTGGCTAAGAAGCTGATGGAAGCGGTTGACGTGCTGGTGCCGAAGCTGCCGGACCCGCGGGCACGGGGCAAGGCGCGCGAGCGATACACGATGGACGCGCACAAGACGCTCAAGAGGCTGGCGGGCGCACAGAACGCGGATGCGATGTTCTTCATGGCCGACTGCCTCGGACGCGGGGTGTTTGGGGGCGAGCCAGACAACAAGGAGGCCTTCACGCTGTACCAGACGGCGGCCAAGCTGGGCCACGCGGCGGCAGCGTATCGCACGGCGGTGTGCTGCGAGATCGGGCACGAAGAGGGCGGCGGGACGCGAAAAGATCCGCTCAAGGCGATCCAGTGGTACAAGAGGGCAGCGACGCTGGGAGACACGCCGGCGATGTACAAGGTGGGCATGATCCTGCTCAAGGGCTTGCTGGGACAGCAGCGGAACCCACGTGAGGCGGTGAGCTGGCTTAAGCGGGCAGCCGACCAGGCCGACACGGAGAACCCGCACGCGCTGCACGAGCTGGGACTGTTGTACGGGAGCGCGGAGCCGTTGGAATCGATTGTGCAGGACGAGGCGTATGCCCTGCAGCTGTTCCAGCAGGCGGCCGAGTTGGGCTACAAGTTCAGCCAATTTCGAATGGGCTGCGCGTACGAGTACGGGCTGATGGGCTGTCCCATTGACGGGCGGCTGTCGATCATGTGGTACTCGCGGGCGGCGACGCAGGAGGAGCATCAGTCGGAGCTGGCGCTGAGCGGTTGGTATCTGACCGGATCCGAGGGCGTGCTGCAGCAGAGCGACACGGAGGCGTATCTGTGGGCGCGCAAGGCTGCGGCAGCAGGCCTGGCCAAGGGCGAGTATGCTATGGGCTACTTTACCGAGTCCGGCATCGGTGTCCCGGCGAATCTGGAGGATGCCAAGCGGTGGTACTGGCGAGCAGCAGGTGAGTTTGGAGTTGAGACGAGACGAGACAATTCAAGAGACAAAACTAACAGCAATAGCCCAGGACTTTCCCAAAGCACGTGAGCGGCTGGAGGATCTAAAGCGGGGCGGCAGAACAGGGCCACGGCAGCGCGAGCGCATTTCTCGCAGCAAGCAGCAGGAGGGCGATTGCGTGGTGATGTAGGGGGAGAGGACAAAAGCACGTGCCCATTCCGGCTGGTCCTCTGGATGGCAGCCAGCATAATGTAAGGAGGTGCTTTTCTAGGGTACTCGGACAGAGGCGAATCAATCCATATTAATCTTTATGTGAATCTTTACATTGTGGGTCACATGACAACCGTAGATGTTTAGTCATGAAGTGGGTCCCAAAAGTCGATTCTTTTCCGGAGAACTTGATTCTCGGATCCTTCATGCCAGCTTCACATAGCCTCGACTCCCTCTCTCACTCGACAGGATGCGGTCTCTTGTGCGAATGCATCTTGCGGCCAGCGCCAGAGTCAGTGCCAACAACAGCATCGTCAGCAGAGGTCTCTTAGCCGAGGCGCGGCGATGTGGCCACGGTGGGAGCCGGCTGTCGTCGTCGATGTCGGCAGCGGCCCCGATAGCGCCGACGATGTCGCGGCAGGCCAACGTCGTGTCGACATACGGAGCCGGCGATGGACATCTGCCGCCGCCACCACCAGCACCAAAGCCGGGTGCGGCCGAGCGCATGGCCGAAGAGCGAGCGATCCGCATCGCCTATCGACAGGCAGCACGTGACGCGCTCACAAAACGGGACAGCCGGCTCTGGAAGGCAGCCCGAGTGATAGGCGAGACGGAAAAGACAAAGGAGAAGGAAGCGTCGGCGCTGCTCATCGGGCTCGACAGCCGCACGGTCCGCCACCCGACGACGCGCCAGCCGCTGCGGCTGCCGGCCCACAAGCAGCTGCTGGCACACGCGCTGGCCGTCGAGTGGGATCAGCTGGCATCGGTACGCCAGGCATCACAGGGGCACCGCGTGCCGCTGATGTCGCTGGTCTGTCGCGCCGTAGACCTGGAAGCCGAAGCCGAAGCCGAGGCGGAGACTGCAGCCAATGTCGGGCCCCTTCGAACAGCCCTCATCGCCAACCTGCTGCGCTACCTCGACACCGACAGCCTGCTGTGCTGGGAAGACGAAGGCGGGGAGTCGCGTCGGGTAGCTGTCGGCCATGGCAGCGCGTCGACTGTCCGCGAATCCCTCACGCTCCACCAGCTGCAACGACGGACGGCCGAGCCCATCCTGGCGTATGTGCGCGAACACGTGTGGCCCGGGCTCGACATCCAGCCGGTTCTGGGCGACGGCACCAACCCGTCGCGCCTCCTGCCCCGGCCTCATCCCCCTCCTGTCCGCGAGGCTGTGCAGCGCTGGCTGCTCGCCCTCGACAGCTGGGATCTGGCTGGCGTCGAACGTGCCACTCTGGCCGGCAAGAGCATCCTCGTGGCCGCCCGCCTGGTCGGTGGATGGCAGCAGCATCGCGCACAGCCAGGCCTCGTTCCCAATGCCGCCTTTTCGGCCGAGGAAGCGGTTGCGGCCACCAACATGGAGATCGCCTTCCAGACCGCTCTCTGGGGCGAGGTGGAGGATACCCACGACGTCGAGGCTGCCGACATGCGGCGACACTTTGGCAGTGCCGTGCTGCTGGTGGCAGAGTGACCGGCCCGTACTAGAAGCAGCAGAATGGAGACTGAGAATGATCGATCGCTTTTGACCCCACACGCTGTCTGAGTTGCCTGCCGCAATCCTGGCCAATCGGCTCCGGCTCTCATATCGCGCTACTTCGCTCTTAGTAGCCGCCCCGCAGGCTGAGAGATGCCGAGGACCTACCTCCGCTTTCCCCCAGGCCCCTTTGCAAGCTGTCACCTCGTCGCTCTTGTCCCCGGAACCGAGTAAAGCCGGCCATGCCGGCCATGCCGGCCCCCTCCTCTCTATCTGGAAATACTCGAGACACTGGCTCGTCCGTATACTTAATGTCGGCCGTCCCTCGTCTTGGGACACCAGACGCCCAAAAAAACACTTCTTTTTGGCCATCCTCTTTTTTCCAATCACAGATATGGTGTTCCATCCGCCGGCATGGGTGCCTCAGCTCCCAATTGGTAAGCTCTGCTCTTGAAGTCGTATGCCTTCATCGCTTGCCGTGCTGACCTCGGGAACAAGACCCTCCCGACTCCGTCACCATCGAGCAGTTTATGACCTCGGAGAAATTCGGCCGCTCTCCCCTCGTCGAAAGCCGAAACCCCTTCACTTGCGGCCTGACCGGCAAGACACGCAGCTGGGTCGACCTGGTCCGACGCGCCGACTTCCTCGCCCGCGCCCTCGGCAAGCGTCTTGGCTGGCAGCCCAATCAAGGCACCCCCTGGGATAAAGTCGTGGCCGTCTTCTCGCTCAACTCCGTAAGTGCTCCGCTTAATGAACGACAGCACCGCGCTTGATCCTGACCCCGTCCAGATCGACTATATCCCCGCACTGTATGCCATCCATCGCTTCTCCGGCATCGCCACCCCGGCCAATGCCGCATACTCTGCCGCTGAGCTCCAGCACCAACTGGTCTCTTCTGGCACCCAAGCTGTCTTCACCTGCCTGCCGCTTTTGGAGACTGCCCTCACTGCCACCCGTGCCATCGGCATCCCCGACGAAAACGTCTTCTTGCTCGACTTCCCGGCCCTGACCCCGGACGCCCAGCAAGCAGCCGCGGACGTTGGAAAAGTCCACTCCACCGTCGACCAGCTCATCGATGAAGGTTCTGCTCTGCCCCGCCTCGAACCCCTGCGCTGGACAGAAGGCCAGGGCGCCCGCCAGCCCGCCTTTCTCTGCTACTCGAGCGGCACGTCAGGACTGCCGGTATGCCTCATGTCATTCGGTGTCGTGCCCTCCCGCTCCGTTTCACTACTAACTTGTGCGCCCAACAGAAAGCCGTCATGATATCGCATCGAAATGTCATCGCCAATGTCCTGCAGATCGCCTCCTCTGAGTCCGTCGGCCGCGAGAAAAAAGGTATCCGAACACAGGTCGTGATCGGCCTCCTGCCGTTCAGCCACATCTATGGCCTTGTCGTCGTTGCCCACAGCACCACCTTTCGTGGGGACGAAGTCATCGTGCTTCCCAAGTTCGAGCTCGAGTCCTTCCTGGCCACAATCCAGCGATTTCGCGTCGAGATGCTTCACATCGTATGTCCTTCCTACATCTGATCTGATCCCCGGGCTCGAGGCCGCTGGCAGTTATTGATTTCATCCTCGCTCTCCAATAGGTGCCCCCCATCCTTGTCCGGCTGATGCAGACACAAGACATATGTTCCAAGTATGATTTGAGCAGCATCCGCTTCTTCTATTGCGGCGCTGCACCGATAGGGGAGGAAACCATCGACGAACTTAAGAGATTCTACCCCCATTGGGTCATTGGTCAAGGATATGGTAAGAGGAACCCCATGCCATAATCCGATCCTGCTTCCCGTTTTCCTGACACCATGCAGGCATGACAGAGACGTCCACCGTGGTTTGCTCGACAAGCGAGCACGACATCTTCACCCGCTCGTCTGGATCGCTTGTCCAGGGTGCCAAAGCCAAGATTATCGACTTCGATGGCAAGGAGGTCTCGTCATACGACACCCCCGGCGAGCTGTATGTCCAGTCTCCGTCCGTGGTGCTGGGATACCTCAACAACGAGAAGGCATCGGCCGAAACGTTTGTGAACCATGACGACGGCCGCTGGATCCGTACCGGCGACGAGGTCATCGTCACAAAGGCACCTTCGGGAAATGAGCACATCATCATCGTTGATCGCATCAAGGAGCTGATCAAGGTCAAGGGCCATCAGGTCGCTCCCGCCGAGCTGGAAGCGCATCTGTTGACCCACCCCGCTGTAGCTGACGCCGCCGTCATCCAAATCCCTGATGATAATGCTGGCGAAGTGCCCAAGGCCTTTGTCGTCAAGGCCGATGGCTATGCTTCAAAATCGGATGAAGAGCTTGCTCGGTCCATCGCTCGTCATGTGGAGGAACACAAGGCTTCATACAAGTGGCTCAAGGGTGGCGTGGAGTTTATCGATGAAATTCCCAAGACTCCAAGTGGCAAGATCCTGCGCCGGCTTCTGCGTGATCAGGAAAAGGCGAAGCGGAAGAAGGCAGGATCCAAGCTTTAGACAGTTGACACAATTCTTGCAACCATAAGAGTGTTTGCATAGATAGATAGCCTTTTTTCTAGCAACCGCCGGCAATCGGCATCCATTTTGAAGCTGGAAAGACGTCTTGAAGTGCCCCATGTGAAAACTGCACAAGGCCAAACCGCTCGTTGTCGCTTTTGAATATTTCAGCCTCGTCATGCTCAACCGTCACCACCCACAGAGCTTGGCCAAGAGCTGAATCCTGACCAGTGTCCCTGCTACTGCTGCATTCCCATTCCCAGAGGCCGTCAACATCAGGCGGTGCTCGTGTAAAGCACACGTGCAGATTGCACATATAGTCCATAAAGCTTTTATATCGGGGTACGATTTTCTGAGTTTTGCTGATCTCGCGATAGCATCTTCGTACGATGTTGCTTTTTTCATCGGAAGTCTCATTGAGGGGCTGTAACTTTCGCTGTCGCAGTAAAGAGACGGCAATTTCATAGTTTTCATCAGCTTCAATCGAGACAGAAGTGTTCTGGATACCGTCCCCATCGCCGCCATGATCCTCCTCGGCAGTCCCTCCAGCTGCCTCGCCGGTGAGAACACTCGCAGGCTCTACCCAAGGCTTCTGTACCACCGTGCTGTTGAGTATCAATATGAGTGGTCGGGCAGAACCGGACGCCGGCTTTTCAGAGGCCAGCGCGCGAAGTCGCCGCATCAGCTGTCCATACAGCTCGTGCAGCCGCAGGCCACGAGGACCCTGCAGGCGCATCCATTTGAAATGGTGGTCAATCTCTGTGATGACAACTAGAGGCAGACCAGTGTTTACAGGTAGCGCCTTGCCATCTGGGACATTGTCACTGCTGCCATCATTTCGAGAGCCACCATCAGCCATAGTTGCCGACCATAGTCGTCGGAAGGGGACGGCAGACTCAATCTCCTCCAGAACAGTCCACAGGTCGTCCGGGGCGTAGATGCGAGATATCAAGACTCGTCGCAGCAGGCGCGAGTGCATGGCCTTGTCGGCAACGTCGCCGACAGCCAGCACGCCCTTCAGTAAACGCACGACATGGGCTACCGGATGCGTCGTCACCAGACGCACCGTGGCTGCAGCTTGGGCATGCAGGTGCCGAACTATGATCTGTAGTGAGAGCTTCGAATTGTCAGAATACAGCACCGCTCAGCTTGGGGGATCCTAAAGCCGGTACACACCACCAACCCAATGTCTCCATCAGCGCTGATTCCAACAACGCCACCAGATAGGCCGCCGGCCGGCCCCAAGAAGACACGTTCATCAAGATCACGGCAACCGGTCAGATAGGAGGGATTCCAGCTTCCACATGGGCCCACGACCAGACTTGTCACTTCCGTCTCGGACGAAATAGTAACGTCATGTTTCTCCCCATGCGGTATATTTGCTGACTGTAGCCGCTCGTCCATCGTAGCAGTGAGCCCAGAACTTCTCGTTACTTTTTCTGAGAGAACACAATTGCTGGAGTTGGATGCACGATTGTCTTGGTCATTTGTTCCTCGATAGTTCCTTCCGTACCTGAATGCAGCTCATTTGGACCGGTGCAATCGAGAATACTGCGCCCCACCCCGTGTATAGCTGACAATCTGCTACTCCGCTCGAAGCACTCCGTATCTTACTTTATGGGGCTTTACTGCACTGTTCATTATACGGAGTACCAAAATAAGTGCATGGCATAACACAATTTTTAGTTATTTTCCTTTTTTTTTGTAGTTTCCTTATGGTTACTAAAGGCAGCAAAGATGAGAGAAGCGATACAAAAGGTTCCCAATTACAAAGGTGGCAATGTCGCGCCCATAAAACATGTCCGGGTAAAAACAAAGTTCCTGTCAGATAGAGAGAGAAAAATAGACCAGTGTCCCTGTCCCCTTTGCGCCCTTACCGAGTCGCCGCCTGGCTTTTTTGCTTCATCTGGCCAAGGTCCGAGTGCTGAACAGCCCTCCCGATTCTCCATCAACTTCTCTCCCAATTCTTGTCCTCACATATTTTCGCAGGTCACAGGCCGAACCTGTGCCATTCCATCCCTGATGCTCTAGGCCGAGTGTGGGCCTTCGTGTCTACGGCCTGCGTCTAACCGACCGGCCCTTTTCGTGACCCTTGTTGTCATTTCTAGGAGTCCCTCGTAGGAGGAGGTGGAGGTGCCCGACGACCCCCCTTCAAACTCTTTACGCGAGCCAGAAGGCCGCTGCTGGTCGGTTTCGAAACATCATCAGATCCAGTCGCAGAATGGCTGTGCTTTGGAGCGTCAGTCATCGAATAGGCCGCATCTGAAGTAGACCGCCGCTCAAAATCGTCGCGAGGGCTTGGAGGAGAGCCCGGCATAGGCGGAGCCTTCCTACGGACGCTAATCATATCCTCTTCATTTCTGGACCCGTCATACTCCTCAAATTGGCGACCTGGACGCTCGTTGCCATTACCGCGGGGGCGAGACGCAATAGGAGTTCCATCTGTGCTGAAGGCGCGGCCAGCATTGCCCTCACGAGGTCCGCGCTTGGTGCTGCGGAAGCGCTGCGCAAGCGACTTCTTCCGCTGCAGCGGATTATCTTGCGTATCTTGAGCCCTTTCGGCTTCGCGGCGCTGGATTGTGGTGCGAGCAACAGGCGTGCCCTCCAAGAATGTTGAAGTGCCCAAGCCGAGAGACTCGTCTCCATGAACGATGGAAGCGCGGCGAGGGTCAAAAACTGTCGCATTGGCAGACGAGCTGGTCTTCTCACGGCTGGCAGCGAAGTCTCTGAACGCTTCGTCTTCGCCCTGGCCCATGAAGGTCTTGTGGTCAGGCCGCGTGTTCAGAGGACCCGAACCGCCAAGAATGTTGTTCAATGAGTCCTTCGGGAACGCCTGCATAGGGGCACGACGGTTGTGTCTGTTCCGGTGTGGATTCAAAGCATCAAAAGGACCATCATGGTGGAAAACTAAAACGCGTTAGGCCAGAATATACACGAGTTGATGCAGGAACTCTACATACCATTTCCAAAAATGCTAGTGGCATCCAGCTGATCAATAATATCATTGCGGCGGTTTGGGCGTGTTGAGCTCTTCTCCCGACTCGCCTGCTCACGACGCCGAGCCTCTCGAAGGATTTTGTCACTCTTGGACGGGTTGGTATCGTCCGCCACAGAAGACTCAGAGTTGCGCCGAGGCCGAGAAACGGATGGGCGACGGCCTGCAGACCTATCTGGGGCAGGGCCTTGTTGGCCAGTCCGCCCAGAGACAGCACTGCTGCTTGGGTGGTGCCGTTTCGAAGCGTCCTCTTGAGACCGAGCTGATCGGCTATTGGGGGAGGGTGACCGCCGCGGCGGAATGTTTTTAGCACGGGGCGGTGGCCCAACAGCAGGGCGACCTCGTCCCGCCGGGGGCGGTCCACGGTCGTCCATTGAGCGCCGGGGCTGGGCGTTACTGGGAGCCGGAGCAACGGACTTTGTGGCAGAACTGGTCTTGTCCTCCATACTGAGAGAGCTCTGCATAGATTAGTATAAATGCACGCAAAAATACAAGAGCACGTATGCGTCGACATGTCAAAGGGAATGCGTCAAAAAACAGAGAGCGTTTCATTGACAACCCGCCAAAAGTCAAAAGGGGTGGGCAATGGTGGTATCGTAGATGGGACGTACAAAGATGTCGGCCATAAACTTGGAATTTCCGTCGTTGGCCTGTGACGGCATGTCGTCTAGGTCGATCAAAAGAGCAGAGTTCGAATTTGGTGCTGTAGGTGGGCCGTTTGCCGGATCCAAGAACGGATTTCGCGAAACAGGTCTTGTTGACGATGTCGCCGGCGCTGGATCTTCGAATGGAGACGTCGGGCTCTGTGGAAACGACGGTGAGACAGCACGGTTCCGGAACGGATTATTCGAGGAAAGATGCGTTTTGGCAGGCTCCCCTAGAAAACTAATGAGTAAATGCTCTCGAACAGAAGGCTCGCAGGATATATAAACGACTCCGGTAGGCAAAGAGCTAAGGGGGCTGATGCTGAAGTAAGAGCCACAGCGCGCTTATCGTGGAACCGCAAACGAAAAGGAGAAGAGGGGGTAATATCAGGCAGACCAATACTCGAGGTAGGTTGCGTGTGCTAGGATATGGTTGCGTGTTCCTGGTTTCAGAAATATAGGAAGCTGGGGGAAGGGGGTGGTATAGCAAAACACGAAGGCGGGGCAACAACATGTCAGGCAGGAAATAAACAGGAATGCAGAGAGGGAAGGTGCGAATGTGAGCAAGCGGCAACACCGTAAACAATCTGTCGCATTGGCCAAATCAAGGCACAACAGCCATGACGATCAAGAAAACCCCCAGTCCTCGAGCCAATGGCTACGCGATGGCGTAGTGGGTTGACGAAGTGCCGGGCAGAATGATATCGATAGGGGACAAGACAAAGGAAGTGGAGCAAAAAGGAAAGAAAAAAGGATACCTGCAAGGGCAGAGATAACCATACTCTCCCATCTGTAACGCATTTCATCTTGGTTCCCTGCCCTTGAGCCCCCTTAGTCGGCGTCTGGGTGCAACTTGCGACACAGAACACGGCCGCGCGTCACACAAACAAATAGGCACACAAGCACACCACAAAGCTACTCACCTGGCTGGCTGGAATAATATTCGGACATGGTCGCGGATGTTTGCACGGTCGGCTTTACAGCTGAACTTCGTAGGGTTATATAGGCCGGTCGCGGTATATCTTGACGAAAGCACGAAACGATGATCGAGGCGCGTCAGCAGTCGATGTGGTAGCAGGAAACGTGACGTTTGGAGTAGACGCCCCAAATGCCAGGGTTCGCAGGGGTGAATTCAAGGTGGGTGCGCTGGGAACCCTAGCCGTTCAACCAGAATCGCATGCGAGCGAGAAGGCTGCAGAAAAGGTTGCAGGGGGAGAAAGAGAAGCAAACCGAAATATTGTCGAGAAATGATGCGTAGGTAGTTGAGACCGGGGTGGCGAGACAGAGCCAATAGCTAGGGACTCCTCCAGAAGGTGACTGGAATTGCTTGTCGAGCTGGAATTCTCCAGTGTCAAAAAGGAGCGGTAATATAGGACGGAGAACGCGAGGGTTAGGGAGAGCCGAGCGACGGTGTGGTGCTGTTACGGCAACGACGCTGCGCCTGTAGGAGAAGCTTAATCCTCCAGGAGCAAAGAATGAGAGCAGGCCGGGAGCGGTCGATCGAGCCGGCGCGGAGAAGGGGGATTGGGCGGAACGTGCAGGAGCAACTTATTTATGTATAGGATAGGACGAGACGATTTGCTGCTGCTGCGCTAGGTTCAGGCCCCCAAAATAAAAAATAACAATAACGATATACTCTCTAAGATATACGCGCAGCTGAGGTCAGCTATAGCAACAAGCGTAGGGTTTTGAATAGGAAAGGAGCTGCGAGGCAGAGAAAATGAACAAGAGGACGGTTTGGATGGATAGGAAATGGAGCCACGAGATATTCCGGTCGGAGATGAGGGATGAAGAAAGAGCGGGACAGGAAAAAGGGGGACTTTCGGAGGGGATGGAGCAAGCGACATCCCAATAAAAGATACCAGCGAAAGTAGGAGAAAACCGCAAAAGGGGAAAAGTCATCAGGGAATGGTGGAGAGAGGCCGATCGACGTTAAGGCCCCAAGTTTCGTACGAGAGTACCAAAGGGAGGGGGAAGATGCAGGGGGGGTATAAGGACGATTTTGCTGAGCAGAGAAAAGAGAGGTAAAAGGGCCTGGAAATCGCCTGCGCTATAGGTAGTTGAAGCTGTAGAACTTGCTGAAATATAGAGCTTGCAAGCCGCCGTCAGCTGGGAGGTAGCAGCGTTAGTGCACTGCTAGTATCTTACAGGTATAGGCGACCCCGCCGTCGTAGCGCCACTGCTCACCGCCAGTGTCTCAGAGGCTAATCACAGTCGCCTAGCGAAGGCGATGAAGAGTGGCTTCCCATCACGTGATTGTCTCGGGGCTCATGCTGGCACAGGGGACTTGTACTCAGTAGGGTGAGTAAGATACATCGCCAAGTACAGGCGTCTCGCGAGTGGCGACATTGCTACCCCGCTAGAGAGGCCCGTTTCGATTAGCCGGATTGGCGCCCTCACTGTTTGGGCGTCTAATTTTAAGATACGTACTTACGGAGTATGGAGTACGGAGTACGGAGCATTATCTTACATTATCTTATTTTTAGTTACTAAAGAACTACCCGTTATGCTCTAGCCTGGTAGCGAGCCTCTCGTATTCCAGGTAGGTCTCTTTGCTTTCTTCCAATGAGCTCCCCCGCATGGTCAACTCGCCGATCCAGCCAATTCACGAGACCTTATGCTGTATCCCAACCTTACACGACATGCTCCTGCCCCGGCGTGTGCCACCGTGTGTCCGGTACTACTCCGTAGAACGGGAAAAGGCTGCAACCTAATTTGCACGGTAACTTACAGGACCAGGGGTAGCTCCAAATTGCAATTAACTTTTCATTTAGTGGTTGCATCATATTTTAGGCGGGTAGGAATCAATGGAACAGTGTGGTGTTTGTGGCATTGCCTATTTTTTCGTTTCTGTTCCGGCCTGGCCTTTCCACGGCCTGTGTACTCGGATCATTGTCTTGTGTGTCGTTATCAAACTCAGCGACGGAGAATTTCTCGTCGCCTAGCATTCTGCTCCGCATTAGGTCGACTTGTTTGATCTGTTCTGCTTGTTCATGATGCTTCTCCATCCGTCAACTCCGCGAGCGAACTCCCGGGATTGAGACTCGGCAAACAGGCTCTTTCCTATCCAAAGGAGATAGACTACGCTTGGAATCTAGCATAATGGCTTGTATTGCTTGGTCTTGTTCGCGATAGCAGCACTATGTCATGACATGACGGCTACGTCTGTGGCAAAAATGACTAATAATATCAATATCAGATGAAGTAGAAGCAGATTGTAATCAGCAATACTGTGCTACACGTTCGATACAATATACGAAAACTGATTAACATTATTCCTACTATTCTCCCTTTCTTTCACCCCGTGAACTTACCTTGCTTCATCCCACTTGAAAGCATCGCTCCCCAGTCTGAGCTCTTAAACCCCCACGGCTTCAAAAACTTCTTGGTAGGGCAAACCCCTCAATCTAAAATATGTTGTCCTGGCTGTAGCACGAAGGTAATTGCTAAAATAAAGCCTTCTCACCTGTAGCAAAGCGTTGCACAATACCCAACTATGGGGATTGAAGTTGACGAAGACATGCCCTTTAACCGTCTCATGGGCTTTATGACATTACCGCTAGAACTGCGTGTATATATCTACAAGTTGACATGGGAGCGACGCGTGATCAATCTGCAATACCGGTACAAAACATTGGCCATCCCGTCACAGAGACTCAACCGATTACCCTTACACGAACAGAACAAAAATGGTGATTCCAACAGAAGCAATCCTGCTACCAATATCTTCAGTTATACCACGTACACATACAAGCCACCACCGAAAACATTATACATCTCCTCGGAATCCCGCTTCGAGACTCTCAAACATTATAAACTTGCCTTTGCAATGCAACCCAAATCCCATCTAAGACACGAACATGGCACCCTCAGGAGCGATGTGAGCTACCGATACATTACTCTCGTCTACTTTAACTACTCAATAGATGCACTGGCCGTTCCTGAACCGGCAGACATGATGAACAATTTGATATGTCAAATACGCTTTGCCGACCTAGCCCAAGTGCGATATGTGCAAGTTCGGGGCCGTTGCGATGACTACGGAACTCGTCCATGGTCTTGTCCGTGCAACAGACTGCCGATGCTATATGGACAGTTTCCTCTTCAGGCAGAAGCTACCGACTTTGGGCCCGTGAGCAACTTGCGGAAAAAACTTTCTTATGGCCAGCAGAAGGCACGACCGAAGCCCCAAAAATACATTGCCAAATTTGATGGGGGGTTCCAGAAAGAGACCAAGACCAAGAGACATGACAGAAAAGAGAGTGAGGAAGGAGAAAATGACGACCCGAAAACCCTGATTAGTGAACAGGCGCTGGATGAGGAGCCAGAGGAACTACCGCTTCATCTCAGAGTGAATCACATCTGGGAGAGAGCTCCAGAGATAAAGGCCTTTTACAACTACTACGAGACTTGGATCAACAGCGAGGACTACTCTAGGTACTCTTGGGCTCGAGAGCCCTTGAAAGACATATTTCAGAATGTCCAAGAGGTTGAATACGTTGTAAGAAAGGACCTTAGCAAGCCAGCAGAGCTTGTGGCTACGCTACGGCTCGTCTCGGCAGACGAAGCCAAACGTACGGCATCCAAACTGGCCTCAGACATCTCCAAGGACTGGCTACAAAAGGTAGCAACCGCCAGAGAAGTACTGGCCCACACTGCGACTTCCCAGACCGGACTAGACCAGCTTTCGAGCGATGCCGTCGCTGCTTCAGTGATTGCTTCTGGTGTCCGGGCTCCTTTGCGTGACCAAGAGGCCAGTGACCATGACGAGGTTGCTATGCGTGATTTTGTGGATGATCGTCCGCACCTGCAGTTTGTGCCCGGTCCCAAGTTAAAGAACAGAGCAATCATGCACGAATTCTTGGACAGTCTGCTGCGGTGGTTTCCGCTGATGGAGGGGGCAGATGAGATGGGGCCCGAGCGGCAGATTGGCTATCACTGGCTCGGCACTCGTGTGCAGGATGGCTGGATAATAGTGACTCTGGCCAGGGATTCTCGCCTGGGCAGTTTCTGGACTTTGAAACACAACCCCGTCATGACATAGCCTTGCAGACTCAAAGGCATCGTTGACAATAAGTGAAGTGCAGTAGACTTAACAGATTCACTCCGTACACAACCGCATTGGCATAACGAGTCACGTCCGTAGACTATGTAGTAAATGCAGCAAAGTCGCATCACATTCGTGGTGTCTTCCTACTATGTACGGAGCGGCCTCATTGTATCTGGCAGTAGCCTTGCTTACAAAGATGACAGGCATGTATTCGAGAACAATTATGTGTCTCCCTTGCAAAAGTTTCTTTCTACCTGTCCCCGCAACTACTGGCGTTTTCTCTTCCATCTTCTCTATCCCCCTTTTAATATTTACCATGTATTCACCACCGAACTTATGTTGCATGCTACATCTAGTTTTTCATCTTGCTACTATATACTATGTATGTACGCAGTAGCAAAGGCTGCAAAGACGATACAGCCTCATGCTGCCGTGTGGCTCTAGAGGTGGAGTGTGTGTGGGGAGAAATTTGTCCCTTTAGCCCCGGTCAGCTGGCTGCAGCAGCTTTCCTTATTCCCGCACTATACTCCGTGTTGCCTTCATACTCCATGTCCTGTAGATTCCCCCCCCTTAGTAAATCCGGTCAAAAGCGCCTGCACTTCTCCAACAAATCGAAGGCATTGGCCGTCTTGTTCTGGCCTCGTATGCGACAGACATCACGAGTCCTCTTGTTCACCGCCTGCTACTCGTATTCCAATTGGAGTAAGATCGGATTCTTACTGCTTGGCAGCTGGCTGCAATGGAGTTGTGAGTCCCCTTTTACCTCGTACGCATAAAGGGGCTATGCTGTTCGTTTAATGCTATGTATTAGCGGGCATTATACCGAGGTTTTGCCGCGGATAATAATCGTAGATGCACGGCCAATTGCCACAAAGCACATACGAGCAGACAGCGCCGTGAGAGAAGACGGGTATGGGCACCGCGTTCTCTAAGGAGTATTGACTGGCCAGAGCGTCCGCACACCGATATCGTTGGAATGGCAACTCGCACGTCAAATTGCGGGTACCATCGCCAGGATATTGAACAGACCAATTTCGAACTCAGACTACGTATGTAAGATGTGTTAAGATATGCACGAACTCGCAGGTTTGCGGACCCGACCAGCCGGAATGGGTGAGGCCTGCTGTAGAGCTCGACCGTCATCACAGAGCCCAACTCCGCTGTCATTACTCGTATGTACACGTTGAAAACTTGAGATCAGGCATCCCGAAGTGGTGGATCAGAGGGGCCCGGCTGCCTTTCGAGCTCCAGCTGACCAGGGCCAGCTCGTCTGCTGGCTGATCCTACCTTCTGGCCATTACGTGGTTCCTCGAAATAGGCCGACGGACGTGTATTTTGCTGCATGACTGCCCGGACCAATTGGATGCTTGGCAGATGCCACCCGAGCTTACTACGTAAGATATCTTACTACGTCGTATGGATTAATATATCTTATTACGACGCGTCGGCACCGCACGGCGGCTGTTTCGATTTGGGGTGGCAGCCGACTTGCCCTTCTCGGCTGCACCCACCTGCCTATCCGCCCAGCCTGCGCAGGTGCGATCGCAATACGATACATATGTACTCGTAGGTGCGAAGTAGCACTCGGAATCGGTCTTGTGTTGGGCAGAGACGTGTGGGGAGACGCTTTGCTGCCCGTGCTCTCGTCGTCGAAACCGGGTAATTCCACAGTGCCGAGCGTGAGCGTCACTGTACGAGTACGAGTATTTAGGCGCCCAGCACGCGAAGCCAAGGGGCCAGCGAAAGCACACCACGTATCAGGAAGCCTGTGAGGTGTCGCATGGCTGCTGGCTGCTGGATTGCAGCTGAACAGGCTACCCTTCTGCCTCGTGTTTCTTGTTGTGCTTTCCTTCTTCTCCGCCGCACGTATCTTACGAGAAACGGGCACGGCAATCCTGGTTGCCAGAGAGTGCTTTCTCCCCTGATGAAGCTCCCCGGTCTCCAATCGCCCCGCTCTTCTGGCCTGACAGGACTGGCCACGCGTGATTTGGCCGCATCCGGGCAGCGAAGTGTATCTTACTCGTATTAATATTATCTTGTAACTGACGTGCCCGACCGTCTTAGCCGCCGCAGCCTGCCGGGCGCCTTTTCCTCTGGCCCCCTCCTGCCCGCATTTTGTGCTCACTCTCACACCTCGAAAAAATGACAGAACCTGGACTGTTGCTTGACGTCCTGCCATGCTGCTCCCCGTCAGACAAAGCCAGTGACAAACAGCAGCACATCCACTGCAACTGGCGGTGGGACAGGCTAGCTGCCTTATAAGATGTCTGCAGATATTCTCCGTATCCGTGCTCCGTACACCGTAAGATGCATTTGTTCCCTACAAAAAATAAACCGGGTACTTTAAATTAATGCCGGCGCTGGCTTCTTCGCTGGCCACTGCTCTCCGCAGGTTTTTGCCTCGCCACCGTTCCCTAAATTTTTCCCAGTTTTAGTGACCACTCGCTGGTGCCGTCTATCCGATTATCTACCCCCACCCCCTAACCTTCCGTTTTCGCGCCTGGAGCCAAGCCCAGACCCCCCCTCCCTTTCAAATTACCCTTGCCGCCCTGGCCACTCTTCCTTTCGTGCTCTCTCTCATTCACCAAAACCCACAACGGTCTGTCTGTCAGCAACGCCTTTTTTTCCCTCTTTTCTCCTTCTCCCCCCATCTCTCTTCCAACTTCTCTTGCCTCTGCAACAACGTCGTTCTTTCATTCGATTCGACTCACTCCGACAGTAATCTGTCGACAATTGGCAACCTTCCATTGCATTAACCAGGCCACCTGGTTATTACCTCAATCCAAAAAGTGCGTATGCTTTTTCACCTTCCCTCAAGTGACTCTTTTCAGCTCTTCGTCTCTCCCTTCCCTCTTTCAACATCGCCGCCTCACCGCTGCTTCGGCCGCATTCCGAAAATACGTATACAAATACTGTCTTCGACAGTGTTGTGTAGTCCTTGTGCATTATTTCATTCGTGTTTCAGATCGTTTCTTCTTCCCTTCCTTATCTGGATCCAAAACATCTGATTCTTCACATCTCCTCTATACTGTCTCTCTTCAACGGCCTCTTCTCGTCGTCTTTTCTTTCTATTTTGTCTTGCCTCCAACGAAGTCGACGCTTTGTGATTAACGCCTCGAAACAGACAACCACGATAATCGTCCACATCAAACAACTTCGCTTGCCCGAAGAATTAAAAGCGAAAATGACGACGATGGTTTGTTTTGCCCGCAACGGGACTTGAACCCACTTCCAAAGGACTAGATTACCGTTGCTAACCTCTCTTTTCTTGTACAGGATCTCCGCGTCGGTAACAAGTACCGCATCGGCCGCAAGATCGGCTCTGGCTCCTTTGGTGACATCTACCTGGGCACGAACATTATTTCGGGCGAGGAGATCGCTATCAAGCTTGAGAGCGTCAAGGCCAAGCACCCCCAGCTCGAGTATGAGGCCCGCGTGTATAAGTCACTGGCTGGTGGCGTTGGCATTCCCTTTGTCCGCTGGTTCGGCACGGAGTGTGACTACAACGCCATGGTCCTGGATCTGTTGGGCCCCAGCTTGGAGGACTTGTTCAACTTTTGCAACCGCAAGTTTTCGCTGAAGACCGTTCTTCTGCTGGCCGACCAGCTCATTTCGCGTATCGAGTACATTCACGCCAAGTCGTTCATCCACCGCGACATCAAGCCCGACAATTTTCTCATGGGCATCGGCAAGCGTGGCAACCAGGTCAACGTGATTGACTTTGGTCTGGCCAAGAAGTACCGTGACCCCAAGACTCACTTCCACATCCCCTACCGTGAGAACAAGAACCTCACGGGCACTGCCCGTTACGCCTCGATCAACACCCACCTGGGTGTCGAGCAGTCCCGCCGTGACGACATGGAGAGCTTGGGCTACGTCATGCTCTACTTCTGCCGTGGCTCGCTCCCCTGGCAGGGTCTGAAGGCTGCTACCAAGAAGCAGAAGTACGACCGCATCATGGAGAAGAAGATGACCACTCCCACTGAGGTTCTTTGCCGCGGCTTCCCCAACGAGTTTGCCATCTACCTCAACTACACGCGCTCGCTCCGCTTTGACGACAAGCCGGACTACAGCTACCTCCGCAAGATCTTCCGCGACCTGTTCGTGCGTGAGGGCTTCCAGTACGACTACGTCTTTGACTGGACTGTGTACAAGTACCAGAAGAACGCCCAGGCCATCGCCCAGGCTGCTGGCGCTACTGATGACAAGCAGCGCACTGATGCTGCAACCGGCAACCCCACGCAGTCCGGTGCGGTCAAGGCTGGCAACAGCTCGCAGATGATGTCGGGTGGCCGTCCCCGCAACGCCAAGATTGGCGACGTTCACGATGCCAGCCGGGGCCCTGCCGACCGTATGTGATTGCTATCTGTGAGCCTACTTGACAGCATCCTCTGTTCAGAAGCTCGGGGAGCGGCCAGGATAGCAAGCACGACCATGGCTATGGGAGCCATGGAACGTTGGTGCTCGCGGTTGACGTCCGACATGTGAGATGGCCTAGGTGCACGACACGGTTGACTAGTATGATCCCCCCGGGGTTCTACCGATAGCTGGCAACGGGTGCACGCTTGAGGCACCGTCTCACCTGGTTTACCCGTCATTTCGCTGTTCCGCTAAGATCGCTTTTCCTGTTTGTTTTCCTTTGAGATTGCTCGAATGTTTGTTTGGAGGCCTGGTTTGGAAGGACGCGCGGCTGCACCAGTTAGCGCGATCAGTTTCTTTCCACATCGTGGAATATTGACGGATACGGATGTCGATCAATGATCTGTCGCAGAGCTTGCGGCACTCATCACCTTGACAGCTGACTCCGACCGCATTATCACACACGATATCGCCAAAACCCGCCCGATAGCATCTGCTCGACCCACGATCCCTGTCCGACACGTGTTTACAATTTTACCGCTCAGTTTCTTGCTTTTCAGAACACCCCACTCTTACCCCTTTTTCGTCTAGACGCACAACCTCGTATATTGGCTTGCAGTCAGATAGAGTTGGCGTTACGTGCTGTTTCCGTTGCACAACACGACGATCAACTCGACTGCCGACTGAGAACGAGACGGTGGAACTGCATTACGAAGTAGGAAAGGGGCTGCCTTCCTTGAGGCAGCAGGGTCACAAATGCAGCACTGACGCTTCCCAAAACACCACACGTTATGTCGTGTGGAGCAATCAGTCACAGGGTTCAACACCCATTTTCATATGCTTTATTCCGTCATATTTTGTTTTTTCTATGCTTTCATTTGCTTCCCTTTTTCCTTTTTCCGTTCCCGATCTATGTTCCTTGTCTTTGTTTGGCACGAACTCTTTTCCTTTACCCTTCTCATTCACCTCTCATAACATTTCCATTTCCGATTGGGTCTCTCGCTTCTGAGTTCGCTTCTGGGGAGGTAATAGCACATTAAGGGGACGAGGGGTTTTCATCCAGAGTTGTCGGTTGAGTGGAGGCACCAAATTGCATGGCAAAGAGATGTAGAGGGGGCTTGAAGCGGATCGTTGCAAGTGGGGAAGGGGGTCGCTGGGACAGGAACGAAGAAAGCGCGTGATCGAGAGCGCTTACTTTCCGTGCAGCACTGCCTGATGAGGTAGCTGGGAGGATTTGGCCGATGGACATTCAAGCCGAGCCTCGCTAGGCAGACTCGGAGGCTCCTTGTCCGGCTCCGGGACTCTGGGTATGCTGCTGATCGAGGCTCATCGTGGACAATCACACTCTCTGTACGGCTGAAGTAACAAGGTAGCAAATAAACATTTTGGGAGGAGCGTGGATGGCGGCCTAGAAGCGAAGGGTCTCGTGACAAGTAGTTGCACGAGTGGTGCGCGGCTGACCTTGCTTAGGCGGCCCACTTCCAGGCTGCGTCAGGTTCAGGCGATGACGAGTTTACCAATCACAGGGCGTGTTGGATTCGCCCCACGTCAGGGCGGCAGCTGGCAAGAAGTGGCGGCAGGCGAGTCAGTTTATATGAGAGAGGGCGCCAGCACAGAACGGGGTTTAAAGCAACAGGACAACATTCGTTCTGTGAACAAGTCAGAAAGTGGTCGTGTCTGCACCAACACAATGGGCTCTCAGGCGGCCCCGGAACACGACACGATGGTCTCGTTTGCTTCACTAGATCTGCTGCTGCTGACGTTCAACTGTGCCAAGTCGGCCATCGAGGTGCCGGTGTTTGCAGCCCATTTGCAGGAGGCCTTGTCGCCAAAGGAGACGGGCACGACACTGCCGGATCTTGTTGTCTTGTACGTGCAGAGCTGGACATTGGCAGCCGACGGCATGGTTCAGAAGCGTTCTTTGCACGCGCTCTTGCTGACCAGATCAGCTCTCTGCAGGAAGTAGGCCCGCTTGGCCATGCCTTTGTGGGCTCGTACTTCTTGTCGCCGTACCTGGCGCGGTTCGAAGAGGCGCTGAACCGGGCAGCATCGGAGCTGGACGGCGAGGGCGAGGGCGAGGGCGAGGGCGAGGGCGAGGGCGAGAGCGAGAGCGAGGAGGAAGTTTCAGAGCAGACAGCTGCAGAGTCGGACACAGGGCAGACGCCGCTGGTGGCGACACAGAAAGGCGGTGCCAAGATGAAGCCGTACCAGCTGGTGCGGCAGGCAAACGTGGGGATGACGGCAGTACTGCTGTTTGCACGGGATGCAACCCTGGTGCGCAGCGTCGAGGTGGCCGAGTGCGGCTTTGGAGTGGCTGACATGGGAAACAAGGGAGCCGTGGGTCTGCGGGTGGCTTACGGTTCGGCTGGCTCGGACGCATCGGAGCTGACGTTTGTGGCAACGCATCTGGCGGCGATGGAGTGGAACGTGCGGCGGCGCAACGCCAACTGGCGCAGCATCGTGGCAGGGCTGACGTTTGGCAACCCGCACGACGCGATCGCGGCGGCCGGAGCAGAGCATGAGCGAGGGTCACTGCAGGCGCTGGGTCGTGGGCGACAGGGCCGGACGCGCGACGAGGCGGCCAGCGCGCCCCAGACGCCCGAGGAGGAGGCCGAGGCCGATGCGGCCGACGCAGCCGGCGATGATGCCTGGCTGCTGCTGGGAGGAAGTGAAGGGGTGGGGGGTGATGCTGGTGGCCGAGAGGAAGACGGACGAGCGGCCGGAACGGCAGCGGAAACGACAGACAGCCTGGCTCTTCGTTCGGCCGACATCCGGCGGCGACTGCACGACATGTCCATCTTCCGGCCGGACAGCCTGCTGTTCGTCGCCGGCGACCTCAACTACCGCACGGAGGCGACGAGGCCTCCGGCCGGCGCCGTCTTTCCTACGACCAACACGTGGTCGGACTTCTTGGCACGTGACCAGCTCAATCAGGAGCGGCTTACCGGTCGCACCTTCCACGGCATGCGCGAGGCCGTCATCACGTTTCCGCCGACGTACAAGTTTGACGTGCTCGAGGGAGCCGAGGCCGCGGTCGAGGCGCAGAACGCGGCCGAGATCCGGGCGTGGCGGGAGACGCATGGTGAAGGCGAGGGTGAGGACGGCAGCAGGGCGCCAGTGCCGTGGAAGTACGCGTCGCATCGATGGCCCAGCTGGTGCGATCGGGTGCTGTACCTGGACGTGTCGGCGGCGGCGAAGCGGCGGTGGCGGCGGAAGAATGGCAGCAGTAGCAGCAGCAGCAGTAGCAGCAGCAGCCAGCCGGAGGTGCAGGTGGCGCGATACGCATCGCTGCCGGTGATGCGGACGAGCGACCACCAGCCGGTGTTTCTGCGGGCACGCGTGCCGCTGCTGGGCCGACGAGGTCGACAGGAGGCCGACGAGAGCGGGAGCGAGAGCGGGAGCGTCGAAGAGGCAGAAGATGCGGATGCGGATGCGGTGAGCCCGGAAGGCGAGGCAGGGGCCGTCCGTGATCCGCGCAGCCACCTGCCCGTGCCCATCGACACGGACGCGTGGGATCGCCGGACACAGGCACGACGGCGCGAGCTTCTCGCCGGCTGCGGCATGCTGCTGTTCAACACACGGGGTGGAGCGATTGCGATTGCCACGGCCGTGGTGCTGACCGTGGGCACGTACTGGGTCTGGGTCGGGATGGTGCAGTAGGGGAATGGGAGGAGAGGATAGAGGGAGACGAGAGAAGAGGACGACTGGAAGAGCACGACGACGACAAGAGGTCGACTAGAAGAGCACAACTACATTTCCCCATCATACTCCCTATATCTAGAAATGCCCATGATGATTTGCATGTTCGTCTATGGGTGCTGCCTGCTGCCTGATTACGACATGCCGTACTTTCTCCTCTATACCGTTAACTTCTCTCTATCCTCATCTCATCCTCGCCCTTTCATACTTCGTCATCGGTGCGTGTCTACGTCGCGTCGCTCGTGCTGATAAAGGGAACCAAAAAGAGAATGCAAAAGGATGACAAAGCAAAAGCAAAAAGGGGCCCCCCTAAACCAAAAAATACACACACGTAAAGCACCATACGCCCATCCTCGCCAGAATACCGCACCTTGGCCGTAGCCAGCGCTGAAAACAAGAGTCCATCCCATCCCGCCCCCCTCTATCTGGCCAGAGCCAGGTCTAAAAGTCGATAAAGAACTTGTCGTACTGTGCCGCCATGTCGTCCGTGTATGGCTCAAAGTCGACGTCGTTTTCCGGATATATGTCAAAGCACTGTGCGTCTCCATTGAACCGCACCCGCGGCTGGATCGGGCCCTCCTGTCGTCGCTCGTATAGCGCGTCCCAGTCGACGCCGGCAAAGAACGGGTGTGCCCGCACCTGCGCCGCACCACCACTGATGTTGCCCAGCCGCAGCGACCGGTCTACCGTGCACAGCTGGCGCACAATATCCTGGGCTGCCGGCGAGATGACGGGGTCGTGGGGGAACACGACCGGTTTTTCCAGGATTCTGGGGGGGAGTTAGAAGAACACTGGAAAGAGTACAGCGAAAGAGAGGAAACGTACTGTCGGTAGATCTCCAGCGGATTCTGATGCCAGAACGGCGGATAGCCCGTCAAGAACTCGTACACCAGGATGCCCAATGCCCACCAGTCGACGGCTGTCGTGTGGCCCATGTTCTGGATCACCTCGGGCGCGATATACTCGGGCGTGCCGCACAGGGTGTACGTCTCGATGGCCGGATCGGCTGTTGCTATGGCGTCCTCCATCGGAACATCGCCCGAAGCAGCTGCCTGCTTCTTCTGCTGGTGCAGACGGCCACCGCCCAGCCGCTTGGCAAAGCCAAAGTCCACCAGCTTGACGTGGCCAGCCGCGTCCAGCAGCAGGTTCTCGGGCTTCAGGTCGCGGTACGCCACTCCGTCCTGCTGCTCGTGCAGGTACTCCAGCACCAGCACGATCTCGGCCGCGTAGAAGCGCGCCGTCGCCTCGTCGAAGCGGCGGAACTTGCGCAGATAGCTGAACAGCTCGCCACCGGGAACGTAGTCTAGCAGCAGGTATAGAAAGTCGTGGTCCGAAAAGGAGGCCTGCAGCGTCGTGATGAACGGGTGGCCCGCCACGTCCTGCAGGATCTGCCGCTCGTGTCGCACGTGGTCGATCTGTTTCAGCTTGATCACCGCCGTCTTGCGCAGCATCTTGAGCGCAAACACCTGCTGTGCCTCGGCATCGTCGCGTGGATGCGCTCGTCGGACCAGGCAGACGCGAGCAAAAGTGCCTGCAAGGTCAGCGACTTTCTTCCTTCGCACTCTCTTCTTCTCTTCTCCTCTCCTCCCCTTCTTCCTCCTTGAACCCACCTGTTCCGAGCGTGCGTATGCGCACATAGTCGGCCGGATGTTTTCCTGACCCCAACGGGCCGCTCGCGTCCCTCTTAGAGTCGGCTGTACAGCCATTGCTGCTTCCTGTTCCTATTGGTATGCTGCCGACCACCATGCCTGCCGTCGACGTCCGGGCACTCTTGAACCCGGCAGGCGGCGTCCACAGGCCCCCGTTGCTGCTGCCACCGCCGCCCGTATTCGCCGGCACAGCGTGGATCGCGGTCATGGCCATGCTGGAGAAGGATGTCGAAATTCGCGAGACGAAATGGGTGCTTCTGGCGCGAGAGTGGGACACAGCATGTATGCCCTCGTCCCCTCTGTTGTCGGACGAAGTTGGCGCGTTGGATCAACAGCCAATGCGGAGGAATGGGCAGAAGAAGAGAAGAAGCCAAAAGACAGGGGGTTCCTGTCGTCTTGTCAGAGGCCCCACCCGTTTCACTTTGTTGACTGCCTTTCAGTTCGCGACAACCACTCCGTAATCTGCTCGCGACGACGAGCCGGCTCATGCGGAACAGCGCAGCAGCAGCGGAGGCAAAGAGGCAAAGAGGCAGGAGTCTAGGAGCCTAGCCAGTAAAATGACAAGGGGCGAGTCGAGGGATATATCGCTGTCGTCGATTGCCCTCCCCTTTTCTCTCTTTTGAACAGGAGACAGGTCTGAGACGTCGTCCGAGAGGCCAGGGGTCAGAAACTGGAGACAGCGTCGATCTGCGCGATGAAGAGTCCGTGTGTGGAGGGGCATCGGCCCAAAAGATGCTTCTTGGGCGGTTCTGATTATGTACTTACTTCGTATTAACGTGTGATTAGCTCTTTTAGGCCTGGGAGAGGGGGGCCTGGCCTGCCTGGAAGAGACAGCCCAGCCGCTCAGCCGTCTCTGGCGCCAGCCGTTGCTGCCCTGTCCTGGCAGCAGCAAGCAGCCCGACTTGTCGAGCGCGCGGCGGCATCCCGCTCGCCGGGACAGCTGCCTGCAAACCGACGGCCATCTTGGGCTTCAATTGCGTCTCTGCTACGAGCCGGACTTCCCCTTCTTTTTCGGCTTATTCAGCTTACCCACCCCGTTCTAGTCCTCTTCCATTTGTGCAAAAAGGGCAAGCATTCTGGTGGCCAGCCGTGCCTTCCGCAACACGCCAGCACGCTACGGAGTACTCGTACAAAACATCGCAACTTGCCGCGCCTCGGCGGTGGCGCACGGCGAAATGGCAGCCAAAAGGGACATCGGCAGAATCAGGAGCTGACAAGCGTCTAGACCGCCTTTGGCAAAAGGGGGAGCGGGCACAGGCGACCATCCTCGGCTGCCAGCCCGAGGAAGAGGGAAGAGGCGGTGCGCTGTGGCTGGAAAGAGCGGGCACTGTGAATACACACTGTCTGCGCTTGTCGCCGGGCTTTGTCTCCGTTCGGTGTCAGTGTAAAAGAATTGGGTAACGAGCCAATGATGGGCTGCCGATAAGATATTGTCCACAAAGACAATTGGCTGCGGCTCGGCCGACAAACCACGAATGGCCTACGACGTATTTTCAACTACCCCCTCGAAGCAAGGGCCAAGAGTAATGGGATTGGAGATTGTTACCTGATGAGAAGCATGATGCCATTCTATTTGACGGCGGGGAAAGGAAGCGTCCAGCGAGGCAACAGTAGATCCCGGCATGGCAAATTGGCATCAGCAAGAGAGGCAAATACGCAGGCGTGCAGTACGAGGGAGATACTTTCACGACAAGTTTCATTTCCTGACGGGGTTTGCCTGCGCCGGCCTCTGGGTGCCGTCGTGAAAACGAGCTACTCCGGCACCCCCAACCAAGGCTGCCCAGCGGCCGGCTGGCCGCCTCCGATGTCGCGTGCACAGGAAGAAGCGTGAAATGGGAAAGGCGCGTGGGGTACACGATGAGCTTGGCCAGACGTGAGCCTTTTTTTCTTTTTCTTTTTCTTTTTTCTTTTTTCTTTTTTTTTTCTTCTTCGTTGCGCCGTGCCCCTCTCTACCGTTTCTGGCATTTTTGCCGCTCTTCTACTACGACATATATGGCCATCGGAAACGCAACGTATGGCCGCATCACGAGCGTGGAATGTCCGGGCCCAAAATGTTGAAAGTGACACCGAGTAGGGGCAGCCGACGGGCAACGGGCCAGCAGGAGGGATCCATTGCGGACTACGGAGAAGCAACGGCGTTTTGCTTTGGATTGCGGGAAATAGCTCGCTGACCATAGGCTGGCTTGGCTGTAAGTGGGCTGGCAACCGCCGGATAGCTGGCTGGCTGGCCCTGGTCGCCTCGGCGCAGTTCCGTCTACCTCGCTTGTCGTCAATCGAGGTGCTCTCAATGGATGGGATGAGCCCGGCCGACCCCACGTCCTGCCCCAGACGAAGACTCTCACGGACCAGCAGCCTGTGTCCCTGTCTCGGTCCTTGACCTGCATGCCGGTCGCAATTAAACGGCATGCATACTCCGTATGCTCGCACTCCGTGAGCCTGTCCAGCGTGCTGCTCGGAGCAGATGCCCGGCCGACTGTCCCACTGGCCCTGTTCGAGACATTCCTCGAACTGCTGCCTTGCCCCCCTCGATATCAAACGCGCCCGCTATTGGCTCTGGTGCCCGCTGGTGCGCTAGCGGTTACGTAGCGCAAGCCGCCGCCCAGCGGATGGGTACATGCAGGCCGAGTACTCCTACCTCTTCGGGTGAGCCTATATTACGCATTACCACACGTGCACCACTCCCCGCTCACCCCTCTGACATCCGCCACTGACCAGAATCGGAATCTGGTCTCCCCCAACTCCCAGCAAACCGGTGCTTCTCAGGACAAGGCCGAGGACGTGCTCTGCACTCTTCTTACCGGCCTCAACGTCGTAACACTGGGACAGCCGGCTTATCTCTCTCGCCCTAACAGCGCAGGGAAAGTGGCCAGATTTATTTTTACTTGGGGTACCTTTTTATCCCCCTCTTGCCGTAGTTCCCCCCCCCCCACTTTGACACTATTTTTTTCCCACAAGGAGAAAAAGGCCTTGCCCCACCCGACGCAGGCCAGTAATCCAGCTCGCCCGCGCCTGCCTGTGTTATGTACCAGTACGAAGCCACTGTGCGATAATACGGAGTCATTAATAGTGCACATGGCAATGAAAGGAACTCTGGCGAGGCCGTCGTAGATAAAAAAGCCGTCTTCGCCGCTCCAACCCCCCTATTTCCCAGGCTACTTCCTCGCCTTATTTTCCCTCAGCCTCTCTCTTCTTTTCACCCCTCCTTGTTCCGATCTTCATCCTTAACTCCTCACACCACCGCAATCATGGTAAGTCCAACGCTGTGTCGTCTTCGTCTTCTTTTTGCCCTTGGTCAGGTAGCTGTCCGGTTGATCAGGTGGTCTGTTGCCGATCACATCAGAGAGCTATCGAGCCAAGATGTCCAGCGACACCTGATACATATTCATTCCTCTACTTCATGAATGACTCATTCAGTGGCTAACTCGAACGCGCTGCAACCAGGCCGAGCTACACATTTCCAACACCGCTGCGGTAAGCTTAAGCATACGAACCCCCCAACCGATCGGACGATTGGTGCCGGAGCTCCGCCGAAATACGGCCGTAGCAGAATGCTAATGCCACATTCCCATACAGGTCGCCAAGTACCTCAACCTCGACCAGAAGGGCAGCCTCATCGCTGAGTACATCTGGATCGACTCCGAGGGCCAGACCCGTTCCAAGAGCCGGGTAGGTTTCTCTCACCCGAAAGCGCGCGATGAGCAGCCCCGCTAATGTCGACCTCTCTCGACGCAGACGCTCAAGGAGAAGGACTACTCCGTCAGCGACCTCCCGATATGGAACTTTGATGGCTCCTCCACCGGCCAGGCGCCTGGTGACAACTCGGACGTGTACCTGAAGCCCGTGGCGGTGTTCCCGTCGCCCTTCCTCCTGGCCCCCAACATCCTTGTCCTGTGCGAGTGCTGGAACGCCGACGGGACGCCGAACAAGTTCAACTACCGCCACGAGGCTGCCAAGTTGATGGAGGCCCACGCGGCGCTTGAGCCGTGGTTCGGCCTGGAACAGGAGTACACCCTGCTGGACCTCAACGACCGCCCGTACGGCTGGCCCGCGAACGGTTTCCCGGCCCCCCAGGGCCCGTACTACTGCGGTGTTGGCGCCGGCAAGGTCGTGCAGCGCGACATTGTCGAGGCCCACTACAAGGCCTGCCTGTACGCCGGCATCAAGATCAGCGGCACCAACGCCGAGGTCATGCCGGCCCAGTGGGAGTACCAGGTTGGTCCCTGCTTGGGCATCGAGATGGGCGACCACCTGTGGGTGTCGCGCTTCATGCTGCACCGCATTGCGGAGGATCTCGGCGCCAAGGTGTCGTTCCACCCCAAGCCCATCCCGGGTGACTGGAACGGTGCCGGTCTGCACAGCAACTTCTCCACCAAGGCCATGCGTGTCGAGGGTGGCATGAAGTTCATTGAGGAGGCCATCAAGAAGCTGGAGGGCCGCCACAAGGAGCACATTGCCGTGTACGGCGAGGACAACGACAAGCGCTTGACCGGCCGGCACGAGACGGGCGCCATCGACCAGTTCAGCTACGGTGTCGCCAACCGCGGTGCTTCTATCCGCATTCCCCGCGAGGTCGGTGCCCAGGGCTTCGGCTACTTTGAGGATCGCCGCCCGGCCAGCAACGCCGACCCCTACCGCATTACCGGCATTATTATGGAGACGTGAGTTTTGCTTCTCTGCTTCTTCCTGTTCGCTCGAGCTTGTGCTAACCCTTCCAGTTGCTTCGGTGCTGTTGAGAAGTAGAGGGTGTCGAGTGCGGTGGGAGGCTATTGCTGTCTGTCCAAGTCAGCCGATTCCGAGTAGACTTTTGTTAGCGTGCACCGTTCCCAGTCGTCTAATGGCACAAATTGCAAAGTTACCGATTATGATCAACCGTGTCAATGTTCAGTCACATGACAATCCCTGTAGCCAATAGAAGGGACGGCTGGCAAACCAGCCTGGCAAGCTTGACAGGGCCAATTTTACGAGCAAGCATGACTAGATGCCGTACCATTGCGTCTGGGGAAGCAGTATTAAGATACGAATACTCCGTGCTCCGTGCTCCGTACTCTCGTAGGACTGAGTAGGTTAGTGGCACCTGCCACAGCCTGGAGCAATTTAGAAGCTAAAATGCGCTGTTAGCTCAGCAGCGCTATGGAGGACGAGATTCCACCCCACCGAGCGAGCCGTAAATAGCTGACTGCAACACCACAGCAGAAGCAACGAGTGAGACAGTCTGACAAAGCCTCCTCCTTCCTTCGTTGTTGCCCCCCCTTATCGACCATTCCACCTGCTTTCGGCTCTCCTGATTGCTAGATTACTATCCCGTGTCATCTGCAACCCGCTTCTGTGCTGGGTCCCTCCATTGCATCCGCCCACGCAATCGTGTCGAGGCGACCGTTCCCATCGACCCGACCGTTATCATCCCTTCTTCGTCAGGGCATCCAGACTCGTTCCGGAAGAGCGATCGAGGAGATGCGATAAAAAACAACGCCACACCGACCTTTCGGTTTTTTGCCATTCTCTCAGCAGGCGGAAGGAGATTGAAGGAGAGAGAGTCTGGACAAGAAGACGAGCCAGATCGAGACATACGAGAGAGCGACGACGTCCGACTCGCCGACTCGTACAGCTGTGCCTTTGATCTATCCGTGCCGCCGACCTTCCTGCGACGATGAACTTTTCCAACTTTGTGCAGCGCGCTCAGCAGCTGCTCGACCCCAATGCGGCGACCAACGCGTCGTCGTCAGCTTCGCCAGGAGCCCCTGCTGGCTTCCTCGCAGGCCTCACCGGCGGCGGTGACTCGAAGAAACACCCGTCCAAGGCGTCCCTCTTCCAGGCCCAATTCCGGCTGCCGACAACGCAGCACCCCCTGCACGAGATCGCAGCCGAGCTGACGCTGCCACCAGCCGACAAAGACGCCATCGGGGTCGTTTCGGGGGGTGGGCCCCATGCAGCGTATCGGTACGCCGGCCGTCTGCACCTGTCGGAGTCGTACCTCTGCTTCTCGACATCCCCCTCGAGCTTCCTTCCGGCGGCCAGCCAGGCGACAGCATCCGCGTTCACGGGCCAGACGCACGGCGAGGGTCCGAGCGGGAAGGGCTTCACACTGCCGCTGGTGGCGATCCGGCGGGTGGAACGGCTACATACGCAGTCGTTTCAGTTCTGCCTGTCGATCACGTCGTGGAATGGGCTGCTGTACGACGGGCCCAAAGACGCGGAAGTCAAGGCGACGACGCCGGCGCGGGAACAGCGCATCACGATCGAGCTGGCAAGCTCGCGGCAGGCATGCGAGCGGTTCTGCGACGGGCTCAAGAAGGGCCTGCGGGCAGCCGTGGGCCACATCGGGCGGCTGCGGCAGGTGGTGTCCGAGTGCTACTCGGAGTACCTGCTGCGACCAGAGGAGCGCAAGACGACGGTGTCGCCGCCAGACGCGGGTCTGGGAATGGTGTTCCGCTACCCAGGCGACGCGAAGAAACTGCGGGACCGGGCCAAGATGCGGCTATGGGCGGAATACCTGCGCGACAACGGGCGCAACGTGACGTTGGTGCGTCAGCCGACGTTTTACAAGCTGATCCGCGTGGGGCTGCCGAACCGGCTGCGCGGCGAGATTTGGGAGCAGACGTCGGGGTCGATCTACCTGCGGCTGGAGAACCCGACCATGTACGCGGACACGCTGGCGGAGTTTGACGGGCGCGAGTCGCTGGCGATCGACGAGATCGAGAAGGACCTGAACCGCAGCCTGCCCGAGTACGCCGGGTTCCAGAGTGAGGACGGGATCGGACGGCTGCGGCGGGTGCTGACGGCGTACAGCTGGGTCAACGAGGAGGTGGGCTACTGCCAGGCGATGAACATTGTGGTGGCGGCGCTGCTGATCTACATGTCGGAGTCGCAGGCGTTCTTCCTGCTGTCGACGCTGTGCGACCGGTTGGTGCCGGGCTACTACTCGACGACCATGTACGGCACGCTGCTGGACCAGAAGGTGTTTGAGTCGGTGGTGGAGAAGACGATGCCGATCATCTGGGAGCACCTGGTGCGCAGCGATGTACAGCTGTCGGTGGTGTCGCTGCCGTGGTTCCTGTCGCTGTACATCAACTCGATGCCGCTGGTGTTTGCCTTCCGCGTGCTGGACGTGTTCTTTGTCGAGGGCCCCAAGGTGCTGTTCCAGGTGGGGCTGGCGATTCTGCGGATCAACGGCGAGGAGCTGCTGGACGCGGCGGACGACGGTGCCTTCATCTCGGTGCTCAAGACGTACTTTTCGCGGCTGGACGAGTCAGCGCACCCGCGGTCGGACAACCCGAAGCTGCGGGCGGTCACGGGCGGGTTCCAGGAGCTGATGGTGGTGGCGTTCAAGGAGTTCTCGGGCATCACGAACGCGACGATTGCGGACCTGCGGCAGAAGAACAAGGAGGCGGTACTCAATAACATTGAGAACTTTACCAAGCGCACGGCAATCCGCAACCTGGGTCCGGAGAGCAAGGTGCTGAGCACGGACGAGCTGGGCGGCCTGTACGACCGGTTCTACGGCGTGCTATACGAGCGGCAGCAACGACATCTGCTGCAGCAGCAGCACTACCACCAGCAGCAGCAACACTACCACCAGCAGCAGCTACAGCAGCAGAAGCAGCGGCGGGCGGCCAAGCAGCAGTCGCTGGGCAAGCTGACCATCACGACGACGGGGCCAGCAGCACTGGCAGCATCGGCCGGGTCGGTCATGTCTCCCCAGGAGGCGCATGCAGGGGAGGCCGGCCGCGTTGGACTGGGATCGAGCACGAGCCAGATGGACTACGACGCGTTCCGCGAGTTCCTGGCCGGCATGGCGCGATGGGCGATTGCAGACGCGCCAGCGAGCCGTGACTCGACGGAAAAGGACAAGGCAGCAGCAGCGGCGGCATCCTTCTCGGCGGCTTCAGCAGCAGCGTCGTACTTTGCGTCGCTGCGTGGCAGCAGCAGCAGCGCGGCAGCAGCAGCGATGATGTCACCCTGGGGCGCAGGGCCGGAGCCGGCGAACCACGAGTTCCTCCGACGGCTATTCTCGCGCTGGGACAAGGACGCGAGCGGGGCGCTGACGCTGCAGAACGTTGTCAGTGGCATCGCGCGCATCAAGGGAAAGCGCGACATCATGGGATCGATCAACTACTTCTTTGAGCTGTACGACGATGACGGCGACGGCCGGGTTGACCGCGAAGGCATCCTGCGCATGTCGGAGACGCTGCTGTTCGTGTCGAGACGCGGACTCGAGGGCTCACTCAGCCCGGAGAATCAGGCGGCGGCCGAGGCGGCAGCAGCAGCATCAGCAGCAGCGACAACATCGGATGCCGGCAGCCTCAACGGCCTGCCCGGGGCGATGGAGACGACGGTCAACGAACGGTTCCTCGGCAGCGTGAGTGCGTTTATACGGCGGTGTTTCGAGTATGCGGACCCAGACCACACGGCACAAGAGGAGGAGGAGAGGGAGGAGGAGAGAGAGAGGGAGAGGGAGAGAGAGGAGAAAGAAAAAGAAAGGAAAAAAGAAAGAGAAGAATCGTTGTTGGTGGATGAGGTGGACGAACTGGCGCCACCAAACGCGTTTGATATTGGGGACAGCGATGACGAAGATGACGAGACCGCCGACGACGACGGGCCAGTGGACTTGCTCAGCGGTGACGTGCCGAAGCAGAGGCCGGCAGCTCAGTCGACAGGACGTCCGGGACGGAGAGTGGTGTCCAAGGTGCAGTCGGAGCGGGCGAACGTGGCGCTGGATCCGATGAACCCGATGCACATCACACTGCCGACGTTCCGGATGGTGGTGCTGGCGGACGAGCTGCTGGAGCAGTTCTTTGAATCGTCGTTCCCGGCGTCGTTCCACATTGTGGACGGGGTGGCGTCGAACTCGGCGCCGTCGGGAGGCGGTGGCTACGGAGCGGCGAACGCGCTGACGACGTTTGCGAACCTAGGCATCGGAGCCGGTCGGGCGGCAGCGGCAGCATTGGGGAGTGCCAGCGGGACGGTGGGAGTGGTGGGCGGTGTCAGCGGTGGGAACGGCGTGCCGGGGGCGTTTGGGTCACGTGTCGGAGTTGGTCGGCCACCATTGTCACCGGGCCTACAAACGGGCCAGGCGATCTCGGGGGCATCGCGTGGGCTTCGGGGCGTGCTGGACAACATCGTGACGGACGGGATGCGGGTGGCGGCCGAAGTGCGAAAGCGGATGGAGGACGCGCAGCGGGAGCTCGACCAGGAGGGAGCAGGCGAAGGGGGTGCCGGAGGGGCCGGAGCCGACGACGACGACGACGACGACCTGGCGGTGACGACGGGTGGCGCAGCTGGAGGAGCAGGTGGCGGTGGAGGCGGCCATGGAAGCAGCGGCAGTCTGGGTGGAGGCAGCGTGGGCAGTGGACTGGGACGACGGCCGAGCGTGCGGTCGTCGGATCTGGCGCTGCTTGAAGGCGCAGATGCGGAGGCAGACGGCGGACACAGTGGCGGAGCCGTGGGCAGCGATCGGCCCGATGTAGGAGATGTTGTGATGAGTCCGACGACGGAGCGGATTATAGAGTTTGACGCATGAGGGGGGGTGAGAGAGAGGGTGAGAGAGAGGGTGAGAGAGAGGGTGAGAGAGAGGGTGAGAGAGGGTGAGAGAGAGGGTGAGAGAGAGAGGGGAGACAAGAGAAGGAGAGGAGACAAGAGAAGGAGAGGAGACAAGAGAAGGAGAGAGACAGAGAAGGAGAGGAGACAAGATGAAGAAGCGAGACGAGAAAGGAGAGATGAGAGAAGATAAGGAAATGCGAAGGAAAGACAACAAGACGGAGACGGAAACATCTAGATGGGTTGTAAATCAAGGAGTCTCGGATTCGTCCTTTTGTGTATAGCTTTATTTCTGCCATAAGAGAGCAATATCTGGTGAGTTGTGAAGCATTCTGACAGACCTAATAGAACTGACGCTAAAGGCAAACAGCACTAACAATACTAACTGATACCACTGTGCACCACTACTTCACAGCTCCTGTTTTCCTCCTGCCTGTGGCGGCAAGACCTGGAACAGGAAGGACTCGACGTCGTCCAGCTCCTCGGGGAGGGCAGAATGGGCCATGCCGCTATGTCTAGTTAGTGACGGTCCTGTCTGTCTTTATTCTCTTGGCGCACACTCACGGATACGACTTCCACTCGACAGGATAGCCCATGCGGCGCAGGGCGTCACGTGACAGCTCACCCATCTTGTAGGGCAGGACCGGGTCGGCAGTGCCGTGGCACCAGAGGACGGGCGTGTAGGCGTTGGCGTTGGGGCTAGGAAGGTACTTCGACTCGATCTTTTGCGAGAGCACCAGGTACGTGGACATGGCCACGATCCCGGCCAGCCGCCGCGGGTTCGTGATGCCGGCAAAGATGGCCATGGCGCCGCCCTGCGAGAAGCCGCCGAGGACGATGCGTTCGGCCGGCACACCGGCATCGATCTCCTGCTGGACCAGCTGGTGGAAGTAGGCGCGTGAGGCGACGAGGCCGGCCTCGTCCTCGTTGTCGCGCAGGCTGGTGCCCGGGCTGTCGAAGGAAACCTGGGCGATGTGAGAGGGGGGAGAGAAGGAGGAGAGGTCAACGTCAACAGGACCTAGATCAACCTACAATGTCATACCATCCCGGCATGCGCATGCCCTAGAAGATCAGCGAATTGTCAGACAACCGTCAGGAGTCTAGACATCCCAGTCCCAGCATCACATACCCCGTTCACCGTGATCGGAATGTTGGGCGCGTGCGGCAGCACAAACTTGACCTCCTCCAGCCGCTGGCGACGCCTCCAGTTCTCGACAGCAGCAGCCCAGCCGTGGCCGGAGTCGCCCAGTCCGTGGGCAAAGATCACCGTCGCCGTGTGGCGTGCCGTGGCCGGGAAGACGAGCGGGGCAGCGCGGGAAACCATGGTGTGTGCGTTGCGACAGACGTGGCAGAGAGGCGTGCGGAAAACAGAAGAGACAATGCGTGCAAAGAGAACAAGAAACAGGAAGCCGGGAGTTGGACCGAGATATAGACGACGGACGACAGGATCGAGAGAAGAAGAGCGGCAATTCGGTCACGTGGTTTGAGGGGCGCACACGCCGCAAGGCTACCTCGGCGGCGATTATGCTTACGGTGCTGACTAAAGCTGCAGTTAGCGGGAGGGGTCAGGTGACTAAACCGGGGGCCACTAAAGACGGTCTTCGTTCTGCATGCAAACGGGTTTGCAGACGACAGCCAGCCAGCTTTTTTGACAGTCCTACGCACGTCCACACACGCCACCATGTGCGTGCGCTGCGAGTGAATTGTTTCGCCAGCGTGATCTGTCTGACCATTTGCCCCACCCACGTCCACACACACGCGTGATGCGTCCACGGCCCGGGCTCTTGCGCCGAGGGCCGCCGCGTGGCGAAGCAGCCGGCAGGCCGCCACGGCCTCGGTGTGGCCGGCGGGCCTTTTCGTTGTCACTGGCGCGGGCGATGGAGTCGGCGCAGCCGTGGAGCCGCAGCGGACGGACGCGGCCGCAGCTACCGTTCCTGGTGATCCCATCGCCTTCGCGGCCGTCGGCGGCGACCGCAGCACCGCAGCAGCGCTGCTTCACGACGCAGCGGCGGCAGTGGTGGCGCTACGAGGTGCTGGCCTTTGCCAAGTACACGCTCTACGTCTGGGCCGCCGTCGGCTGCCTCGTTGTCGGCCAGTTCGTGCTGCAGCAGGAGTGGATGGAGCAGGCCCACCCGACGCCGGCCGAGTGGTCCTTCTTGTCGCGAATGCGTCTTCGGGGGGCCTTGAGCGAGCGGGACGGCGGCGAGGACGATGGCAGTGGCAGTGGCAGTGGCAGTGGTGACAGCTCTGGACAGCCGGACACCAGCAGCAACGACGAGCTGGCTACGGACGTACGCATCATCGATCACGTGCGCATGATTCAGATCTTGCAGGACCTGATTGCACGTCTGGAGGATCCAGGGATCGACGGTGGGGGATTAGGAGCATCAGCAACAGAAACAACAACAACAACAGAAGCACCACCACTCCCATCCTTCGATATCCGCCCCAAGAGCGAGCCGTGGCGACGTGGCTACTTTGAGGCGCTGCTGGCGGCAGCCGAAGCAGCCGAGCATGTCGAGGGATGGGTGCGCGACCGTACGCGCAACCTGGTGTGTCCGCCCGACATGGTGGTTGGTCCGTCGAACCCGCATCCGCGTCCGCTACCGCCCGGCGCCTCGGGAGCCCCGCGTGAGGAGGACTGCGAGCCCTGCTTTCCGGCGCCCGCCGTGCTGTACCGGAAGCTGCTGCACACCCGTGGCCTCAGCGTGCGCCAGCAGATGGCCGCCGCCCTCGCCTTTGCCAACTACCTCGAGTACAAGCAGGACCTGACGGCGGCCGAGGAGGTCTATGGTCGGGCTATCGGACTGGTATCCAAGACGAGAGGAGACGCCAGGACAGCCAGCGCCTGGACGCGTGCCTGGACCGAGGATCCGTCTCTGGCCGACGTGTCGCAGAACCTGCTGGCAACTCTGACGGCCTATGCGACCTTCAAGGCGCGCACCGGCGACGTCGCGGCCGCGCTGTCCGTCTTTGCCGCCCTGCTGCAGGCTCGCCGGTCGTTGCCACCGAGCAGCAGCAGCAGCAGCAGCAGCGAGCTGTCAGCGTCCGGGTCACCCACCAGCACGGATGCCAGCCTCTTCCGCCGCCTCGTCGCCCTCGTCACCCCGCCCGCCTATCCGCCAGCCCCCGACGACGGCTTTGGGCCTCCCCTGCCAGGCCCCCAGGCCCGCTGCGACGAGGCCGCCCTGCACCTGCACGTGGGCGAGATCCTCTACGCCACCGCCGGCGACAAAGACAGCAAAGACAGAAAAGAAAAGCGCGCCGAGGGCATCGCCTGGACTCGCGAGGCCGTCGACATGGCCGAGGAACAGCTGCGCGCCCTCCAGAACGAGGACGTCCGGGCGAAGAAGCGCCACGGACTGCTGCCCACCAGCCTGTTTGTGGACCCCCCCGATAACGGCAAGACTAAGGCTAGAACCTCCTGCCGGCAGTGTCTCGCTACCGGACTCGACAACTGGTCCGCCATGGTCCGCCAGCTGGCTCGCGACGAGGAGCGGCGCCAGACCGCAGCCAAGACGGCCGGCAAGACAGCCGGCTGGCTCCCCTTTTGGCACTCGGTCGGCGCAGACGGCCAGACCGGCGGCAACGACGGCCAGAACAAGCTTGGCCGGTGGGCAGCCGAGGAAAAGGTCATCCAGGATCGCAGACGTCGGGACAGAGACTTGCTGGAAGTGGCTCCGCCTCAACAAAAAGGCCCGCTATCCATGCTTGTGGCATAAAGAAGACCGAGAACAGAGCGAGAGAAAGGGAACAGAGAACGAGAACATACAGGACAGGACGAAACGGGACAACATTGCCCGCGTCACGTGCTCATTCAAGGCTCTATATCATTCTATACGTGCACACTTGACCCATCTGTGCTGCTGTCCTCCACCGACAGCTTGTCAGCCGTTTTCTCGACGTCATCAGCAGCCGCTGTCTGGTCCACGCCGCCTTCATAGCCAACCCATGTGTTCTCCACCTCGGCCATCGCTTCCTCGGCATACGTAATCTCCATCTGCGCGTTCTCATATCCCGGGTTGTCTGCCACAGCCCTGCCCCACGCTAGAATCGCGTCCTGGGCGTCGATGAACATGAGCTCCGTCAGCCACGACGTGCCCGAGCTGTGCACCGGACAGCCAAAGCGCGTCGACCGCATGGTCTGGTCGTTGCCGTCTGGCCCGGAAATCGGCATGTCGACCGGAGCCGTGCTTGGGATGTAGGCTCGGGCCCGCTGCAGCTGTCAGCAGGTCATACAGACAACAAGGAAAAAAAATAGTAAATCCAAATCTGACCTTGCGTAAAAACTGCCGGAAGCCATTTGTCTTGACGTCGGTTGCCTCGTACAGGCCGCCAAGGAGAGCAAGGCTATCCATGTGTGGACCCCAGCGACGCCAGTTGTCGGCCTGGTCCAGAAATCCCTCCAGCGCGTCAGCACCGCCTGCAATCGCGATGACGGTGAGACGGGGCGGAGGCAGCAGCGGCGCGAGAAGATCGCGGAACACGCTCGCAACGTGCTCGTCGGCCGTGGCATGTCCCGGAACGCTGTTGATCCCGGGAAGCGTCCGGGGAGGGTAGTGTGCCGCACTCGGTCGCGGCATGCCCTGGCGTGCCGGCAGGCTGAGAGCACGGCCGCCTTGGGGCCACCAGAAGAGCTGGCCGGGGTTGAAGACGAGTATGGCTGGAGCACGATGCTCTGTCTGCTCCTTGCGAACAGCTTCCACCATCGACACTAGGCTGCCTTTGTTGATACCACCCGCACCACCGACGATGCGACGGGCCAGAATCCCAATGTCTTGCACCGTCTCGCCGACAAACAGGACGATGCGGCCGGCTGTCGCCAGGTCGTCGGTGGCGAGTACCGTCACGTGGGGCTCGTCGGCAGCAGCGCCCAGCGGCAGCCGGACAGGTCGGAGGCCGAGCTTGGCCAGGCGGTCATACACGAGGCTGTTGGTGGCAGCTGGTCGGAGCCATGTGTCAGAGCAGAAGAAGGAGCGGAAGAAGAAGAAGCTCGACGAGCACGTACAGCCAAAGGCAAAGCGCTGCCGATCGTTGTAATACATATTCCTGTTGATAAAGTATTTGAAGTAAAACCTAGGATCCTGGATGTTGCGGATCTCATCATCCTCGTTCACATAGTAGCTGGTCGTCAGTCTGGGCTCGAAGATGAAAGCTATCGTCATTCTACTCACCCTAGCTTCTCCAGGTCCTCAGGGAAGGACGAGTCCTCCGGCAGGCCTGTCCACAAGCGACGGAACATTTTAGTCGGTACAACACAAGACACGACTGGTTGAGGTTGGCGTTTTGAGTTGGATGGACAAGAAGCGTTTTCTCTTCAAGTAATGCACGAACTAAGTGAGAGTCGAGGTGAGAGCAGACATGACAGACCAGGAAGGAGCAAGTGCAATCGGTCCTTCCACGCTTTGTGTAGTCCACTGCCAAAACAGACGACAGTGAAAAGTTTGTCAGAGCCAGCGTGAATCAGTGACTATGGAATTTGTCCAGAGTAGATGGGTCTACGTCGCATGGTTCATCATTTCGTTACGTTATTCTGAACCTGACTCTAGCAACGAGAAGGTGATCGAGACTGCATTCCTCCACGTCACTGACGCCGGGTTCGTGAGTTGTATCGCCTCAACCTTATCGTACACAAAGCGTTTCCACCTTTACCAACTAGCCTTCCGCACGCCGGGGATTCCTCCACTCAGTGCCTGGATTCGGAAGTTATACTGACGGGTCAGCGAAACAGCCAAGCAAGCGCAATGACAAGAACTCACCCGTGACAGCTTAAAGTCCCGCAGGATACCCCGGGTCTTTCCTCCGAGAATGCAGCGGTTCCGGATCTGGCTTGGGCGTGAGTATGCCGGCAGTTGCGTCAGCTGCAGCTGGGCCTCGGCGCGCGTGCGGGCCGGCAGCGTCGTGTTGCGGATGACGTGTCTCAAAGCCTGTCTGCGCAGCGGGAAGGCGCAAAGTCAGTAGCTTGTCTTCCCCTCCGCTCACCACTCTCGCATACCTCTCAGCCTCGAAGCTCTCAAAGGCCAGGCGCTTCGCATGGTCGCGAATGACGCGGATGTTGACGTAGCAACCCAGATCAAGCTTCTTGGGCCGGAACATGGACATGATGGGCGACTTGAAGGTACGATGCAGACGTTGAACTGGAAAGCCGGCGATCGGAACAGAAAAATTGGCCCGCAAGAAGTGCCTGGTCACGTGGCCAGAACGGCGTTCTGTGGGTGGGTACTCCGTAGATCACGGGGACTCCGATAAGGAAATTCTTCCTATTACGGTAATCGACTTGACAAATCCGACTTTCTGACTCGCCTCCATTTCCCCCGTGTAAATGCACTTCTGCGGGTGAACAGCAACACGCACACAGAGAGAGCCATGGCGACTGCAGTTGCAGTACCGACATTAGCACGGCTCGGAGCACCACTGCGGCGGACGGCCGGGCAGGCACTGGCCCCGAAGGCGTGGACGGCCAGGCGAAGCTTTGCCACGATTCCGCCTGATACGGACGGGTCGTCGGTGACGTCGGCTGGAGCGGGCAAGGTGTCGAGCAAGGCGCGGCCGACATACTTCAAGGACACAACTCTGGCGCCGTTCACGGACTTTGTGGGCAGCAGCAGCAGCAGTGACGGTGCCGAGACGCCGCTGGTGGCCTCGGAGGCGTATGCGCTGCAGACGGTGGAGGTAGGACCGGCGGGCCGCAAGAAGACGGTGACGCGGCTGCCGCCATGGCTGAAGACGGCGCTGCCGAGTCCGGGCAGCAGTGAGGGCTTGCGCAAGATCAAGGCGGACCTGCGGGGGCTGGGACTGCACACGGTGTGCGAGGAGGCGCGGTGTCCGAACCTGAGCGAATGCTGGGGCGGCTCTTCACGCGCGTCGGCCACGGCGACCATCATGCTGATGGGCGACACCTGCACGCGCGGCTGCCGCTTCTGCAGCGTCAAGACCGACCGCCGCCCACCGCCGCTGGACCCGCACGAGCCCGAGAATACGGCCGAGGCGCTCGCCCGTTGGGGACTCGGTTATGTCGTCCTCACCAGCGTCGACCGTGACGATCTGGCCGATGGTGGTGCCCACCATTTTGCCGAGACGGTCCGGCGGATCAAGCAGAAGCGTGCCGGGCTGCTGGTCGAGGCGCTGACCGGCGACTTTGCCGGCAACCTCGACATGGTCCGCATCGTCGCCCAGAGCGGCCTCGACGTCTACGCCCACAACGTCGAGACGGTCGAGGGCCTGACGCCCTACGTGCGCGACCGCCGTGCTACCTTCCGCCAGAGCCTCCGCGTTCTGGCCCACGCCAAGGCCGTGCGCGGCGGCATCGACCAGCCGGGCGGCCTGATCACGAAGACGAGCATCATGCTGGGGCTGGGCGAGCAGGAGGAGGAGCTGTGGGAAGCACTACGAGGTGAGAGAGAGAGAAAGAGAGGACGAGAGGACGAGAGAACGAGAGAACGAGAGAACGAAAGCTAACTGCTCAGAACTCCGGAAAGCAAACGTCGACGTCGTCACCTTCGGCCAGTACATGCGTCCGACCAAACGCCATCTCAAGGTCGAGCGCTACGTCACGCCCGACGAGTTCGAGCTCTGGCGCCAGCGCGCCCTCGACATGGGCTTTCTCTACTGCGCAAGTGGACCGCTGGTGCGGTCTTCGTACAAGGCCGGCGAGGCCTTTATCGAGAACGTGCTGCGCAAGCGGCAGGCCGGCACCCCCGGACTGGCCACGGCTAGTGCACCATCTGCAGCCCTGCCGATAGAGGGGAAGAAGGCGCTGTGAAGTGTGTCGGCTATCGCGCGACGGATGCCCATACATCTGGGACTACATAGACGACGAGGCAGTGCTACAACCAAGCACGGCGAGTCAGCGCACAGACGGATAGACATTCCATGTGTTGCCACGAGACTTCAACGCATTCTGTCTGATGCCTCGTAAACTACCTGGCAACTATTCCGTATAAAGCAACAAATACAGCAGTCCTCACTGGAAGGAGTGCTAGCTGCACGCTAGCAGACGGTATCTTACCTGCAATCAGCGCTGAATCCCGCCGGAATGCAAGTATCTTGGCAGCCTAATTCACTCTTTTTCTGCGACGCGCGCGTCTCAGCCACGGCGCCTTATTCCTCTTGGTGGCCCCCCGACAAGGGTCTCAGTCGTGTGCCCGTCCGTCGTACTCGTATTGACTTCCGTCGTTTCCCTGCCCTTTCTCCCACATTCTCGGGCCCCACTCTTTCCGGCCTCCGCCGGACGCAGTAACCGTTGCAGGTAGGTTTCATCGACTAAAAGCCTCGATACGAATTCTCGCCTCTCGGAATGTCGAGCAGGGCGCATTCCATCTGATCCGGACGACTTTGTCGACCAGCGTTTACGAGAACAAAGTACTGCCGCTGGCTTCGGACTCTCGCTTACAGCCAGGTACCCCATGGTAAGCGCCTCTCGGAGTTGGCGTGTGATCGAGCGCCTCTGCGGGTCTCCGACTAACAGGGAGTACGGCAACCAGGTGTGGCTGTACTCCGTACTTTGTAGGCATGGAAGGCAGGCGCCCCCGCCCTGTCAGCCGATACAAAGGAAAGCCAACCACTCCTGTTTGTTCCAAGCTTAGCCCAGCCCAGCGACATCAGCATCCGTGCCTCCCTCCCAGCCCATAATCCCCCCCCCCGGTTTCTCGCTGTATTTTCTCCAACCGCTCCCTTTCTTCCCCTTTCCTCCTCTCTCGTCCCTTTTTATCGTATTACGCCAGAAAAAATAGCCGGTCGACCAAACATCGCCAGTCCCGATTTTGCCTTCACATCCATTTGTCGCAAGCATCTTTTCTGGCCTTCTATCGCCTCGACTGTTATTTCCCTCTCTTCCAACCCCTAGAATCTGTCATCATGGCTGGCAACAATGAAGCTCCCTACGACCCATACATCCCTTCTGGGCAGGCTGCATCCGCGCAGGGCGCCGGCGCTACCAGAACCCAGGCGCTGCAAGCAGTAAGTTCTACCTCTTTTTCGTCTCCCTTCTTTTGCGTCCTGTCCCGAGCAAAGCGCTCCGTCGCTCCCGATGATCGCTGTTGCCGGCTGCACGTGGTCGATGTATCGTACGGTCGAGCCAGATGACGCCGATCGCCTCTCGAATCGCCTGCTGCCATCAACCTCCACGTCGGCCTCGTCTCACTCTGCCGCCCATCGTCGTCTCACCAATCTGTCCTTGGAGGAGGTCGATTGCGCAGCAGTCGCTGTGGCCGGTTGCCTAGGAGAGCAGACTACACAACATCCGGATAGGGGCGGAAGCGATTACACATCGACACACCGACAGCCGTATGCATCGGCGACAACAGACGGACAGCGATGCAATGACGTGACGGAAGCCGCCGGGCTGTCGCGGCTGCCCTGGTAAAGACAGTGCTAACCCGTGCTCCTGCAGGAAATCGACAACACGGTCGGTGTGATGCGCGACAACATCAACAAGGTCTCACAGCGCGGCGAGCGTCTCGATGCCCTGCAAGACAAGACAGACAACCTGGCCGTGTCGGCCCAGGGCTTCCGCCGCGGTGCCAACCGCGTGCGCAAGCAGATGTGGTGGAAGGACATGAAGATGCGGATGTGCCTGATTGCCGGCATCATCATCCTCATCCTGGTCATCGTCGTCCCAGCTGGTACGTCTGCCGTTGCCAACCGCTTCTTCTATTCACGGCCTCCGGGTGCTAACTCATTACAGTTGTGGCTACCAAGCATTAACCTGGCCGGCTTCTCTCTTACTCTCTCAGTCTCTTGTACGCATGACGAAAGTTGCAGCTTGGCCGACGACGAGATCGTTGGGTTCGGCAGCTGTCCTGAACTTACGAAATCTTACGGATGGATGGCTAGGGTTATCGCCGCCGATGGCTGAGCGTGGACGGCGAACGACATTTACTTCACGACATCTCTAAAACCACACACACAGACACGCACACACGTACCGCATCATCACAAACCCCTTTGTTCTTTGAGAGCGTAGAATCGAAAGGGACGAGGAGTTGTTTCCCCTGTTTTTGCCGCTTTGTTTTCTTTCTGGTTTCCGAGGTTATCGATTGCCATGGTTGCTTCTGGTTGGAATCTTGTCTTGGTTGGTGCGCCACGACTCCTGATATCCGATCTCTGATTTTCTGTCTTCTGCTCCGGCTGGCCTACGCAGGAGCCTTGCAAACGTAATGAGCACCTCCTTTATGATGGCTTCGCCGGGGCAGCCCTTCTCCGTTCTCCCTCCCACCCTCCTGACAAGACCAGAAGCTGTGTGTATGATGGATGGCAGGCGTTTCTATTCGATTAATATACGATGCTATTTGGCAGCGCATAGCTGTTTTCACCCGTTGTTGATTGATGATTGTTGTTGGTGTCCAGATGTACACCATACTCGTAGCGTTGAAGCAGCCTCGGACCTGAGGCGAAAAGAGAAAATGGAAAATGGAAAGGACTTGCATGAGCATTGCCACGCTTAATCTTTTCCTGCAGCTGATGACGAAAAGGACTAGAAAACTTTTTCGTGCTCGTAGCGAGCCGATCATGTGAGATTCCCCACACCAAGCTATGGCCTGGAGCGGTGTCGGTGGTTCAATTTTCTCCCTTGATTTTTTCTGCCGTTCTTCCACTAAAACGAGCCCCTCTTCCAGGCCGATCCCCTCTGACTCCTAACCATTTCCCTCGGGACTTTGACCAAGACAACCTCGCTCGTCCGATTCAAGCACGCCCAGCACGGTTGCGAGACGTGCATCCGGCATCCAATTGGAATTTTCGCAGAGATTGGAGCTTGCAATCGGTCGAGGGCGAGGATCAGTCCTCCCCGCTTCTACATTCGGTTGTGATAGAGCTAGAAGCTTTAGCATACAGTTACTGCATACACCCACTCCATCGTCGCAATGCTTTCTTCAACAGCACAGGCACTCCGGGCCGGCGCTCGGGGGGGCATTCGATGCCGGACCACGATCCGGGCAGCCTCGTCGCGCTCTCCACGGCTTGCGCCTTCGCGGCGGACAGCTGCACAGCTCCCGGCTCAGCTGCAGCTGCAGCTGCATCAGCAGGTCCGGGCGCTTTCGGCGTCGGCTCGCCAGCAGACGGACCTCAGCACGCGCGGACTGATGATCCAGGCACTCAGCTCGATCGGATCGAAGCGGGAGGCGCAGCAGTACCTTTCGCACTTCACGTCGGTGTCGTCGCAGAAGTTTGCAGTGATCAAGGTGGGCGGAGCGATCCTGACGGACTATCTGGACGAGCTGTGTGCCAGCCTGGCGTTTCTCTACCACGTGGGCCTGTACCCGGTGATCGTGCACGGGGCGGGACCGCAGCTGAACAAGCTGTTGGAGGACGCGGGCATCGAGCCGCAGTTTGAGGAGGGCATCCGGGTGACGGACGGGCCGACGCTGGCGGTGGCACGCAAGCTGTTCATGGAGGAGAACCTCAAGTTCACGCAGCGGCTGGAGGAGTACGGGATCCACGCGCGGCCGATCACGACGGGGGTGTTTTATGCAGACTACCTCAACCGGGAGAAGTGGGGCTATGTCGGCAAGGTCAACCGGGTGGCGACAGACGTGGTGGAGGCAGCGATCAACCAGCGGTTCCTGCCAGTGCTGACGTCGCTAGCGTGGACAGAATCGGGACAGCTGCTGAACGTGAACGCAGACGTGGCAGCGGCCGAGCTGGCACGCGCGCTGGAGCCGCTCAAGGTGGTGTACCTGTCGGAGAAGGGCGGTCTGGTGGACGGTGAAGGCGGCAAGATCTCGGCGATCAACCTGGACGAGGAGTTTGCGTGGTATATGGCACAGCCGTGGTGCCGGTACGGGACGCGACTCAAGATCAAAGAGATCAAGGAGCTGCTGGACACGCTGCCGCGCGAGTCGAGCGTGGCGATTATCCGGCCGCAGGACCTGCACAAGGAGCTTTTCACGGACTCGGGCGCGGGCACGCTGTTGCGTCGCGGCACGAAGCTGCTGACGGCGAGCGACGTGAGTGACTTTGGCGACCTGGAGCAGCTGAAGCGGGTGCTGCTGCGCGACCGTGACGGACCGAACGGACGGCGGACGGTCGAGACGTAGGTGGAGTTTCTGCGGGCGAACCCGTTCCGGGCCTACTACGACGAGCAGATGAACGCGCTGGCGGTGGTGTTCCCGCCGAGTGTAGAGCGCCCATCGGCGACGCTGGCGACGCTGACGATCAGCAAGTCAGGCTGGCTCGGCAACGTGGCCGACAACATCTTCACAGCGATCCGAAAGGACTTTCCGAAGCTGATCTGGACGGTCAACGAGAACGACGAGAACCTGACGTGGTTCTTTGACAAGGCCGATGGCAGCATCGCGCGTAATGGCAACGTGCTCTTCTGGTATGGTGTCGAGGACGGCGCTGAGATTGTGCAGCTCATCAAGGAATTCTCTGCCAACGGCCGGGCGATGCTGGGCGACGCCAACCTGGAGGCGCGACTGCAGCGGGCAGCCACGGCGGCAGCAGCAGCAGGAGCCAGCGCCGACACGGCAGCAGCAGTCCAGGCAGCCCAGTCACGGGCCCAACCAACCCAGGCGCGGGCTTTTTCGACTCTGGCACGGCGGCCAGTCGCGACGACAGCAACGACAGGAGGACCGATGTCACGTGCTGCCTTCCACTCATCGCGGACGCTGCGACTGGAGGAGACGACGAACCCGAACCCGCCGCTGGGCCGACGGAACGCGACGAACGAGAAGGCGGCACGGATTGCACTGATCGGCGCGCGCGGCTACACGGGCCAGGCGCTGATCGGGCTGCTGAACGCGCACCCGCACATGGACCTGCGACACGTGAGCTCGCGCGAGCTGGCCGGACAGCGGCTGGAGGGCTACGACAAGAGCGAGATTACGTACGAGAGCCTCAGCCCGGAGGATGTGGGTGACATGGAGCGGCGCGGCGAGGTGGACGCGTGGGTGATGGCGCTGCCGAATGGGGTGTGCAAGCCGTACGTGGATGCGGTGGAGGCGGTGCGAGCAGAGAGATCGTCGTCGTCGGCGAACAAGAGTGTGATTATTGATCTCTCGGCCGACTACCGGTTCGACTCGTCCTGGACGTACGGACTGCCGGAGCTGGTGAAGCGCGAGACGATCCGGGATGCGCGGCGGATTGCAAATCCGGGCTGCTACGCTACGGCGGCGCAGCTGGGCATCGCGCCGCTGCTGGCCCACGTCGGCGGGACACCGGTGCTCTTCGGCGTCAGCGGCTACTCGGGCGCGGGCACGAAGCCGTCGCCGAAGAACGACGTGGAGCTGCTGACTAATAACCTAATACCGTACAGTTTGACGGATCACGTGCACGAGCGAGAGATTAGCAGCCAGCTGGGACGCAACGTCGCCTTTACGCCGCACGTGGCGGTCTGGTTCCAGGGCATTCACCACACGATCCACGTGCCGCTGCGGCAGTCGATGACGTCGCGCGACATCCGGCAGATGTACCAGGACCGGTACGCGGGCGAGAAGCTGGTCAAGATCGTGGGCGAGCCGCCGCTGGTCAAGTCGATCCAGGGCAAGCACGGCGTGGAGATCGGCGGCTTTGCGGTGCACTCGTCAGGCCGGCACGTGGTCATCTGCGTGACCATTGACAACCTGCTCAAGGGCGCGGCGACGCAGTGTCTTCGTAAGTGTCTGGTCTGTTCTCTGTCCGTACAATTCCCCATGCTAACTGCGCAGAAAACCTGAATCTGGCACTGGGCTACGCCGAGTACGAGGGCATCCCGATCATGTGAGGCACAGACAGAGCCTGGCGTTTCGCGGAAGGCAGTTGTGGGACGAAAACAACAAAAACACAAAAGGGTTCGCGTTGGTGTATCGTTTCTTGTACATAAAAGTAGGTTTGTATTGTCTGCGGGTAGTGCTGTTCCGCATCGTTTAGAGCAGAGCCGGTGGTCCTGAGGAGAGAGAGAATTACGACAGCGAATACTGAGAGCAGTAGACCAGCTTGACTGGAAGTCTGAGAAGTGAGAAGCAGAATACAGCTCGGAGAATCCTTTGAGAAGCCCGAATGAGTCATTAGTGCAGCTAAGGATTTAGTGGGCCGCGGCATAGCCCCAGGCGGCTTCCGCATTGGGCATCCTCTGACTGCTGCTGCCAAAAGTGTCCAGTCAACCTTGTGAGCGGCCTTGTCTGATTGGTGGGCCGACTGTTGGCTATGTGAAGAGTAGACGATGTCAAGGAAGGCAAAGGATTCAGAGCTGGGCGGAAGGAAGCATAAAAGTAGAGATCTCTAAAGTAGCAACTCTGCTGAACGACATCAGAACTGAGCGAAAGGAAGTACAGATCGGCGTGACGACTTACGACAAACGACTGATTGTCATGATTGAACTTGATGGGCGCACTGGCGAAGGCGGCGGACAGCTCGTGCGCATTGCAGCTGCTCTGGCCGCCGTGACGGGCCAGGCAGTACGCATCTCCAACGTGCGTGGGAACCGTCGGGGCGGGGGTAAGTTTTTGTTGCATCTTTGCGCTTTCCGCTTTCCACTTTCTGTCTCTCCGTCTCTCTCTCTCTTCCTCACACACTCCCAGGACTGAAAGCACAGCACGTGTCTGCGATAGAGTGGCTCGCGATGGCGACCGGGGCCGCAGTCCAAGGCCTGGCCGTGGGCAGCAGCACGTTCGTGTTCGAGCCGGGGCCGCCGTCGGCAGCCGGCCACGTTGTGCTGCGGCCGGCCACGGCAGCTGCCAGCACGTCGCTGATGCTGCAGGCCGTGCTGCCGTACCTGGTCTTCCGGGGGGGCGACGAGGGGCTGCCGGTCGTCCTGCACGGCGGCACGCACGTCGCCTGGGCGCCCTCGTACGACTACCTCGACCAGGTGCTCTTCCCGGTGCTAGAGACGTGGTTTGGCATCCGGATGGAGCGCGCGCTCGAGGCCGTCGGCTGGAGCGCCGGACATGCCGGTCGTGTCCGGTTGCTCGTCCATCCGATCGGCACCAACACGCTGACGCCGCGCGTGGCGACGCTGCACGAGAAGGTGGCAGCAACGGCCGCTACGGCCGCCACGATTGCTGCGGTCGACGCAACGATCCGGGCACCGCCAGAGGCACACGACCTCCTGGTCGAGGCGCTGGCACGGACGCTGGACCGAACGCTCGCCGGTGCGGACCTGCACCTGCGCACGATTGCCGACAGCGGCCGAGAGCGAAAGCAGACCGGTGCGTCGCTGGGGGCGCGACTACCTGGGGATGGAGAACATCCGGAAGCGGCCGGACGGCAGGCCGGGGAAGAGCAGGAAGACGGAGAAGACGGAAAAGAGCGCAGAGGGCGGACTGCTGGGACTCTGCGAGCGGATCGCACGGGAGGTTGTGCAGGGGCTGGCAGAGGAGGTCGCCGGCGGCGGCTGCGGCGACACGTTCCTGCAGGACCAGGTGGTCGTGTTCCAGGCCCTGGCAGCCGGGCGGACCTCTTTCTGGCGGGAGGAAGCGGAGGAGGACGGATTGCAGGCATTGCGACAGCTGCAGCTGAGCGATGCCGCAAACGAGGCCGCAAACGAGCGAAGCGAGAACTCAAACGAGAACCCAAACGAGAACTCAAACGAGGCGCCGTCTGGCCAGGGAAGCTTACATGCACAGACGGCACGGTGGGTGACGGCACAGATGTTGGCGGTGCCATGGTTTCGAGAGGGAACCGAATGCGAGGGAGCTGGATGGAGAGGAGATGGATGAGACAGTGATGACTAAGCAATGAAGTGTGCAGGAACGATTGAATGGACATGGCGCACGGACCTTCCTACAGTTCGCTCATAAACAGATCATGTGACAGGAAAGACAATAATACTCATAGAAATCAAACAGTGTCCCCCAGCACCTCCCTGGCCATGGCGCGCAGCTTAAACTTCTGGATCTTGCCACTAGACGTCTTGGGGTACTCAGTGATCCAGAAGACGTGTTTAGGCACAAGATGATCGCTCAGGTGATTGCGCGCCCAAGAGCGGACGTCGTCGGCCGAGAGGGTGGGCACGTTGAGGTCATCCCGGGTGTTCGAGCCGTGCAGAGGAGCAAGACGAAGGCCGCCGGTGACATGGACCCCGCCATGGGGCACGACGACGGCAGCAACAGCCTCACCATAGCGAGCGTCGGGCAGGCCGATGACGGCAACGTCGGCGATGAGAGGGTGGGCGAAGAGGCAGTTTTCGATTTCGAGCGGGTGGATGTTCTCGCCGCCACGGATGACGAGGTCCTTGATGCGGCCGGTGACGGCGACGAAGCCGTCGGGGTCCATGACGCCCTCGTCGCCTGAGAGCATCCAGCGGGGGCCAGAGGGCGTGTCGGTGACGACGGCATCAGCAGTGGCAGCGGGCTCGCCATAGTAGCCGTCCATGAGCAGGTAGCCGCTGACGGCGATCTCGCCGGCGACACCGCGCGGCAGCACGCGATGATGATCGTGCGGGTCGACGATGCGCACGGCAGTGTGCGGTATCACACGGCCACAGGTGCTAGAGCGCTTCGTTAGCGGATCCTCGGGTGCGGTCATGATGCTGACGGGAGCCGTCTCGGTCATGCCATAGCCGATGACGAGGTCACGCAGACCCAGCTTGGTGGCGAGACGGTGCATCAGAGCCTCGGGCACAGACGAGCCGGCAGCTATGCCGGTGTGCAGATGAAGAGGCAGCTGGCGGACAGCCTCGGGCGTGAGGACGGGTCCGTGCTCGTGTCCGTCCAGCCGCTCCAGCATGGCGACGAACATGGTCGAGACACCATACAGCGCGGTAGCCCGGTGCTCGGCCGCCATCTGCAGAGCGGCAACCGGGTCAAAGGCCGGCGACGGCAGCAGCAGAGCGGCACCGGTCGTGGCCGTGGCCATGTATCCCAGGACGGCGCCGAAGCAGTGGAAGAGCGGCGGCGGACAGACGACCCGGTCGGTTGGCCGCAGCCCCATGCGGTGGCCGATCAGCGCCCCATTGTTCAGCAGGGCCCGGTGCGACAACATCGCCGCCTTGGGGTGTGCTGTCGTGCCGGACGTGAACTGTATATTGATTACGTCATCGGGGTGGAGTCGTGGGCCGGTCACGAGATCAGGGGCTAGCGTACCAGGCCGATGTTTGTGTCGTTGCTGATCGTGAAGCAGGTCCGGCCGCCGGAGGGAGCCGCCGCCGAGAAGGCGAGAAAAGGGAGTGAGAGCGGCCAGACGGGTCTGCGGCTGGGCAAAGTCGCCGGCAGCAGCCACGGCCGGGTGGTCGGCGGTGTTGTCGACGAGAACGACGTGTTCGAGCGAGGGCACGGCCGTGCTGGCGACAGCGGGAACGTCAAGACGGGTCAGCAGGTCGGCCAGCAGACCGACGTTGCTGCGGCCACGTCCGGGCTTATAGGCGCGGTCGGTGACGGCCTGGACCACGAGCAGGCGGACGTCGAGGTGCGACAGAGCGGCTGCGATCTGCTGGGCCGTAAAGGCCGGATTGAGCGGCACCAGGACGGCACCCAGCTTGTAGATGGCATACGTCAGGACGGCAAACTCAGGTCCGTTGCCCAGACTGACGGCCACGCGGTCGCCACGCCGCACGCCGCACTCGTCGCGCAGTCCGCGGGCCAGTCGGTCCGACACCACGTCCAGAGCACCGTACGTGTAGACGGTCTCGCCTGGTGGCTCGGCGGCTGTCGTCGTCGTCGTCGTCGTCGGCGGCGTCCGTGCAATCAGTGCCGGCCGGTCGGCATAGCGCGCCACGATGGACGCAAAGTGCTCCGGAATCGTCTGGCGCAGAAGCGGCGGCTCTGTCGGGCCGTGACTGATGCTCATCAGCGCATCGGCAGCTGTGCTCAGACGACGTCTCGGTCGGCTTGACTGCTGCTGCTGGCTAGACCATCGGCCTCGGCAAACACACACGGCCGCTCGTCGAGTTCGAATCATGGCTGCAGAACGTGGGTGCTAACACACAGAACGTGTCTGCCTCTTCTGCTGCTCCTCACGGCTGCCACCGCCTCATATACCTGCACCCCCTCATTCAGGATTGCCTTCTGCGGGGATTCTCTCCTCCCGTCCGCAACCACAGCCGTGCGGGGGAACTGCATCGCTGACGTAATACCATGGCGACGTGTCTCGCTCGTCAATTTAGATGGTCTTGCATTCCGCCTCCTACCGGAGGCCTCTATAGAGAAACAAATGACAAATAGCCGCAAACGTTTTCCTATCCGATCCGTGCGGCAGCCAGTCTATGATGAGCTACTATGTGCCTGGGACCTGCTTCTGGGTCCGCCAGCCGTCCGAGTACGCCATGCTAATGCAGTTGAACAAACGAGTACAAATAATGAAATGTGGGCCGTCTGGCCCGCGTGCTCTAGTCGTCGCCTCACTCCTGCAGCTCTCCAATGTGACGCTCGCTCTCTGGCTTCCACGTGCCTGTTCAGTTAGTAGAGTGAAAACAAACACACACACACACACACACTCACCTTCAAAGTCGTGCTTGACAAACGCCATCGGGTCGTCGTAGTCCTTGGCCCCCATCTGCTCGACGCCGGGCGAGAAGGACGTGATGGGCAGCACGATCACGTCGCCCACACGCTTCGGCGCGTCCATGCCCGTAAAGTTGCGCCAGTCGATCGAGCCCTTGGACGCGCTCATGTCGAAGTACCGCTCGTCGTTAAAGTAGGCAAAAACGAGGTCGGTCCAGACGGCCGGGCCAGTGAACTCGACCACGCTCCGGCCCAGCTGTCCCTGCAGCGTGCCGGCCTGCTTCAGCCGCAGCGTCTCGGTCGTGATGCGCGCCACAATCGACCGCAGCACTGGGTGGCCCGGCTTCGCCTGGATCGTCCACTGGCAGAACTGGATCCGCCGGCTGTACCACTGCGCCCAGTCCGGCCGGTCCGGGTCCGCCTCGATGCCAATCACGAGCCCTACGGCCTCGCGCGGCACGGCCTCGGGAATCCACTCGAGCGCGCTCCGGATCGCGTATGTGTCAATGTCCGAGTAGATGCCTCCCCGCGCCAGCAGGATCAGATACCGGAAAAAGTCTGCTTTGAGCACCGGCAGCGGCAGCGCGTCGTACGCCTCCAGCACCTCCGGAATCGCCGAGTACAGCAGCCGCAGAAGCTTCACCGCCACCATGTCCGTGATCACCTCGTGGATGAACCCCGGGTGCTGCTCCGTCCACGTCGCCTCCTGCTCCCGGAACTCAAACTCCCCGCTCGCCGGCGTCCACTTCCACGTCTGCCAGATGTACGCCGGGAACTTGCCGTCCACGTCGTATGGGTATTGGTACGCCAGCTTGTCGTACAGCGACAGCCGAGACAGGTCGATCTGCTGCAGCGGCTTCTGCCCACCCGCGCTCGGCTGCTGCTCGTCCGACGGAGACGACTCGCCGGCCGCAACCACAGAGGGTGCTGCCTCGGCCTCGGCCGCCGTCTTGCTCGCGAGACTGGCCGATGACGAGAACTGTAGCGCGTGGGACGAGTGCGTCTGCGTCGTCAAATAGAGAATGACAATGATGATGGCCGCCGCCGCGAGGGCACGCCGAAATGTGAGCATGTTGCTAGATGTCGTGGCTTCGAAGGATTCGAAAGAAGGATATCGGATCAGCTGCAATTGCGACCGGGCATTGAAATGATGTGCGAGACAGAGAGAAGCAGAGTTGGACGGGACGGCCGTCTCAAAGCTGTCAGCGACGATGGCTTTTCCGTTAGTCAGCGGCGACGCGCAATCGCTTGCAAGCAGCCAATTTTGGATCGGCGGCAACGAAGTGAGTCGTGAAACGCGACCCAGGCGAAGTGGTGCTACTTCTGCCGAGTTCCAGGTTGAGTTGAGACGAACAACTTGAAAGTCGGAAGACGACTCGGCAAAGTGGGAAGCTGAAACGACAGCTGGGAGCGAGGAAAGAGAGGTCGGATTGGAAGAGATCCAAGAGAAAGAGAGTCAAAGCTCGATTATTAAGGCTAAAGAGGCTAACGAGGGAAAAAAGAGAAAAAAAAAAGAGAAAAAAACACGGATTTGGCCTTGGTCAGGAATGAGGATGAAGAAGAGACCAATTGTCAAGCTAAGACGGCGACCTGGAAACAAGCTGTTCCTTTCTTCTACTATTCTGCCGTCGTTTCGAGAAAGCGCAGGCCAAGAGAAATACGAGCGACGTTCCATACAAAGTGGCCCTCTTTTTTCCCTGTGCTGGAATAGGGGGCAATCACGCTAAAAGGCTTGATAAGAGTGGTGAAATGCGCTACTCGGCGATCACGCATGTCGAAATGTGTCTTTTCATGTTTTGCCCGATATTCGCTCGCTGCCCCGTTGGCGGTCTTCCCCTGACGTGGGGTGTCTCCGGCTGCCTGAACATGCTGCGTGAAGATGGCAGGCCAGACCCGCAGGCCTGAAACCGCTAAGAGCCCTGATGACGACATTCTGGCTTCAGCTCGTCCTGCAGCGCACCTTCCCTCCAGGGCAGGAGCAGTCCAAATTGCATTGACTACAAACGAGATTCTCGTACGGAGTACGGAGCAGCAGACGGGGCAAGGCATCTGCCCCACCAGGAAGATCCGGCTTTTCACTCATTGCCATCGACGATGTGGAGAGGGAGAAGCATGCCGGCGCCAACAGCAGCAAGGGTGCTAGGCCACGCCACGATGAAACATCCCGGCGGCATGGCTGTGGATTCTTGGCGGCATCGCACGTGAATGAGGCTGTTGTCTTTCATTGCTAGGCGGACGAAGAGGAACAGAAGGAACAGAGGGAAGAGTATGGAGTATGGAGTGAGCAAAAGGAAACTGAAAAATGAGTTCGAAAAAGTGAAACTGAACACGGACAACAGGAACTAGAATCAAAAACCAGAAAGCACAGCGAAGGTACACCAAAAGACGACTAAAACCCTCATACCTCAACCACGCTGACGGCAGCAGTCTTCTCACGCATCTGCTTGAGGGTGGGCACGTCAGAGTGGCGGATGCCGTCAAAGAGCTCGTCAATCTCCTCGAGGTTCTTGTCGCGAGTCTCGACCCAGAAGAAGTAGACCCAGACGAGGAAGAGGACGTTCCAGCTGGCGTTGACAATGTACGTCTTCCAGCCGATGGCGCTGAACATGTAGGGAAAGACCATGGTGACGAAGACGCCGCAGGCCTTGGCGCAGAGCGTGAACATGGCCATGCCGGTGGCACGCAGGTTGTACGACAGGACCTCGGGTGGATACATGTTTGTCAGGGGCGTCAGGCCGAACGAGTAGCAGCCGAGGAAGAAGAACATGAAGGCGACGGTGCCGTAGATGCCCGAGGTGCTGCTCGAGCCGCCGTATGTGGCCGTCATGCCGCCGAGGCCGTACAGAAAGGCGGTGCAGGTGGCGAGCGACGCGAGACAGAGAAACCGACGGCCAAGACGCTCGGCCAGCAGCGAGCCGAGCACAGCGATGACAAACTGCCAGGCCGACAAGACCAGGTTGACCTCCATCTGCGTCTTGGACGAGGTGATGCCGGCCTGGTCCAACATCGTGCCGTAGTAGTACGTGATCACGTTGGAGCCGGTCAGCATCGTCAGCGGCGCCACCGAGAGCGCCAGCCCGAGCCGCTTCCGGTTGGCTGGGCTGCGGACAATCTCGCGGAAGCCCAGGCTGCGACCCTCAGTCTTCTCGTACGTCATCGTGTCGAGCACCTCCTGGTACTGCAGCTGCACGGCCGTGTCGTCGGCCAAGGCGCCGTTGATGCGCGCCAGCACCGCCAGACCCTCCTCGTTGCGGTCGTTGTAGATCAGCCAGCGCGGCGACTCGGGCAAGAAGGGCAGGATGCCGAGCACGCAGACGGGGGCAAAGGCCTGGACGATGCAGGGGATGCGCCAAGCCCAGTCGGACGGGTCCATTTGTTGTGTCTATTGAGTTAGAGGAAAGAGGAAAGAGGTGGAAAGAGGTGGAAAGAGGAAAAAAAAAAGAAAAGAAAAAAAAGAAAAAAAGAAAGAAAGAAAGAAACAAGAAAAGAAGGAAAAAAGAAAGAAAACCCACCCCATAACACACCCCCGTCGCAATGAAGCCACCCAGGGCCCAACAGGTAAAGTATAGTCCCAGGGCCAGCGACCGGACCTTGGGTGCCGTCGTCTCGGACACGTAGGCGCCGGCAGACGTCTGGGCCAGGCCCATGCCGATGCCGATGATCATGCGGCCGGCAATAAACATGGCGATGTTCTGGGCCGCGCCGCTGATGGCGGCCCCCACAATGTTGAAGAGACAGCTGACGCCGATGGCCTCGCGCCGGCCACGCCAGTTGACGATGTAGCCAGAGATGGGGGCCACTAGGATGGCGCCCAGGTAGACGGCACACGAGTTGACCGAGATGGTGGCCGTGTCGAGGTGAAAGTATGACTGGTAGCTCTTCATCACGTTGACCGAGCCCATGACGGAGCCGTCGTAGGCGATGGTGACCGAGTCGACGATGCATACCGACACCACCAGGGCCGTCGTCAGGCTCATCCGCACCGACTGGCTGAGGGCTTCCATCGTGAGTGCGCGAGGACAGACGAGAGAGGATGCGGTCGAGCTCCCTGTCTGAGATACACAACCGACGACACGAGGCACTGTATATACAGGAGCAAGGCAACAAGATCTCAACAGGACGCTATCCAGGAACCAGACCACGCCTACATCCTATCTGCTCCATACGACTACGACCGACTGGCTGCCCAGACAGGCTCGTTCTGGCCGAGAGGGAATGTCCGCCGCTATGACCAATGCGATCCGACTTATCAGCCTGGCGACTCGGCTCCACAGCGCTTCTCCGTCTACCCCGGGATACCTGGCCTTGGCATCTAGCTATTCGTCCATTTGCCTCGACTATCTGCCGGCACGGTATCTTGGAGAACAGGGGCCAGGGCTGGTTGCGTGCACGATAGTCCGTCTGATAGGAGATGGACGCTCTTTGCGGTGGATTGCACTGTGTGTACTAATATTAACACTGCCTACATGGACACTGTACTCTGTATATCGTCTGCTATCTACTCAACCACCACGCTGACTTCGGCGTCAAAATGGCGCGAGCTGGAACCGACGTAGCACGTGTAGACGCCGGGATCGACGCGCCAGGCGCCGCCGATGTCGTGGGGAAGGTCGGGGCGGGCGGCCGCGACGTCGAACCACTCGACGGCGTGGCGATCGAGGGCGATGGAGACGCTGCGGGCCTGGCCAGCGGGCACGGCGATCTTGGCAAAGGCAGCGAGGGTGCGGGGGGCGACGTCGAGGCCGGCGGCAGCGATGGCGGGCGAGGGTGCGATGTAGACCTGGACGACGTGAGCGGCATCGCGGCCGCCGGTATTGGTGACGGTAGCCGAGAGGTGGGCAGCACGGTCGGCGGCAATGGAGCCAGAGACAGCGACGCGGTCGAGACGGAAGGACGAGTAGGACAAGTCAAAGCCAAAGGGCCAGAGCGGTTCGATCTGGTGGGCGTCGAACCAGCGGTAGCCGACCAAGACACCCTCGCCGTAGACGGCGCGATCAGCAGCGACGTCGCCGGGAAACCAGCGATCAGACCCGTGGTCGGCGAGACGACGTGGAAACGTGACCGGGAGACGGCCGCTGGGACTGACGCGGCCGAGCAGCACGTCCGCGAGCGCGTTGCCGTTCTCCTGGCCCTGGTACCAGGCTTGGATGATGGCGGGCACGTGACCTGCCCAAGGCATAGCAACGGCACAGGCCGACTGCACGACGACGACAAAGGGCGTATGGGTGTGAGAGAAGGCATCTTTCTCGTGCAGAGCATGGGCCATGGCGGCGACCAGCTCGTCGGAGCGGCGCGGCAGCGCGAGCGATGTGCGGTCGACGCCCTCCTTTTCCGTGTCGTTGTTGTGGCCAAGCACGAGGACGACGGCGTCGGCAGAACGGGCCGCTTCGACGGCAGCCGCGAGCAGGCCGTCCTCATCGATGCGACGCTGCAGGCCGACGCGCAGGCCCGAGAGCGTGTGGAAGAGCGTGTTATCGTGGGGCGGCAGCGGCGGTGGCACGACGACGTTGTCGACGCGGAAGCGGTATGACTGACCGGCCTGCAGCGACAGCGTGGCCAGCTTGTTGGCCGAGCCGCAGTTCATAAAAGAGCCGCCAGCCTCGGTCCAGCCGGCGTTGTCGATGACGAGCATGCCGTCCACAAACAGCCGGGCCTGGCCGGTCTGGGCGTTGGTCAAGATGCCGGGCGCGTGCACGATCTCGACAGCGCTGTCAACCTTTTGGGCCGCTTCGGTCAGCGCACCCAGCGGCGTCGTCACATAATAGGGATTCACCGAGGCGCTGCCGCTGCCGCCTGTCGTCGGCGTGGCCGCGTTGGGACCGATGACGGCGAGCCGGCCGAGCCGACGCATGTCCAGCGGCAGCGTGTCGTTGTCGTTCTGCAGCAGGACGATCCCTCCTGTGGCAGCATCACGTGCCGTCTGACGAAACGCGGGCAGGTCTGCGTCCTGTTCCGGGCTTTGGGCCTCTGCCTTTTCCGTCTGCAGAGCGCCTGCTCGGGCGACCAGCTCGAGCACGCGCCGGACAGACTGGTCGAGCTGGTGTTCGGTCACGCGGCCGGCCTGCACGGCAGCCAGCAGCGGCTGACCATAGCGGATGGGTGGGCCGGGCATTTCGAGGTCGGTGCCGGCGACGAGGCTGTCGACCGTGTCGTTCAGGCCACCCCAGTCACTCATGACGAGGCGGTCAAAGTGCCAGGCACGGCGCAGCACGTCGTCCAGCAGCGGCCGGCTCGCGTCCGCGTGCGCGCCATTAATCCGGGGGTAGGCCGCCATGGCCGTCCAGGGCGTCGTGTCGGATCGTCGCAGCACGTGACCAAAAGGACGCAGGTAGATTTCATGGAGGGTGCGGGTATCGATGGCCTCGTCCATGTTGAAGCGACGCGTCTCCATATCGTTGGCGACGTAGTGCTTCATGCAGGCACCGACGCCGCGGCCACCTGCCGGCACGGTCTGCACGCCCCGGATGTAATGGGCGGCCAGCACGCCCGTCAGCAGCGGATCTTCGCCCCAGTTCTCAAAGTTGCGGCCGCCCAGCGGCGACCGACTGCTGTTCATCGTCGGCGCCAGCAGCACATGGGCACCCTTGCTGCGCGTCTCCGCGCCCAACACCTGGCCCACCCGCTCGACCAGGTCGCCGTCAAACGTCGCCGCCAACGCTATGCCGCACGGAATGTATGTCGTGTGCGTGCCGTCCGTCCAGGTGGCGCCTCGCACGCCCGCTGGCCCGTCTGTCGTCTTGATGCTGGCTATGCCCAGCCGTGGCACCGATGCCGTCTCCCACATGTTCTTGCCTGCTACCAGGAAACATTTCTCTTCCAGCGTCAGCGCCGCCAGCAGCCTCTGGATGTGTGCCTGGTCCATGTCCTTGTCGGCAGCCATTTTCCTCAGCTTTCCCAAATTCCCCTCCTCGTTCACGTGTCTGCACTCAACAAGGAAGGAACACCCATCGGCTCCTGCCTTTATCCCTACGCTGACGCAATCCATCTGTTGCCTACGACTACTGTCTGTCTTTTTCCTGCGTGCTTCTCCGTCCGGAAAGCTTCATCTCGGAGCTGGCCATCATCATCATTCACCACGACCATAAGATACGACTACTCACGTTAGCGTCACGCACCCCACGCGGACTTGTCCGTGGCCGAGTGGTCAGCATGCAGCTAGCTAGATGGCCGCCATTCTTCCGCCTCGCTCACCTGCGGACTTGACCGTCTTCATGACAGCCGGATATATGTCGACGCTTCCGTCCATGTCCAACAACTGCCAATCATGTATTCATATCTGCTGATTGGCGAGCACTCGGCTCACTGTCGTCTACATTACTGCGGAAAGGACTGATACAAGCAGGTGAAAAGGGCAACAAGGGCAACAAGTGCAACACCTCGTTGATTCTTCTCAGCCCTTACATTCAGTCTTCACCCCATCATGGGCTTCCAAGACAAGCGCATCGCCGTCATTGGCGGTGGCCTCGGCGGCATGGCCTTTGCCAACTCGGCTCGCTACGCCCAGCTAGCCAACGTGCAGCTGTACGAGTCGGCCGGCCAGCTGACGGAGGTCGGTGCCGGCGTCAACATCACGCGCAACGCGAACCGCATTCTGGACGCCATGGGCGTCGGCCCCGACATGCTGTGGCGGTCGTCACGCGACCCGCCCTGCTACATGGAGTACCGCCACTACCGCACGGGTGCCTTTCTCGGGCAGATCGATGAGTTTGGCGCGCCACGCTCGCGCCAGATCCACCGCGCTCACCTGCTTGACGCCCTGCAGCGTGGCGTGCCGGACGCGCAGGTCTCACTGGGCAAGCGGCTGGTGTCGTTGGCCTGGCAGCCTGACGTTCGCGCCTACCGTCTCTGTTTTGCCGACGGCTCCACGGCCGAGGCCGACATCGTCATCGGCTGCGACGGCATCAAGAGCGTCGTTCGCCGTCAGCACTTTGGTCTGTCTGACGCCCCGGCCTACTCGGGCCAGATGGTCTACCGCGGCTACGTCGCCTACGAGCACCTCTCGCCCACGACGGCCGCCCTGCTACGCAAGACGGTCAACTTCCGCGGTCCGCGCCGCCACATCCTGACGCTGCCCATCGGCAACGACGACTCGGCCACGGCCCGCGTCGGCATCATCGCCTTCATGTCCGAGCCGCTCGAGAACTGGGCGTCCGAGAGCTGGCTCGATACCGCGCCCGTCGACGACTTGCACGACCAGGTCCGCGACTGGACCGGCGCCGTCCAGGAGATTGTGGCCGGCCTGCGTCGTGGCTCGCCCGACGGCCGCATCCTCAAGCAGGCTCTGTACGTGCGCGAGCCCACGGCCACCTGGTTCGACGTCCGGCCTGATAGCCCGGACTCGGGCGTCTTTCTCATCGGCGACAGCGTCCACTCGACTCTTCCTCATCAGGGTGAGTTTTTCTTCTTTTTTTCCTTTTTGTTCTTTCTCATCGGCGCTCCCGCCCTAACATCCCAGGCCAAGGTGCCTGTCAGGCCATCGAGTCCGGCTTTGCTCTCGCACAGGTGCTCAAGAGCTGGCCGGACGCCGATCTGGGCGCTGCCCTGCAGTATCTGCAGGACCTGCGCAAGCCGCGGACCGACCGAATTACGCAGTCCAGCTACGAGACCGGCAAGATGGCCAGCGCCGACATACCCGAAGACCAGTGGGCCGCCGCCTTCGACCCTGAGGTCGTGCGCGAGCGCATGCGCTGGGTCATGGAGTACGACCTGCTGGGCGAGCTGGCCAAGACGCTGCCACAGCCAGGCGACCAGTCGACAGCCGAGGACGAGAAGCTAGGCTCGGCCTCGGTGACGGTGTGCTGAGATGGATTAGATAAGAATGAATATAAAAGCTTTCACTGTCGGCATTGTCCGTACAGAGATGGAATGTGTTTGATTGTTAATGTGCTCTTTTAGTTGACTAATCACAGTTGGCTTGGTAAGTGCATAGTGGATGCATATCGAGTGCAGTAATGCAGTAAACTCTTCTATGAATCCTGCCTCCATCTCATACCGTCTTCTCCGTCGTCTTCTCCAGGTAGTCATCGTACCGCAGGTAGGCGCCCAGAAGGACCTCTGCCGCGGCCGCACAGCTGTCCAGTTAGCGGGAGAAGGGACGCGAAAGGAGGGGGATGACGTACTCTTCTGGACGGGTGTACTCAGCCGGGTTGTGGCTGACGCCGTCGCGGCAGCGCGCAAAGATCATGGCAGTGGGACAGCGGCGGCTAGTGTAGCAGCTGTCGTGACCGGCGCCGCTGACGAGCTCCATGCGGCAGCCGTGAGCGCGGGCGGACGCGCGGACGCACTGGACCATGACAGGATCGAAGTGGAGGGCGGGCGAGGACCAGAAGTGGTCGATGGTGAGGGCGAGGCCATGGCGGGCGGCGATGGCGTCGAAGCGGGCGCGACAGAGGGCCTCGACGGCCTCGACGTCGGCGTCGGCCGGCGCGCGGATGTCGAGCGAGAGCCGGACCTTGCCGGCAATTGTGTTGATGCTCTGGGGGGACGCATGCACGACAGCGACGGTGGCACGAGCCTGGCGCGCGGCCAGCACGTTGTCGGCCCCGGTGACGGTCTCGTTGACGGCCACGATCATCTCGGCCGCGCCCAGCAGCGCGTCGCTGCGCCGGTCCATCGGCGTGGTCCCGGTATGGGCCTCCCGTCCGACCACGTCGACGTGGTACCAGCGGATCGACTGCACGCCCTGCACCACGGCCACGGCCTCTTCGGCCTCGTCCAGCACCGGTCCCTGCTCGATGTGCACCTCAAAGTGTGCCGACAGCGGCGTGGCCGTGAAGCTGCACGGCGTCGTGCCCTGGAAGCCGATCCGCCGCAGCTCGTCGCCCAGCGTTGTCGTGCTGTCCGCCAGATCCGGCCGGCTGAGTCCGTACTCCGCCGTAAAGGCCCCGGCCCATACTCCCGACGCCAGCATCGCCGGCGGAAACCGCGCGCCCTCCTCGTTCGTCCAGTCCACCACCGCCAGCGGCGCATATGTCGTCACACCGGCTGCCTCTAGCGTCTGCAGCACCTCCATGCCTGCTGTCACTCCCAGGATCCCGTCGTATCGCCCGCCTGTCGGCTGCGTGTCCAGATGCGACCCGATCGCAATCGGCGCCAGCGCGTTGTTGCGTCCAGGCCGCACCGCAAAGATGTTGCCCATCGCGTCTACCTGCACCGTGCAGCCGCATCGCTTCGTCTCCGCCATGAACCACTCGCGCACCTTGCGGTCGTCGTCGTTGCCCGTCAGCCGGTCTGTTTGTTCGTTGTCAGTCCAACACCCGTCTCTGGCCCCCATTCTTCATGGCACGCACTCATCCCGCCGTCTGGCGTGTTGCCCCATTGACACGACGTCTGCAGCGTCTCGTTCATCCGCTTGCTGCTCGTCTGCAGCCCGGCATACTGTGCCGGCAGCTCGGCCGACAGCTCGATCGCAGGAGGAAGGGAGCCCATTGTGATGAGGTTGTCAAGGTAGGAGAACACAGTAGCGACAAGAACAGGAGAGTACTGCCACAACTCGACCCAATACCCTCCCGCGTCCGCTAATCGCTGTGTTATACATTGAGGCGCCAACGCCAATCTCCGCTCCTGCTGACGGCCGCTTATCAGCACTGCGCTCAAGTCCGCTCCGGCTGTTTCCCCCTGGCGTGGACATCTCCACAAACAAGAGGCCAGAAGCGACCGGTCCGGAAGCGAAGCTGGACATCAAACAGGAACGATGGCAGAGCACTGTCAGCGCAGCATCCTGTCGTGTGCTCGGTGCCGCCGCCGGAAGATCAAGGTGTGTCGGCCAGGCCTGATTGTCGAGTTCCCCGTCGTAAATGCTGACTAAGCAGTGTGATCGTCAGCTGCCGTTGTGCTCGCAATGTGTGGCCGCCAAGAGCGAATGTACCGGCACGTCAACACGAGCCCGGGCGCCGTCGCAGCCGGCAGACGTCCCGCGCAGCATCGTGCAGCACCTCGAGTCGGAGATTGCCCGGCTGGAGACGGAGCTGTTGAAGGACGGCCAGCTGGAGGTCGTCCATGCGTCCGATATTCTGCTGGAGATGGAGGGGGGAGGCGAGCCGGAATCAGTGCCAGCTCTGGCGAGCAGTGTGCCCTCTGCAACCTCGCTGCCTCTCCGCGACTCCATCCTTCGAAGCGGAAGCCTGCAGTCGGTCATTGAGGCCACCCTGCCCTATGGCTCGGGCGCAGCCGACCTGCTGTCCAAAGTGCGCATGGGCCTGACCCCGTCGTCGGCCAAGGTGCGTGAGCGAAGAGGAGGAGGTTCTGGCTCTGGTTCTCTTCCCGGTTCCGGCCCTCTTCCCACCAAAGGTCGCTCTCCCTCTTCCACCCCCACCACCCACTCCCTTCCGGCTCCCATCCTCTGCAGCATCCCCTGGGATATTGTGCAGCGGCTTCTGCGCAAGTACCTCAACACAATCCAGCCTGACAGCCCCTTTCTTGTTGCTGCTACCGTGGTGCATCAGTTCCAGGCTGTCGGCGAGGCCCTGCAGTCGCTCAAGACACAGACACCCCCTCTTTCGGCCGACTTCCCCCCCCGTGTCCTCCCTTCTCACGACTTCCTCGTCGTCTATCTCGTCCTCGCTGTCTCTGTCACACTCGGTACCGCCAACGATGGCCACGAGGCCCGCTGCATGGCCCTTTCGGCTTCTCTCTTCGAGGAGGGCATCCCCCATCTGTCCGGCCTGGCTGCCTTCCCGTCCGATCTGGCCTGGCTGCAGACCATCCTTCTGGTCCTGCTGTACGCCACCGTCTTTCCGCGTGCTGCTAATGTCTGGGTCCTTTCTGGTGTCGCCATGCGGTCCTGTCTCGAGCTGGGTCTGCACCGTGTCGAGAGAACGGATCACCACCCCGATCATGACTACCACCCCGACCACGACCTTCCTCGCCGCGTCTTCTGGGCCGCCTATTGCATGGACCGCTCCATCTGCTCCGTCCTGCAGCGGCCACTGTCCACACCCGACGCCGCCATCAACGCCCGTCTGCCGGCTGGCCGTCCGGATCACCATCCCTTTCTCAGCTCTGTCGCCTACCATCGCCTTCTATCCGAGATCTTGCACGTCCACTTCCACCGAGAGCCCGTTCCTGCTGCTCTCTCTTGGGATGGCTGGCTCGCCAGCATGGAACGCCGTCTGCAGGAGTGGTATGACGGCCAGGATCCGACTGAGCATCTCCACTCGGATCCCCCCACTCTCAACCACCCAGGCCACCCTCCCCGTCACACCCTCCCTCCCTCCCTCATGCTCGCTCGAGGCCTCATGGTCCTCCATCGACCCTCTCCTCGCGTCCCTCAGCCGCAGCCGTGCTCGCTCCTGCGCGCTTTTGAGGCTGCCACCTCTGCCGAGCGCATCCATCGCGACCATCTCTTGCGCGGCGTCTTTCGCCGGCCCTGGCTGTCCGCCCACTATTCGCTCGAGGCTGCCACTGTCGTGCTCTTCTGTCTGCGTCACGGCTATGCTGCCATTGCTGCCCGCTTCTCCGCCGCCGACATCTTCGACATGGCCAAGCTGCTGACCAGCAACCTGCTCGCTATCGCCTCTCACGGCTGGCCCGAAGTCGGTGTCTATGCAGGCGCTTATGAGCGTCTGCTCGGACCTCTTCTCGAACGTGTCTTTGGTGGCCTTGGTGCCGGTGGCAGCGGCCTCGACCTCGATCCTGCTCGCTTCGGCCCCGCACAGGACGCCGAGCTCACCCGCCTGCTCTACCCAGGCCCTGCCCACCTCGAGAGCCTGCGCTTTGGCCTGCGTCAGCCCCAGCAGGAACTCAGTCCCTTCGACTTCAATCTTTTTATGATCGATGACGACATGTGGGACCCTGGCCTCCTGCACAGTGACATTCATGACGGCATGGATGCTTGGGATATGCCCCAAGACATGGCCCTCGAGCTGTGACTGGCCTGTCGTCTTGTTGTGGAGCGTGCAAAGGTCTTGAGTCAGGTAGCAAGAATATGTTCAATCTGTTGTTCTGTTGCTGTGTTGCTGCAAACGGCTCAAATCTGTCCAAATCTGTCCAAAATCTCCAGCATCCAAAGTCACCCTCTACTCCAAACCTCAGATCGGCCGCAGCCCTCGTCCAAGATACGTCTGCTCGCCAAATTCCCGCTCTGCCACCTGGAATAGCGGTAGTCCCATAAAGTAGCCTGCGTCGCCATGTCCAATCGCTGCATGCGTGCTGCGGCTCTCCGCCTCGCCGATCGTCACCAGCGGCCGCCCTGAGCCTGCGCTCGACGCGTCTGCCGCCAACTGCACCTTGCACAGCTTCTCCAGCAGCACAAACCAGCCGATGGTCGCTTCAATCGTCGGGCCCGCTGTCAGCAGCCCGTGGTTTCCCAGGAGCGCCGCCTTGCGTGGTCCGAGGCATTCTGCAATCTCTCGACCCTCATCCGTCGCCAGAACTAGGCCGGCAAAGTTGCTGGAGCATGTCAGCTGCTGAGTGACCAAAACTCCCAGGCAAATCAATCACACTTACGGGTAGTACGCATGATCCTCGTAGAACACGCAAAAGTCCTGCGTTAACATGTCCAGCGTGCGTCCCGTCGAACACATTGCCCCTCCGTAGATGCTGTGGCAGTGTGCGGCGCAGAGCACATCTGGCCGTGCATTGTGGATTTCTGCGTGGATCGCATAGGCCGCTTTCCCCCCAGTCAGTCAACGGCCGTATATCTCAGATGGCCTCTATGGTGTGGCTCACCGTAGTTGAGCCGCAGGTTGTTGCCACCTTCGACCACCGTGCCCGTGTGGTCGACCCGTATCAGGTCCTCGTCCTTGATCAAGGAAAAGTGGAGGCCTGGTCATTCCATCAGCCTCTGGTCTCTGCTTCTTCTCTTCTTCTCAAAATCATTTTCACCCACCAAATGGATTCACCCAGAAGCTGGTCGGGTCCACAGGGTCTCGCAGCGTGATATGTCCGGCCACGCCGTCGGCAAAGCCGTTTTGCGCAAAGATCCGGTACGCCAGCGCCAGCCGGTGCTTGAGAAACTTGCGCTCCTCGTACTTGTCTGTGAACACTGGTGGCAGCGACTCTTCGTCACGCACAAACGCCAACGACGGGTCGCCCGAGCGGTGCTCCTCCTGCACATGTCCCTTGGCCGCTGACGCGGTCTGTTCGGTAGCAGAGGGTGCCATTGCTGAAATGGAAGCAAGAGAACCGAGATGGTGACGAGGCTAATACAAAAAACCAAGGCTGGCCAACTTGCAACTTCGTAAGTGAGGTGACAGCCCTTTCAGTCTCTCAGTCTCCCCGTCTCTCCTCTCGGCCGGCGGATCAGACGGTTCAGATAACGCTTGTCTCGCCAACAGAACCGTCCTAAAGGCCGTTTGGTGGACCTGCGCGCATGCTTCCGCCCATTCCCTAGCGTTGGCGAGATATGATGCCCCTCCACCCCATCGCGGACATGTCCGCTGCAAACATCATGGCGTGCGCCGGAACCCTGTTCTAGCCCACGGGCCTCAGTCGGCAACGTCTAGAAGGATGGCGGCCTGTTCTGTCCTTCTTGCTGTCGCTCCACCGTCATCTGCCCATCATGACGTCCACGGTCGATCCGATTCCGAGCACACCCTCCGGCCATGTTACGGCTGCCGTGACCCCCCGCCATTTTCACATTGTCGCCCTCGAAACCATCTTCACCGGACCGCTCTACGTCACAGTTCCGGCGCCGCACACCTGCACTTTTGTCCAGTATGAGCGCACCGACAGGAGCCCGGGCAGCAGCGAGTTGGCCACCCGTCTGCGCGACGCCGACATTGTCCTCATGACCACCATCCCCATGCGTGCTGATATCCTGGCTTCCACTGCCACCCCACGTCTGGGCCTCCTCGCCGTCATGGCTTCGGGCACCGACACCATTGACCTGGTCGCATGTGCGGCCCGCGGCATCCGCGTGCTGAACAGCCCTGGCTGCAATGCCGAGTCTGTGGCCGAGCACGCCGTCGCCTTGTACTTTGCCACCCGTCGTCGACTGATGCCATCTATGCGGCCGCTGCTGCGTGGGCTATGGCCAGCCAAGGGAACGCTGCTGCATACAGCCGTGCAGGGGCCCAGAGGCGCTGAAAGTGAAGCCGATGCCTGGCCCCGCGGTTGTGTCCAGGAGACGGCCGTCATCGTCGGCTACGGCGGTGTGGGACGCCGGGTGGCTGCTATGCTGCAGGCGCTGGGAATGACCGTTCTCGTGGCCGGACGTAAGGGTGACGAGGCTGTCGACCAGCCGCTGCCACGCGGACGGACGGCCTTTGCGGAAGCCCTCCGCGTCGCCTCCGTGCTCGTGCTCTGCTGTCCACGCACACCCGAAACTCTGGGGATGCTGTCCACGGCCGAGTTTGCGGCCATGAAGAAAGATGCCCTCTTGATCAACGTCTCGCGGGGTGGTATCGTTGACGAAGACGCCCTGCTGGCCGCCCTGCGTGGCGGAGAAATTGGCGGCGCCGGCGTCGACGTGTTTTCCACCGAGCCGGCCAGCTTGGAGAACAACTCGCTATTGCGGGCGGCCGTTGATGAGATGGATCAAGACGATGCCAGTCGGGATCGACGGCCGCTCAACCTAGTCGTCACGCCACATACGGCCTGGATCGCCTCTGCCACGTTAAATAACAACATCCGCGTGATGCAAGATAATATTGACGGTTTCATCACAGGAAACCTGGTTGCTGAGCGCGTGAGGGCATAAAGAGTTCAGAATGAAGAGAATGAAGAGAATGGAAGAGGGGATACGAACAGGAGGAATAGGAAACCAATAATTGGGGACGGAAGGTGCGAAGGCGCGGGACTTGAAACTCCGCACGAGGAAGGTACAAACAAGATAAAATACAGTCGATCAAAATTCCATGAGAGCTATTTCGCAGAGCGTTAACGACAACTATCTAAGTGTAACTTTTACGCACTTTGCAGCAGACATCAGAAACCTCAGCACAAGCTCCTGGTCCCCTCCCTACAGCTCGCCGCTCTGGAAGGCAGCCACCGGCCGCTCGACAGCCGCATGCACGACGTCCTCCAGCGAGTCCGTCGAGGTCAGGCCGATGGCCTCGTTGTCCATGTGGTCGTAGAGCGTTCCGCCTTCGGCCCAGATGCGGCGCAGCGTGAAGAGATCGGCGAGGGGGGCGGCGTGGGCGCGGGCGTCCTGCTCAATGTCGCGGAGCTGAGACAGGGTGGTGTGGTGGACAGTCCAGGCGGCGGCGGCGTTGCTGCTGGCCGTCTGGCGCTCAAACTCGGCCAGAATGGTGGCCGGCGTGGTGACGAAGGAGTGTACGTAGACGGCGCGGCCGTCGCAGACGTCCGGGTGGTGCAGCACGGCCACGAGGGCGCGACCGACGTCGGCCATGGTGGTCAGGCCGACAGGGCCGTCAGGCGCGGCGAGGAAGGCGGTGCGCGTGACCAGATCGAAGCTGCCAACGCGCGGCTCTGCCGGCAAGTTGCCAATGAAGAGGTCGGCAAACGGCCCGGTGACGACAAAGGAGTACGCGAGGCTGGTCTGTCCGGCCAGACAGGCCCGCACGCGGCGCTTCTTCTGATGAGGGATCTCGGCGGCTGAGGCGGCGCAGTAGTCGATGTCGGTGCCAAACTCGGACGGCAAGAAGCGGACAATGCTCGGGGCTCGATGGGCGGCCAGGTCGATCAGCCGGACCTGCTTCTCGATGGCGTTGCGGCCGACTGCCGACACGACCGTGTCAAAGTCTGTCTGATCAGCAGATGGCCGGGACAGAAGAGAACAGAGAAGAGAAGAAATCACAGAACAAAGACAAAACACAAGACACACCTTTGTACGCCTCCAGGACATCCTCGTCAGCATCAATGTCGCCGGTCCGCACGACCACCCCCCGGCTCACAAACGAATCGATGAGCTCCTTCTTGCGGGCGACCGTGTCTGGCGACGTGAAGAGACCGATGGTGTCAAAGGCATCCCCCGCGCGCACCAGTGCGTCCACCAGGACCTTGCCAATGACACCGGTGGCGCCCAGGACGAGAATTCTCTTGCTCGGCGGTGTCATAGCGCGGATGCGATCGTATTGCTGGGCCGGTACCGCTCCCTGAAAGAATGAAGGAAGAGGCTGAAGAAAACATACGATCTATGCCGTCGATGAGACCACCCAAATCTTGATACTCGGCCGACTTCCTCAGGCTGCACGCAATGAAGCGATGCAGACGGAGATGCGCGCTGAGGGGAGCTTGAAGGGGGGCTAACTGACAGCGGCAAAGTCCGCGCCGCGCGCCTGAGCAGCAAGCTATAACTGAGCTATAGCCTCTCTGCGATAGGACATGTTGGAACGAAAACGCTCTTCCACACTCGAGAACCAACCAAGACAGCCCGCAATCACAGCCGTCATATCCTACGTACACAATGGGCAAGATTGTTGCAGCAGTGGGCCTTTCCCACGCTCCGGGTACGGGATGTCGTTTCTGCCTGTCCTCCAGCTTTTGTTCTGTCCGGCTAACATCGCAGGCGCCATTGGCTTCCCCGAGACGGCCAAGCCGGATGCACGCAAGCGCACAGAAGAGGCGACGCTGGCACTGGGCCGCACGTTGACAGCAGCCAAGCCGGACGTCATCTTCGCCTTCCTGGACGACCACTTTGAGAACTTTTACCGCAACCACATGCCGACGATTGCGATCGCGGTGGCAGACTACAACGAGGGCCCGGCCGACCAGTGGATGGAGCCGCTGCACATCAACAAGAAGACGCAGTTCCCGGGTAATCCGGCCGTGGCCGAGCACCTCATCCACTCGCTCGTGGGCCAAGGTTTTGACGTGTCGCGTACCGGGCCAGTCGAGTACGGAAACAACCTGCTGATGCCGTGGGTGCTGATGGAGTGCGACCTGCCGAACGTGGCGGTGGTGCCAATCTTCATCAATGTGTTCACACCGCCGCTGATGCGGTACAGCCGGGCATACGCGCTGGGAGAGGCCTGTCGGGTGGCGGCTGAGAGCCTGCCGGGTGACACGCGGGTGGCCTTTATGTGCACCGGCGGCCTGAGCCACTGGCCACCGTACTGGAGCCCGTACCAGGCCGGCGACCCACCCAAGGACGACTTTCTCAAGCTGATGAAGGAGTACCAGACCGTGGGCAAGGAGGTGCTGAAGCGCGTGCCCGACCTGTTTGTGCAGTTTGATGACTACGAGATCGAGATGGCAGCCAAGAACGAATATCCGCTCAACAGCAAGCACCCGCTCGTCAACGCCGAGTGGGACCGCAAGTTCATCAACAAGATCGCCGACGGCGACGCGGCCTGGCTCAAGGCCCTGACGTACGAGGAGGTCGAGGAGGAGGCTGGCCATGGAGGCCACGAGGTGCTGAACTGGGTGGCTATGAGCGGTGCCATGGGCGGCGGCAAGGCGAATCTGCTGCTGTACGAGCCCGTCATCGAGTGGATCTGCGGCATGACCTACGTGGACTACGAGGTCAAGGAGCCGGCCGCATAGACTGTATCTTGCGTAAATGAAAAAAAAAAAAAAAAAAAAACTCGGGTCTGACACGGAACGTTATCTTGGCTAGAAGCCGGCCAGACTTGCTAGAAAACGTGATCGTTGGCTCGCTGATATCCGGAACTGACAGCCAACCTATCGCAATTGCCTAGTTTGGTCACTAACGCCTGTTTAGCGGGCAAGTCCGTCCGCGGGGCCCCGGCCGTGGCTTCCTCATGGTTGCTATCGCAGCTTCCTGACTGGCCTCTCTGTCCGGTTTCCCTGCCATGCCCCTCTTTTATTTTCCCTTCTCATCCATTCCAACAGATTTCCCCATCATCCGCCTCTCTCCAAGCGCCCAATGTTCAGCGTCCTCGCCCTACGAGTATTACCACGCTCCGGTGCAGCAGCTGGTTGAGGGTGTCTGGATGACGAGAAGCCTTTCATTCTGCTGCCGTCCACCTCGGCACCTCAGCGCTTCAGCAATGCCATGATTTCGTCCGCCTCTTCTGCCGGCACGCCCCGGCTCTCGTCCGCACACTCGCCGCAGTCTCTCTCTGCTGGCTGCGCCACAGACTCCGCCACATCTACCCGTCATGCTCTCCAGCAGCTGCTGCCTACTTGCCAACGCTGTCGCCGTTTGCGTCGACGTTGCGACACCCAGCTTCCAAACTGCCGGCCATGCCAGCGCGCTGGTGCCGAGTGCACCATATTCGACCATGCCCTGAAGCAGACGCTTCCACGCGCGTTCGTGTCCCCTCTTCAGCTCCTGTCTGAACATCTGTGCTGACCTAACAGATATGTGCAATCACTCCTCATCCGCGTTGAACATCTCGAAGCTGTCAAGAACAACGCAAACGGCCTGACGAGGTCTCCTGCTGCTTCTGTCCCGATACCCATACCAACGACTGCCACTAGTCCATCGACCGTCTCTGTTGGCGGAAGCAGGCCCGATCGGCCTGATGCCCATCCTGCCACTACTGATGCCTCTTTCTCTCCCGCTTTCGCTCCCGACTCTTTCGACATCGTCGTTCCCTCTGCTGCCTCCGCCGAAAAGTCACGCTACTGGGGCGCATCTTCCGTGTTCGCCCTGACTGTCGAGATCCTGCACAATGCCACGGCACGCGGCTTTCTCACAGAGGCCGAGGCCGCCGGCGAGGACGGTGGCAGCCAACCGGCCTCGTTCGCAGACAGGTACACGCAAACCTCCCATGCCCACACACACACACACGCCGACACCGAGGACAGCCATCATCCGAGCCTGGTCCAGGCAGAAGTGCCGCCCGAGGCCGATATCCGCGGCCTGTTGCAGCTGTACCTCGTGTCAGCCAACCAGCTATACGGCTTTGTGGACCCGGCCCAGATTGCCGCCGACCTGGACGTATACCTAGCGGTACGGAGGGGAGGAGGAGGTGGCGGCAAGCAGTCATCCTGTGCACCCTCTCCTCACCAAGTGCATCCCTACTTTCGCATCGCCATGATGTGTGCCATTGCCTGTGCGACACGTTCTCGCTACCGGCCACCCCGGGCAGCCGAGAGCTTGGCCTACTACGCAGACGCGGCCGCGTACGTCGAAGAGGTCACGGCCGAGGTCTCTCCGGCATCGTTGCAGGCGCTGTTGCTGCTCATCGTCTTCTGTCTGTTTTACCCGCGCCGTGGGAACGTGTGGAATCTGCTAGACTACGCCTGCCGCCTGACCATTGAGCTGGGCTACCACACCGAAGGAAGTGATGACGAAGATGAGGCCGACGAGGCCAGGCGAGGCGAGAGACGTTGGCCTAGAGGCGACGGTCCCAACGATGCCGACAACACGGGCAGTCAGACCGAGAGAGAAGCTGCCCGCACGCTCTGTCGGTCGACCTTTTGGGGGCTCTACGCCATCGAGCGCATTGTCGGCCAGTTGTTTGGCCGCGGCAGCGACCTTCCCGAGACCGTCATCACGGCGGCATATCCCAGCGCGCTGGCTGTTGCGCCCTTGTCAGTGGGTGCTGGTGGTCCTGTGCAGACTCCCGCGCATGTCCCCGTGGCCATGCCGGACCAGCCGACGCTTCAAGCCATGAGCATCGCCCACCACTACCGCCTGGTCTATCTGCGCTCCGAAATCTTTCGCTCGCTGTACCTGCCGGCTATTCCGGCCGCAGACGGTTACGATCCGAACCGGGACAGTCCCGAAGACAACCTCCTCGGCCCCGGCCTCGGCCTCGCCTGGCTGCGCGACCGTCACCATACCCTGCTGGCCTGGCGCCACGAACTGCGCGATGTCGGCGAGGACCTCGCCGGGGTGGCCACGATCACCTGCGATGTCGGCTACGATGCCACCATGTGCTTCCTGTTTCAACCGCTGCTGCTGCGCGCGTTACGGGCAACAGCCGAAAAGGCAACCACTACAACTAGCTCGACTTCTCTCCCTGCTTCTGGTTCGGCTATGCATCCTCTCATTATTGCCTCCGACCCGTTTTATTCGTCCATTCGCCTTATCCGTACGTATGAAAAGGTCATCCGCGCGCCTGAACACTCCGCCCTGGGCTGCTATCCCATGACGTTTATGAGTGCACATTATATTTATCTGGCGTCCAGCACGTTGCTGTCCCATGCACTTTTGCGTCTTGATGACCGTGTGCACGTCTTGTCGCCGATGGGAGATGCCGAGGCTGCGCCTCGACGGATGAGCTTCGAGACGCCCTTGCAGCAAGGCAACACCACCAATGCACCGGGCTTACATTCGTTCACTGAGCTTGACTGGGGCGCTTACGTCGATACTTCAAGCTCCTGGTTAATTCTGCTGGCCTGGTGTGGCGAGAGATGGCCGGGTTTGTTAGGCATCCTACAAATCTATCAGCGCCTTTTTTCTCGCACTATCAAGCTTCTGATTCAGATGGGCATTGCTAAGTGACTGATGCTGTAAGGCATTTGAGGCGTCAAGGCATATGTATACACCCAATCGCCTGTGATCCGTCAATTTGATACCAGCCTCGTCTCTCAGCCTTGTCGTATGCCACCATGTGATCAACTTCACAGAAGGCATCTACCGAAAAAATAGCATGGGTCGGCGAAAACTGATATCTACAAGATATTATTCGTGCTGACTTCAGCCCATGTAAAGGGGGCGTCCGAAGTAGTACCGCGCCTTTTCTTTATTTACTCTTCTCTATATAGGGGCCGTGGTATTAAGGCGCCGGCCAACTCTGCCAGGGTGAGTTATCGCCCTTTGCACTACTTTGCGGGAATAAGCAGGGAAAAAGCATCTGTCGGAAGGCTCTCGGGGAGAAAGTACACTCGTATACTCGGAACGTTCTGTCTATGCACATACGGATAAGCAACATCATTGGGTTGACAATGTGCATATGGTGCTCATGTGCTTTATACACATAAAGCTGATTCGATCTAACGTCCTTCAAATGACCGGTCACGATGCAGGCCTGCTGTCACAAGGTCAATGCCTCGACAAATCGGGTTGGCACACGGAGAAAAACCTTCAATGCTGTCGTCGATCATTCTGTTGTATCTTACAAGGGTTACGTCGCTCCGCTACATACATAGTAAAACCAAGAAAAAAGAAGGCATTTGGTAGCGACTTTATGATCATTGGTATCCAATCGCTAGGTGTTAGGGGTGGTCAAAACCGCTGTGCCAAGTTTCAAATATATCGGTTGCCCTAAATTCGAGCCAACTAGATACAAAAACACCCATGTCTCGCTCCCATGAGGCTTGGCCCAAAAATTGCTTTTGGTAAACAAGTCTCTTGGGCGTCAATGCATATATGTACAGAATAGACCATGGTCTGCGTAAGTCTGAGGCCGTATCTCCTCGGAAGCGCAACCCGCATATTATGCGATACCACGGCGCTTATGTATGAAGACACCCTTGCTGCTTCTCTAGGACCTACACAGATTTGCGTTGCGCTTTTCCTGTGTTGTGACCAGCAGTTTGTTGGTAACATCTCAATGTATTCGTTGAGACAGTAGTGATGTTTCTTGCAAGCATTGCAAACAAAGCTAAGGGAAAGTAAACGGCTTCTAAGGAAGAAACAAGTGTCTGGGACGAAGATGTTCATATAGCCGCAGCTTGGGAACGGAATTCTTGACGAAAAGGACCAAAGTACGAGAAAGAGAAGCGTATTCAAAAATAGAGTCAGCAATATATCCGAGTAATATAACGATTAAGAGCCATTACACGACGTCTATATCGGTAGCACTACAGACAATACAAGAATCGACGATTGTAAGACCCAAGAGACACCAAACTGGAAGTCTATCTAGCTATTATAAGCCTATAGAGACGTGTACAGAACAACGATACTGCAACCTATAAGGTACACATGGTTGCTTCGCTCTAACTGATCGTGCGGGGAGTTTGTTTATGCAAGGAAGCCAGACTTTCCTGCGTCCAAGAGTTACACCGACTCTTAGACATTGGAAGTTTGCCAAATTGTAAACGTGTCCCCGGTCCCCGGTCCCCGACAACGCTCTCAAGCCGTTATCTTCCTGGCGACAGCGCAACAATGGGCGCATCTGCTGTACAAGTACATAGAAACTGCTCACCCTTCCCGCGTCTCTGCTCTTGCCGCCGTTTCGAATCACACTCTCCAGCTGCTGACACGTGCGTTTATGCGATTGGTCACAAAAGATCTTGTCTTCTAGTTCTTTCTTCGTACGGATAAGTCCACTCATGTCTTACTATGAGCATCCTGCCTCTCATTATGCATCCTACTTCATGAACCTTACGCCTTAGCTGTAATCCTTTACAACTACCAACCTGCACAGAATGTTTTTATGTGCCCTTCATACTCCTTATCAGATATGTGGCGGGTAAATGTGTTATTAAACTAGATGAAACAGGCTTGAAGTGAGTGAGACCTTCTGGTGCAAGAAGAAACGATATTACATGTACTCCGTACGGGGTATGTGACCAGACCCACCTACGTATTTGATTAAAGGAATTCCTGCACGTTAGTATATCTCGGATATACCTAACTATACAGATCATGCTCACTGGGCGCCTATAATTTAACAAATTGGAGCGTGGCACGATTTTAAGGCAAGAATATCGTGATTTGTAACCTGTCCTCCGTCCGGAGTAATGGCTAGATTAACGGCCAACTATTTCCCATTCATATGATTATGACTGTTTGATTATGTATCTGATTAATTAACAATATTATTCCCACACATCAGATAAGCCTTTGCTGAACTGCTAAGCAGATGACACCGAACAGCCAAGATGCAGAAACCTCCGTACAGCCGCAATAACATGTGCACTGACACAACAACCGAAATTTCGGCTATCGGTTGCTGACAGCGATTTGACAAAACGTCATCGGCACGGCACGGCAAAAGCAAGCAAGGCGTCTCGTGAAAGCAGCGGATCAGACAATTAAGTGGTGTTGACAAGTTGATTAGAGAGCCCCGTTATAGCTAGCCTTCCGAGGCAACTTGAATGACGATATGCAGGAGCGGGACGCCTAGGTCGCCTAATATCGTACAAACTCACTGATTGATCTTGAGTGATAGGTCTACATGAGGTACACCCTGATGGATGTAGCTGGTAGACAGAATGTCGATATCTGCAATGTCAGCAGGATCAAGGACAAGGCGGCATCAGGAGATTGCGGCAGGAGAACTTACGATCTGCTGCATATGTCTCGATATTCTCAGCCGTCAGGCCTCCGGACACCTCAATAAGGAAGCTGTGTGGTTGCCCGGCCCAGCGCTGACGCAGACTAGCCGCGGCTGCCTCTGCACCAGCTGATTCGAAGTTATCCAGCATAACGATATCTGCACCAGCCAGCAGGGCTTCTTGAGCCTCGGCCTCGGACTGCACCTCGACCTCGACCTTGAGGGAAAAGCCAGCGACACTCTTGGCGGCCACCACGGCCTCGGTGATGCTGCCACGGCTCCACACGTGGTTGTCCTTGAGCATGACCATGGCGCTCAGGTCCATGCGATGGCCATCGGCACCGCCCACCAGCATGCCGTACTTTTCAACGAGCCGAAAGCCGGGGGTAGTCTTGCGCGTGCCCGCCAGCCGTCCGCAGAATCCGGCCTTCCGCAGCCGCGTCAACACTGAATCTGTGCGCGTGGCCACGCCCGAGCAGCGTGCCAGAACGTTGAGCGCCACACGCTCGGCCAGCAGAATTCCGCGAGCAGGCCCCGACACCGTGGCGCACCGCGTCTTGGGTGCGTCTGCTGCACCTACAGCGTCGCCCTCGGCCACGTGCCACTCGATGGTGCAGCCGCATCGCGCAAAGATCTCGTCCGCAAAGGGCACGCCGGCCACGATGCCCGGGCTCTTGGCCCATAAAGTGGCCGTTCGCGGCACGTCGCCGACGACGAAGCCGCCATAGTCAAACGACGGAGTGTCTTCGGCCAGCCATACGGTCACCTGGTCCTTCCACGATGGCGGCAGCAGCGTGCTCAGAGAGCCCTGGCTGAGGGGCGTGGGTGGTATGTCGCCAAACATGATGGTGATTTGTGGGGGAGGCGGGGAGAAAGCGGGATGATCTGAGTTGCAAAAATCTATAATACTCCGTACGCCGTACTCGGAGTTTATGAGTAAGTCCGCAGTTCAAACCATTACTAAATTCCGCTCTGCCACGTGCTGGGCTTTGTCGCTTCGTCGTGTTGTGTTTGGCAGTCTTGTCCTCTGGCCGAACTTTCGTCCCAGATCTGCCGTCATTGAATCTGCCCCAAAGTAAGATACCCCTGCATGTAAGGTATCTTGTGGAAAATCGGGCCCATTTTACAGCTCGTGGCAGGGGTGCCATCCGTTTCCAGGCTACAGCGGGATGGCTTAGCTAATAGCATGCTGTATGCGCTGTAATTGAAAGTGTTACAGGGCCATTTCTCCGTTATGGAACCGATGAAGTCCCGCCGTTATCAATGTGCGCCGTTCCGCTATGATTGTGGCAGGAGAAAGCATAGTAAGGCATCCTGATAACACTGGCACTACTCCGTAATAGGCTGAACGGTCGAGTCGTCTGTGGGGCTGCGAACCTGTGTCTGCCTTATTGGCCTGTGAGTTTTGGCGAGATTGTCTTGTAGAGCTGAGTTATTGGTAGATATGACTCGTTGTTGCTTGATGTAGGAACCGTATAAAGCGAGATTGGTCAGATGGTATATCGATATTGGAATGTCAGAAGTATACCATTGCGAAATCATCTTGCTACCCTTCTGCGCTTACTCAACGGTTGATACTCGACACAGCTGGGATAGTTGTGATATACGGCAAAGGCAAGACTGTACCTTATCGAAGACATAGAGTGCCGGTCTGTCGGATTAGAGCAAACACTTCAGAAAGAGCCTGGACAGGAGACGCCCTGGAATAAGTAAAGAGGTGAAGTACAAGGCCGAGTCAATGGCGGAGCAGCTTGTCGCGGAGGACGACGAGGAGTACCCCGTCTTCTTCTATGGCGGCAAGGAGGGCGAGTATGCCGAATTCAGCCAGTTTGCGCGCGCAACCTTTACGGTACCGCACGCGCGAATTGCTGCGGTGCTGGGCCGGCCGGTGGCCAAGGTGGCCGCGATTGCTGGTCCGGACGCAGCCACTGAGATCACCTTCTCGGCGGCAGAGCAGTTTATGATGTACTGCAAGGCGGTCTGCTTTGGCGACGCGGCAGTGGCGTGGCAGATCCTGGCGGCAGCGACGCCGCGCGAGCAGAAGAAGCTGGGCCGACAGGTGCACGGGTTCACGGACGAGGCCTGGGATGAGGTCAAGCTGGCGGTGGTGGCGGCCGGCAACGCGGCCAAGTTTGGCCAGAGCCCGAAGCGGCGGCGGCTGCTGCTGGGCACGGGTACGCGGCTGCTGGCGGAAGCTGCGCCGCGGGACCGCATCTGGGGCATCGGCTTTGGGGCGACGAACGCGATGTTGAACCGGGACCTTTGGGGACAGAACCTCCTGGGCAAGGCGCTGATGATGGCGCGAGACGAGCTGCGCCAGGAGGAGGCTGTGGAGGGGTAGAGGCAGGAGAAGAGAAGGGAGAAGCGGTATAAAAAGTAGACAGCAAGGCTGTAGGGTCGACGAGGACGAACGAGAGATGCGCACGCCTAGATTGTCATGGTGTCGTGTTCATGTCGTTGTTTTTGTGTTGTTGTGGACATCACGACCATCGATCGATGCACAGGAAACAAGGAAACAAACAGCAGCTCGCAGCTTCCTTAAAGTCGTGAATGTCGCGCCTTCCCCAATTGCGCTCCTTTCTCTGAAAAACACCTTCCTCGCTCGTTGCATTCCTTCCGCTTATACCAAATTAGCTCGAAAGCCTCTGCATGCCGCAAACTCTCTCGATGCATCGATTCGAACAACGGCAACCATGCGAGGGTAGAAACCCGACTTGAGCAGCATTTTTGGAACGGAGTCCGAAAATGAAGTATCGTAATACAGGCCGTCTCCTGTTTGCCTCATTTCACCTGACCGGGTGCGAGGGCCACTATTCGTGTCGCACAGTCCCCGCAATTGCAAGATCGGTTGATTGGCGCTGACCAGATTTGCGTTTTTTGTTGCATCCAACCCGACTGTCGCAACAGCAGCCAAGAGCACGCTACGTTGGCTGTAGACCAAAATGGCAGACAAAATTGATCTGCCAGACGACCTGCACGCGGCGGCCACGGCGCGGTTCGATAAACTACGCGAACAGGGCCTCCTCTTTTATTTTCCCTCAGCGGGCGAACTTGTTCAACATAAGGATTTCACGGTAGGTTGTCTTTTCACTCTCTGCTTTCTTCTCTCTCTTCTTTCCCTCTTCTCTCTTCTTTCCCTCTTCTCTCTTCTCTCCCTCTTCTCTCCTTCTCTCCTTCTCTCCTTCTCCTCATCATATCCCCTATGCTTTCTCTCTTCCTCTTCTCATCCTCCCCCAGTTCGACTTTCGCATCTCGCCGTCCATCGCCCGCAAACCGGTCCTCGCTGCCGATGCGCCTGAGCGTCGCGGGCGTGGAGGGCCCTTTGTCGACCCAGATCCTCGGTTTGTGGTAGCGCAGCCAGGCGCCGATCATGTTCTAGAGCTCAGCATTCACGCCATGGTTCGACCCCATTACGTGCTTCACACAAAGCACTTTAAACCACAGAGCGATGACCTTGGCCTGATTGACATGGCCGCTAGTTGGGCCGTCATGCAGCGTGTTGCCGCCGCCGGCCACCGGCCCATGATGATCTACAACTGTGGTTACGAAGGCGGTGCATCCCAGGGCCACAAGCACGTCCAGGTGTTTGCCGAGCCCGACCCAGGCTTTGTGCTGTTTCCTGAGACAGTATCGGCGTCAGCTTCCGACACAGCTGTCGCGCCCCATGTCCGCTTTCTGCATTTTATTGCTCGGCTCGACGAGGACTCCGTCGATCCGCCACGCCTCCAGCAGACGTACGAGCGGCTCATGATAAGTGTGCGCAGCGCCCACAGCGCCCATCGCGCCCGTCATCCTGAGGAGGCCCTGGAAGCTGACTGCTCGGCGGCCGCGTACAACGTGATCCTCACGCCGCGGTGGATGTGTCTGATCCCGCGGCGCCGCGGCGGTCAGGACGGCACCGGCGCCGGTGCACTGGGCATGCTGGGCGTGGTCTGGCTCAGAGACGCTCGCGAGCGCGCCCACTGGACAGACCTGGGCCTGACAGACCATCTCGTGTGGATGGGGCTGCCGCAGGAGCAGTGAGGCTCATAATAGGACCGACACGACACAACACGACACGACACGATGATATGATACGTCAGAATATAGACATAGATCGACTCGTGAAAAAAAGCATTCGGTAATACCGTTAGAATTTCTCCAAGTGACTGCAGCTCTTTTTCTCCTTATTTGGTTGCCTGTCCTCATTTCCAGCACTCGACCATCTTTCCTCATAGGGGTGCCTGCCAGCGCATGTCGATCTGCTTCTTTGTGACCTGTGCTGGTTAGTATGGAACACAAGAACAAAACAAAAAGCAAGAGCAGGGGTTGAACTCACCATTGGCCGCAGAACAGCAACACCGACTGCCAGGGCGGCGACAGTAGCCAGCATAGAGGCCTTTCCGAAGCTCTTGTCGAGCAGATCAAAGGTGAGGCTAGGAGCGACGCGGGTGCCAAAGACATCGACTCGGCCAAAGGCCAGGACCACGCTGGTGCTCTCGACATGTGTGGGCGCGGCAACAATGGCACGGATGCCCACGACGTCGCGCTCGTGCGAGACGACAAGGCGCGGATCAACCTCGAAAGCAGGGGCATAGCGGGTAAGGCCCTCCTCGAGTTCGGCGGGCGTGGGATCGCGACCGACGGGACGACGAGCGTCCAGGAAAGCGCCAACACGCGGAAGCCCCAGCACGCCGTGTGTTCCGGGCAGATAGGCTAAAACCTGCCGGACGGTGATGCCTTGGCGGGTCTGCGAGACGGCCAGGGCGCGCAGCCGAGCACCGACGACCCAGGTCTGCGAGACGACGGCGGGCTCGAGCGTTGTGGCGACGGCAGCGGCGCCTTCTTCGGCCTCGACGGGCTCGAGCGAGGAGGAGAACCAGGCAGCGGTCTCGTTGCTGCTGCTGCTGTGACGCACCGCTGCTGCCGCCGCTCCCCAGCCGCGCTCGTTTGGCTCCAGCGACTCGTACAGGTCGCTGACGGTCAGGTGGTAGCCCTTGATGGTGGCGGCGATGTTTGCGCTGTCGTCGACGCGATAGTCGGCAAAGAAGGTGCACATAAACGTGTTTTCAAACAGCAGACATTCAACCGGCTTCCCGCCGTCGACGCCGAGATGCGTTGCCGCAGCGACAACCTGTCCCGACACGGTGTCCAGGAGATACGTCGTCAACGTGGCAGCAGCCTCATCGACGGAGGCCACGACGGCAAGGTTCGGGTTCAGGTACTTGTACAGCACACGGCGGTCGCCCAACACCCGTCCGATCGATGCGACAGGGTCATGAGCCGGCCGAACTGCGATATCGGCAATTCGGCCAGCTGGTGTAACAAAGGTCCACGTGACTTCCGGAATGCACTTCGATGTCGCCGCTCGTACCACGAAACGAATACCCTGCAACTGCTGTCCAACACGCACGACGATGGTCTCCCGTGGACAGTGCTCTAAAGGGATACCATCACCACCGGCCACCTTGCCGCCGCGCAGCACGGCCAGCTCCCACGACCCGGCAGCGCTGGTCACGGGCGCGGTGCTTACAATCTCGGCGTCTTTCTCGGCGGCCTCCAGCATCTGCAAGGACAACGACTCGGCGGCCTCGCCCGTCTCTGTGTACACGGCCACCGACAGGGCGGCGGTCTGGCCAAAGACTGTGGCCACACCCCGGGCCTCGTCCACGTGGATACGCCGAACGGCCCAGGTGGCCCCAGGCGCCAAATCGACTGCCTTCTTGGTCCATTGGATCGTGCCTGGACTGGCTGCATCGAGACCGTAGAGGCGGCCGCGCTTGGTCGCTAGAACGGCAATCTTGTGGAAGCCAAACGAGTCTGGCTCGGACGAAGGAACACTGCTGTCGCTGCTGCTGCCCAGGATGTTGCTGATGATTCGCTGCGCCGTCGTCTGCAGATAGGCCGGCAGATGCTCGAGGTCATCGATGTGACGCCGCACACGGTGAATGTACGCGGCAAGCGGGTTGCTGTGAGCCTCTTGTTCGAGAGCCCGCACCAGCTGCTCTGACTCCGGTCGGTCAGCGAGAGCTGCAGCCAAAGCACCGGTGAGACCCTCAGGCCGCGACCAAGCCAGCTGACCATTGCGCAGCAGAACCCAATCGTCCGTATCAGTGCAGACAGCCGCACGAACTGCGAAGCTGATGCTGCCGTCGCCAGCTGGCTTAGTGACTATCTCGGACACAGCCGAATTAAACGCGTGGATACGGCTGTCTGTAATTGGCCAAGATCCCAAAATAGAAGGCGAGGCTGAGCTCGTAAGTGACATCTCGGAGTTCCCGATGCGGGTAATGTATATAGTCTCTGCATCTCTGGAGGCGAGGCCGATGGCAAATGCGCCTGGGCCAGATGCAGGTGGCAACTCATGAGTTTTTGCCACCGACTTTGATGTGGGATCAAGCTTGTAGACCTGCCCGCTATGGAATAGGGCGCCACTTTCAGCTTTCGCCTCTGTCCGTGTGTGGACGACAAAAGCCAAAGATGCCGATTTGGGCAAGCTGCGAGGCGTCCGAATGATGACTTCAGCTGAGTCTGTCGGCAGGGCAAACTCGTGCTTCTGCGGCTTGGTAGAGAGCAAGCAGCTGACGCGTAGCTTGGAGCGCGCGCTGTCAGTCCAGGCGACAAAGGGCAATGCGGCCGGGCCACCGATGAAGAGCACGTCAGCTGGCGAGCGCAGGTCGTCGGCGCCGGAGCGGGCGCCCAACACGAAGTCGTCCAGGCGGCGGCCTGTCTGCAGGTCGACGGCGACGGCCCGCAGGCCAGCGCTGCTGTGCAGGCTGATGACGAAGGCGCGGCCATCCGAGGCGGCCACCACCTGTAGCGGCTGGCTGATGCCGGCCGGCGTTGCGTCGCGGATCTCCCACAATACACGGCCGTCGTCGCTGCTGAGTTGTCGGAGCACTGTCGCCGTGCTGGCCGGCCCGTCCTCGCGGAAAAGCGCCAAGATGGAGGCTGCCGTATCGGCTGCGCCGGCCACCACATCCAGGCCGACCAGCTCTCCAGCAAAATCCATCCACCAAAGCGAACGGCCAGAAAGAGCTGCCCAGGCGTGCACGGAGCTGCCCAGTCCGGCCGCCAGCCAGCCCTCGCCATCAACTGCCGCCAGCCGGCCATGCCCAGACGCTTGTGTGTATGTCTTGCCCGTCGTCGCCGTCGTCGTGGCATCGTAGCTCTCGTCGCTCTCGTCCTCCAGCAGATGTCGCCACACTAACGCGCCGCTGCCCGGGTTCACGGCCCCGAGAACACCCACATCGCTCAGCGTGTACAGCAGGCTGGCCCGGTCGTCCGGTCGCGGACGGTGGAAAAAGGTCTGCTGCTCCTGCGGCACGCCGACCAAGTCATATTGGAAGTCGATGTCGCCCACCTCGTCTCGGTAGGTCGCATGCACAGATGGCAATGCCACTAAAGCGGCGAGGAAAACGGACCGTAGCATCGTCGCTGTCATCCGGCTCGTCTGCGTCGATGGTTTCGTCGTGATGGAATCCGTCTATCGGCCGTGGTGATCCATCGGTTGAAGGGCGAATTTGGGTTTGGTCGCTGCAAGTACGACAAGAATTAGTTTATGGACAGATTGAAGCTTGCAAGTCTGCTTCGTTGATGGCTATATTAAATTTAAGCGGGGTCCAATCTAATACGGAGTACGGAGTAATACTTTCTTATGTTTTTCGTACGGCGCACTCTCTAAGAATTTTCTATATAACCACCATTGAAGCCCTCGCCATCTTGAACTTGTCCCGTCCAAGTCTCTTCGTCATTTCCTCGTTTGCTTTTAGCCGCTCAAACATTGCAGTCTTGTAAGTGGCGGAAGTGAGATTACATAGGCGAAGGAAAGTTTTATGGCGTTCGCAGGTAAGCAAACCACCCGAGTTCGCCTCCCAGCCTTCCCTTTATCCCGAGCCAAGGCACCAATGCTAAGTAAGGACAGGTCGATTGTGAAGGATTATACGGTGTTGGATTGGGTTTTGCCTCGCCAGAAAAGGCATTTTTGGGGTGGTGCATAGGTCTCAGTGTATTAAAGTAAAATAGACTTGTGTGAAGATACATCGCGACCCTTCTAGGGCTCCGTATTAATACTAGTGGAATGCCCCGCTTTTGTGCCTTCTGACCAATCACAGCCCAGTACGGCCAAGTGGGGCGGAAGGGCCACAGTGTGGCGGATTCCAATGCTTGACAGAAATTAAAGCGCGGGCTAAGACGGTGTAATTTTCGTACGGAAATACTGAGATATCGGGTTCGCAATTTGCGAACTACAATTTAAGAGCCGCAGAGCCTAGCGTAGTACTTAACCCGTAACCCGTCGATGTTACTACCTGAAGCATTCATGAACTCCTCGATCAGAGCGGCAGAGTACGATTTCGTCGAACATTATATTTTTTATTCTTTCTCGCAGGGCCAGAGATAAATAGACGAAACGGCAGGACGCCGCTATCACATCAACGATTTTATCATCCCAGTTGTTTATTTTCAACTTCGCCTCATCTCTTTGGCGAATTTGGTTTGCCTTCATGAAATCACAGTCACTTGAAAACGACACGCACCGCTACCGCCGACTGCTACTCCGATTCTCGACATTAAAACGCCCAAGCCTCCGGAAACAGAAGCTCCTGCCTAGCCAAAGCAATACTTAAATGGACGTACCGGCCGAACGCCGGTCGATCCAGAATCCCGCAACTCGCTCGGGGCCTATGTAATATCATCCCACTTTACCTCCTCTCTATATGTGGGGTTTTATTAACCTAACAAAAACATAGTCCCCAGAAACGACACGCACCGCTTGAACCGGCTGTTACTACTGTACTTGACGGTAAAAGGCACAAATCTCAGGAAGCAGAACCTCCTCCCAATAGCAGCAGCACTATAGTAGAAAACACCTACAGCATGGGTATGCCAAATTTGCCGCCCTTGCAGTCAGAACCTCAGGAGCCCAATCTCGAATCAGAGCACGAACAATATCCAAGACCTTCCTCACCGCCCTCAACGGCAAGAGCAAATTTTATGGCACAAAGTAGTGGCAGACCCGCTACACCGGCGGACATAGAAGCACAGAATGCCCGAACAGACAAAGACACACCCGCTGCAGGCTTGACTTGCATCACAAATGATTCTGGGGGGGGTCAGCGCCACGACCGGGAAGAGAGCGGCGACGCGAAGTCAGGTAGTGACAAAAGTGTGGAAAGACAACGAACCTTGACTGAGAAAATACAGCCTGTCGCAAAAATGCCGCTGTGTCCTGCACAGGATGGATTACAGTCAAAAGGAGCGTCAAGCTTCGATAAACTTAAGCAAGGTATAGGCCAAACGCCTATGGAACCAAGATCTTCCGCTGAGGATGCAACGTCAGGGTCGGAAATCCAGCGGTCCGATGCAAAGGATCGCTCCAGCATGAATATAGAGCTGCAGCCAGAGACGCGTCCCATATCACTATCACAACTCGTCAACGAAGTCAAAGGGATCTACGTCGGATTAGTCATGGTGGAAACAAAATGTATCGAAGTCGACTCGGAAAAGGGTGGCGTCGGGAGCAATCCGCAGACAAAGTTCACCGACGAGCAATGGCAAGCGTTGATCACCTTGCACCGCACACTCTTGCACGAGCACCATGACTTCATGCTGGCCTCACAACATCCATCTGCATCTCCGGCATTGCGACGACTAGCTGTTAAGTATGCAATGCCAGCAAGAATGTGGCGCCACGGAATTCACAGTTTCCTCGAACTTCTGCGCCACCGGCTCCCAGACTCTCAGGAGCATATGATCACTTTTATTTATTTGGCTTACTCGATGATGGCGCTGCTTTACGAGACTGTGCCTGCCTTTGAAGACACCTGGGTTGAATGCCTTGGCGATTTGAGCCGCTACCGAATGGCTATTGAAGATGACAATCAAAGAGTCCGCGATACTTGGACACAAGTTTCCGCAGGCTGGTATACGATAGCCTCTAATCATGCTCCTACAACTGGCCGCCTCTATCATCATCTCGCCATCTTGGCACGGCCCCAAATAGTCACCCAGCTCTACTTGTACCTTAAAAGTCTTTGCGTCCCAGTCCCGTTCTCCTCTACAAACGAATCGATCCTGACACTTCTCGACCCTATCCTTAACAACAAGCCTCCAGCCGGAGTTTCTGAGCTCGAAGTGCTATTCGTTACACTCCACGCCATCCTTTTCACTGGAAAATCAAACTCATCGTTCGCGACAATTAGTGCGAAGTTTTTGAAAGCTCTTGACAGCCACATCACTACTGGCGGAAAAAGCCTTATCGAGACAGGTGTCTACATTGCCATTATCAACATATGTGCAGTGCTTGGCTTTGGAGCCGACAACAACGTTCTTATGAAGCTTTTACGCCAGCCAAAGACTAGCAGCACAAATGCAATTGATGGAACTAGCAATGCCGATTTGCGGTCTATCGAGGAGTCTTCGTCTGCGGAACCTCCGAGCCGAGCGCAAGCGCTGACAACAGGCACAGACCGCATTATATTTTCACGCTTTGGTGTAGAATCCTTATATGGTTACATACATGCGCGTCTGGTGTGGCTAGTAGAAATGGCACAGCTTCCCGGTGCTATGATTTGCCTGGAACGCCATGTGGATTGGGCGCTTCTGGTTGATTATCTCAATGACTTGATCGGCACCTATAACCAGTATGAGCGTTTGGAGATGGATACTGTCATGATTGCTCCTTCGGGTAGTAATGACAACGTGGAGGTACACCCGAGACAAATCCCGGGCCGGACGCCCGAGACTTCTACGCCAAACAACTCTGAGACGGGGCCTAGAGCCTTGTCGGGCGCATCAGAAGTGAAAGCAACGGATGCACCAACTCCTACGATTGCAGAACCGCCGCGGCCACGGAGTGTGGAGGAGAGGCCACTCCCTGAGGATTGGAAGCATCGTGGAATGATCTATGCACAAAATACATTTCCCAGGGGCTGGTTTGGTGATTTCGGTGCTGTGGACGACGGTGAGAGACTGATGGAGACGCCTGCGATGACAAAGATACGGAAGGAGAGGATTCTCTGGCTGGCAGTTCGCTTGACAAAATTTTCAACAAATATCGTCTACGACAAGAATACTCACCTTTTCTCTGTAGGTGAGTATGCTGCCGACAAAAGTATTGCAAGGGGAAAGGAGGATGACGAAGGTGGCCAAGACGATGAGGACGATGATATAAATCTGTCAGATATGGAGTCGCTGGCTTACTCCGCAAACTTGAACATCAAGTCAACGGACTCAGTGCTTGATCACATTTCCATTAAGCGGTAGACCATGGGGCTCCTAATAGCAGATAAATGGGTTGTCTCGGTGTTACAAAATCTGCACATTGTAAAATCACCCCAAAATAAAGGTCAGTAACTACAGAGTACAGAGTAGACCGTATGAGAAGCGAGCTTTGTGTTGCACGTGACCATATAAGTCACTGTGCAGAGGTCTCACGGCCGCAGTGCACCATGCACAAAATAGTAGTGCATAACAATTTACCTTTAATGAGAAGACCGTGAAGCAGGTCATGATTATCTTACATCGTGCGCCTTTTGTTAGAGGTGCGGCTAGGTTTGCAAGTATTTGCTTTTGCAAGTATTTGCTGTGAAAAGAAGGGCGCTGGCAAAAAGCGAACCTGCTCTGTTAACCCATTCCGTATATAGTTAGCGCAGTTGCCTGATCAAATCCGCCCCTCTTTTCTGCACATCAACGCACTACTGCACTGTTCGGCACACCAATAGCGAAAGCCACAGTTGCATCCTTTTTTATCCTCTGTGCTCCGTAATTACGAGTAGTTGTTTCCAGCGGAGACGAACCGCAGTAGACAGCGATTACCATAGGAAAATGATAAATGAGGATGGGGATTCTCCCAAACTTAAGCTTGCTTTGGCAGAGCCTCTGCAGAGTTAGTTCTGCAGAGATGGGACGAGAAGCAAAAGGTTGTCATAGGGCTCTGCAGAGCCGCTGGTACATACGCCCGGTGGGGCGCAAGTGTTATCTCTGGACAAGGCGCTGGCATACTTCGCATGTGCAGAGGGTAGAATAGTGCGTGCCGTTTGCGGCAAGGGATGTTGAAGGAGTAGAAAGGCTGAGGAAAAACGAGAAAGGCGGGACACGGAATGGCTGCTTTAACCGGTAGGGCGCCTGCCTGCAGCCTGAAAGGGAAGGCCGATCTCCTTGACCTCACAGCTGTAGCCTTTTCCGTCTACAGAGTACTCCGTACTCATGGGCATCCCGTCTGCTGGTCGCTGAAAAATATCCTGCCCTCTTATTTTCAAATATCTGGAGACGGGGGTTTGTTTTTGCATCAGACCTGCTGGTGCTTTTGCAACCAGCCTTGCCTTCCGGGTCTTCCCTACCCGAACCGGTTTCGTTACCCCATTTGCCTCGGGGTTTGGAGTCTGCCGTGTCTGTCGTAATATTGGTCGTAGTGCTCTTCTTGCTGCTTTGGGGAGGCTGCATTCAGCTGGCCCTGCCCATCTCCAAATGAGGGATAGCAATGTCGCGCTTTGTGTGTCGTATTATGTATGGCAGAGCAGCGAGCCAGACTGGCTTTGCCTGGAGAGACATATGCCTTGCCGCCCGCCATTTTTATCCTGGACCTTCCTTTCTTTCTCATGTCGATCTGATCTTCTCCTTCTCTTTCTCTCTTTCGAAACCATATCCTAATATCATTGTTCTTGTCTCTTCTTTTAACCCCTTCCCCCTGCCTGAGTTGGTTATTTCTCGCGTTAAAAGATGGAGAAAGTAGAGCTCTTCGATTTAATCATCTCCTTTGATTATTTGCTCTATCCGGTCATGAATTTGATTTTGTTTTGATTTTCCAATTGAGTGTCGGCTTTTTTGGCGCCTTTTGACTTCACTCTAGGTCAACAAGACATTGCCGCCCTCACCGACGCCATACACCGATGCCACTTACCGCAATGGATTTCCTGCCACGTCTCGGGGTCCTTGAGTACCTGTCGTGCCCGACTTGCTTCGGCTCTGCTTGTATATTGTTCGACCAGAAGTCCAGCGATACCCGACCGCCCCTTCCCCAGTCCAGATTGTCCGACAACACTACCTCTGGGCCATCCTCCCTACCATCGAACTGCTCGCAACATCATCGCTGTCTATCATCCATCAATGCAAAAGAATATGTCGGAAGTGTTAGCTATCTCCTTGTCTGTCACCTCATCAGTCTTAAATCCATTGCCAGAGGTGTGCCTCGAGTTTTTAGGCATCCAAACGATCCCTTAGGTTTGCCCCCAGTTCGCTTGGTTTTCGTCACCCTTATCCGGTTCCCCTCACAGCCACAGTCAATACCTTACCCATCTTTCTTTGATGACCGCCGTCTAGCAAAGCCGCTCCATTAGAGCCCGATTCGCCTTTCCTTGAAGCCGAATACGCCTCGCCTCGCCCAAAAGCAGAGCACTGCCCTTGATCAGGCATTCCCCATGAAGCCGGTCCAAGCTCCCTTGGCACCTTCGCCTGAACCTAGCAAGCCAGTTGGATCCACAGCAGTCGGCCTAGGCTTGATAAATAATGGCTGCCTTGTTGCAAGTTATTTCAAAGGAGTTCTTCGCCTTCTCGTTATTTCGATTTGAGGCTTCGTTTCATAATCAAAAAAAGAAACTTGACAAAAACAACAGTTTGAACGATTTTTCATAGAATTTTATCACCATGGCTCCTACACCCACAAATGATGATACCAGTTCCGTGAACAACGGCACCAAGTCTACCGGCTCTTGGGGGGGAGAAACGCATTACAGAGAGTACGTGAACAATGAAACTTATTCCAAAGAGAGTTGGTAGGGGATAATTTTTTAAAAAAAAAGGACGATAAAGGGTGTCTCGTGTGGTTACAGTCTAGCAACCGCTCGTTTGAACAAGAATCGAATGACTGACCGCAGCTTTGTGCAGTTCAAGCACCAGGACGGACGGTGTCCATGGACTTCTTTTCAGCAGGCGAGACGAGGCTCCAGTGTCGTACCCGCCGGCCTTGAAAGATGGCGCAGACAACCGCAACAATGACCTAAATCAGGTTATAGCCATCGTTGACCAAAAATTCCCTAGGCGGACACCACCACAGTCCTAAAAACAAGATTCGAGCCAGCACCTAAATACGGTCATGTCAGACATGGATCGCCGACGCATATACCCAGGAGTCAACTTACGAGCTGTTTCGTTCTTGTATATGAAAGAGGTCTGCAGTGCAACAATCTGGCAACAGGCGATTTCCGGAGTTCTATTGTCAACTGAAATAAATAAACACGATGGGAAGTCTGTTGGTTTGATGAAATGTCCCACGTTTCGCACACGTATTCTGATATGCCCCACGCCCCTCTGTGTGTGTTTTTTTTCTACCCCCTTCCCCTTTCCCGTCCTCTTGTTCGTCCTCTCATTCGTCCTCTTATCCGCCCCCGTTCCGTTTCTTACCCCATCATGTATGTACCCGTACATGCAATTACGTTTAAGCCTACTATATATTTTGCTGTGTAGTTTGTCTGGGGGTGGCTCAGCAGGCATATTCTTCCATCATTTGAATGAATCAGAGCATATCACCACTTGTCATATCTGCAACTCCAATCAGTCTCCAACGACGAAAAAATGCCATCTAAAGTAGTATCTATATGGTGGTATCTGCCACCGAAGCTGAAACCCAACTTCAGATCGCACTAGGACAATAGCTGGGACAGGCCCGATGCTCGTATATCTGGCCCTCGTTACGAGTACTTTGACTCAAACAGCACCAGTACAAAGAAGTCGTCGAAAAACTCAAAGATACGAGTCTCGTACGTATCCCACGTGATTCATACTAGGGAGTCCTACGGAGTAGAAGTCGGGCGAAAACCAGTGTCGGAATAAAGTACTGCCGTTTGAGTGTGGTGGAAAGATCTTGTCGTACTGTACAGGGTGTCTACGAGTATCTACCTGCTTAATAGGGAAGCTTACACAAGTCGGTGGCTCAGAGGTGCACACCCACTGACCAATAATATAACAGTACGGAATACTATACTGCCAATACTCCGTCAACTAATTCGTTTTGGCCAATTATAGCTACATATCGTACTCTTCTACACTTCTCGTCTTCCTGTATACCTAGAAGGCTATAACATAAACTAGACTTGATTTTTACATATTTAGTAAGTCTTACATGCAGTGAATATTGAGTACGAGTGACAGTAAGCCGTAGGCTTATGGCTTAAATGCTAAGCAAAAATTAGATAGCATATAGAGGATCATGACGTCTATCATTATTAGTATCACACATAGCCTGTAGAATCAAGCCGGCCACCTAAATCTAGAGTACTATAAGTGTGGAGTAAGTTATATGCTTGTATTAACTAATCATTATTCTAATAACGGATTCTGCTATGGTTTTCTAGGTCGACTTTAAAATGTCGCAAAAATCGAACAAAAGGATTTTTAGAATGTGTATTAAAAGATTACACCATAGATGGCGAGATACTAACTTTCTTACGAGATCGTACTATACTCGTACTCGCAACCATATCTTACTATGCAGCTTATATACACGATACAGTTAATTAGTCAAGGACAACAAGTGGCGAGTAAGATTGTGGTGTTCTCTCTTCTTAACTCGTTACAACAAGTGCGCCGTCTTGTAAGTACAAAAGTACTCTGTATTAAACTTAATCAGATGCAATGTGCAGAGACGGAAACAGTCGGTATTAGCGGCTGTTGACGACGCCGCTTTGTATTGTATCTAAACACATTCTAATTCAGTGTGTGCCTATCCATTCATCTCGGTTCTTTCGTACACATGCTTTACGAAATCAGTCTAGTACGGAGTAATAACTATATATATGCCTAACTAGCAGCATAGCCTCAGTACGTACTCCATAAAGGCATCCAGATGCCAGAAGTAGTGGATAAAAATGCGTAGAAAGAGCATACGATACTACGTAATAGCCTCTACGAAGTGGGGAGTACAACGTACGAATAAGGCGGGATTTCTACGGGGTGCAGGCGTTCAAGCCTTGTATGTCTGTGACAAAAACCATTTCTGGCACGCTCCTGTTATTGGGTTATAGATTACGTTCCAATGTTGCAAGTACTCGTACAGGGGAAAAACTATGACCCTACAAAATGGCAGTAGCCATTTTAGCTAGACAGATAGCCATCTAAGGAGTAGGCATGCTGACTTGTCTGATAAAGACAAAAAAAAATACGTGAAACTCCGTACAGCTTATCACTTCTCACCATTCGAGACAATGCAATATAGGAATTATTAAAGAGAGCGGTTGATATGGCCGTAAATCCTCTGCCTCTCCCACTGTTTGCAAGTACATAGTAGGGGGCAAGTTTTCACTGAGCTCCGCCCCTTTCAATGATAACCGCCCGGAAGGCAAATGGGGCACAGACAATCCGTTAACCTCGGTGGATCAACATACGAAATGCGTTATGTTTACGGAGTACTCCGTACTCCTTACACCGCCAGTCCTTACGTGATAAAGGAAAGACGAACCTTTCTTACTTTTACTCCGTAATCACCGAAAGGCGTCGTCTACCCCAGGGCAGGCAAGGGCAGTGATGCTGCCCGAATGATAACAGGGCTGACCGTGATACGTTGCAATGGCTTGTTTGGCTTAATAAATATGTGCAGTCGGGCACCAAGGCAAAATGACAATTGTTGGCTCCAGTTGAGCCTATTTTCTTGCTGAGACTGCAAAGGTAATAGTTCGATTACGAAGCACCTATACTCCGTAGAAAATACAAGAAATGTACTCCTTAGCGTATCTGATTCGCAAGCGCAGCTGCGGTTCTGTGGCTGGGCATGGAAGCTCGTAGCCAATACGCAATGCTCCGCTACAGAATCGGCAATCAATACGTCGGATGGAGTACTTTTACTCCATATCCGTACAGTGCTCTGTTGTATCTTACTATGTACGAGTTCCTTATTTCGAAAGATCTACCGGTATTCTAGCTCGAATAAGGTTAAAACAGGCGTCTGCATTTACCTGCTGTATTAGCTGATTTTGTCGATCTTGTTTCTTACTGTAAATTGCGTATGCAAATACCCTCTAAGGATGCAGCTGTTCTATCACAAGTAGCCTGTAATCGCAATAGGCGACTATATGCTTATATCTAACTAGACGACCATATGCGAAGTACAGCCATATAATCAGGCAAGGCTGCGTATGTCAGAGCACAGCACGATGAGAGCCCCGTAGACCATAAATCTCAAGGAACACAGCATGACGCTATGCCGTGTTAAGAGGACTATAAATGCATTCCGACAGCCTTTAGCTCGAAGAGCAGACTTTGGTTTCACTCTGTTGTGGCCAAATACATGGTCCGGCCAGCCGTGTGGCCGTTGAGCTGAATGGCGATGTATTCTGTGTCAATACGAAGTATTGGTGCTGTACTCCGTAGCGCTCCGAAGCCTGCATACAGTGGGGCAATTCACCTTGCGCGCTCTTTGGCGAATCATGTGCTCGTCTTTAGCGCTCCCGCTTCCCGTTGACAGAAACGTGTGGGAAGACGCAGCAATTGACAATCAAAGTGCAGAACTGATGACGGAACATACGTAGATCTTCCGCCGTAGCCACGTCTCCTACGGTAACAGTACAATCTTCATCTTGCATCAGAGAATGCGACAGTAGGCTTGATCAGAGATCGTTAATACCACCAGCGGCGGCAGATGCTCACATAAGATTGAGAAGGCCTGAAAAAGAGCAGAAGCCGCACGAAGCATTACGGAGTGCGCAAACGGCCATGTCGGCCCTCCAAGTCGGCCTGGCCATCCCCGTCGAGCGGGTGGCGTCCAAGTTTGATCCAACAGGCTAACAATATCATATGCATGACCGCTGACGATCCTTCCCAAGTCTAATAGCATACATACATGCGAGTAGTGGTGGTTGCATCATGCATGTCTCGTCACATCGGCTCTATTACTACTTTGAGCGGCATACGAATGCGCCGACTACGATGATTTCGACTCCGACTTTCTTTTCACGACTCTACTACTTCCTTTGTCTCCGGTCAGACTGCCTGCTTTGTCCAGAGGTATGTCCTCCGTGAGGAAGCACGCAACTTTTGGCTCCAAACTAGAGCGTGTGATCTTCCAAAAGTCAATCGAACCGACAACCATGAAACAACGAGCCTTCGCTTACAGCGTACCACCTTCTCCACCTGATCTGTCAAGCCTTGCCTTGGCATTGAGAGCAGTTCTTCCGCGGTACTGAAAGATACCTCAGGGTACTCTCCTCAACCTTCCCCATATGAGACGGCTGCATAATGGGCCGCATGTATTTGGACACGCGCAACTCACGCTTCCCGAACTAACCAGACATCTGCACTCGATAGCAACGCATGTAAAAAAAACCTGTCCCTTCTAGCGCTGCCGCCAAGAAGAATGCTGACGATAGTTACCGCGGTTTTTATTGTCAATGAGGGGCCACCCTCTGGCCTTACCGTGGACACCAGGCATGCTATGCTAGGTACCTATAAGCAATCAGGGCTTGCAGTCCTGGCCTTTTTGGGCTCGTCTTGAGGACTTGTAATCACTTGCTTATGTATTTCGTTTCCATTTGCGTCGGCCAACGTCGAGATCCTCGGAGTGACTTGTCCCTGAAATTGTATGGGCTCATATACTTTGTGGCAAGAAATTGAGTTTCCTTCCTTCCCGCATAGCCTTTCAATGTCTTTGAATTTACGTCTTCATACAGGGAAAATGGCGGACTTATGTAACCGGAATATGGCGAAGATGTCGGCATCTTCCGAGACTCTCTTAGAACTAGAATTTGAGCTGCCTGCTACGGCGAAACTATATTTCAGACGCTGGCCGATCTAGAACGTGAGGCTAGATGGCTGCGTTTTCAAAAGGTGAATTTATACCTGGTTATGAGCAATATACGACGGTGGTCTTCTTGATTTCATCTGGCTATCAACGGTGCTGAATATGACTGTCACAATTAGCATGCCCAAACAAACCATTCGATAATACAACAGAACTACCGATGATCTCTGGTTTGCAGGTTGTGCAAGGTAGCGATACGGTCTGGGACTGCTGTAAGATGTGGCTAACAGTGTGTCTGCAGTCCTCAGGCCAAAGCTACTCGACTGCCTCGC